GAAGAGACCAGCAAACAGTTACCATTACTTTTTTATTATTAAGCTTTGCTTTAGGGCACTGTTGCGGCGTTTGACCTGGGGTCAGCCATTTCATTTTTCGCTTACGGTTATCGTAAACAATCCACTTTTCGTCACATGTCACAATTCAATCTAATATAAGGAATATTTTAATTTCATTTCTGTACCGATTCAACAAGGCAACAAGTTTTAACAAGCAATTCTTTCTGCAGATCAGTCAAATCATGAGGCACCCATTTTTTATCTTATTGATTTAATGCAAATGAGTCAATATTGTAGGTAGGATCGTTATCCTAACTACAATATTGTATATTTACCCAGGAATTAGCGGCATGGTTTAAAACGTTAAACCATGCTGCTAATTCCTGTTTGCCGTTAGTTTGACTCGGATCGGCATTCACCATCTCCTTAAATTCAGCGTTATTGCGGTCTTCCACGTGGTTCGTTCTTCAAGTCGAAGTTTCCATTATGAAAGCGTTTAAACCAAAAACGCACAGTGCGTTATTCGCGACCTTTATTCCCTATTCTAAAGATAGGCAGGCTGACTGTTAGCCTATGACCACGCCCAGTGCAGCCTAGTCGTAATGTCAATGTCTGTACTGAATACCTATCGTGAGCGCGTAAGTTCACGTGTCTTACGTGAATTTACGCGCTCACGATAGGTGTAATAATATCAACATCGGTAGCCCCTCACCAGCCGCCAGACGTACGTTCAATAACAGTTTTTATCTCTTAGAAAAGGACAGGGCATCGTTTATAGAGTGTCCCTTTTAAAAACCCTATTCGCATTAGATATTATAACAATATAAGAAAAAAATGATCATGAAGGCAAGGCATTTTTTAGGCCTAAGAACCTAGGTGGTTAACAGTTTCTTCAGTAACCAACTGCTGCAAACTGGACCATAGCCATTTTACGTGATATCTATTTAACCAATATTTCTGATCCTGCTATGTCACGCACGCATTCGTTTGCAAGGTGGGTGTGAGCGCCTCGCCCGCGATCTTTGCCCTCGCATCCGTCAACGTCACATTTGCGTAGTAAACAGCTGCATTGTGTGCTGCATACGACCTTAACCTCAGTATAATGCATGCATCTATAACATAAGTGTTTACTACCTTGTGGGCCTTGTGGCATAACATTAAGAAAAACAGTAAAAAAAATTGCCTAAAATTGAGCTGGCATTAAACATCAGTAGCGCTACACTACGCTCATGAAACTTTTATTGTCCTATTTTTTTTCTGTGCGGAACTCCCCTAGGATATCACCCACCAGTGGGTGATTATGTCGGACTCGAACCGACCAAAAACCGCACGCCGTCGCCAGGTACCAGTAGCCGGGGAACCAGGTATATCCTAGAAAGGAAAGCCCTAGTACCCCGACGTACCTCAGGCCATCTACGGCTTATAGATGACCTCTCCGGTGTGGGAACCCGGATGTTCCCTTCCTGCTCAGAAGGGCCCGAGCACGCAGAAACATATATCACAGGTTTTACTACAGTTTTATTATTTCAAGTCATTAAGAAATGCCAAAATCATCATCTAGCAAAGATAAGCCAAACTACATAGTAACTTACTAATCCTGCATCTCGCAATGGGTGTTTTCGCTTCGTTTTCGCAGTTTTTTCCAAAATCGATTTCAATGGCAGCCAGCATGGTTCCCTCGCTTGGTCAGACGAAACTCCTTTTGTGTTGGAGGAACCGCACGGCACATCCCATTCGGAAAATCAGGACCACTCTCAAGAGTGGTAGATACTCTGGGCTTAGCCAACACTAGACTCAGTCATACCTACTAGGTATTAATAAACTCCTAATATAAATTATATAAAGTAATTGTACCTATTTGTTGAGTGAGCTTCGGAGACGAAGGTTGACGCAATTCATGAATGCACAAATGTGATCCGTCCCTGCAGCTGACAGCCAGCACAGCTCGCCTCTAGTTATGGTTTAGAAATTGCATTGCTGAAGTTTTGTTTTTTCTTTCTTAAAAAGACAACTCCCGCATTAGGAATATATCCCGTGTCGCGGGGGACTTTGCAAACATACATGAAACGGACACAAAGAACGCCCAGAATCAGAACAACAATTTGTGGATCACACAAAGTGATGTCCCGTGTGGGGATCGGACCCGCAACACTCAGCGTAGTAGTAAGCGGCGTGGCGACCGCTTAAACCACTACGCCATCCGTGTAGTCAATAAGTTTGGAGCTTATAAAACCTTAATCACAAGGAGAAATACTGCACTATAGTAAAATGATACAAGTACCTTGCATCAGATCATTATAGTGCAGTATTCTGCTCTGCAGTTGTAAGTTTTATGAGAATTGTTAATATAAGACGACTCAATAAAGCATAAGTGTATTTGTGGCAAAAACTTAAACAATATTACCTAAGAACTTTCTATCTAATAATTAATACTTAAAAATATTCTTATTGCAACATAAAATTACGACATCACCAACCTACTTAACGACCTCAGAACAAAAAGACAAAGTAAAAATGCTTCATTCAAAAAATACTTTATTCAGTTATAAATTTTTCACACGATTATATTAACGTTGTAAAGTAATTATTACCAAACATAGGTAACTAAGTACTCACATTGTTCAACACACACAAGTAAGATATATGGCCTCGATTTTGTTATGCGCATAAAGAAAAAAACGTCATAAAACATAACTGACAAAATAATTGTGTAAATCGCTTGACTGATCATTACTGGCAAGTAGGTAATATTAATGTGACTCTAACAGCCAATATTTTTTTAAGTATTCGCATTGGTCTCAAGGTTTTAAGTCTATACATATAATTAGAAAATACTATACACGTGTGGGTAAATATATATCTTAAAATGAAGCAGGTATGTAAGTCGAACATTTGTAGAGTTTACATTATTATATAAATAAAAATTAAATTATTATTATATTAAATAATACCGTGTTTAACCCTGACTTAATGATTATGGACTTTGACGCGGTTATAGGAAATAATTACCTGATAGCCGTAACCAAATCATTATCAATAAAAACACATTAAAATCGTCTAGTCACGTTTCCATTGAAAGCTTTTTAATTAGCTCGCAAATTATTTACAAACATACTAACTTTGACTTCATAGCCTTATCGATTTCAATTATATACTTACCGTAACCAAAGCTGTAGTTTTTTTTTTAATTCCGTGTCTGTGTCTGGGTTAGCTGATTGATGTTGCGATCTAGGCGTTTGGGCAACAATAGCTGGTTATATAAAGCAATCAATCTGGATTAAAACATCTCATCAAATGAAAGTAGAGCTAATTGTACTAAATTTTAAACTTTCGCGTTTCATTATCTATAAATTATGGAATAAAGGAAAAAATGCAACTGGTAGGTATTAGTAAAAAAAAAACACATTGGAATTACCTGACGAATGAATTACATAGTCAGACCACTATATACACTATAGATGCCTACAACACCCGAAGGACGGAAGGAAGAAGAGTTCAGTAAAAGGTATATTCGTAATAAAATAGTAGTGTTACTTAGATTAGCAGATTACAGAGTCAATTTTCGGTCACAATACGATATAACCATTACAGTCAACGTTGGATGTTTAATACATTCACAGCAGGACCCCTCCAAGCGCCTGTTACAAACAGTAATGAAGTTAATTAACGCAATACATAACAAACATACGCAATTAAGAACCTTTTTTTCTTTTCCCTATATGAAGTTGAGTAAAAGGGGAATGCAATTTAATATAACTAGACAGTTAATTATGTTGTTCTTAAATAAATTTGAGTTATTCTATAAGTCGCACAACACAATACATGACGTAATACGAGGCACGATTCGATTTCTTTACTTTAATGACGGTTCAAGGTTCGAGGTTTTTCGCTTTGTTATCCAAACAGTATCTACGAAGGACAATATAGTGTTGTATTGAGTTTTTCATTTTAAGGCCAATTGAATATAAAGCCATGGGCCGTTTTGACCATACTTATGCCACGACCTCACAGAAAACTTTTAAGCAATTCCTTCGTTGCTTTCACCAATTCAATGAGATTGCCACAGGCCTAAAGTCTTAAGTTAGTTAAACTTAAGACGTAAGTTTGTAACAGAAAACCGTTTTACAAAACACTCAAAACCTTTGCGCTAAAATTTAGTGAACGTAGTAGTTTATACTAATGTATTCTTTTTGAAATGTTTATGAAATAAAAACTTCTTTCGCGTGTCTAAAAGAATTTTACATATTTATGAACCACGACACGAAGGCGACGTCATCACATTGTTTTATTTTAAATATTTAAACGCTTAACTTTCTAGAGTTGTGTTAGGCGAGCTAACAATCAACAAACGATATGCTCCAAACATCATTGCCACAGTAAAGTAATATCTATGGCTACTAATAATAAAGCTCAACGGTTGATCTATCTACGCTGGGTATAAAAATCGTTTTGCTTTTACTATAATCCATTTAACAGCACGTTGCAATCCTTAGGAGCAGAGCAGAGACCATAAATGAAAACTGTGGAACTGCGGAGAATAGCTAGTTCTAAATATTTTGGTAGGTATCTACTGCTATTATCTAAAATCTATAATAACTGAACTCTATGCTATTTTGTACATACATTAACATTTTTAATTGCACTGCATTACAATAATTACAAATAACCAAATGACAAAAATCTATGTTTTTTTTTTAGTCAAATCATGTGGTCTTATCAAATCCTGACAAATTATGTTATTTCAATGACAGTCTGTACAATAATATATTACAAAATTAGAAATGGAGAATTTCAAAAAGATTTGGCAAATTAAATTATAAATGACAATATTGCAGACTATGTTAGCGTCGTGATGTAAAAATAAATCTAGATTTAAATCTAATACAGTAATAAGGTAATCTCAAATTTGTTTACGTCATACAAAGAGTAAGAAAATACCTACCCCACAAGTTGATCTAAAAATATCTTAATGAGAAACTAATTATTTTGTGTGTTGGATTTTACGAGCACTTCCATATGACGATGGCTTGATTTCCTCCGAAGTACATGTAGCAAATGGTGGTACATTCATATGTGATTTCGAATCCGTAGCTTTCACCGACAACCACGTGGAAAGCAGCACCAAATTTTTTGTCCATAGACTCTTTGACCATGCGCGCCGCTAACTCATTGTTCGCAGCAAATTTTTCACAAGCAGTTACTGACAACTCCATTGCTTCTATTCTCATTTCTTCTGACATGTCTGAATGCTGCGGACAAATTTAAGGACTGTTAAGAATATAATATATATATCTCACACATCTCACACACGGTCGTCTGATCCAAAACTAGGCAGAGCCTGTACTATGGTAACCAGACTGCTGATAAACATACTTATATATTTTTAAATACATACATATTATAGATAAATTACACCCAGACATAGAACAAATGACCGTGCTCATCACACAATATTTGTCCTGGGAGGGAATCGAACCCACGACCTTTGGCTTAGCAGTCAGGGTCACTACCACCTACCACAGACCAACAGGCCCGACAACGTAGTAGATGCCTTTTAGTTCATACAGGTTTTTAATCAATTTCTGTCCTCAATTGAGGGAAATATCTTGAAAATTTTGGTATGTTTTATGAGAATATATTAAATAAATACTTTAATATTATTAAAATACAAAATTTGCACCACTTTTTCAGGGACCGAATATAATAGTTCAATTACGAACTTTTAACTTCTTAAACTTTGCGTTCCACGATGATATACATTTATACACGGAGTGGCCTGTTGGTATGGGATCAGACATTTAAACAAAAAATACAAAGAGCATGATTGATATTTTTAATGCGAAATTGGAACCAGTGAGACGGGTACTTAGTCTTGACTTTTTCTTAAACGATAGTAATTAATTTATATAAACTAAATATTCACATAACTAAGTGCTTAAGTATTCTTGTTTTTATACGTGTTGGGTTTAATAGGCTAGAGTTCCTGGGTCCTGAGTTCGATTTCTAACCAGGGTAAACAATTGTGATAAGCACGATCATTTGTGGTGTCTGGGTGTAATTTGTCAACACATAATATGTCAAAATCAGCACCTAGTTTGACATCAGATGGCCGAGTGAGCGGCGCGTTAAATTGTTATTATTATACGTGCGGGGATTAACATGGTTAATGGGCAAAAATGTTGCATCTTAGATCATTCTATGTATAGATAGGTAGACTGTCAAATCTGAGAAAGCGTCAAAAAGTTTAGTGTACAACTGTTGACTTACACACACACGGCGACAATGTAAGTTTCTTTACACTGTCGCCGTATGTGTGTCAGTCAGGTTCATAAATGATTAGAGTTCAGAGTTCTAATATAATAAACATTTAAATAAATTACAATACGAATGGTGAGGTTCCTTTCCCAAAGTCGACTAAAAGCTTGTCTTGTCTAAAGACTTGTCTACCATACCACGAACACAGAACAAAAACATTCCGAAATTATTTTCAACGCCTCCATAATTCACGCGGCGCAAATCCATTACTAAACTAGGCGCGTACAACTCTTCACTTTACATAACCGTATCCAAACATCAACAACTATTCCACGAGAGAGAACTCGGCTCCGTCCAACTGCCAAAACAAACATTGTTGAATGAAGCATCGCCGTGGCGATGAGGCGAGAGATATCTCCCCACGGTGTTTACTTGCCATCATCCGGTAATTTATAGCAATATTTGTATGAGAGAGATTTGTTGGATATCGACCGTTGCCTTGCAAAATAAATATTTAAGGAAATGAAGAATCTTTGTTTCGAAGTTGTAGTTCCACGATAAGCTTTGGTGTAATTAAAAAAAATTAACGACCTTGCCCTTTAATTTTTTTAATTATAGATCCTATTCCATGCGTTCTTGAATCACTAATTTTAGTCCGAAGTAAAATAATAAGGAACATTTTAGACTCCAGAATTTTATTTATTTACTAACCTGTCATTTTATTGGTCATAGGTTCAATGGGTCTAGGACAAATTATTATTTGGATGGGAATGATCATTTCTAGTGAGGAGGGGGGACATACTTATTTATTAGGAATATATAAGTATGTTTATTGTTCCCAAACCTGAAGAAATGACTTGGTGGAAAAAGATTTGACTCCAATGATGAAGTCATCTCGCAAACAAAGGCCTATTTTGAGGACCTCGACAAATCATATTTTTTGGAAGGGATAAAAAAATTGGAGAAGCGTTGGACAAAGTGTATAGAGCTCAAGGGAAACTACGTTGAAAAATAAAATGATTTATTTATCAAAAAATCTGTATTTTATTCCAAAAGTCACGGACTTATTGACCCGCCCTCGTATTTGTGTGTTCAGCACGAATCTTGGAAGCTAAATTAAAACCACTTGCCCATATCCGATTGTGCTCAAATTTGGTGTACATGAGTAAGTGATAATACTATAAAATGGTACCATGGAGGTGTTCCGATGATACAACCGAAAGGCGGCCATAGGAACTTTTCAACTAAACAAGATAAACCCATCGAATTTGGGATCATTTATAATATAATAATAATAATATTGTACCACATTCACACAACGCCATCTAGTCCCAAACTAAGCAGAGCTTGTACAATGGGTACTAGACAACTGATATAAATACATATATACTTTTTTTATTTTGTAAATACATACTTATTATACATATAAACACCCAGACCAAATCAAACATTAAATGTTCATGCACACAAATGTTTGACTTGAGCGGGAATCGAACCCGCGACCTTTGGAATAGCAGTCCGTTACACAAACCACTACGCCATTTGGTCGTCATTTGTTTTATCTTGGTGAGTACTTTAGTGCTGCATGATTTTTAGGGTTTATAATACATAAATATATGTATCTAGAAATATAATTCTTCCGCCTCCGGGCCCATTCCCAAACTAGGTCGGGGTCGGCTTTAAGTCTACTATGATACGGCTGAAATTCGTTTATTTACGTGACGTGACTGCCATCAGATCTCCACAACCCAAGTACTCGGCGATATCAAAGTTCTGTAGAGAGACTGTCGTTGGACTCCAACTACCCGTGACGATTGCCACAGATGTCCGTATGGCTTAACGTGCTCTCTTAGGCACGGAGGGGTCTCAATGTGTTAAGGATAAATGATATTTATTTCTGTAAGTATTTTTTTTCAGATATTCTTTCAAGTCGAACTATACTGCTAGAAGGTGCCGGCATTTCCTAAACTCACTCTGGGAAGTAACGCCGAAACAAACCACAGAGGTGTCTTTTTTTTGTCCGCAAAACACGTAGGGTCTGGATAGGCCTTATGAAGAAAGGACCATAGTTTTGAGCCGGCCTGTCCATACAGACGGCATACAGGCCCCAGTCATCGTGTAGCTTAACCGATATTGGGCAGGATTAACGACTCGAAGCACGACACTACCGCCAGTAAGACAATTAAGTAGGCCGTGGAAACACCCAAAACCAACAGAAAGTTACTAAAAAATTAATTAACATTACAAATTTACAAGCTATACTCTCATTTACATACTTACACAAAAAGAATTTTACTATACAATTGAAATTCAACGAAAAATAAGAAGAAACGAAATACACCAATAAAAACATCCATCACTCTCAAACATAACAAAGATATGGGCAAATTTCGACTTTCGCGAAAACTTGTAAGTACCAAAATTTACCTTAATTTTCAACTTTTTTTATTATTCAGAATTTTCTCTTTGCTTGTGCTGTAAGACCTTGCTTTTAACCAAAATTGACAATTCTAGGTCAACCGGAAGTACCCTATAGGTTTTTGGTCGAAAACCTATATGGTAGTTCCCGATGACCTAGAATCACGAAATTTGCCAAAAAGAAACGTCTTACAGCACAAATAAAGAATAATTCTAAAAAATAAAAAACATTTGAAAATTAAGATAAATTTTGGTACTTATAAATTTTGGCTAAAATCTACGTAAAATCTGGGTAGGTAATACCTACTCGTGCGTGACTGGTTTTTTTCATTGAAACTTGTCTCCTATTAGTCGTTGCGAGCCTTCCTCGATAAATGTGCTACCCAACACTAAATTTATTTTTCAATTCGAACCGGTAGTGCCTAAGATAAGCGCATTCAACCATAGAAAGAAAAAAATCCCCTCAGATTTTTAATATTAGTATAAATGTACAATATGTACATACATACTTATTTTTACGAGATATTTCCCCATTAGTAGTGCGGGAATTTCCTTTATATGTTTACCATAAACTATTCATGTCTTAAAAACTCTTTCATACGCAACTATAGGCAACAAGATGGGTCTGTTCCTTTGTTCTGATCAATTGCGCATCTCGACTACATTCGGATTTTAAAGAATGTCAGAGATAAGAATCTAACTTTTTTATGAAATCAAAATGTCATCTGACGATGGCTTTCAATCTTCGTCATATGCGGAAACCCAACACCGAATGTTCCGGTCCAACGAAATTTCCCAGCGCCATCGTCAGCGACACACCGTTCACGGAACTTCACTCCGCCGAAATTTAATATCTATCAATGTTTGATCGCTATTTCTTATACTCTTTATCATTTTAAACATATAGTTTAGGTTTATAAGTATTACGCTAACACAGTCTATGTTAGAAAATTCGGTTATTATCTGGGTGTATGAACGCGCTCGAAAATTTCGACGTTTTTTAGATTGCCTGAAATACTTGTAATAAACCTAATGGCGTGTTTCCTCAAAACTTAAAAAAAAGACAACTTTTACCTACTTCTATTAGTTTATAAAACTCCTTAATTAAAATAATAAATATTTTAAGAAGAAGAAAGAAAATACCGGGAAAATCTAAGTTTTCAAAAATGAACTACAAATCTTAAGCTTTATTTTTGAGAATCTCTAATATATCATTAAAATAGATGAGAGAGAGATGAGAATAGATAATAATAAAGCACATGAACGTGCATAAATGTGCTCTAAACATGGCATAGGAAACTTACCAATATCAAGTTCTATCAATTCCTTTATTAAAGTCTAGTCTCTAGTCAATGGAAGTGGAATTTATTATTTTCTCGGAGAGGACTTCGTAGAGATGAGCTAATACATACACATGATCACAAATAATTATGTTCTTGTTTAATTATAAAAAAGCAAAGATTTACCCTGATGAGAGGATAAGTGTGGATCACTTTCTCAACGGTCCCTCCGGGCGCCGCAACCTCATCACCCATTGTCAATAAAACTTACAGACGGACAATTTATAACAACACAATCACTTTAACACAAGAGTGCAATTTAATATTTGAAACGCGACACGTTCTATGGACCGTGCAGTGCAATGTCTCCCCACTGTTTACCCGTCACCTTGGCAACCGACAGAGGCGGGAAGATTCTGATTGATTTTTCTCAACGCAGTTCACTGTGCGCCCAGCCAGACTCACTGGCATCTAAAGTACTAATGGTAGTAAATAATGAACACTCTTTTGTCCCCCAAGGTTGTGCGTGGGAGCTCGACAAGTTGTAATTTTGAGAACAATAATATACAGCCTTTAATAATAACATCATTATAATTACGTAGTCCCATTGAGCGTCTGCTGTACAGTCAAAATTGGCAGTTATTATGGTAATTACGATGTTGATTTAAAGTGGTCTTACGTAAGTTAAACGTAATATTTTTACTACCTACTTTTATATACGTTATATTGCATTATATTACCTTATTGTTAAGAAGGAAATCCACTTTTACAATTCTGTAATATTATTCAATTAATTTGGTTTAAGTGACCATGACTAAGCATTAAAACAAGTTAAGTAAAAAATTAAAATCTATCTAAATGTTAAATCTGATTCGAATTTGTTCAGTTGTGTGATTGACTAACACAATTTTACATACCAAACATGCACACTAATAATATTTATATAGACAGGGACAACATCTAAAACATTAACATCATCAATAATTATCAACAGGCATTTGAAGTCCACTGCTGGACATAGGCCTCTTCTTAGAAAGGACGTTTTGGCCTACTAAACCAAGCTGGCCAGACGGGTCGGTATAGGGGTTGTTTCAAGTTTTCCTTTTCTTTGCAGAGCTGTTATCCTGCGTAGTTTGCTCCCCTAGTATCCTCTTACGGCACCCGTGGGATGAATAGGGCTGAGATAATATTAGTAAGGTGAATTTGGTAAAAAGAAAAGAAAATGAAATCAAAGTAGTATATACATAGCTATAAAAAGTGATAATTACACATAGTATCTATTTGTTGGACTAAGGTGAATATATAACATACTGGAGAGAATATATATTATTATGTGCTGAACACGGCTGGTGGTGTTATAAGACACATATAATTAAATAAATACTGGTGATTTATAAGTTCTAAATATATATTTTATAAAAAATAATATGAACTTGTCGACTTTGTAGAAGTTAATTGACATTGACGTCTCCCAGGTAGAATTCTTTCACTTGTTTCTTGAAAGAGGCAAGTGTTTGTGCTCGTCTGATTGCGACCGGTAGGGCGTTCCACAACCGAACCGCTTGGAATTTAGTGGAATGTCCCGGCATTTTTAGTTTTAGGTTCTCTGACGATCTCAACTGTTTTGGTGTGTGTCATTCGATAACGTAAACCATGATTGAAGGTAACGTAGAGTAAAAGGATTAAATAGAATACTATAGTAAAGAGAAAGAATACTCATATGTGCATTCCGGCAAAGGCAAATAGGGAACCACTTGAGCTTTTTGCTATATTCAGAAACATGATCATATTTGCGAAGTCCAAATATGAATGTTATGCAGAGATTTTGGAGTGGATCTAGGTAGCTGGCATCAGCATGATCAAGGATGGGGAGAAGAAGGGATTGTGCAAGAGCAATCTTGGTAGGAGTAGGTAGAAAGTTGCGAAGTCGGCGCAAAGAGCCTGCAGCGGTACCTAAACATATACATGGGTAGAAACAGATTATAGTTGATGATAGCACATAGGTTTCCTCTTGGCTCAAAAATATTGATTGGCAAAATCTAGATTGACGATGGCGAACCCGTACGCAACAGCTAGTAGTATACAAATGCATGTTTACTCTTTATTTATTCCTAATCTAAAAAGTAATTTATCTATTTTATAAATTGGTAGTGTTGATCTATTGGTTGGAGATCGGCACAGACATATAATAGATTTTCGATACGCGTATATTTATTTTGTTAAATATTTGATGAAACAGAGATTTTTGTGATATTGTGCGTGTTGATCTATGACTTTACAGTCTACATATGATTTAATTTTTTTTAATAAAATATTATTAGTTTGAGTTTATTTTCTAAGTAAGCATATATTTATCCTTATTTTCCGTGCGGAAATCCCCACTAATACCCCCCCACCAGATGACCGGCGGTAGGATGGTTATGTCGGACTTAAAACGATTAACAGTCCCAGATACCAGTAGTCGGAGAATCATGTCTATGTAATTGAGAAAAGAAATCCCTGGTAATGGGACGAAATTCACATTTTAGAATTGTGAATTTTAGATGGCGCGCTCGTGTTTGGAGACTACGGTGTGCCCTTCCTACCTAAAAAGTACGATGAGCCAACCCGGCCTTCTTCTTTTATAGTGACTTCCATTTATAGAAGGGAGGTCGTTCAGCTACCTGCCGTAACTGAGCCGCCTGCGATACCTGTCCCGTTCACAGGCCTAGCACATACACGCACAGAACGAGCTCGTGGATTTCTACGCCCTGTCGCTCCGTATCAAGACCGCAATCATGTGCCGAATGAAAGAATCCTCATTTCAATGGCCGTGCACCCGCACTAGGAATATGAACTGTATCGCGGGCAACTTTACAAACATTCGTGAAAGGACAAAAAACCCCTAGACTTAAAACAACAATTTATGAATCTTCAAAATGTTGACCCACATGGAAATCAAACCTTAGTGTAATAGGAAGGGCAGTGTAAATAAAGTACCTATGTAGTTAAAACCTACAAACTAGAAACAGCAATTTTAAAACATTTGTCTCAACTTACAACAACGGTTCGAGCTGTTGACTACGGCTTCTATATTCGGCTGTATTCTTCTGTTCCTTGAGAACAATACTTATTTTTGTTTCATTTGTTTAAACTTATTCATGTATAGTTCCTCCCTTTAAATCCACGAGCTACATCATCCACATAATATAGATAGGGATAAATAAATAAACCGCTGAATAATGTTACCATCTCCCGTATCTGGCTCAGACGACCATAGTAGGAAAGCAATTTATTTCCCAGCAACATTTTTGTTGTTAACTGTTGTGTCATAATCAGCTGGTTGAACCAGTGTGTTTACGTTTAATAATTTCACATAAAATTGTTCTTTATTTGTTTCTTTGAAGCTTAATATTAACATGGCGTCTCGTTTTAGTGGTGCTTTGCAGTTAACAGACTTGGATGATTTTATAACTCCCTCGCAGGTAAGAACATAAGTTTTTCTTGTAATCAAGACCGTCGCAAAAACTTTATAACCTATTATATTATTGTTTACTTTTATATTTGAATGATGTTACTTACACAATTTTCTCATTATTTAATTGTTATTAGAATATAATTCCATATCGTTACGGATAGTTGGAGCCATAAAAAGCCTAACAACAGTTTTTTATAGAACTTGCATATCCCTTTGGTACTTGGGTTGTGGAGGTCTGATGGTAGTAGTTCCGTTTAAAAAATCGAAGCTCAGCCGTATCGTAGTAACCTAAAACCGACCCCAAACTAGTTTGGGAAAAAAGTTCGGAGGAAGAAAGATAAGAATATCATTCCATAATGATTTGACTATTTTCCAAGTACTCAAGGTCATCCTAATGTTGTTTATAATCAACAGGAGTGTATAAAGCCAGTTAAAATAGAGCGAACAAAGACCAAAACAGGTGCAAAGATTAAAATTGGCGAAGATGGATATTTCGATGTGTCTAATGGCAAAGAACAAAAGTTACAGAAGGTAGAAATAACACTTGCAGACTGTCTCGCTTGCAGTGGTTGTATCACATCTGCTGAGAGTGTTCTTGTCACGAAGCAGAGTCAAGAGGAGTTGTTGCGGTATGTTCTTTCTTCTTTATTTACTTAAATATATGATAATCTAAAAAATCTGTCAATAACATGTTGATCTGTATATTCTTTTGAATATAAACAACTTATGTATTTAACAATATTATAAACAAAGTTGTCAACAGTATTCTTATTTTATAATTTCTTGTTATGGCCTTAGCAAGTTCTTCCTATAGTTGTCCTAAATACAGAACAGGTGATAATTGTTAATAAAATATTGAAATTGACATCATGTTAATATTGCAATTTAAAACTTGTTTCTTTTTAAATTTAAAAGTTTTTTTCGATTCGAAAATTTCCGTCATGAATATATATCTACGTTGTATGTATATACCCAAAATATGTTAATATTATATATAGTTATATTATCAATATATTTCAACCCGAACTCAACTCTCGTGTAAACGGAGCCAATATATGTAAATACTTATATGCATAGGTGTCTGTAACCCATCTCCAAAAATGTTTTGTTCATTCTTTTGTTTGCTGTTCAAAAATGCCCAACACACCTATAGAAGTTTTCACTTCAAGAACATTAATAAAAAAAAACTTATTTTTGTTTATTATTATTCGTAAACCTATTTACTATTATGTATATGAACAGTTTCTATGTAATTTTAATAATGTGCAAGCTAACTAAATGAATGTAACTGCAGAGATGAATAATTAAAGTAAACAAAATTGAATAAATGTAACCTATTTATTTAGCTTTACAATCAAACTTATGACAATAATAAATAAATAATACACATATATGTATTTAATAATATGCAAATGGTAGTCTTGAAATCACTGACTTCTTCATTTTGCTACAATTTAATTTACTTAGTCAACATTTATAAAACTTTCCACAGAGTATTCTCAGAGAGGAAGTACACAGACAACAATGGTGTGACCAATGATGTGCGTCTCATAGTGATATCTCTGTCACCACAGCCTACACTATCCCTGGCGGCTAGGTACAAACTCACACCAAAAGAAGCCACTGACAAATTAGCAGGTGATTTTGAAATTTATAACTATTTAAATACAGAACTAATTAGATTTAGTTAGATAAGGTTCTGAGATTGAGTTTCAAATTTAAATAGACAGTAATATGTGAGGAAAACTTTTTTTAAAAAAAAAAGACAACGCCAGCATTAGGAATATATCCTGTGTCGCAGGGAAATTGACAAACATACATGAAACGGACACAAAGAACACCCAGATTCAAAACAACAATTTGTGGATCACACAAAGTGTTGTCCCATGTGGGGTTTGAACCAACAACACTCGGCGTAGTAGGAAGCGGCGTGGCGACCGCTTAAACAACTACGCCATACTAAAATAAATGTGTGGATATATCTTAGTATAACTTAGAAATTGACTAGCCTGTTGGTCTAGTGGTTAGTGACCGTGACTGCTACGCCAGAGGTCGTGGGTTCGATTCCCACCCAGGACAAATAATTGTGTGATGAGCACGGTCATTTGTTCTGTGTCTGGGTGTAGTTTATCTATAATATGTATGTATTTAGAAATATAAAAGTATGTCTATCAGCAGTCTGGTTACCATAGTACAGGCTCTGCCTAGTTTGGGATCAGACTGCCCTGTGTGAATTGTGAAAAAAAATACACTTCACTTTTTAACTTTACTTATTTTGTATTGACACTCTGAAATGACAATTAAGCTTTAAAAATATATATTTAGGTTACTTCAAGAGTTTGGGAGCAGACCTTGTTCTGGATATGACAATAGCTGAGGACTTCTCCCTGTTAGAGGCACAACAGGAGTTTCTACAAAGGTTCCAGAATCAACTTCATGATCCAAAATCCAAAAACTTACCAATGTTAGCTAGTTCCTGCCCAGGTAACAATTGCTTAAATACTCACAAAATAACAGTTAAGTTTTTAATCTCGCAAAGAATAGATATTACAAAAATAGTTAGGACTTAGGCACAATAGAGAATGCAAAAACCTAATGGTTTTGGAAAACAGATTATTTTGGGTTTTCTTTTCCAGAACCATGTTCACCATTCACACATCATCACATCAATAGCCTTTAATAGTCCACTGCTAGACAAAAGCATCTCCTTAGAAAGGAGGTTTTGGCCTACTATACCACGCAGGCCAGGGTTAGTATAGGGTTTGTGTAAAGTTTTCCTTCTCTTTGCAGTGCTGTTGTCTTGCGTAGTTTTCTCCCTTAGTCGGCTCTTACGACACCCACGGGATGAATAGGGGTAGTGACACTCTGTATTCTTAATCCGTCACCTCACCACACACACCACCATGTTCACCATTGTATAGAAAATTAGTTTTCGAAATACCCGAAAAAAATTTTTTTTTCAGGTATTTCGAAAAATGTTTAGAAAAAAGAGTACAAATCAAAGAACAATTTTTGCACTGTCAACACATTCTGTTATATTACAATAATATAAGGAGGTTTTGCTACACGCAGGTTGGGTCTGCTACGCGGAAAAAACACATGGCAACTTCATCCTCCCCTACATATCAAGCACGAAGTCTCCACAACAGATCATGGGCTCCCTCGTGAAGCAGTACCTGTCCAAGTGTAGGGAGCAGAACCCCAGCGAGATATACCACGTGACCTTCATGCCGTGCTATGATAAGAAGCTCGAGGCGTCCCGCGAGGACTTTTACAGCGAGATAATGCAGTGTCACGATGTCGACTGTGTTATCACTTCAAGTAAGTGTGTCGTTGTTGTTTAATAATACACTGCACGGGTGGCGTAGTGGTTTAAGCGGTCGCCATGCCGCTTACTACTACGCTGAATGTTGTGGGTCCGATCACCACAAATTATTTTTCTGAGTCTGGGTATTCTTTGTGTCCGTTTCATGTATGTTTGTAAAGTCCCCCGCGACACAGCTTTTATTCCTAGTGCGGGAGTTGTCTTTTTTAAAAAAAATACAAGGTTTAACAATGTTTAATCCAGTAGTCTGTTTATACGTGTGTGGGTTGAATTATTTTTGAGTGTACCAGCCAATGCAAGTAGGTGACGAACTTTGGTTTGAGGTGATTGGAACTTAACCTCCCCCCTTCATAATTAAGGAGGAATTGCCGCAGCGGTGGTAGTCACTTTCCATTAGGTGACTTGCCTGTCTGCTCGTTTGTCCCTTGTAATTGTGTGGAAATAATAACGTTTAAGTTTTTCTCCAGTCGAGCTAGAGCAAATGCTCGAGAATGACAATAAGTCGCTGAGAGATGTACCTGGAATGGAACTGGACTGGCCTTGGGAAGCCCTGGGTGAGGGGAGCCCGCTCGTGCGCAGGCACGTCGGCAGCGGCTCCGGGGGATACGCCGACCAAGTGTTCTTGTACGCAGCGGAACAATTGTTTGGCGAAGGAAATGCGCAGCTGACGTACAAGAATTTAAGGTAACGTTGTGACAATCTTTGTAACATACGATAAATTTCTGCTCGTTGGAGTCGCAGTGCTGTGTAAAAACCTGCATCGTTTAGTAAACCTGGTTTATCCTGTACACATGGACCGGTCCGTGGGTTTTCTGTGTGCGCAAAAACTTTAAAAATGTAAACAATTTCTAAGAAGAATTTTAAGTCTGAAACTTATAAAGAAAGTGATCATAAATACGAGCGAACCCACAGTATTTGCATATGATATATCCATTTGACGTATACCTACCATCTGACTGTTAACGGTCGACCGCAGCACGCGTTACTTGGTCCAATAATATTCCGTTATATAACATCCAACCAATGAGAGGAATAGGATAGAATAACAGTTTATTCATTTCAGTATTGCAGCAATTTGTAGAAATATACAGAAAAAATATAATACCGAAAGCAAAAGGTCTAACAGAGCTTATGCTTGCTACATTGATGAAATATTTAAAGAATTCATTCGTGATCGTACATTAAAAGAGCACGCTATTACGCGCGCACTTTCACAGCTTCCTGTTACATGCTTCCGTTCCTTGTTACGAAATAACTCGCACAGACAGCAGGAAAAGTGATAATAAATTCTAGAATGAAAATTTAAATTTTTGCGATGTTAATAGACCGATGTTAATAGAGTTAATAGATGATAAATGACAAATGTGACCTTAGACTATGACTAGTTAAATAAATATCACACACAAAACACATTAAAAAAAAAATTGGATCGTGCGAGTCTTTGCGTTTAAAAATGTTGGGTAATCGTTTAAAACCTTTTCTTACGCACTTTACCGTAGCATGTAACATTTATCTAATGACGTGGGCATTTTATCAATGTAGAACTCGAAGAAGTTGGAATGCTATAGAAACGAGACTAAGATATGTATGATGTATAGTAAAATTCAAAAGTATGAAGCTTGTTACTCTAACGCATACATTTGACATTCGAAGGCAATAGTGTTCAAATAGAGGCATTAATAGGCAACGAAAATGACCGATGTAGGTATAGGCTGTCCCTTTCTTACTCATAATGTGAACTCTCCTGAAAACCTCTGTGAAACTTCATAGACTTCTAAAGAAAGCTTGTTAATGTCAGTTCACAGCGATACCAGACCTTTTAGAAAATTGTTGTTTCATTGTAACGATGGTCACTTTCATTGTAACGACGTTTCAAATGTAATAACAAAACGATTCTTATTTTAACTTTTCTAAACTATTTAATTTTACTAAACTTTCCGTACTTGTATCGTAAGTAATCATAACGTACTATTATGTTTAGGCGTGGTCAAATCATTCAATAAAAACGTCTTCGAGTCTATCGTATGTAGTGCAAACATTGACCGAAAAACAACTATTGTATTCAAATCGTTACTGTGAAACAAAATAATTTAAATTAACTATGTGTCCAATGACATTCCTGTATTACATTAAATATATCAGTATTTATAAAATACTTTGAATAACATTAACTGGTATATTGAAAAACAAACACTGGTTTTGTTATAAATATCGTATTAAAACACGTTGGTAGAACGCAACAGACTACCTGAAATCACATGGTCTGGGTCCTCCCCAGATTAGGGTGGGGTGATTTTTAGTGGAAACACTACATAATCCTTGTTCGTGCTTCCCCTCGAAGCCGTAAATCCGAAAAGATTTCCCATCCCGTCACCAAAAAAAAAGATCGCAACTGAGTGATTGTCATTTTTATTTTCCAAAGATGGCGTTAAATTACATTGGTATATAAATATTCATACCGTCCGCATAGTCAAATCCGTCCGTCCCTTTTTAAGAAGACTTTATTAAGGTGATTAGTAAATATGGAGACATTTACTAGCCACTAAGGACCCCTCGAGCAGACTCCCTAGGGCAGAGCCACCAGGGACCACTAGGGTCTCTGCCTTAGGGGTCCCTTAGTTCTTAGCATCTTCGAGCTACTACAGTTTCAGTTCCTTCGTGGACTTTCGCAACCCTTACTGTATTTCCCTCGCCCTCTGCTTGTTTTAACTCGTTTGATAAAGCTGGTAACTAAACTCACGTTCTAGTAGAAGTGGATTCATTATTCTTTGGTCAGAACTGGCTTCGAAGCCGCAATTATTCTATCGCAAGTCCGATCTGTAGCCATTAGCGATCTTTAGCATGCATTACTACTTCGTAATATAGGGACCACTCTCATATTGGACCGTGGATATAACTGTGATCACCAGCGAGAAACTACTCACACCGATAGTCGTTTTAAGGTTAGCGTAACGCAGCAAAACGTAATGCCTATAAAAAACGTAAAATATCGTATCAATGTATTCTTCGTTATTCTTGGAAATTGAAAAGTAGAAGTAGAATAATGCCTAAAAGATTTCCACCAGGATTTAGTAATAGGCAATAGCCTAAAACTAAATACTGAATAAACCTTTGCAACTATTGTGTGTAGAAATCCAGACTTCCGCGAGGTGGTTCTGCAGAAAGATGGGCAGGATGTATTGCGATTCGCGATCGTCAACGGCTTCAGGAATATACAGAATTTGGTACAAAAGCTGAAGCGAGGCAAGTCGCCGTATCACTACGTGGAAGTAATGGCATGTCCCTCAGGTTTGTTTCAGTTGTAATCTTCATTTATATCGCATAGTTTAATTTAAAATTGATTTAAGTATTCTAATAGGAGAAGTATTTTCACTTTACAAAAACCAGAATTAGATAAGTCTACGATAGTTTTCTCTCGCGAGTATGGTACCCTGAGTTGTGTATGTAACGTTCAGGTTGGCAAAACGAGCCATGTGTTTGTTTGACTATTACTACTGCTAGATTTTTTCCTAATAAGGAGAGTATGCTTGTTGAGTCGAGTCGATTGTTTTTTTTTCTTAAATCTACGTATTGGCAAAGCAACTATAGTCCATCAACGTCGTGCGTGACCGTCCTGCGGGGTGACAGACGGTGGCGGGGACGAGGTACTCAAGATGTCAGCGGGTAGCGGGTGGTGTAGCGGGGAAGGGAAACGCTTCTCTTCGTGTGTAGCCGTGTGCTAGAATGACGCGCTACCTCGCCCCCGCCACTGTCTGTCACCCCGCGGGACGGTCGCGCACGAGATTGCCGGGTTATAGGTGATCGATTAACGCTGATTCCCACTACTGACATTTCCTATATTTGAAGTAAACGCTTCTGATTTTAGGATGTCTAAATGGTGGTGCACAAATCCGACCGGTGGCAGGAGAGAGCGGGCGCGAGTTGGCCGCGCAGCTGGAGCTGATGTACTCGGAGCTGCCGCTGGCGACGCCCGGCGACAACAAGCTGGTCCGCAAGCTGTACGGCGAATGGCTCGACGGGAGGGACTCCGACAAGGCGGCCGCCATGCTCCACACCAGCTACCACTCCGTCGAGAAATCTGACATAGCGCTTAATATTAAATGGTGATTTGTGGACTCTACAAATAGCAGCGATTCTAGGTATATATATGCTATGTTTGTAAATTTTCACTAGGAAATAGACATTCTCATTTGTTAGCTGATTTGTAAGCATTAAAGTGATCAAGACCAATCTATGATTCCAACTAAGAGAGGACTCTGTCTCTTTTGGTATTTTTTAACTTCTCAGTTATTTATTAAGTCTTAATTCTCTATGCTACTTGTATGTAGCGCATACTATTTAAAGTTCCTTAAACCTCCTGTTATTTTTATTTTTAGAATTATTAAATGCTGCTTTATTTGACCTCTATGTACACAGTCTAACAATGTTAATATTTAGTCACTACTATTTATATTAAGTAAGTCTGAATGCTTTCTAGTTTATATTTATTTATAAAAAAGGGCGTTCACGACTCGAACAAAACCAATATAATAAGTGGTCGCTATAGTCAAGGGAATCTGAGGCTTAAGGCAATAGCTATAAATCGCATTTTACCTTGACTCTCCTTTTCAATTAATTAGCTGCTTTACTACAATTCGTATACTGTTGGTTGAACGATCGCACTTTTCTAACAAATGTTCGAAGAGTGTTGTGAGAGTTCTATAACTTGTAATGTTTCTACATTTAACTATATATTAAATATATAAATGCATATAATGGATACATTATAAACATAAATTGTTATTTATTCCTAAATATATTTACTATATAATCTCAATATATTTTCCTTTCAAAATTGTGAGTTAGTATTGGCTACTTACTTGATTTTTAATTATATTTTTTTTCTATTTTACCTGTAGGTAAGCTAACAGTTTTAGTTTCGTATATAAGTTATAACAAATTTGTTACTGTTTTCGTATTTATGTATTACCTAGTAAACCATTTTTATCCGTAATTGGAGGCAAATACAAGCCGGTTAATACAGATATACCGGGTAAGGCATTCAAGTAATCGGAGGTATGTTCGAAGGTAAACCTTTTAAATGACTTTTTTAAATATTATAGTAACAAAATATGCACAATACTTCTTATAAGGAGTTCTTATTGCTTTTTAAGCTGTTATCGAAATGTTTTAGTTGCAGTTATTTATCTTTCAAATAAATTGTTGTAAAAATATTTAAGTGATTGGTTTACAAAACCAATTAAGGGAAAGGGGTGAGAAGCGTCTTTAAGATCGAGCAGAAAGCGGGCGGGACGAAATGGATATTGTATGAGCGGCTTGTGTGTACTAGCCCTAACAGCGACGGCGCAGTGTCAGATATTAACTAGTACATTTCATTTTGCTCACACCGCGTCGTCGTCCCACCCTATTCGCTGTCTGCCCCAACCATTACAATTATTTTTTTACGGTTCTTGATATAAGTTATGTTGTGTTAGATATATAAGGAAAAGAAGGACTTTGAAGACATTCGGATAAAATAAAATATAATTATCTTTATTATTAGCTATTATTAAAACTTTAAAATGTTTTGAGTTCTGGATAACAGGTTCTGAATGTTCTCAGATTTATGTAATCGAATAAATCTTTATATATTACTAATCAACAGGCATTACTTAATTAAGTAAATTACATGCCTTTGAATTGCCTGAAGTTTCGACCTGAAGGCCGATTCTCCTAACAAAAGTTCGGTCTCAATTCAGTTCAAATCAACTTTTGATCTCACAACTGTCATAAAAGGTATTTTCTTAGTAAAGTATTAAACATCCAACGTTGACTGTAATGTGATTATATCGTATTGTAACTGAAAATTAAATCGGTAATCTGCTAGTCTTAGTAATACTTTACTATTTTACTACGAAAATACATTTTATAACATGTGTGAGATCGAAAGTTGATTGGAACTGAATTGTGACCAAACTTTTATTAGGAGAATTGGCCTTCTGGTTGCACTGACTGGGTCACTGTATTCCTACTGGTCACCTCAATCGCATTGATACCCCAATTCTCTATTACTAAGGGAAACAGTTGGCAGTCTCTGTCTACCCCCTTTGGGGTTTTATACGTGAGGGTATGTATGTATAATTCCCGTTCATTAGTTACATATTACATATTATAATTACAGTAATTACATATTATATAAATGTACTAATAATTATAAATGTTGCTATATAATTATTGTAAGAAAAATATAAGAACAATACAGTTGATTTGAAAAGCGTCGTGTTTATGTAGTCACCGCTCATTTACATTTAAAACTTGCCATTATAAATATTTAATTATTCCTTTTTAATATAAATGGATGACCTCGGCGTGTCGCAATGAAAGGCTGTCACTTGTGCACAGTCATTTTTAGACTACATTTTACTTTTATTATTTTGTGGTTATATTCTGCATTTTAAATGTTTGAATTGTAAATTGTCTCAATCCGAGTTTCCTTTGCCTTTAAACTATAAATATATAAAGAAATAAAAAATGTGCTCATTTTTTTATGGTATAGGAGTTAAACAAGCAGGCGGATCAGCTGATGGTAAGTGACTACCGCCACTCATGGACACCTGCAACTGAAGAGACACAAGTGCGTTGTTGCCCTTTGAGTACTTCCCTCCCCCCTCAGAAATAAGGGTAGGTTAGGCCACCGGTAATCTCATACACTTGAGCTGTGTCTTAGGTATGCCGAAGCTTGGTTTTCCGCCTGCCACAATGCTGCAAAGTTTCCAAGGGCTTTGATCAAATCAATATATAGAAGGGGGTAGCCAGTAGGCGTCGCATAAAATCACGATCACCTGTGATTTATAAATCATAACATCACAGCTGTGACTATTATTACGCTCTAATCTAGACTATTAAACTCTAATCAAAAAAAGGTCTTTGATAAAAAGAATTTTGCTTGATTTTGATGGCATTTATCTTTGTCTATGACCAAATCAGAATCGCTGGTGAAATCACAGTGACTAAAATGTTTTTTCTTTCATATTCTTATGATTTAAAAGTAGCAATAATTTTCATGGCTAGTAGCCAGATCGCATATATAATATAGCCACCATGCGAATCCAGACTCTCAATAATGTATTAGGTACTAAAATGAAAATCAGCAAAGATGAGATGAAATATGTATTTTAAAGAGAATTCATATCCAGATGAGAAATTTAATAATTGCGTAAGCACATACAAACTAAGATTTTGAATTCAAACTGCCTGTTAAGCGACTTATTTATAGCATGAAATGATGATCATCAATCTTTGATAACTTGAAAGAAATATTAACCACAGTTGTAACCAATAAATGCTTCATATTTGCAAAGTTATAACAACCGCTTCTAATTGCTCCACATACTAAAAATTGGTAGGTATTATGAAAGATCGATGAGTTACGTCACATATCGACAATGGTCTGATATCGGCTTGCCCTGCTCACTTGACTTACGTGAATAGCGATTGTATTCGCGGCGTCGTACGGCGCGGCCGCGGACGACGGAGTCATCAATGTGCGTGTTGAAAAAATAATGCTAGGTGTTTACAAAACAAGTGCTAGTCTCTTCCGCATCTGAGCTCAATAGGCCGTTGGGCGTCGTCGCGAGTGTGAGATGGGGGACTTCAGTGTAACCTCCAGGGTGTATTGCGTTCTATTTTGTACGATCATTAAGGCTGTGATCAGCACAGGACTCGGCAAGTGTCCTGTGTACCCGTCCTTCCCAAATTTTGATATACAACGGGTGAGTATTTTTAATTTAGGTATTAAGTTTCCAACGTAACAAGTTCTAATACTTGAAATTTATTGCTGGTTTATCAGGGAATAGTCCCAGTCAGAATAGAACAGGGCTCATCGTCGGGATTTCCGTGGATCCTGGATTCCACTTCCCAGTATTTATTTATTTAAAAAAAATGTAAATATAAGTTATATATGTTCCTAATAGGCTCAAGTAACCACACAATAAAGTAACGGTTTTCCAGTTCACCTATTAAATTTAAAAATTAAAAACAATTACTTTTCTAATTTATAACAAAATAAAAAGTTTTAATAAAAAATAAATAATTGAAGCAAGCAATATAAAAATATGTTATTGTACTCATAAAAATACTTTGAAATATAAATAAAATAACCTTTCAAATACCTAATACCCGTATTAAGGTTGTCTGTAAGAGATCGCCGTGAGCGATAAGACCGCCGATTGTTACGTCTTCATATTTTTAAAGTTAAAAAATATTAAAATGCAATTAAAATATTTAGCGTAGCGTTCCCAGAAAACTGGCAGTATTGCCACATTGAATGGCAATGCTAATTCTCTGTGCTAGAAAAATACCGGCCTTTGATCGCGAGAAGTGTCGATCAATTGCTTAGCTAGTTGTTTATACAAAGCACGAGCACTCGGACCCCATGACCCTAGCGTCTCGAACCCAAACGGTTTCAAAAATGTAATTTCCTACTAAGTTTTGACATTTACGCCGTTTGAGGGTTTCTGTGAATGCAGCAACAGCGCCGGCATAGCCAGCTGTGCTTGGAAGATGTGATGACTTGCTTATTATATGCTAAGTGAATAAAAAAATCCGTAAAAATGAAGAAAAAACGATTTGCAAAAACGAATCAATATTTAGTTTATAAATAAGTGTGTAATACTGTCAATTTTCCTTCATTTTTATTTATTTTATTAAACTGAATTCATTTGACCGTGTAATTTCAATGAACTCCTTTTTATGCCATTACGGCCGCGAATAAGTTTGTGTTCTATTTGAAGTCCCTGATCAATAATATCAGTAAAAGAAACTAAATAATGACGTGATGGTATTACCCGTGGTAAATCGGGACCTGTTCTTTCTATTATTCAATTTTTTGCTCTACCCAATCCCTTTCTCAAAATAGTAAAGTAGGAGTAAGTTACTTATAAAATCAACTGAAATAAGCCAGAACAAGCAGACAGAGAGCAATGACAAAAAAATTGATTTTAGTATAAGTACCTACCGTGCAAACCTCCACACAGATTGACTAAACAGTTGATATTGTGACGTTACAAAGTGTTAATTTTTATTGGTATTAAACGTGTCTACGACTTTCCTTTACCTAAATACAAGAAGGAGCACGCAACGGGTGGTAATGCATTTCTATCTCTTGAGTTGCAGATGTGCATGGACGACGGTAGACACTTTCCACCATGTAATCCATTTGCCTAAGTGACATAAAATATAAAATACAAATAATAATATTTTCGGACTTCTAGTTTATTTCGGACACACAACGCCATCTAGTTTCAAACTAAGCAGAGGTTGTACTATTTTTTTGAAAATCTATAAATCTCTCTTCATAAATGAAATAAATAAAATTGTAGTGTCTTTTAGTCACAGTACTTACACCACAGAATAAATTTCATTTTTTTGGTCTGTCTGATTCAAGTGTTGCAGTTATTAACCGGGACGAGTAAACCGGGTTTTATCGGGAAACTGTTAGCTAAAGTTTTAAAAAGTTACTTAGCTTTTCTAGAGTAACTTGAGCTTATCATCATCAACAGCCTCTAACAGACCACTGCTGAACATAGGCCACTCATTAGAAAGGTGGTTTTAGCCTGCTATACCACGCTGGTCCAACGGGTTGGTATAGGGTTTGTTTCAAGTTTTCCTTCTCTTTTCATTGCTGTTGTCCTATGTAGTTTGCTCCCTGAGTCGGCTCTTACAACTATAGATGTAAGGCCTACCTCGGTAAAATCAAGAAAATGTAGCTATAATTAAGAAAAACATAGTCATTAACACCAACACAAATGAAAAAAATGTTTATTTCGGTTTTAAACGTTTTTTTCGTTTTAAACGCATTATTTTAAAACGTTTTAAATCGGTTGTTTTACATCTATACTTAGAACAACCACGAGATGAATAGGGGTGGTGACACTACGTATTCCTAATCCGTTACCACTAGGATTACATACATAGCATACCGAACTGCATTTTTATCGACATGTAGGAAGCTCCATTTTTTTTCTCGCCAATGTTCGCGATGTCTATATTTGGCACCAGAAAGTGATTATTTTTAAGTCGAATTTACACTTCCTTCTCCTTTAAAAACACACTTCTTCGACTTAAAAACCGTTTAATGGTAGTGAGGTTTTGCCCCATATTGTCATAACAGACCATTGCCCAGACCAGGCGCACTTGCCCATTGCCTGAAACAGATCCGTGGGTGAGAAAGTAAGCATAATTATGTGATTATTTCAAATATTATATTCAAGTTTAGTACTATTTACGTTACGTTACTACGTTGATCATCTCTTTGCAATTGTTTTTAGATATCCTCCATTAATTTTTTACAAATGTTTGCCCGTAAGAATGTAATGTAATTCCATTTATAAAATTGCTTAAAGGAGGAACAGAGTATTTCTTGTATATTTTAGGGATTGTCTTTGTCCCATATAAATGATAAATTGTAACTAAGACATGTTTTGCAGGCATTGAAGTCGGTAAATTATTTTTATTAACCACTGTTTTTAAATAATACTGGCGAAGATTAAGTGTTAATAGTCAAAAGTGGGATTTTTCAAAGATGTCAAATGTTTTTATGTCCATTTTGGTCGCGTCAAAAGTAAGTTGTATGTTTAAAAAACATGACACTAAGTAACTCTCTTGAGTTTAATCAATACTGGTATATATTTATAAACAGAATAGTATTTTTGTAGTAAGTTGCAAAGTTTGTAAACAATTAATATACGCGCGTCTGAACTCACTTCAATTCTATGCAGTTAAATACGTCAAGGCATGAGTAATAACACTGCACGTTCGCGTTGGCGCGAAATCATTGTTGATACCTATTTCCAATTTGAAATATTTTCATACCCCTTTTTTTTGTCAAATATGTCACCCAGAAGCATGTTATCATAGATAATGTTAATACACAGGGTCAAAATGGGACACTAGCTTTAAACACATCACTAGACAAGTACTGTCCCTGGCATTCAATTTTAAAAAGTTTTTTTTTAAATATTCCTCTCATAGTTATGACCGTTTCAATTTACAGAAATTATTATCTTGCTTCTCCTAAATATAGGTAAAATGTGTAATTTTAAAACTAATTTTGGGCCAGATTATTCAATCCATTAATGAGACAATCACAACAACCTAAAAACCAATTTCAACAACATTGCATAATTTTTGAAGTTAGTTTTCATAGATTTCATGGATATCAAAACACCACCCACCGAAGGCCCAATTTTCGCTGTCACTCCAGACGAAGTCAGAGCGTCCATCAAAGCCATGGCAAATAACAAGGCCACTGGGCCCGATGACATACCTGCCGAGCTCTGGAAAAAATTGGGAACTCACGGAGAATCCTTTCTCACCCACCTCTTCAACCGGATTCTCAAAGATGGGATACCAGATGAATGGCGCGACAGCTTTTTAGTGCCATTTTATAAAAATAAGGGTGATATAAGACTATGCGAAAACTATAGAGCCATCAAATTAATATCCCACACCCTTAAAATCTGGGAAAGAGTAATTAGCAAACGGCTTCATTTAATCACCAGTGTGACTGAGAATCAGTGTGGCTTTGTCACTGGTAAGTCTACCATCGACGCCATCCACTCAATACGAGTTCTGATGGAGAAGAGAAGGGAGAGTCAGCAAGATCTACATATGGTCTTCATAGATCTAGAAAAGGCCTTCGACCGCGTCCCCAGAGATCTCATCTGGCAGTCTCTGCGAGCTCAAAACGTGCCAGAATGGCTCGTCCAACTGGTGACGGACATGTACAGGGAGGTGAAAACTAAGGTGCGCAGCCCCGCTGGTCTTAGTGACCAATTCGACGTGGAAGTCGGCGTGCATCAAGGGTCAGCTCTTAGCCCACTACTTTTCAACTTAGTGATGAACCATATCACAGCTGACCTGCAGAAAAAGCCCCTTGGAACATCTTGTACGCGCGATGACATAGCCCTCATTAGTGAAGATGTGGAGGAGTTACAGATCACGCTAGAACAATGGCGCAGTGCTTTGGAAAATGCTGGCCTGAGAGTCAGCAGACAGAAGACTGAGTATATGCACTGTAACTTCTCCAACTCAACACATGGCACCATACACCTCCAGAACACCCCACTCAATAGGGTAGAATTCTTCAAATACCTTGGCTCTATCCTGTCGAGCAACGGCACCATAGAGCTCGACGTCTCCAACCGCGTCAACACTGGCTGGATGAAGTGGAGGGAGCTGACGGGTGTGCTGTGTGACTCTAGAATGCCTGTACCAGTCAAAGGTAAAATCTACAAAACTGCCGTAAGACCAGCCCTAATGTACGGCTCGGAATGCTGGCCGCTCAAGAAGCAGCAAGAACACCAGATGCATGTCGCCGAGATGAAAATGCTCAGATGGTCTGGTGGCGTCACACGCTTGGACAAAGTGAGGAATGAGCACATCCGCGGCACTTTTAGAGTCAGGCCAATCCCAGAAAAGCTGCTGGAGAGTAGACTGAGGTGGTACGGGCATGTCATGAGGCGGCCAGAAGATCACATGACCAAGAGAGTTCTTGAAATTAAAACCGGACCAAAGAGGACGAGGGAAGACCCCGTTTAACATGGCAATCAGTCATAAAAAAAGATCTGCAAACGGCCCAAATAGATCCGCAGACGACCAGGACAGAACGTCCTGGCGAAGATTGATTAGGAGAGCCGACCCCAATTAAAATGGGATAGGGCGAGGATAAAGAAGAAGAGTTTTCATGGATATTCTAAGCAACAGATTGAATTATTCCAAAATAAAATGCATGCATATATTTGATTTAAAAATTTAACTTATCACGTTCCATCTGCTTTTATGAGAATCAGAACTGATAATACCCCAAAAAATTAAAACGATCATAACTTTTAAAGGAATACTTTTTTAACTACCTTTTTTTTGTTCATGTATGCTAGAGTCATGTCCTTTAAGCGATTTTAATAAGTCTTCCATTTCTTTGTAGGTACACTCGAGAAAGAAGAAGTGTAATTTTTAAACAATTTGTGCTATGCACTTCCAAATTACGTAAAAACGGCAATATATACCAACTTAAAATAGCCGAGTTTATATTTTGGCCTGTCATGGTACAAAAGTTTATGCCGTGACTACACTGGTCAATGAAATAAAGCAAGATATTAAACATTCGACCGCAAGGTGAACTCTAGGTATATAATTAAATTAATTGTGCATATTTTAACTTTCTAATATGGTTCATAAAGACTTTATTCCTTACGATGAACTTGAAGAAAGAAACGTTTATTTGGTTACCTTGCGTTGCGTTTAAAAAAAACGAAAACAGTAGGTAGTTCAACTATTAAAAGTGGTCCACTTCAGAAGTAGTTACGTTACATTTTGACGGCAACCAATGATGATAAACAGTTATTCCGTGGCTTACACTGAGTCCAATCTATTTGGTAAATGTAATTCCTACCAATTCATTAAAATAATTGAATACTATTTAACTTGATACTCGAAGGAAGCTACTAGAAATTTTAACATCACATTTGATTCCTAATTTATACGTTGCATGTTCCGTTTCCGATCACTAATATTAATTTATGCAACGTGGGTGCGACCAGACTCAAGGGCCATTATACAAATCACAAATAAATACGTACTAGGACTATGTAAGACAAGAATCTTCAAGCATCTCTTATACTAAGTAACTACTCTATGCTCTCGTCTTATCTTAGATACGGACATCACATCACATCACACGAACAGCCTTTAATAGTCCACTGCTGGACATAGGCCTCTCCTTAGAAAGAAGGTTTTGGCCTACTATACCACGCTGGCCAGGCGGGTTGGTATAGGGTTTGTGTAAAGTTTTCCGTCTTTTTGCAGGGCTGGTGTCCTGCGTTGTTTTGCGCCCTTAGTCGGTTCTTACGACACTCACGGGATGAATTGGGGTAGTGACATTCCGTATTCTTAATCCGTCACTACACGGACATCAACCGAGTGTAAAATGTACCTACACTAAATGTTGCAAAATGATATAAGAAAATATTAGGAAAAACAGATTTCTTTGCACTTATGTACGAGTATTTATATTTCGAACCGGTATAAGTATTTAAAAAAATGAAACGGTATGTTGACGATCCTTTGGCCTAGTAGTTAGTGGTCCTAACTGCTAAGCCAGACATCAGTGTCAATTCCCACCCAGGACAAATATTGGTGTGATGAGCACGATTGTTTGTTTTGTGTCTGGGTGTAATTAATACAATAATAAACTTAGAAATCTGACACACGGCCGTCTGATCCCAAACTAGGCAGAGCCTATACTATGTCAACCAAACTGCTGATAAGATAATTTACACCCAGACACAGAACAAATGATAGTACTCATCACACAATAATTTATCCTGGGTGAGAACCAGCGACCTATGACTTAGCAGTCAGGATCACTAACCACTAGACCACCAGGCCAGTCAAAAAATTTATCAATATAAAAGTATGTTTTAAGAAATATATACCTAAGTATGTTTATCAGCAGTCTGGTTACTATAGCACGGGCTCTACGTAGTTTGGGATCAGACGGCCATGTGCGAGATGTCCCGGAGCTGACCCGCGCAACTTCGTCTGCGTCTCTCAATAGTAATAAATTTTCTCCGTTTTTGAAACATTCTTCATTCGTGCTCCGCTCCTATTGGTCTTAGCGTGATGATATATAGCCTATAGCCTTCCTCGATAAATGGGCTATCTAACACTGAAAGAATTTTTCAAATCGGACCAGTAGTTCCTGAGATTAGCGCGTTCAAACAAACAAACAAACAAACAAACTATTCAGCTTTATAATATTAGTATAGATATGTATTGTTATTGGCGATGAGCTCCGGTTTCTGCATTTAGACTCAAGTACGGTCCTTTATGAGTTGATGTAAGGTCGGCTAGGTCAGCTAACCCAGTTGCTCGGAGAAGCGTAGAAGCAGGAGCACTAACAGGTTTCTAGGAGCGATTTTGCATCAGGTATGATACTAGCCCGATGTGTAACCTGTGGCCAGGGCCGCCGGGCACGGGTGTGCAGAGCGTGCACCACACACGGGCGGCAACAACAGAAATCGAAACTAAAATGAAACATTCTCATAATTTACATGTTTAATATTTTTATTATGGCACTAGGTGGTACCCGCGACTTCGTTCGCGTGGAATTAAAAAAGCGTTGCCTTAGGGGTGTAGCACGGTACGCGACTGCAGTCCATGAGGAGGCCTCATGGACTGCCTGGGTGAGTGGTGACTGGGTTTCGATTCCGGACCGGGCAAATTTTTTCTGATAGGAAAAATAGCCTACGTTAAGAGAGGCAATAGGAACGTCTATTGATCGCTGTACGAAAATAAATGCAAACGTTTTTAACCTTCGAATTACTTTATTAAACGTAAGTATGTATAATATGAATCATTCAAGACGCAGGCGCAGGATTCTCAAATATGCCATACTGGACGATAGTTTTACGTTAGTGAAATTATGCGGCGGTTTAATCCTGGCACGCTTTTATTGCCGCGGTATGACCCGATACTGATACCGGCTGACGCAAAGAATGCTTTAGAGATCACCTGTGTCTGATCGGCAAAGAGCCAATGCCAGTGCCACCCAATACGATGGCCAGAGCTTCATATGATTTCAGAATGCCCGGCGTGTGTGGCACAGAGGTATGACCTCGTGACTGATTGAGACAATGGTACCTACAGAGAGAGCGCGCGCAGAACTCCGCTAACTCTTGCGAGCAAATTATCCTTGCGAAGGAGAGGGCGAAGTGGGACCGGGAGGAGCTTAGAACCCTCTCCCGGTATCAGGGGTCATAATACTGTTAAAAATGGTAATATCGTGGGACGCGGTGGCATGATAATGTAGTAGAATGAAACAAAGTAATATGATTTCTAAACTCAATAAAATAAGGATAAAAAGAGCTTAATCAGAAATAAAGTCCATAACAACGCCACCGGTTGTCCAGTGGGTGTATCCGAAGGGCGATTTTCCGTACGGAAAAAAAGGCGGCTTCATCAAATTGCACGCGAGCTCTCAAACAGCTAACGGCGGGCCTGCCTGTGGCATTCCTCGCATTCCAGATTTTCGTAAGCGGCCGTTTCTTCACCTTTGAGACATCCTCTTCAGAGAGGACTGTCTGTCGCATTGATGGTGAATAGTTGTCAGTTCAGGGCTATGTCTCCCGTTATTGCTTTGGACTACCTGAAGCCGGGTGTGTCTTTCCACCTTTGGTTATATACTAAATTATGACATTATGACATAATATTTATGACCTAAGTTACCTACCTAAAATATTGCTGCAAATTGACCCACTGAGAAACTTACCTACTACATTTTTTGATTACAAAACATGTAAAAAATATATATTCAAAATCCTGTTTGTAAATAAATTAAATTTGCCTTCTATACATAATGCCCTTTAAACAGCCCACCTTGATGTTAAACATTCACATTTAACTCTTTACAGATGACAGGCACGTGGTTCGAAGTGGAGCGATCATTTTATCTTGTTGAACTGACTGCAAGCTGCACGGAGCTCACCGTAGGCATCAACGACAGAGGGTACTTGCTTCTCACAATCAACACTGTTAACAAATGGTAATCATCTTAACACTTTCGTTTGATGGGCAATGTAATACTTGACATGTTTCTTGCTGTGCGAGTGTGTAAGAGCTCCGGTAACCTTACTCACTCAGTGAAAAGCAACCAGGAAATTTCTTAATACCGGTTTTCTGTGAGGCCCTGATATCAGTCTTGTCGAGCAAGCCAATTTGTGGCGCAGCATGGCTCTTCCTCGGCAAAAGGCTACTTACACAAGCTTTACTGTGGGATATTCGGTACTCGGCTATAGCTCAACCGGAGTGATACCACGGCCAATCACAAAATTGATTCTGTGCTGACGTCTCGTACTCATGAACTAACTATCTAAATTGCCAAGGTTAATCTTCGCAGGTCAAGTATTTCTAAGAAATAGTCCCTCATTATAAAAAAAGTATGTGTTCGGCAGAAGTAAAACTTCAGAAAAAATATTTTATTAAATAAAAAGATAAAAATATTTACACTGTCTATTTTTTACTTTATTTATTTTATTATATAAATATTATATTTAAAAAGTTACACAATATACACACAAATATTATTGTGTAAAATTTATACAAAAAATTTACTAATATTAATAAATTTAACTTTAGATAATTTATATTTTAAAAAATTGTCAAATTAACACATATGTGTTAAATAATTACCATAAATTAATTAACCAACGAATTTTAATACGCAAATGCAAAAATAAGAAACACGTGAATGATACACCATGTTGTTTAAAATGACACATATTCTGAAGGCTTCGTGGTACGCAGGCTCAAAGACACGTGATAACATAGAGGAGACGAAGATTACAGGAAACACTGTATACTTGTAATCTATCTCATTCTCTCGCAAGCTAAATAGGTACTATTTATGAATATATTTGTCTCTTTTACTATCGCTTTTTCGTTTTATCAAATTTTCAAATAACAACGGTGCCAAAGAAGTTTGACTTCAAAAGTCAAGTCAATAAGTGCTTATTAGAAAATAACTTTCTGTATACTTTCTGTTAGGACAGGTAAAAAATCAACAACAAACGGACTCGGGATACCGAGCTCCAACAGTTCGTCCATCTTCCGGTACAAGGTGAACAATCGGGTGCCATATGTGATCGGACGACTGCTGCCCGGGGCCGGGCTTTACAATATATTGTTCACTGATTACGATCGGTTCGCCATCGTATGGTCCTGCGCCAGTTTCAGCATCGCACATTCAGGCACGTACCTAAACAGTAATTTACATATAGTTTTCATGGTTACATAATAGTAAAACAAATTGAAGAAAAATTGATATTTGCAGTCACACCACCTACATATTTAAAAGATTACACAATGTAAGTTTTGAGATTAGTTTGTTGTGAATATAGTTTGAACACTAATCTAAAAGAATAAAATCTTTTTTCGTTTTCTCTGATAACTGTCACGACGATATCAGCGTTACCGGCGTGACGTTGATTTTAGAAACACTCTGTATATGAGTTATTTAAGGTTCTTTCGTTACATGACAGAATTGACAACTAAACAAGAGACGACTTAGTGCAGGCGCGCTGAATCCGAATCTGATGTCCAAATTACCTAATTGGCTCAGGTTTCTGAAATATCCTAAAGTAAAACTGCAAACATAGCTGTTTTTGGCCATTTTTGACGTTATGTAGCATCGTAACATATTTTTTTTACCTGACAAACTGTTAAAAACATCAGCAAATTATAGGCCTTACGATGCTACATAACGTCAAAAATGGCCAAAAACGGCGCTTTTACATTAGGATATTTAGGAAACCAGAGCCAATTCGGTAATTCGGATTCAGCGCACTAAACACTTCGGCGAAGTATACTCTGGTTTCTGGGTCTCAGGGATGTCTATGTAAGAGTAGAACGGAAAAAAAAAAGATGGACCAAAAAATTTAACCGCAAGATCCACATTATTCATCTGTCCTTTTCCTAAAACCAATCCATTGGTGGAATTCGTTCCTCACATTTTGCATGCTCACTTCGTCTAGCGCTCGTTCTAACTGATTAAATTTGAGATGTATCCCAAAATAATATATACATACAGTCGCGCTGGTATCTCTGTGCGGTATACCAGAGACCTATTAAAAACACACATTCCATCAACTAGGTACTATAAACCACGGAAAACTTGAAACAAAAAAGAGTGCTGTATAGTTAGCGATGACTTGTGTGAAATTATGCGGAGAGTCAAAATATATAAAATACCTACATACATTGATCTCCGTACTACGTGATTGCCTTCAGGTACAATCAGGTTTATCTGGTCATTGGAAATTTTAAAAAATAATGAAGGTATTCTCAATGAAGGAGTAGATAAAAATTACAATGGTTCAATTATCTCTCTCTCTCCATTATGTCTCTTAATCTCTTATCATTAACTATTTCAGATCACATTTGGGTACTGGGCCGACGGCGAGAGATCGACGCGTCAGTACGTGCACAGATCTACGCCATCATGGAGGAGCTGCACCTCGACCCAGACCGACTCATCATCTCCAAAAATACCAACTGCACAAAAGATCAAACCAATACTATCAAACAATAAAAATAGAATAGATACGCTTTATTTTTTACTTACTTGTAATTACTGTTTAGGTAATATAAAATCGTTAAAACCGTGGGATAGCTAAGCTTTATAGTAAAACCACGGCCTCACAAAAAATAATTATAAACAGTTCTTTCGTTACTTTTCAACGAGTCAGCGATGTTACCGGAGGCTCATCTCTTCCCCCTTTCTTTTTTTTTTCCGTGCGGAAATCCCCTCGGATACCACCTGTCGGTGGCATGTCGGACTCGAACCGACTAAAACCGCACGCCGTCTCGGGTACTAATAGCCGGGGAACCAGGTATACTTTAGAAAGGAAGTCCCTGGTTCCTCTCTTCCCCCTAATTCGGGACAAGAGTGCAAAACATAAGTGCGTAACGCGGCGAAGCACTTAAGTTTTTGTTCAAAGTTGTGTGGCGGTACTTACTACTATTTGAAAAGATGCAATTGTAGCAATGAGGCTAAATCATCACGTATCATCATCATCAACAGCTTATCGCAGTCCACTGCTGGACATAGGCCTCTCCATCTCCATCTCCATTGTTTGGGTAACGAAAATAAGAACACAATAGTCAAAAATCACACTTTCTATTTTTTTGGAAAAATATTTTATATTTACAGTAAAGTTTAATACAGTAAAAATCTTACCAGAAGTTCAATAACTATTTAATATAAATAATAATCACTCACAAGAAATTTATCACTATTAAACGATATTTGAGTAGTCCCTGTTCAAAGGAAATACTTTGAGAGTACAATATGGGTGAAATTATTTTACGAATACTTTTACAGGTTTTTTTTTCATAATTGGAACAGGGCATTTTGTGATGATAAAGATATGTTTAAAATTACAACAGAGATAAAATTGTGCTTCAAAAACCTAAAATTAATTGCGTTCAGAATGTAATGTTTATTAAATAATAAATTGTACAGTGATGCGTTGTTTTCACATTATAAACTATGAATTTGGCGGAGTTTACACATTCTATAGATTCAAACAATTTGGTTATTATATTTGGCATAGTATTGCAACAGCGTAGTACAGACTTCGTAACATTTATTCGCAAATGTTGGGTTAAATTAAATAATGGGTGTTTACTTATAGTCAAAACTGTTATAATAAGTAAGAGGTAAATTCGAATTGATAAACTTCAAGCTAATATTTGTAGATTTTTTTAAAATTCTTAAAAAAGGTTTTGCAAAGGCGTTCATATTTTCAGTGTCATAAATTTACGGAATTGCTTAAGTATAAATTTCCACGTCGGATCAGATGGGGTTCTTCTAGGAGTGGAGCTTCATTCGTTGCCAAAGAGGCTTTTGTGAATAAAACTGATCCTTTTTGCCTGACAATAATCGTATACTAATTAAAAAAGACAAATTTGATTACGCTTAAGTCAATTATCGTTTCTTGTGAATAAGTTCACATACCAGTGGTCAATTCTCGTGACTGACAATAATTATATTATAGTCATATTTTTTCCATACCTCACAAATTCTAATTCTCTAGCTAGACTTCTCCTTAAATAGGCGGAGGGATCAAAATAAAACAGAATTTATTCTGAAATAATTTGGAACTATTATGACAAACAATAATACTTTATTATGATTAAATTGAAGAAATGCTCAATGCTGATAAGATATGTAGATTATATATAAAACGAAAAATTCAACTTTTAGAAAAGGTCACAATTAGAAGAAACAGGACGTTATATTGAGAAGTGACTTTATAAGATTGTGTGTCTGAAGAGTCGGCAACTGCAAGAAATGCATCCTGTAGATAATTTCTTTTCATTGTCAGCTCTTAGCGATAAGCTTAATAAGTTCAAACTGTTTGTTCAAAATGTGTTTGTTACATTTTCTTTTAATCGCCATTAATAAATATTTAAATGAGTCCGACATACGTCATAGTTTCATGAAGTTACAAGAACTAGCCTTTCAGAAGTATTGATATAATTCATCACTATATTTTATAAACATTTCAACATCACTAAGAGTTTGAAAACTATGAACAATGAGTGGCTTATATTATTTTTACAGTCTTAAACATAATATTGCAGAAACGACTATGTGTCAGGTATTTATGCGTCGCTTTTATTGTTTACATTCAGTATAGGTAACAAGATTAAAATAAATTATAACAAAAACAACAACATGCAACCTTCAATAAGATTTGTGCAAAATAAAAATAAAGTGCTGTACAGAGAAACAATTTTAAACAAGGTTTTTTAAGTACTGAGACAAATGATTAATTTTTTAAATATTAATCTGACACCTCTTCGTACATAGTGCATGCAGCGAAACCACGAGCTCAGGTTAAATTGGAAATAAAATTTAAAAACTAGGACGTCAACGCGGTACCCATTACGAGTGTTGGGGTTGATTGACGTTAGATGCACACAAACAGCTCGCTACTATGTTCACACTATGCCCTTATGATGGCACGTAAACCAGTCTAAAGCACTCAATGCGCCTTTATAAATAATTTCGTCAATACACAACACACATACAGTGAAAACTGTGAACACATAAAATGCCATGCAATCACAAATACTCCGTGGAAAGACTTCAAGTTTCACATTTCAAAAACTTTTTTCATCCGAAACAACACAGTTCCTTACATCCATCACTTTGAGGCACTCAGCGTCACGGTTCGTGTGGTCATACTGTGAGAGGGACGCTACGCTGCTGGCAGGACTGTCGCACTTATTGGTCAGAGGCAGTACAGAGCTTTGTGGACTTGTGTGGTTGTTTAGAGCATACTGATGTATCCACAGCTGCTTCTCTTCTACTTCTTTACTGACCACTACGAATAGCTCCTTCTCTTTGCTGTCTAATTGTTCCTTTAAATATGCTATCAGGTCACTGCTCTGAAAAATGGACACACCATTTAATTTTAATGGTCGTTAATTATATAGACGTACACATGCGAGCATTAACGCAATGACCTGCACTGGCCGTGGTCAATCGAAACATTAGGCAATTCAAACGTAGGTAATAACCATTAGGGATCCCATTATTTTTAGTAGGTGCAGTAGCAGGTAATTATAATTAATACTTAATTCAGTATAATATATCAAGGAAACTGAATTTCATGAAACTTGAGTTTGCGGCATGGCGTGACTAAGGGAAATGGGATTCATTTTAATTAATGTTACATTATGGAAATGGAAAGTTATTTAGTACAACAATGTTTATTTAAAGGCAAAATTAGACACTTTATGAATGCAGTAGAAAGAAATGCAATATTATTTGTAATGATAACTACAATAAAAAATAACCTTCTCAAAAATAGGATGGATTTCCTTCAAGTACCAGACAAGACTATGAGTCAGGTCAGACAGTGCTATGATTATTCTGCATTTGCTTGGAAGCTTGTTCCGATAGCATATTCTGCAATTAAATTCACTTCACCAAAGATTAAGATCCCCGTTGGAGATCGAAATTAATCGCACATTCCCGAAATAAAAACCGGTCAGGTACGAGTTGAACTCGTGCGCCGAGGGTTATGTAACTACCCAGATTTTACGTAGATTTTCGCGAAAATTTATAAGTACCAAAATTTATAGTAATTTTCAACTTTATTTATTTTTTGGAATTATTCCTTTATTTGTGCTGTAAGACGTTTCTTTTTGCCAAATTTCGTGATTCCAGGTCAACGGGAACTACCATATAGGTTTTCAATCCAAAACCTATAGGATACTTCCCGTTGACCTAGAATTGTCAATTTTGGTTAAAAGCAAGGTCTTACAGCACAAGTAAAGAGAAAATTCTTAAAAATAAAAAAAGTTGAAAAATTCAGGTAAATGGTACTTACAGTTTTCGCAAAAATCGAAATTTGCTCATATCTTTTTACTGTGTTGACTCAGGACCTTGATTTTTATACACCTAATAGGGACCATAAATGTCAGTATCTGGTATAAATTACAAACTTGCTAGGTCTACCCATTCCTCAGAAAATCGGTTGTGACACACAGACCTTTTTTACCTTTTGAGGTACGGAACCCTAATAACTAGTGGGATAAGTCATTAATGAATAATTGTATGATGAAATTATTAATATATACTTAATATATAAAGAGAAACATAACCAGTTACTCGCACATTTCTACATGCTATATTATTTAAAAATAATGGAAACCAGGCTACACATATTGACAACCCTAGCAAAAATCAAAAATTGATCATATCAAATATCATATACTTGGGACTATTATGTTTTCTTCATAAAAAGGGGATGTCCGAAAAATGGGTCTGATAATACATAATGCGGCAGGCTACAGCGAGATCTACCGTAGCTCCATACCGTAACTCTGTGATATAATACACAAAAACTTAAAATCATACTCACTCTTCCTATTAACTGAGGTGTTTCAAGTTTTGAATCCAAATTGTAAAAATTGCCTTGAATCTGTCTTATGGTAATCCAGTGTCGACGTCGTAGAGGTAACATTACAAATCCCAATTTGTAGTCCGATGGCACATTAAGGATGAATCCACAGATATTTGACAAGTCTAAACAGCCAGGGTCTCTGAAGAGCAAAAATAAAAGATTAAATTACACATGAATTGGTAATTGGATGTGTGGTAAAAAAAATTATTAAATATTAAAACCCCATAAAGTTTGTTGTAATATTTTTTAAATAAACAAGTTTTAAGTGGTTTCAATGTTTTATAAATTCACACAAATTAAAAAAAGTCCATTAATTCACAATATCTCTGTTTTTCTCACAAATATTGATAGAGAATTAACATAAGACTTTTTTAGCAATACCACTTATGTTAATATTTAATGAAACAATAGTACTAATACATCATTAGATTTTTCAGAAAAAAAGAACTGAAAATTGATAATGTAATATAATAATTGTGTACTAGAGATGTAAGGTGAACTCTATAATTCGGCCGACCAAACAGTCAATTCTAAACAGTTATGGATTAACTACTTATATAATAAAGGTAACTTACTTCCGCTTGTCAAACCACACAGCTTCACAGCCTTTTTTTTGAAGGGCAGCCATTATCACATTAATATCATAGTTGCCTAACCCTAACATGGAACGGTGTGGGTTAAACCAAACATTTGGTGACAGTCTTCTACATATGGCATCTAACTCTGATTTTGAAAATGTGCCCTGCGTCTGGAAACAATCATTATAATCATTTCAAACAACGAAATTGTGCTAAACAGCCCATAATGAACACAACAAACAAATTTAATATGTTTGCCTATACGAACTTCATGGTCACTAATGACGTAAAATAGTAGTAGAAATTAACATTCAATTATACCTGAAATAAATTGTTAAGCGCATGTAATGCGCAGAGCTCTTTAACTTGCTTTTCATGATAAATTGGAGATTTTGAACTCATCGCGTTCACGTCCCATTCAAATTCTTCCTATAAACAAAGCCACATTTTATGCACTTGTAAATTTTTAACTCGTCTGTTACACTTATCCGCAATTAGTCTGTTATCATTGCGATAAATTTTTATTTAGTTATTTATTTTATTTTACACAACAAATTTCTTTGCCTGACAATGCCTGACATCCACTTTTGACAGAATAATAGAGGTGAGGACGGCGTAACATAGTATACATGTGTAAACGGATAAGTTTAAATTATTTGATTTGTTAACATTACCTATCGAACATTGACTTGATTGTTAACATTGACCGTAGTGCGTAGTGGTTTAAGAGGTCACCACGCCACTCACTATTGCGCTGAGTGCTGTGAGTCCGATCCCCACATGGGACGACACTTTGTGTGATCCACAAATTAATTGTTGTTCTGAATCTGGGTGTTCTTTGTGTCCGTTTCATATATGTTTGTAAAGTCCCCCTCGACACAGTATATATTCCTAATGCGGAGTTGTCTTTTTTAAAGAAAAAAATAAAATAAAATAATGAGTTAAAGATTTATACCATTTATTAATGGAACTGTGTTGCCTTCCACTATACATAATTTGTTGCTTTCGCTTTTCTTCCAAGACTGGTATTATGAAAGAGGTAACTAAACGTGCTTATTTTAGTTCTATAGCAATTGAAAAATCTATCTTCATATTGTCTCGGTTCGTGATTTTACACTGTTTTTCCTAGCTGGAAGTCGATGCGAGTTAGTGCACTAGAAGATTTTTCGTAGTAAGTTTTACTCTACTCCATTGAGTTAAAACAACAATGCTCTACTCGCCAACTTCTAGATCCATAAGGCGGGAAGGGAAATGTTTTTAATTCGAGTTTGACAGTTTGTAGTTGATATCAGTGCACTTTTGTTGATTTTATCTTTAAATTACTTTTCTTACGATGTTTGAAACTGACCAAATAGATGGAATACTTCCGGAGGAGATATATGAAAACCATTTATCCGTTAACAGTAAGTCATGTTTGCAGCAATACAAACTTTCATTACGCAGGTAAACTTTTTTAATAATAATTATGCAATTTCAAGAATAATGTCGTTCCTGTTGGCTTAGTGGTTAGTGACCCTGATTGCTAAGCCTGAGGTTCGATTCCTACCCAGGACAAATAATTATGTGATGAGCACGATGATTTGTTCTGTCTGGGTGTAATTTATCTATAATTATGTATGTATTTAGAAATATATAATGTGTTATATGAAATATATATATATGTTAATCAGCAGTCTGGTTACCATAGTGCAGGCCCTGCCTAGTTTTTAACCGGACAGCCGTGTATGAGATGTGTGAAGCTATTATTATAATGTTTAATGTTTTGTTTACAGTTAAATCAAATCATGTTACTAGCAGATTCAATGCGTTAAACAAAAAGTTTTACAAATGTAGTTTACTTCTCATAGCAGTTAGAACAGTATTAGTAGTTAATAAATTTAAAAAAAAAATGTTCTCCACTCGCACTCTTCAGTTACCTAAAACAATGATAGTTATCTAACAAAACAGATTAATGATTTAACGTAATGATTTATTACCAAAAAACAAAAAGATTTTGCTTTTTCTTATACACAAATGCTTTGCAAATGAATTGTATATTTTATGTATTTGTGTATGTATTTATAATATATAATGTGTATATGTTTTACAGATTACTTATGTATTAACGTGTATTTATATAGGTAGGTATTGCCAGGACTGACTGCTGTAATCAATACTACTTTGTTGATTAACCTTTTATCACTGTCAAGTGCTGTTTTGCTGTATAAATATTTTTCAATTCCTCTACACACCAAAACTGCCCATGAAATTACCTATTTACAGTCTATTTGTCCATCCAAAGGTTGCCTGTAAGAGCTTGCTTTTTAGCGATAAGGCTGCTATTTGTACATGGTCTTTAACTTGGAATACTATTGTTTGTACAGTGTACTGAACTGATGTACAATAAAGATTATTCTGTTCTATTATAAATATTACTCTTAATAACCAAGTTTGGGCAAAATAATATCAATTCCACCATGTTCTGTATGCTCTTATGCGCCACACTCTTATTTGTCAATTATATATATCCTGATTGTTTTTTCCAGTTCGTCAAATGTGGCCTCTAATGACTTGCTCAAGTGTGCTTGGAAGAGAAACGGCGAGCTGTTCAATGGTAAAGCAAAGGACCACATTCTTAAAACTGTCAATTCACTGGTACAGAATGTTGACACAAGTCAAATAAAGACATGGAAAACTTGTTTAAGGTATATATTTATTTCTGTATATAGTGTTTAGTGTGTATAGTAATATACAAAGAACAAATCTCATGTTGGAAAACTAGAATAATACTAGTGTTTTTTTTTATTTTTCTAAACATTATTTCTCATTCATAACTTTTTGTGTAATATAATACCTGAAATGTGGCCCATATTTCAGGTATTCCTTATGTATTAGAGTTCATTACCCACATTAAAAAGAAAAAAGGGATCTCTTATATAATCACATTATTTTTCTCAGGAATGCATCTAGTAATCAAATAATTATATATTCTTACAATTACTTAAAGCTGGAATTTTTTTTAGCATCTAAGTAATTTTATTCATGTAATATGCACTAGACACACATAGTGATACTCCTCATCAGCCAGCTACTTATCCTAAAAAAAAAAAAAACTTTAATCCTTTCAGCCAATTAGATGCGGAATCAATGTTTCAACAATCTTTGCCATCATGTGCACAATGTCCAGCTACAAGTTATTCCAACTTGGATAAATTTATAAACAACAAATGTAAGTGTGACTTAGGTATAGTAAACAATATGGAAAGAGCCAGTAAGGAAACCATAGACACAAAAGGCAATTCTCTATTTGTTAGAAATTTTAATTCACAACACTCAAGCCAAGAGTCCAAATCTGATGATGACAAACAGATTTTCAAACCAAGGTTTGGGCGACAAAAGAATGCAAACAAAAATATTGTTCAGCCAATAACGAGTACTCCTGCTTTGGTTGAAGAAGTAGATTTTGATAAGGAAGAAGATGAAAACAAAGCACATAGAAGTAATGTGGCAAAGATAACATTTAAAACAGCCAATGAACAGTTGCTGGCTTCAAATCCAGCTACCAAGAGGACCCTAGGAACTTCGAGGAAAGCTCAAGCTAAATTTGTATCTCCTATGATCGGAGCTCAGTAAGTTTTATATTAAACTAGCTTTTTGAATACTAACTTGTGACGATAATAGCGACATATAGCCTTTTTTTTAAATAGAAGATCTTAAAAGGAATATTTCTAATAAAGTCATACTTTATGACGTCATCAATAGTTGTCGTCATGTGTCTTGTCATTTGTACCTACTACAGACTTTTCTCAGAACCAATCTATTTATTGGTGAATACCTTATGAAATTCCATTCAGTATTTTTTTAGTTTATCGCGTCAGACATCAGACAGACACAGGGTTAGATTTCGTCGGGGTGCGGGTCGGGTAACCTCCACGTGCGTCACCGTGTTTCTTGTCCTTCATGGCCACTGTGTCCGGGGGGAACGGAAGCAGGGGGCCGGTGCATCCTGGGCGACGGTCAATAACTTCCCTTTCAGGGGTTGGTATTGGCCGCCGGCAAATAACTCGGCAGGGGGGGTAAACCGCTTTCGGTACTTCTCTGTTCATCAGAGGAGACTGGACGAGCGAAGGGGTTATGGGCAGAGGCCGAGGTGGGATCCGTATGGAATCCAAGGGCGGGTTGGCCCACTGCTTACGCAGGGGCTGACAAGCACTAGTGCTGCCGCCGGTGAGGGAGGGTTAGCCACCCTCTCGCATTTCGTAACCAACAGGGGTTCAGCAACGACCCAACTGGTGGCTCCAGGAGGGTACGCTGAGAACCTGTTGGCCGGAGGGCTTGCCTTAATTGGCCGACCTATGACAAGGACAGTCTATAACACCCGACAGCGAAGTCGTTAAGACCTGTGGATACCGGCCGACCTCCACAGTACATAGGCTTATCCGGGTGCAGGGGGCACCGCCCGGATGGACTTCATTTCCCCCATACTCGTGGGATTAAATATGGAATTTAACACAGATAAACAAAAACCAAAAACAACGGACGGATCTACCAACGACATTGGCTTAATGGAAAACGGACAAAGAATTTATAGAGAGGAGAAGCGCTTGACTAAGGCGAGAGAGAGTGACGAACGGCGGTTGCGGTCGCGTTCATTGAAAACACCTTTATCCAGACCCTCCACCCCGCTGCCGCTTGACGGAGGTGATCGAGGCGGAGAGAGCGATAGCTCAGCCTCGATAGGGTCGGAGAGGGAGACACGCAGGCAGTCGCGGAAGCGTAGTCTACACGATGATGAGGACGGAACTGGTTTTGCGAAGCGGACACACAGTGTCAGTTACGCAAACCAGCCCAGCTCAGCTGAGGTTGGCACCCAAATGCTGCTAAGTCTGGATAATGTCGAGGAGACATTGGACAGACCCCGCAGCACGAAGGCGGAAGTAATGAGCTCCATTCGTCGAGCCCTGCAGACTCTGCGGGACGGCATTAAGGAGCTCTGCAACAGAGCGGTGACACGCGAGTACGAGGAGGTGTCCGTGCAGAACCGGGCGTCATCATCGTCGCTGGTGGACCGGGTGAGGGTTCTCGAACAGGAGAACGAACCATCTTCGGCGGTGCTGCGGAGATCGTCGGCCACAAAGGTGGCGGGAACGATCCCGCTGCCTTCTTCGATGGCGGAACTGGGGCCGAAAATGGGCTCGCCAGTGCCACTGGCTCACCCGGCAAGGGAGGACCATCTGGACTGGGAAGAAATCGCGGCTATCATGAACCGTGAGTTTGCCCGATTCCAGTCCGGGCTTTTAGCTAGGTTCTTCCCAGAGAGAGGTGCCAGACCACCTCTAGGCCAAGGACGGACTCCAGTGGTGCGGCAGGCGGCTGCTGCAGCCACTGCGCTCTCTTCTCCTGCCGAGAAGAAGAAGAAGAAGAGAAAAAAGAAGAAAAAGAAAGCGAAGGGGCTGACGGGGCAGCAACTAACCCCAGTAACGAAGCAGGCTTCAAGTCTTGGAAGGTCTACCCTGCCGGAACCAGCGGTAAGGCAGGAAGGGGGCACCTGGGCCCAAGTTGTTGGGAGAAAAGCCAAGGCTACCGCTGCGAGACAGGGTGCGGTTGCTACTCCCGTCTCGAAGCCAAAGAAGTCGCAATTACCGCGACCCCCCACCAATGCTGCCGTCGTGGTCGCAGTGCCTCCGGGATCCAGTACCTCACTGGCGGAAGTAATGCAGGCCGCAAAAGCCCGTATTAAGCTGGCGGAGCTTGGCATTACGGGCGGGGTCCGCCAGCGAAAGGCAGTCACAGGGGGCCTAGTACTGGAGGTCCCCGGGCCGGATAGCGCTGCTAAAGCGGACGCTTTGGCCGAACGCTTGCGCGCGGTCATGGGCGACACAGATGCGCGATTTATGCGTCCGTGCAAAACGGCCGAAATGCGGGTGATGGATTTGGACGAATCCATCACCGCCATCGAGGTTGCGGAGGCAATAGCCGCAGTGGGTGGTTGCTCTCCGTCCGACATCAAGGTCGGGGAGATACGCAGAACCGCAGCCCGATTGGGAACGGTTTGGGTCAAGGGCCCACTTACAGCAGTACGTCAAGCTGCGGCCGCCCAACGCGTGCAGGTGGGCTGGGCGTCGGTCCGTACCGAAGCGTTGGCACCACGGCGCTTGCAATGTTACCAATGCCTTGAAATGGGACACGTCAGGGTAAAATGCTCAGGTCACCCTGACAGGAGTGGGCGCTGCTTTCGCTGCGGAGAATTGGGCCATAAGGCCCGAGACTGCGCAGCGAACGCACCGAGGTGTCCGGTGTGCAGTGACCACGGGCGGCCCGCAAACCATCGGCTGGGTAGCAAGAGCTGTTGCCCACCGAAGAAGCAAAAGGAGGGAGAGGTCCAGCCTCGCCCCGCCTTTGCCCAATCTGGACAGCCAGTGTCGAGTTGTAACTCGACGGGAGAGGCAATGGAGGCTTAACATTCCCACCACACGCAAGGGTTCTCCAGGGCAACCTCAACCACTGCCGAGCAGCGCAGGATCTATTAATCCAGACGCTCGCGGAGCAGTCGGTTGCCCTGGCAGTCATTGCAGAGCCCTATACCGTCCCGGACCATCCGCGTTGGTTCGGGGCGGTCGATGGCTCAGCGGCCATTTATTGGCCGGGTGGGGAAGGCTTCCATTGCTCTCTCCTAAGAAAGGGTGCTGGCTTCGTGGCAGTGGAGTGGGGGGTAACAGTGGTGGTGGGGTGTTACTTCTCTCCCAATCGTGGCCTAGCCGAATATGAGGCATACCTGCACGGGTTGGCAATCTGCATTCGCAGCTACGCCTCCCGTCCGGTATTCGTCCTGGGTGACTTCAACGCCCACTCAAGGGAGTGGGGTGACACTCGGGACGATGCGAGGGGAGAGACTATCCTGGAGTGGGCGGCTGGACTGGACCTCCGACTTCTAAATCGGGGCTCAGTTAGCACCTGTGTGCGATGGCAGGGGGAGTCGATTGTTGACCTGTCATGGGCGACTCCCTCTGCAGTGCACATGGTGTCGGGATGGCGGGTGGCGGAGGAAGTGGTCAGTCTTTCTGACCACCGGCACATCGTATTCGATGTGTCTCTCCGCCGCGCTGACCGCCCGCGTCAGGATAGAGAACCTCCGCGACGATGGTCCCTCAAGCGGCTTGACCGAGAGATGGTCGTTGCCGCATCCCACGTGGCGGATTGGTTGGAGGAAAGGGTTTCGTCCGATCCAGAAGAACAGGCGGCCTGGTTTGGGAACATTATGGCGTCCGTATGTGATGCCTCAATGCCCCGAGTCAGGCCAGCCAGGAAGGGCTCGGCGTACTGGTGGAGCGTGGAGATCTCGCAGCTGAGAACGACGGTCGCGAGATTGCGCCGCCCGTATCTTCGAGCCCGGAGAAGACGGCGAGCTACAGCCGAGGAGATCGAAGTAGCACGGCGGGAATATGGCGCTGCTGTAAAAGCTCTCAGCGATGCAATCGCTGAGGCCAAGGCTCGGTCCTGGAAAGAACTCATCGGGGGACTGGATAGAGACCCTTGGGGGCGCCCGTACAAAATTGTACTGGGCAAGCTAAAACCATGGGTCCCTCCATTGACTGAAACCCTGGACCCGGAGTTCCTGGGAAGAGTGGTAGACACGCTCTTCCCAAGGGTCCAGGACAGTCCCTTGATCTCTCCGTTACAATCGGACCGGCAACTCTGGTCCGACGAGTGTGAGGTGACGGAGGGAGAGCTGGACCGAGTCGTGCGGCGACTGGCTTCCCGCAAACACTGCGCCCCGGACCTGATGGTATTCCAGGTCGGGCGCTGGTGATAGCTCTGTCGGTATTGGGGGACAAACTGAGGCGGATTTTCACAGATTGTCTTAGCCTCGGTGTGTTCCCCCTCGGCTGGAAAGAAGCGAGACTGGTGCTCTTGAAAAAGGAAGGTAGAACTGCAGATTCTCCCTCTGCGTTCCGACCGATTTGCCTGCTGAACGAGTCGGGGAAACTCTTTGAGAGGATTATCTCCGATCGTATCAGCGGGCACCTGTCGCGAGTAGGCCCTGATCTGTCGGACTGCCAGTTTGGATTCCGACGGGGGCGTTCGACAGTGGACGCTATCAGGTGCGTTCGCTCCATGTCGGAGTCGGCAGTCCGATCAGGGGGGGTGGCTTTGGCGGTTAGCCTTGATATCGTCAACGCGTTCGGCACCCTCCCCTGGCAGGCGATAAGGGCGGCCCTTGAATTTCATGAGGTGCCGCACTATCTGCGGGCCGTCATTGGGGCCTATCTGCGCGATAGGACAGTGAAGTTTATCGGTCGGGGCGGGGTGGAAATTCGGAGACAGGTGTGTTGCGGGGTTCCCCAAGGCTCTGTTTTAGGCCCTTTGTTGTGGAACTTAGCTTACGATGTGGTCCTTCGCACCAGTCTGCCCTCTGGCCTTAGTGTTGTCTGCTATGCAGATGACACTTTAATACTGGCTAGAGGGTCACACTTCGACGAAGTGCTTCGGCTCGCCGAGCATGGGGTGGCTTGTGTCGTGGGAAAGATTCATGAGCTGGGTCTGAGGGTGGCGCCTCAGAAAACTGAGGCGATATGGTTCCATGGCCTACGTAAGCGCCAGGAACCACCCAGCTCATGCCTCCGGGTGGGTGACGCTGAAGTCCAGGTGGGCCGGTACATGAAGTACTTAGGCCTCATCCTGGACAGTCGGTGGAGCTTCGAAGAGCATTTCGTGCGATTAGTCCCCCGAGTGCGCGGGGTAGCGGGTGCACTGCATCGCCTGCTGCCCAATCTCGGGGGACCACGGGAAGAAGTTCGCCGTCTCTATATGGGGGTCGTGCGATCCATGGTCCTCTATGGGGCGCCCGTCTGGTCTAATGACTTGGCGGGTGCCTCCCGCTGCAAGGCTCTACTCAGAAGCCTACAGCGGTTGATGGCCATACGGGTCGTACGGGGTTATCGTACCCTTCTCGTTTGAGGCGGCGACGGTCCTGGCTCGATATCCACCCTTCGACATTCTGGCCGACATGGACGCGATGGTCTATGACCAAGTCCGTTCTGTCGGTCGGAATGGTGAGGAGGCCGCGCCGGATCATGAGCCCGGAATGCTACGGCGGAACGCGCATACGCAGGCTTTGCGAGCGTGGCAGGCACGGCTTGTAATCCAGGGCTGTGCTAGCCAACGCGCCGTCGGAGCCGTTCTGCCGAGCTTCGAAGCGTGGGTAGGGAGGAACGACTGTGTCACCTACCGATTGACTCAGATGCTTACCGGGCACGGTTGCTTCGGTGAGTATCTGAATCGAATTGGACGGGAGGCCACGGCACGATGCCACCATTGCGGGTCCGACCGGGACTCCGCCCAGCACACGCTGGAGGACTGCCCTGCATGGGAGTCCGAACGTCGAGTCTTGGTCGGACAGATCGGACGAAACCTGTCACCGCCAGCATTAATCGCGGCAATGCTGGCGAGTGGCGAGGGATGGGCAGCCGCGGTCTCCTTCTGCGAGGACGTTATGCTCCAAAAGGAGGCCGCAGAGCGGGATCGGGAGAGGGCCGATCCCGCTCGAAGGAGGCGGCGAAGGGGACGCGGCAGAGGTCGCTAACTCCCCAATCGTCGCCTAAGGGTCACTGCGGCCACATCTTGGGGCGATGTGACCGCTGTAAACGACCCGAGACGGATGACACTCCGGTGCGGCCGGGGGGGTGTCGTCTAAGGCGGGACGCCGTTGCGCCTTTTACTCTGTAGAGCAGTGAGAGGCGCGATAGCGTCCTGCCCCAGGGTGACTACGGTCACTCCGGGATGTGCCTCAGACATGAGGTACGGCAGGGAGGACTCCAGAAGTCGCCGATGCGTTCCTGGAGCTCCTCCCGACTGCCGAGGAAGGCCGCCGCGGGGTTTAGTGGGTAGACCGGTTCTCCGGGAGTCCCACACACGCCCTGCGTTTCCCCAACGGAGGGTATGGTGCGAAAAGCATTCCCCGCGTGAAAAAAAAAAAAAAAAAAAAAAAAAAAAGGGTTAGATTTCGTCATTTGTAGTGATAAGTTTATATATCTAAGGATAATTAAGGAATCATAAATAAAGATTGGATAAATATATTGTATATTTGCAAACACTATCAAGGACTTAATAGATTTTTGAAGTAACTATTTTGTAATTTCCAGAGATAAACAAGAAAGTGTTGAGCCTACTGTGACAGATGAAAGACTCAAACATATTGATCCCAAGATGATAGAGCTGATTGAGAGTGAAATTATTGATAAAGGAACTCCTATAGGTGAGATATTACTGGTATTAAAGTATGCACTTAAAATTTATACTTTTTTAAAGGCTTGTAAGCCGCATGTTTTCATCACCCTGCTTAGAGTGTAAGAACAGCATTCGTTCCAACGGATGCCATGACGGCAACCTAATAAGCACTAATTTCTTGTTCTTAAAAGAACCCTTATAGTTCATCGGAGGTCAAGTTTGTTTCTGGTATTAAAGTAGAAATATGTTTAGCATAATTTCGACTTTGAAGGAACACCTTAAATTATGCAAGAAGATTTACTACAGCTGGCTATTATGGCGTATATCTGTGGCGAATAGTCAGGGTGGCTTGTATTAGAACAAGTTCTGCTTCTGTCTCGTTCTAATGCGTTTATATTAGTGGATGGCATTAAGATAAGAGTTTACTCCTTGCTTGTGCTGTGCTTGTGACTCCTGAGTCCTGAGAGACTTCATGGGTGGTGGTAGTCAAACTCAAACTTTCTTTATTTCATAAAATTTCCAAAATTGTTTGAAATCGTCTTCCATGTAGACTCTAAAGTCATAGATCAACACACACAAAAGCAACAATCTCTGTTTTGTCAAATAGTAACCAAATAAATTTAACAAAAATCAAACCCATACAAAATCTATGATATGCCTGTGCCGATCTACAACCGCCCGTTTCCAAGGGGATGCACAGGCATATCATAGATTTACGATAGGTATAATTTTTATAACTTATATTTATTTTGCTAAATATTTGACAAATCAGAGATTGTAGCTATTGTGTGTGTTGATCTATGACTTTTAAGTCTATAAAACGACAATGTCAAACAACTTTTTTTTTATGAAGTAAAGATATTCAAAGGTCGCGGGTTCGATTCCCGCACAAGTCAAACATTTGTGTGCATGAACATTTAATGTTTGATTTGGTCTGGGTGTTTCTATGTATAATATGTATGTATTTACAAAAAAAAAAGTATATATGTATTCATATCAGTTGTCTAGTACCCATAGTACAAGCTCTGCTTAGGGGACTAGATGACGTTGTGTGAATGTAGTAAAATATATTATATTATTATTATTATATTTTAAGTTTGAATTAATGTCGCTCAATAACGCCAGTGCGGCTCAACGGATCTGGATAACCATAGCACGAAATATATTTTTTACTAGTATGTTAATCAGTCGATCTGAGCTTTCAGCGTGAACTCAAAGTAATGATCGCGTCGAGATCGTCAACTAATAATACAAACTTGTTTTTTACTACCTTTTTAGGTTGGGACGACATAGCAGGTTTACACCTTGCGAAGTCAGTGATACAAGAGGCGGTAGTGTGGCCTCTACTCCGCCCAGATATATTTACAGGGCTGAGGCGACCACCCAAAGGGATTCTGTTGTTTGGACCGCCGGGAACTGGAAAGACCTTAATTGGTAATTAGCATTACAATCTTTTTTTTTTAAAGACAACTCCCGAACTAGGAATAAATCCTGTGTGCCTTTACAAACATAAATGAAACGGACACAAAGCACACCCAGACTCAGAACAACAATTTGTGGATCACAAAGTGTCGTCCCATGTGGGGTTTGAACCCACAACACTCGGCGCAGTAGGAAGCGGCGTGGCGACCGCTTAAACCACTACGCCATCCGTGCAGTCCTAAACTAAAAGTAACGAGGTGTCTCAACAAGACCTCGAATCGAAAGATTGTTGGTTTCAACTCAACCTAGTGTAACAAGAGAAAGTAGGAGACAGAAGCAGATGCCTGAGTCCTAACTTGTCTTCCTTCATGTCCTTAGAGAACGGTTATTTATTGCAGTCAACTGCTTTATAACTCTAGAAGATTTTTATTTAGCAATTCGCTCTTGTATATCAACATAGGGATCCATTAAAAGTGGAAGTACTTTGGAGCCGTAATATCCAAAACCAAATAAATTTTCTGTTCCGTAGATTTTATTTTAAATAAACTTTATTAAATTCTTTCTATAAGAAGAGCTATTCTGACTCGCTGATCTTCCTTAACAGTTAATAAGTATCGATATTGACAGGCAAGTGTGTGGCCGCGCAGTGCAACGCTACTTTCTTCAGCATATCGGCGTCCTCGCTCACGTCCAAGTGGATCGGTGACGGAGAGAAGATGGTGCGCGCGCTCTTCGCCGTTGCTAGATGCCATCAGCCTGCTGTAAATATATTCAACTTATGGTACAAAGGAAGGGGGTGGACGACGGTATATATTGCTTAACCGTAAAAACCAGGTGCCAACCAACCGTTCACAGGTGAAACCCACAGGATAAGAAATGTACACCCGCAGGATTATTGAACTACTAGTCAGTAATCCTCCGGGTTTGCTTGTGCACCGGGAGCAAAAACATTTTTTTCTCTGTTTTTTTAGCCTGCAAACAAGGTACCCTATGTCCTTTTACTGTGCCTCTAAGAATGTGTACGGAAAATTTCATGATGTTAGTCATGTTCGTAGAATCGTCGATAGTCCAGAGATCTCCGATCAGCTCGATCCCTTGGCGTTACATAGAGATAGCTTCACTCTGCATTCTATATCGTATATATCATGGAGAGTGCCCCGAGGAATTGTTCCGACTAGTACCGGTCGCAACGTGCCGCTATCGTTTCACACGTCAAAATTTTCATCCCCATCACCTGGATCATTGTAGTTTTCAAGACATTTTTTTGCCTCGCACGACTAATCTGTGCAACAAGTTATCGTCTGCGGTATTTCAGGACCGATATGACCTTCAAACCTTCAAGAAAAGAGCGTACTCCTTCCTTAAAGGCCGCAACGCGTTTGTGACTCCTGAGTTACGCGCGTTCTGGAGTGGTGGTAGTCACTTTCTATTAGGTAACCCGTCTGCCCCCTCTTCCATAAAAAATTAGAAAAAGATAAAACGAATAACAAATATTTATTGTGGTAAAAAAAGATAATCTTCAGTATATCAGTAAGGCTAAGGGGCTGTTGTCTACCGTTCAAATTAATACCCAAGCTGTTAGTCCGAGAGCTCATTTAAAACTGTGACTAACTGTCACAGTTGTAAAAAACCTTCAAACCTTCAAGAAAAGAGCGTACTCCTTCCTAAAAGGCCGGCAACGCGTTTGTGACTCCTGAGTTCATGGGCGGCGATGGTCAATTTCCATCAGGTGACCCGTCTGCTCGTCTGCACCCTCTATCAGAAAAAAATGCACTTAAAATTTATACTTTTTTAAAGGCTTATAAGCTTCATGTTTGCATCACCCTGCTTAGAGTGTAAGAGCAGCATACCTTCCACCGGACGCCAAGTTTATTAATTTCTGGTATTACAGGTTATATTTATAGACGAGATCGACTCGCTATTAACACAGAGGAGTGATACAGAACATGAAGCCACCAGGAGGATCAAGACCGAGTTCTTGGTGCAGTTCGATGGTGCAGCTACAGGTAAACATTTTTATCTTCTACTAGCTATTGCCCGCGAACTTTCATACAACCGTTCATTCCTTTTTTACTCCCTGAGGAGTAAAATTTCCAAAATTCATTTCATAATGGATGTTTACAACTCAACAGTCATCAGCTGTACAAATTTCAAGTTAATAGCCTCAGCGGTTTAGGCCCTGTATTAATGGATCAGTCTACAGTCAGGGCAGGTAATTTTATCTGTATGATACGAACGAATACCTCCCCCAAGGAGCGCCAACCGGTGTTGGTCAGTGCCGCAGCTGCTAATGAGATGAATATATTGTGGCAATAAAATTCCTGGCTTTGGTAAAAAAGGTTGAGTTTACCATTGAAATAATATTTATTTATTTATTTATTCATCTTTATGCACTTTTGTACATCGGCGGACTTAATGCCCAGGGCATTCTCTTCCAGTCAACCTTTGGGTGATGTAGAAATCTTGTCAGGTAGGTGCACAGAGGTTACATCATAATATCAAATGTACAATGAAAATATATACGGTTCACTACATATATAAACATATACACACATACTACACTTACACATCATAAATACGCAAAGATACACATACATATATATACAAGTATATTTATATAGATACATAGACATATCATATTCGTACACTATGAAAACTTGAATTTGAGGTATACTTAATTATGGATTAGACCGTTCTGCCATTTCTTTAAGAAGGAGAGCATGTACCTTCTTTTTGAATATAAAGCGGTTTGTGGACATCCTGATTTCGAGCGGGAGCGCATTCCAGAGTAGTACTGCTTGAACAAAGAACGAAGAGTTCACGAAGTCGGAGTTGTGAGAGGGACATAAGAGAAGCAGATTGTTATCTGAGCGAAGATTTCTGTCATGATTGCTAGACAGGTAACATAAGTAGGGAGCAAGGTAAGTTGGTGAGGACGGTGAATTGAGAAATGCAAATAGAGAGGTAAGTGCACGCTGTTTGCGGCGGAGGCGAATAGGTAACCAGTTTAATTGGGAACGCAAAGCAGACACATGGTCATACTTCCGAAGATTGAAGATGTATCGAATGCAGTTATTGAGAAGACGGTCAAGCTTATTTAGAAGGTCTGCATTCAGGTCGAAATAACACACATCACCATAGTCAATTATTGGCATTATTAAGGACTGCATGAGCGTAACTTTGGTTTTAGGCGGTAGGAAATTCTTGAGACGATACAATGTTCGCAAATTGCCAGTTACTTTCTGGCTCACGCTAGTAATTTGAGCTCGCCAATCGAGGGATGAATCGATAAGTAAGCCCAGGTCTTTGACTACCGGGCTGAATGGAATAATTAAACCATTGTAGACGACCGGTGGGATAGAGGCAGTATCCAATCTGCTCATAATCCGTTTGCTGCCTGTTATGATTGCCTGACATTTGGTCGGATTAACTGACAGTCCAAATCTCATCGAAAAGGATTCTATGACCTCCAGGTCCCGATTGACCTCGTCAATAGCCCGCGTTACGTCCTCTACCCTTGCCTGTGAGTACAGCTGCAGATCATCAGCTATAATATGTCAAAGATGATAGCAAAAGACTGACTGAGTGTACTGCGTGTAGGGAAACAACGATCACCTCATGCCATATTCCACAATAGGAGTGCTCCAAAAGGGTTGTTAGATATTTTTAGGACTAGATTTTCTATATGACATGGAAACTGTATCGAAATACTGATAACTATAAAATAATACAGGTGATGAAGACCGTCTCCTAATAGTAGGTGCTACCAACCGTCCTCAAGAGTTAGATGAAGCTGCGAGGAGAAGACTTGTTAAGCGCCTCTACATACCACTGCCTGACGCTGGCGTAAGTTAACGAGTACTCTTGTCATTTGAACTATGGTAATGATATGTCTAGGTAGGCTGTCAAAGCTGTGAAAGTAATTGTGTCCGACTGTTGTCCACTAGCACAGATATGCAATCACACCAGCATACTCAATGACATGACTCTACCCGGCGTCCATAAGTATGAGCATCCCTTCCGTCAAAGCTGGGCAGAACTCAAGCCTGAGTTTCAGAAAGGAGAAGTTATAGCAGCCCTAAATAATTTAAGACATTTTTAATTTTAATATTTAATAATGATAGATCTAAATGAATATTATTGCCAGGCTCGTCAGCAGATAATAACGAATCTGCTAAAGAACGAAAACAACGAGCTGACGTTGCAACACATAGCCGAGGTGGCCGGCCTCACGGAGGGGTACTCGGGCGCTGACATGCGCTCCCTCTGCTCCGAGGCAGCCATGGGACCTGTCAGATCTGTTCCTCTTTCGCAAATCGTCAGCATTGATAGGAATAAGGTAATTTATCTTATATATAAAATTCTCGTGTCACAATGTTCGTCCCGTACTCCTCCGAAACGGCTTGACCGATTCTCATGAAATTTTGTGTGCACATCGGGTAGGTCTGAGAATCGGCCAACATATATTTTTCATACACCTAAATGGTAAGGGTGACCCATCCCTATTTTTTTTTTGTTTTGCAATACAACGTTTGCCAGGTCAGCTAGTTAATACCTATATATTATACTAGCTGACCCGCGCAACTTCGTCTGCGTCTCTCAATAGTAATAAATTTTCTCCGTTTTTGAAACATTCTTCATTGGTGCTCCGCTCCTATTGGTCTTAGCGTGATGATATATAGCCTATAGCCTTCCTCGATAAATGGGCTATCTAACACTGAAAGAATTTTTCAAATCGGACCAGTAGTTCCTGAGATTAGCGTGTTCAAACAAACAAACAAACAAACAAACAAACAAACTCTTCAGCTTTATAATATTAGTATAGATTCAAGTACCTATGTATTGAAAAATAATTTGAAAAAGTTAAGTAACCTTTTGTTATAAGTTTCTTCCTTTTAAACACCCAATTTCTTACACGATAAAAAACACCAAATACTATACTTATATCTTTTCAGGTACGCCCTGTGAATTTTCAAGATTTTGTCAACGCTCTACAACGAGTGAAGCCTAGTGTATCGCAAGACGATTTGGGACAATATGTTAAATGGAATAAAACTTATGGCCAAGGTTTTTAGTTTAATAAATGAATTATACCGACGTATACTTTTTTATTTACATCTTAAGAAATATTCTTCCATTTTTAAATAACTTGCAGTAGAAAAGCTTCTGTGTTTGGAAACTTGTATACTATAGACAGAACTTAATGTTGTCGGAGAAACATGTACTTATTATTAATTTCGTATTGATCATCAATCAAACCTACGAGTGACAAATGCTTGTGATCATGGCAAACTCGATTAAAAGTTGTGGATGCGTATGAAGACAGTCCAGAGAGCTGGGTCTAACTTCGAAGAAAATTTTAATTATCTTAAAATGTGGTCTTTTGCTAAGAACTAAGTAAATAAGCTTAGAGCTATTCAACGTGCTACTGAGTAGGTCATCTTCGGGGTTTCTCTGCAAGATAGCGTCAGAAATAAGATGAGATAAATGAGGAGTAGGTCGAATGTAGGTTCTTGACATAATCCAACAAATCTAACAGACGATTGAAAAATATCGAATGAAATCCGAGGATCGCGCGGCACTGATGACGTTGTAATGATCGTATCCTGTAGTTGCGTTCAATTGTCTTGGAAATTATTTAGAGAGGCCCAGTGGCGAATTAACCCTCAGGCAAAGTAGGCACGTGCGTAAGGTCACGAAATTGCAAAGGGGCGCACGCACAGAATTTACATTACATTTTCTTGAGTTTACTGAGGTAGGGATATGATGGAGTACCTATAAACTGAGTAAAGGTTTTTTAAATGTGTGATATATAAACATAATAGAAGGAGAGAGTATAATATTAAGGTGGATCTCATGGAGCGTTTAAAAAATGTTGCCGCAACAGGTATTTAAAAGTTTTCCGAGTTTTTGCCATTTTGATCTCGAGAGGGAGAGCGCGTTCCATAACAGGACAGATTGTACCAAGAAAGTAGAATGTACAAAGTCAGAGCGGTGAGTGGGGTAGTGAAGAAGTAGGTTATCTGAAGATTTAAGATTTTTAGCGTGCTTTGCACCTAAATATTAAATTTGAGAAGTGAGGTAGGAGGGAGAATTTGGAGAAAAGAGTAAAGATTATAGGGTAGTTAATGCTGCGTTGGCAAATTGGAAGCCATTTCAAACGAGAGCGATGCTGAGACACGTAATCATATTTGCGCAAATTGAAAAGAATCGAATACAATTATTAAGAAGACGGTCAAGCTCATTGAGTAGATATGCATTCAGGTCAAAGTAGCACATATCACCATAATCGATTATAGGGGATATTAGAGACTGAACAAGCATGACCTTAGTTTTTGATGGAAGAAAGTTTTTAAGCCTATAGAGGGCCCGCAGCGAACCTGTCACTTTCTGACACACAGATGCAACTTGTTTTCGCCACCTCAGAGTTGTGTCAAAATATATAAATAAGGCATGGTCAAGCTTACCACGGTTACTATCATACATTTAGTAATGTTAACTAATAGCTATTAATAATACATTATAGGCGCCGATGAGATGCTTGCCTAGGGCGCTCTTGATACTTATTCCGCCTCTGGGAGGCCTAGTATTTGGACTTCTTATGACTGAAATAACTATAATATGATGAAATGATGATCACATCAACACTATGACGGATTCACGACTTTCGTGGTGGCGTGAAGCCATCTTTAATAAAATACTACTTTTTTTTTTAATTTCATTTTATTTTCATGGATTTGAGTAGCGGTGTGAAGACTCGACTTTTCAAAACGATTTAAACCGGTTTGGGCATGAACCGAGTTAAATCGGTTTGCCCGTGGTTTAAACCGGTTGAGCCGTGTCATAAGATCGCGCTGCACTTCGCGTCATACCATAGCGCTCGCGGCTTCTGCTTGACTGACCGAACAAAACTGATTTATCAACCTACTGATTCTGAACCGAGTCACCGCGACACGACACTAAATCTTTATCAATTTGCCTACAAGCACAAAACATATTATTATATTCCTACAAAATAATTTAATACATAAACCGATTTACTAACCGTTCGGATCTAAGGGACATATTATTCTTATATCCATCAAATGAGAAAAAAAGAGGGCATGGTATCGTGTTACTTGACTGAGTAGATTGTTGTATTGCCCTTAGCTCTCAATAAACAACCAATCAATTCATACCGTCACCGCGTCGGTTGTCGGTTAGTGTAGGTAATGTCAAGTTTTACACTTGTATGTAAACTCGGTTGCAAACCATAAAACGACGACGACGGTTTAATTGGTCCAGTCGAATCATGTTGCACATTGCTTTCGTATGTTACATTCCCTGGTCAACTCATCACACGGTTCGAACCGCGGTTTACTACAATTTCAACGGTTCGGTTTGGAACCGGTTACAGTCTATTTAATGATGTATTAAATGTTACCATTATTACCATTTTTAGACATGTGCGACTCTGTTCAGCAATGTCCAGAAAAGCTAATTTCGTTCGCCAGTTTTGGCTCTGGCAGCAGATGTCATAATTGTCAAGAATGTCATCTGATAAAACAACATTTAATGTTTTTACTTTGGCGGGAGGTGTTTCATATGGCTACTAATTGCTACGTACTATTTAAAGAGACAAAAAATAATAGCAATGTTATACAATACACTGTAATTATATAAATACGAACATATTTATTTTATAATCAAACCAAAATGGATCAAGATAATCGTGTTATTGTTCTCATTGACATGGACTGTTTTTATTGCCAAGTTGAAGAAAAGCTGAACCCAGCACTAAAAGGGAAACCAATAGCCGTTGTGCAATATAATCCTTGGCAAGGTGGCGGGTATGTTCCTTTTAACGAATTAATTTAAAAAAAGGTTGTACTATGAAATGCAACACCTATGTATACAGAACCAATTGTAACTTTTTTACTTCTTTCATAGAATCATAGCAGTAAATTATGTAGCTCGAGCGAAAGGGGTCACAAGGCACATGAGAGGAAAGGAGGCTAAGGAGAAATGCCCTGATATTGAATTGCCAGCAGTACCTTGTCTTAGAGGCAAAGCTGATATATCTAGGTAATCATATCTCTTTATAGTTAATCTATGGTTACTATTACTAATCGTATTTGAAAAATTATTTTTGTATTGTATAGATTATTTATTGAGGAACATTATAGACTATGTAACATCACACTCCAAGCATGAGGAGGAGAGCTTCCATACTTTATATTGTAAATGTGAAAACGAGTTCGTTTGTTAACCGCTTAAACCACTAAACAATTTTTAACAATTCTTCCACCAATGGATACCTACATTATCAGCGAGTAACAAAGACTACTTTTTACTGCACACACACACACACACATATTACATGCGGATAGAGCTGAGTGTATACCCGATATCATGTAAAGCTAGTTGCCTGATATGAGTGAAACTGATGGAGTAGATAGTTTATAATATTGTTGAATGTAGTTTTAAGTACTAGTTATAGTGGACACAGAGAGTTTTTGTTAGTGGTTTATTCCACATCCTGTTTTGTGGTATAATCAAGTATTATTTTTGTACATAATGTACGTCCAATTCTGTAGTACTTCTGTAATCACATGTTCCATCAACTGCATTAGACTGATGTGAGTTCTAATGATCCTAGACAGAGTTTATGGTTCAACATGGCAAAATTTTCATCCTCATTACCTGGATAGTTGGCGCTCCACTACTGTGCGCTTTTGGAGAGACTTTTTGCCCCGCACAAAAAATCTGTGGAACGGGTTATTGCCTGCGGTATTTTCGGACCGATACGACCTTCAAGAAAAGAGTGTACTCCTTCCTTAAAGGCCGGCTTCCTAAAATGCGTTTGTGACTCCTGAGTTGCAGACGTTCATGGGCGGCGATAGTCACTTATCATCAGGTGACCTGTCTGCTTGTCTGGCCAGAGGGGCAACATAAATAAAAAACAAAAAAAATAACATGCTTTTTTCAACCTCTCTAATTAAATAACTAATATTTTATTAATATTTGTAGTTGGTAATGTATTTTTATGTCTTTTAGATATAGAGAAGCAGGTAAAGAAGTAGCAAGAGTACTGCAGAAATTTACTGCTCTGTTGGAAAGAGCTTCAATAGATGAAGCTTATTTAGACATCACTGCTTCTGTAAGTACCTCCTACTCCATACACCTCAAGTTTCCTTTACAAGTAGGCTGCTTGCCCTTTCCGAGTGGTGATGGATTAAGAATATGGAGTGTCACCAGAGTGTCAGAGCCGACTAAGGGAGCAAACTTTGCAGGACAACAGCACTGCAAAGAGATGGAACATCAAACAAATCCATCTGGCCAGCATAGTACAGTAGGCCAAAACCTGCTTTCTAAGGAGAGGCCTATGTTCAGCAATGGACTATTAAAGGCTGTTGATGTTTGATGTAATGTAAAGGTAATAGAAGTTTTACTGTCTACTTATCTTTAGTGAGATGTTTAAGGACATTTTCTAGAACTCTTTTTTGGTGTGTCTATGCTTTTTACATATACAGCAGTAACTTCAATATGGTGTGACACTAGAGCTCCATTGCTACAACACTTGTAACGTGGTGTGTGGTGAGTAGAACAGAGCCTTTAACTATAACCTCACCGTAAAGGGTACTCCACGATGAGTGTGTCGATATATTGACCATGATTCAAACTATTCTAACATTATTTGTTAGATTGTAGTACACTGCAAAGTGAGTTAGGCCTGGATTAGTTTGCACTACACTGCTAAGTTTTTTACTTGTTAACATTCTCCATACATGTTTGAAACTTTTTCTATTTATTATATCCTTGGCAAGACTACAAAGAAAACATTTAGTAATTTGATAAATTCAAGGCTTGTGTGCCTTGTAGAGTACACGAACCACTCACCTACACAGTGAGTGGTTCCACCATGGAATTCTAACGTTTTTCGTTCTCAAACGAGGACAATTTACGTGTTAAATATCATTGTAATAAGCTTTGTAAAAAATAAATAATGATGTTTCTAGGTGGAAGAAAGACTAAGCACCCTAAATTTGAATACAGTAAATACAAACATGATACCCAATACTTTTGCACTCGGTTATGACTGTATAGAAGAATTTCTATCTGACATCCACACTCGTTGCGTGGATAACATCGACTTTGACTACGAACACACCAAGAGACTACTGGTAGGCGCCGTTATTGTTAGTGAAATCAGAGCTGCTGTATATGAAGAAACTGGTGAGTATAATCCGGTAGACTCAGAAGCCCTTTTAATTCTTTGTGCGTGTGTGCTTCCCACGATAATCTACAATTTTTTTTTCTTACCCATCACTAGCTGGCTGGTTGACTAACGTGGTGAATACGTCAAAAAGTACTTTATCTTAGTTTACATGTTTTTTATACCGCAAAAAAAAAATTGTCTGTTATTGCCGACAGTGGCATCATGGGCACGTTTTTTATTGAATTTATTACGAATTCAAGGCTCTTCTCTCATTTGCTCAGCTATTTAAATGGCTTTCTTATATCAGCCTTACGTTGGACCTCACCAAGTTCAGCATGCCCAGCTAATTTGATAAGGCATACTATATAATAATCCAATCCAGGCATAATCCCAGATACCTAATGATAACTAACTTGTCTAGGCTAACGGCGACGTAATAGTTAATAATCTAACCTTTGACAGACACGTAAATATCCAACTTCATTATCTTTTCCACACCATAACTAAAAATGCGACTGAGCGTCAATATTTACACGGCAAATGGTCGAAATATAACTGGACTTAAATCGCATGTGAATCGATATCTCGAGATAAGGCTGCAATCAACTAACAAAAGTGCAATCAACTGTAAGCTTATCATTAACACTATACCTACATAGAAAAATGTTAATAGCAAATAAAAATAAACCTAGACCGTCTTGGTTTTTTAATATCTCGATAGTAATTATTTTGGTTGGCCACATGATAATACTCGACAACTTCTTAAAAACAATACTGGAAGGAAAAAAAAATAGAAGACAAAAGAAAACGTAAGTAAAGGTGAAAGTGGGAGTCGTGACTTATCAAGAGGTCAAATGCTCAATTGACAAGGGTCTGGTAACCAAAAAAAGGTTTTTGTACCTTATACGTTTACGCGTTTGTACTCTAATGGATTATGGTCCATAAATTTCGACTGCACGGATGGCGTAGTGGTTTAAGAGGTTGCCACGCCGCTCACTATTACACTTGTGATTCACAAATTGTTGTTCCGAGTCTAAGTGTTCTTTGTGTCCGTTTCATGTATGTTAGTAAAGTCCCCCGCTACACAGGATTTTATCTCTAGTGCGGGAGTCGTCTTTAAAAACCAACATGTTTTTTCAACATCAAATTAAACTTGAAGAAATTAACAAAAGGATTAATTGTGTTACTGTCAATAATTCAAAGTTCGCATTTTAATACTTAAATATATTATTAGGTTTTGAAATGTCACAAAACTTAGGACGCCTCTCCACCTATTATTGTCGTGTGGGAGATAAATCTACTATACCCATACATTTTTAAATTAATTTGCAGGCTATAGATGTTCCGCTGGCATAGCACACAACAAAATTTTAGCCAAATTAGTTTGTGGATTCAATAAGCCTAATAAGCAGACAATTTTGCCCAAACATTCTGTCAATATATTGTACAGGTGAGTTGCAAAATGAATGTAAAATGTCTACGTTTGTAAAAAAGGATAATATAAAATTTAATAAAAATGTTTTCAGCACACTTCCCCTTAAAAAAGTTCAACATTTAGGAGGGAAATTTGGGTATTCTGTTTGCGAAACACTTAAAATCAGCAAAATGTGTGAACTACAAAAGTATACTGAGAAGGAACTTCAATCAAGATTTGACGATAAGAATGGGTAGGTACACATGTTCACACCAATTCTTTAGGTAAATATTGAATTACATAACGTACTAATTGCTTTATTTTACTTAGGTCATGGTTATACAAAATAGCACGTGGTATTAATCTAGAACCTGTACAAGTAAGGTTAAACCCAAAGAGTATTGGATGCTGCAAACAATTTCGAGGCAAAGCTGCCCTCCTCGATCTGGATAGCTTACGAAAATGGCTGAAGGATCTTGGCGACGAGATAGAGGACAGACTTGAACAAGACGCCTTAGAAAATAATAGAACACCGAAACAAATGGTAGTAAGCTTCTCTACGCAAATGCCAGATAGAAGGGATACCAGCAGTTCACGGTCTTACAATTTTGTTGCTGATGATGAACTATGTGCCGAACTTTTTTCTAGCAAAGCTTTGGAACTTCTTCTAGAGAGTTCTGAAGGGGTGAAAGTAAAAGGTATTAACATGCTGTTTAATTATATTAGTATACAGTTAACATTAACATTCAATTATATTCAGTGTCTGAATGTTTCTTTTCAGAAAATGAAAGCAACAGAAAGTTAAAAGCTCCTATTAAATTCCTTGGTATAAGTGTCGGAAAATTCGAAGATATTTCAGATACGAAGAAAACAAACAGAATATTAGATTACTTTAGTGCGGGTCCTTCTAAAGATGTCATAGACAGACCAAAACACAAAATAACCGAGGATAAAAGTGAGGAGAAATCAAAGGCTAATTTAAAAAATAATGGTAAAGAGTATCTCATGCAGAAATTTTTCAAAGCTACTGAAAACCCTCAATCTGTTACGAACCTTAACGACCATACTATACAACCTGAAATGCCTAAAGCCGCCGAAACTAAAGCATTGGAGAAAGAGAGTGGAAACCCTCCAAATAAAGAATCGTTGAAGTCTCATAATATCAAATTTGGTGTGGTTGAATCTACTTTAGAAGAACAGGAATCGTTTTTTGCAAAGATCTTAAATCAAAATAAGAATAAGGATCCCCAAATTACGAATACTAATTCGGCAGAGAAGACTCGACCAATAACACCACTTTGCGATGTCGTCAAATGTGAGGATGAAACGAATGACAGTGATTATTCAGGTTCAACAATTATTAATGAAATAAACAAAAGTATGGCTTTATTCGAAGATGACCCGGAAGACGTTAATCGTGTGACTAGCATGAGACAATTATTGAATAGTTCAAAATTAATGAATGAAAACAAACAGGCAGTTAGTCCTGAATTAAATTTGAATAGAGTAGCTCGCTCGACTCCTCGAATGGAGCCTACACCGTCTGAAATGTTCGATTGTCCAGAATGTGGTAAATCTATACCAATAGTAGAAGTTGAAATGCACTCCGATTACCATGTTGCATTAAAATTAAGAGATGAGGAGCGCCAACAAGTCCGTCGAGAAAAACAAGATAAAACTACTGTTATTGTTAAACGAAAATCAGAGGATACCAAAAAGAAAAAGGTGACTGAAGATTCAAGTGGCAAAAACAAGTCAATTTCTTCCATTGCAAGTTTCTTAGTAAAAATTGATAGTAATATGCCAACAGAGTCATGCTCTGAATGTGGCAAAAGAATACCTGTAGAAAAATTTATGGAGCATTCAGATTTTCATGAAGCTCAAAAGCTAAATAGGGAACTGAATAATAAGATCAGTCCTCACCTTAGTGGGAATAGTGTCAAAAGAAAAAGGGTATCTACCTCACCAGTGAAGAATATAAAACCTTGTAGATCTAACAACTCATTATTTAAATAAATTATGTAAAAATAAATGAATTAAAAATGCCAAAGTAGTTTTCAAATGTATATTATTGATATTAAAAAGATTTACACGCTGTAGATCTCATTTTGGAACTTCCTCCACGCGTCAAGGGGTCCATGTTCAGGGCGGTACCTGACATTGCATCCGTCATTAGCAAGACGGCCATCCTCGCGCAGCTTTTCGAACTCGTCACGGTCGTACTTGGTGAATCCCCACTTCTTGGAGATGTAGATCTGGAAAGTTAGAAAACATTTTTAACCATATTATTTTATGTACATTTTTTATTTCGAAAAATAAGCTTTTTAAATACAATATAAAGTGTATAAAAACTACCATGATGCAATAAGCTTTTAAATTTTTCATTCATTTTGGTATTGGTACTGGACTTATATCTACATAATACATTGATATAAATATTCGTAAAATTACCTTGAATTTGCACAGTCATGATTACAACAATTTCTTATCTTGACATGATTACTGGTAGTACATTAAGCACACTTGTGCCTATGACTCTAGATTGTTACATTAAGTAGTAATATATATGCAATATTTCATATTAGTTAATAGCATCAGATAATATTTTAGTAATAAAAAGAGTACTATTCCTTAGTATACAAGTAAAAAGAATTAAATAAACTAGTTACCTTCTGACGACCAGGGAACTTGAACTTGGCACGACGCAGAGCTTCGATGACCTGCGCCTTCCAACGGTCGCTAGAACGCACGGACATGATGGGCTGTCCGATGCGTACACGTGCTACGGTACCTTGAGGCTTGCCAAAAGCACCACGCATCCCGGTCTGGAGCCTGGAAATTTATGATTAAATTTTAATTGGCCATACACATATCTATACTAATACTATTAAGTAAAAGTTTGTTTGTTTTGTTGAACGCATTTATCTCAGGAAATACTGGTTTAAAAAATTTAAATTCGAAATAATGAATGAAAATTTAATGGAATTGAAAAATTCTGTTCAACACTAACAGAATTTTTCAATTCCATTAATTTTTATAGCCCATATCAATAAGAGTCGTGCATCAATGAAAAATGAAACACAAATAGGCTAAATTTATTCCTTTCTAATTTTCATATATACTCGAAAGACATAACCCTCCTTCTAGTGTAGTTAGGTAAAGATTTTTATAATTTAAGAATTAGGGCCTATGCATATGGCCATTTTTTAACTTCATATGTGCGTCGTCGACGTATTAAAATAGAAATTGCGCCGTGTGCAAAGGCCCTTAACATAACAACATATTAGATAACATTGTTTTCTTGTTCAAAATATATATATAATATTGGAGAGTTGATTGGCTCATATTGTGCAACAATGACTAATGACAACAAATTGAGTCATGTAAAACAAAAATTTAAGCTGATGATGATATGCATATTTTAATCTCTGGGAAAGTTTATTATTATGGACTAAAAAGTCACATATTAATGTAAAAACTACATGATTTCTAAATTAATTATTAAAATACATCCTTAGCCTCCTGTAAAAAAAATATTTAGGAATTTCCTAAAATCATGTAAATAAAATATTATATAAGTCACACAAATCTCACACTAGGTGCTGAAATGTGAATTTATATTTCCTCTTTTTCTCTACTTACTATTCAACAAACAATTGCAAATAGACTAATTCATGCCATCCTTGACTTTGCACTCAAAATAAAGTTATGAGGCTATAGGACAAACATTGACCAGGACACTACATGATTATTACTATGCATTATGAATACACAAGGAGTACTGAATGTGGCAACAAAACATATAATACATTGATGAATCTGACAAGGTTATGAGTCCAAAATGACTTGGTTCTAAAGACCATTAAAACGAACAAAAAATTGAACAGAAAAGCATGTAATGATAAAACTTGGTTGTACTAATAAACAAAAACTATACAAAGTCCAGTTCTAGTGGATTGCATAGTGTACACATACACTTTAAAAAACTCTGTTAACACCGGCAAATAACAGGAAGTGCTGTTTAATACTGAAATTGTCCGACTAATCGCTGAAATTGTTTTAAAATAAACGTTTTTTAGAGAAATAGTTTTCTTTCTTATAGGTAGAATTTGTCATACACTCATTTGGATACTCAAGACTACTTTTTCTAATATAACCTATACACTAAATGCAAATAAGAATCAAGAATTACAAACGACTTCTTACCTATCAGCTCCAGCGCACGATAACATTTTGTTGATGCGGATGACATGGAATGGATGCAGTCTCATACGGATGTGGAACTGATCCTTGCCGCAGTTCTTCACCAAGTATTTGTTGCAGCAAATGCGACCTGCCTCCAGAGCTTCAGAGCTGAGCTGCTCGTATTCATCAGATACAAGATGCACGCATAGTGGAAAGTCATCCACGGCAGCCTTCTTTTTACCCAAGTCGAAGATACGGATTTTTGGGTCGGGAACACCACGACAAAACCGTGATTTGGGGTACGGTTTGTTTTTACAGTACCGGTAACTAAAAATATTATTGCACAAGTTAAAATGTTGTCCAAAATTTATCAAACAAGGTAAGTTTAGGTTAAAGTTTTATTTACCATCTCGCTGGCCGGCGCCCCATTGTGATCTGAAATATAATAAAATATATATTAATTAACAAGCGTACACTACGTGTTTGCGAAATCTCATAGAAATGAATGAGCTTTTTAACGATTACAGTAGATTTAAATATAGAGAAATCATATGCACCTTCACAAAGTGACACCACTACAACGAAAAGACAGAAGGAAGTTAAAGTTAAACTGACGTTGACGTTTAAAGTTATGTGTGACCATAAAATAAAAAATTGACAACCAATTCTAAAGAATTCATTCACTGTTGGTATGTTTCAAACAAAAATAATTAAATCACTCAGTTTTCCCCTTTCTCTTTCTTGTTCAAATACTTTTTCAAAACTAAGTTTTGTTTAAAGATTTTTCATTTTAAGTATTATTTTCGTTCTTAGAACATTAAAAAAAATTAAGTAAAGTTTCATCACATTTTCGATATTGGTGACTCTCTCCGGGGGTATAGTAAGTTCTTGTACCTTAACCATAATAAAAAGTTATAAGTATGATTAAAAAAACATTGTCTTGTTCAACATCTGCATTCTGCCTACTTGTAGTACCGAGCTACAGGCTGCAAGCATATTGACTCGCCAAGCATTCTCCCGTCCTTTAGAAATTGTATTAAGAGCTGGTTAAGCGTAGAGCAATCTCCGACTTCCATGAGCACTATAATGCACACTGCGAATATTGCTTTTTCTTTTTGTCATGCGTTTATGATAGACGTCTAAAAACTAAAAATTATAAAATATGCATAAATAGAGACATATGTACTATACAGAACATATCATAATCATAATAATGTAAAATTAATATAGAACTACTAAAGTAATGCGTGTAAAGGTAAAGAATTGGTAAGAAACTTATTAGCAAGAATAAGTGAAAATCCAATTAAAAAATTAAAGGTTTTGACAGATTTTGTCCCCCGCGACAGCGAAATATTCCTAGTACGGGAGTTTCTCTTAAAAAAACATAAGAGGTTGTCAAAGTATTATGAGATGATGTCAAATTGTCAAAAATAAAACTGGAATGTCAACTACTTAAAAACAATAGATGTTTTTTGTGTAAATAAATTACCACTAATAAGTAAACCAGGACGTCGATATTTTAAGATGGGAGCCCTGACAAGCAGGCAGAATGCTGGTGTTGAAGAAGCTGATGTCGTCTCTAATCATGCTTATAAATATCCACCCAGATCGGGTAAGGACGACCTTTTAATTATTTTATTAATATAATCAGATATTCTTGCAAAAGCAAGATTGCAAATTAAATTAGTATCCTAATTACAGATTATATAAAAGTTTATAGGTAGGTATATAAACATAAAACATAACAAAAGTTTTGTAGGTAGGTATACAAACAATTTGCAAATAATATAATTTTGTCAACATAACGCAATCATTAAATTGATTATTCTAGACAATATTCAAAGTAAATACAGTTTACGGATACAAAAAATATACTTACACTTGTGTAATACTCATTTTAATAATAACTTCTTAAGACAAATCACTTATCATAAATACTTACTAAAATCAACAATGGTATTAACTTTGTATATTGGTACTCTTTGAAACGATGATAAACTCCTTAAATGGAAAAGGAGCACAATTCAGTTGACCATTGAACCATTGAACCCATAGTAGGCCAAAACCTCCTTTCTAAGGAGAGGCTTATTTATAGGCTTATTACAGATTAACAATATTAAATCTAGAAGCATTGAAACATCTGAGATTATAAACACACTTCTTGCTTTTATTTATGCCTTAAACATATTAAATGATGTTCTCAAACTGAATTTACTATTATACATGTATTAAACTGACTATAGTCATAAGTTTAGACCATAGGCAGCTCAATTTGGTCACAGAATTAGATAATTCATAAGTGAAAAATATTGTATAAAATGTCTTAACTCCATATAATAAAGACTATAATGTTTTGTGTGTTAAGTTTCATACTCATAAAGAGTTAACATAGTATGTACTTTAATAGCCATTAAAATATGATTTATGTTGTGATTGGTAAAGCAGGCAACTACTTCGGAAGTCACTTTATCATGGGCGGAGAGCGGTTTGACACACCACAGCCTGAAGCGTATCTATTTGGAGAAAATGCAGATTTAAACTTTCTTGGCAGTAGACCTACACCTGTAAGTATTGACCTCGCAAACATTTGTTTAATCACACAAGGATGCAAGCTTTGTATTGGTTAAGTTTTCGAAGAGGGCTCTGTTTCAACGTTTAGACTCATAGATATTCCATTCAGATAAGTCAGAAGACTTTTTCACACATAGAATTCTTCTCTCTGTCTGTTTCCTCCTCATTGAGACATCTTCTTCATAGATACAGTATAACTTAATAAAATGAAAAAATTAAGAAAAGAATACATGTTTTTCCTACTACACTGTTAATCTCCCCAGCTAAGCTACTTAGCTTAATTTAGCCTAACATGTGTAATTGTATTTGGTAAGACTTAAACCTCCCAGTATGTTATCGCAGACTGAACACCCTAGACACAGTCAGGTTTATATTGAAAGTCAAGTGATTAAAATCATTAGAATAATATTACCAATTATTTAAGAGAAAGTCTGTGCATAAAACCAATATACAAAGGTTATGCAAAAAAAAATAAAGCCTGCTTTACAATGAATTATCGATCATCACTAATAATTGTTTATGTTACAGTTTCCATATCCTCCACCACAATCAAATGAACCAACAAAAACACTGAAGAGCCTAGTGAACATACGCAAAGAGTCCTTACGGTTTGTCCGTTGTCCTGAACCAGTTGGTAAACTTGCAGACAACAAAATTGGAGATGGAATCATTAAAAACGTAGATGGCAATGGCAAGGGGACATACTACAATATTGAGTTTACTTTTGACTGTGATGCAAGATGTGCTATCACTGTGTTTTACTTCTGTACTGAAGAGGTCACTCCTACTGGAGTTGTGTAAGTTCACAATTCTTTTTTATTTGTAATTTTTATAAAATTAATAAGACTGTGGTGTACCTAATAGGCGCGCATGAATCAATAAGGCATTCTTTCGGTGATTAATTTAATATCGAAAGTTGGATGCATAGAATAAAATCTTTTAAGTAGTAGCAGCTTGCAGAACTGTGTTGCAAAATCGGAAAAAATATTGCTAGCCTTCTACTGCACCTAGTTTCCAGGAAAGAACAGAACATCTTTGTTTACAACTGGTTGCAAAACTTAGTTGCCACAGATTGAACGGATTATTATCCTTTATTAAAATAAGAATGCAATTTTTTTCTTTATAGTTACTATCCACGAGATCCGACGATGAATTCTCAAACGTACCACTACAAGAAAGGTGCCAACCAACAGTTCTGTCAGATATCACACGTGTTTGACCCATCCAAGTACCTAGATGAAGACCTGGTATACAATGCAGACAGAGAAATTATACCAATAGCTATATATTGTGTTGTTGATGAGGGACAAGAAGGTATGGAATTAAAACAATCAGTGACTGTATTACGTTATAGTTAGGGAACATACCCATACTGTGTCACCCATTTTTAACCCGCTCCTCCCCCTCGGTGACCACTTGTAGAATATGCCAAAATCTCTCAAATATAAATAAAATCTACAGATCGAAGGTAGAAATCCATTTAGCCACCTTGCGCACTAGGTGGCCACGGCCACGACTAGCCGTTGCCATCTGTTCGAAATTAGAGACCATAAACAATTTCGGAAATTCTTTCTCAAAAATTAGCTAAAATTCAGTACTTCATCGTTAGAAGGCAAGACAGAGCATTCGAACAGACTTTTTTCTGATTATTTGTAAGTTTTATAGTAGGCCAAAACCTCCTTTCTAAGGAGAGGTTTATGTCCAGCAGTGGACTGTTAAAGGCTGTTGATGTGTGATGATGATAATTAGAAATTCCAAGATACGACATTGCCGCTTTCTGCCGTCGATATATATAGATTATAGAATCATCTCGTAAATAAATATTGTCGAGAATTGGATGCCATAAATAAAAACCCTATATATTTCTAGAGATACGCCAATCGCACACCACAATAGCTGTGGTAGACAGACATTCGGACGGCACGTACGTGTTGAAGGCGCTCAAACAGAAGCTGTTCGTCGATGGACTTTGTTACTTGCTGCAAGAGATATATGGTATAGAAAACAAGAACCTGGACACTAAGGTAAGTTCTATCATTTAGCTTTTTTCTTCAAAAACTTCATCCTAATTGGATCTTTAAAAAAAATGTGTTTAGCTTTTGTTCTCGAATATGCTAGCGGTGATGTAGAGTTTGTCAATAAATTCGGAACAGTATTTTTTTACAAAATTGAATCTTAAATTTTGTGTATTTTCCTTAGCCTTGAATACAACAGTGTATACAAAATTTATGGATAGTTGTTTTTTTTTTAAAATACAACTCCCGCTCTATGAATTTCGTGGGTTCACTACAACTGCAAAGAGAAGTAGAACTTGACACAAACCCTATACCAACTCGTCTGGCCAGCGTGGTATAGTGGGCCAAAATCTCCTTTCTAAGGAGATGCCTATGTCCGGCAGTGGACTATTAAAGGCTTTTGATGTGTGATGTGATCGTTCATGTACAACAACGAACACAAAGATTATCCAGATTAAGAACAAATTACTTGAACACCGCATAAATTTTAGTTCGCATTCGATACCAACCCGATACTTGGCGGGGCGTAACTACTACCGTACAAAGTGTATAACAAAGAAATAAATAAAATCACAATCGCATTCATAGTAATTGTTAGTATTGCCGAGGTTGCGTTTAACTATTAATGTAACAATAGTTTAGGACGCAAATCTTTATATTGCATATAGTTTAGGTAGTTTAAAAGACCTATTGCTGTTCCCATAGCCGAGCTCCGACGAGGAAACCGAAGACGGAGGGTCGGAGTGCGTAATCTGCATGTGCGACGTCCGCGACACGCTAATCCTGCCGTGCCGGCACCTGTGCCTGTGCAACTCGTGCGCGGACTCGCTGCGCTACCAGGCCAACAACTGCCCCATCTGCCGCGCGCCCTTCCGCGCCCTGCTGCAGATCAGGGCGCTGCAGAGGAAGGCCGACAGCGCCACCACCGCACCCACTTCCACCACGGATGTAAGTATTTACACGACTAATTCCATACGCGTGTTTTCTTTTTATAGCATAAGGGGGCAAACGAACAGCCGGGTCACCTGATGGTAAGTAACTAACGCCACCCATAGACACCTACAACTGAAAAGTCACTGTATTAAAAAATACCAATATTCTAGTAGTATTGCCTGAAAGCGATCCTCTGTTATATGTACTCCATATGCTACATACGATCCCATGCTACTAGGAGAGGAACATTTTCACAATTTAATAGTGTTATTTCTTCTTAGACTCCGACTAAATCGACTAAAAGAGACCCCTCGTTGCCCTGGTGGCAGCCTAGCTCTGAGCGGTCATCGGTACCATGTACCATTAGAAATGTAAGCCAATTTGAATTGATTTGTGCTCAAACGATTCAATAAATAAACTGCCTGAAAAAATCTTTCAACTAGATGAAAAATATTTCTAATTATTATTATTATCACTATAATAAATGATAAACTATTAATCTTAGGCGACCATCTAAGGAGGTGGTTATCGATTCTCTATTGTATTTTTTTATCTGGGACAGTACTGCCCGATTGGTCCTAATTCATCATAATTTACTTGTATTAACGTCGGTAGTAGTTTTTTTAAAGGTAATCTATCAATATAACATCAATACTTAAATTTCGGCCAGTTGTGGGTTGAATCATTTCTGCACGACACGGTACATTCCTACTCTTGGCGATTTACTCTAGCAATATGATCTGAGGGCCTAGTGTGATTTTATTTCACATCAACTCGATCGTCACGGTGACCGCGTTTGGCGTTGCGATTTGCCAGCACTGAACTCTGCACCAATCGCAGCGCCGAAATTGATGTGAACTAAAGTCGCACTAGACCCCTTGGACACAAGTGAATGGTTGCACCGCTTTCCTAGTCTCGGCACGCCCGTGGGTGCACAAACCTAAGTGCTAGATGTTATCTGTACGTGATTCACACGCATTGAGGTGTAATAGTCATACATTACACGCATCTGGCAGAAATTCAAAGCCCTTAATAGGAATATTTACATTCTTTTATATGGATTTCTTGTAAAAGGCTTAGTAAAATAAATAATGTACATCTTGTACGCCATAATTAACAACAGTAGCCCATGAAGTCCACGAGTGTAAAACTCTGTAAGTAGGAAATAAGAGAGAGAGTTGACACTAAAAATACACTACCAAAAGGATGTGATAACCTGAGCTTTTGTCATTGGAAATTGTCACAGTAGACCAACTGTAACTGAAATGAAAACAATTTTGGATTAAAGTTACCCTGGACATAACCAAATTTAAGCCTTAGTTAACGGCATAAACAATTGAAGGACCCTTTGATTTTGTCCCTGTTTTATTAATAATATCATTTTAGAGTTAAGATTGCTCTAAAATAATTTATTGACTTTATTGCGATCACGGCCAAAAAATCGAGTATTCGTTTCTCCATGTTGAATAGTATAACCAAAAAACAAAATAACTAGCCATTTTTACATGTGTGTATTGTAAATAACTCGTTTCTTCACTCATATGTTTGCAAATGACCTGGAAGGCCTGCAAAACCGACTGGAGATACACTTCTACTCTTAACAGAGTTATCTGTTTTGTACGCTTTCCATACAAATTGAAGATAGCTACGTACAATACATATCTATTCCATGGAACCATAGCTGTACACCAGCACCAAAGCACAGGTTAAAAAACAGGCCGAAAACGCTTGCTGAAACCACTTAAAATGGGGTCTCTTCATATTGTACGGAGAAGTTCAGTGATTTTTATTTATTCTACGGAGTGTCGAGACTGGTCAGCTTTAAACTGATTTAATTGTTTTGTTTAAACAATACACTTGTTGTCTACGTAGCATTGAGTATGTAAATTTGAATACTCCAATTTGTTTTGGTCTTCTTTAGAATCTTAGTAGAAAATCCTGGCACTTATCCTTTATAGAACAAATCAAAGTATAAAAGTAAAAAAAACATTTATTCTCTTTGATATTTTATGTGCATCGGAAGTTTTGTGGTAAGGTTGCCTCAATTTTCAATTATATTTTATGGTAGTAAGACATTTCAATTCCTTTTTTTAATACAGGGTAGCACAGAGAATATTCCAGCGGGATATGAGCCAGTATCCTTGCTCGAGGCTCTAAACGGCCCTCACCCGGCGAGATCTTTGATGCCTGCGCGTCCTGCTCCTGCCATCGCCAGCCCAGACACTGACACTGCTTCACAGGTACCTAATTCTTGAACTGAGTTGAAAGAATATAAAAGTTGTTTTTGTTTGAACCTCATTCTCTCTTATTCTTTTGGATATTTATCGAACAAATAGCTAATAACACTCAATTAAGTCAGTTTTAAAACAAAAATAACCAAACCTAAATAGGTCCATCCGTTTAGGAGCTATGTACAAACAGATACACATGCACGGATACACACGATAAAAAACACCTGTATTTTTTGCTTCTGCGATGTCGTACATACAACCATTGGATGAGCCATACAGTCTAAGCCACTGACGCGCGCACTTCGCACATTAAACCTAATAGCCAGCGAGATAGACATATTCTGTTGTGCTCTGAGTGAATTCACAAGAGTAGCGTTGAATGTTATTTGCTATAACATGGACCTGTAATACGTGAGGCCTGTCGGCCTAGTGGGCCCGCCCGGGACGAGTGGTTGTGTGATAGGCGGGTCAGTATGTGCCGTGTCTGGGAGTGGTTTGTCTGTGATTGGTGTGATTGGTGTGATTGGAAGTATATGAGTGTGACTGTGTGTCTTGCTGTAGTGATGAATGAGGTTGCTAAAATTGTTTATAAAATAAGTGTTATTTACTACTATATATATTTTTTTAACAACAAATGGCTACACTATTGTATTAGGTACAAAACCTGTAAAAATAGTTGTATTGTGTGTCATATAAATAAATAAATAATAATAGATAAATTGTAAACTTATATTTGTTTTATGTCTAGTGTTAAAACTATGTTGAACTAGTGGTTATCGAACCTGAGTATTGGGTTGGGTTCGATCTCTCCCAAGACTAATATTGTATGCTGAACACAATCATTTGTTCTGTATCTGGGTGTAATTTATCTAAAACATGTATGTATTACCATAACATGGTACAGCTTTTGTCTAGTTTGGAATTATTATCGATAGCATGTTCGCCTCACATTGTCATGTATTGAGATAAATGAAACTTAGAAGTTATTTTAATACTGTTTTCATTCATGGACAGGCAGCAGAAATCCTAAACCGCTGCAATCTGGAGCGCAGTTCATCCACGAGCTTGGGGAGCAGCGGCAGTAGGAAGGCCAAGAGTGGCTCCAAGGATGACGTGAAGAGTATGCGTGATCGATCCGCCACGCAGACTGTAACGCCCGAAGTATGACCTGCAAAAACTACTGTTACTTTTAGTCTAATATTGATCGGCCTGTAGGTCTGATGGTAAGGGATCCTGTCTGCTGAACCAAAAGTCGCATGTTTGATTCCCACCCAGTACAAAAAATCGTCGTCCGAGGGATTATGTGGGAAGGAATGGCACCTTATACAAGCAGAGACACCATAGTTCATTCGTGTTTAAAAAAAAAATGTGACGTAACCCTGGACCCTGACCAATCATGCTCCAAGCTCTCGTAGCATCAATAATTTCTGGATCCAAGAAACAAGATTGGTCAGGGGGTGAAACTTGATCGATGCGTCACTATTTACTTAACGCGAATGGACTATCCGTGTGGTGATGGATTAAGAAAACGGTGTGTCACCATCCCTATTCATCCCATGGGTGTCGTAGGAGCCGACTAAGGGAACAAACTACGCAGGACAACAGCACTGCAAAGAGAAGGAAAACCCTATACCAACCATTTGGCCAGTATAATTGGCAAGTATAATTGTTATTAAATTATGAATGTGTAACTGTGTACAGTTCCGTATGTCGGTGCTGTTGGCTCGCGAGGAGGAAGCTAAGCGCGCCGAAGAGAAGGCAGCCGCCGCGAACAGCCCCCTGCTCTACAACCATAAGGGTGTCAACGGAGACAAAATATCTAAGGTACGGATTCTGTGCTGATTGTTACATTATAATTTATCATCATCATCAGCCTATCGCAGTCCACTGCTGGACATAGGCCTCTCCCACTGCACGCCACTTAGATCGATTTTGTGCTTCTCGCATCCAGCTCCTGCCAGCCATCTTGTGCAAATCTTCACTCCACCTGGCCTGTGGGCGTCCACTACACTACAAAAAAACGATAAAATGATTAATAAACAATTTTTAGCCAGATTTACCTTTTAAAATCATGACAGTTTGCACGCACGCACGCACTCAGTTAAACGTACGCAAATAACTTTTTTGTGCCAAACGAGGTCGTCAAAAGGTATTTAAGAACGTGCGTGTATTTCGTCTATATAAAATGGATTGTTGTATTTCAGTATTTCAATATAACATATACTAGCGACTTGTCCCGGCTTTGCACAGGTTTAAGTACAACATTCCTATGTCTTTCAAGGCTTAGCAACTGGGTTCCAAAACATTTTTTTTGTTACTTAAATAAGTATTTGAGGATTGTTATATATCTACACCTTTCATAAAAATTATCTGACAGATGTGAAAACTGTATCAAAATTCGTAGTGTAGTTAGAGGAGTTAGCGGAAAGCAGACAGGTGCTTGAAGCAACTTTATTTTATGTTACGTAAAGGTTTGAATAATGAAAAACATTAGTAAGTTAAGGTTATCTGCCACTAACGTCTCATGTAAGGTATCGAATAAGCAGCAGTGGTGTTGGTTCGCAGTCGTCGCTGAGTCTGGAGTACGGGGCCGACATGGAGTGCGTGCAGGAGACGTCGGGCTCGGACGACGACGCGCGCGCCGCTCCCGAGCCCGACAGCGACGCCGAGAGACTCTCGCCCCTGCTCACACACGCCAACACCAACGGGGTACGTACTGCGCACACGCACACTTTAAAGATAGCCTTTTCTGGCAATTTTCGTATTATTAAAATATTTGTATGTTGTCGGGACCTTCGGTTCATTGATTCATTAAAGTAAATAAGGTTTAGATTTTTCTGGTTATTAGGAATAATAGCCTTGAGATCGAAATGAACGGTTTTCATTAATAAATTTGTAATACACATTAGACATATTTCTTAACTTATTTATTTAAAAGATTCTACTGTCCTTCAGCGTGTAATTCATGTTACTGCTTTTTAGTTGTTATTTTTATATTTTTTACCATCAAGTTCTGTATTTGTATTACAATGTCGTTGTCAACGGTTAGATCGTGAAGAGCGCAGGAATATCTCGCGGCTCGCCGTCGCCCGTGGGGGGCGTGGCCATAGTGGCGGTGGGCGGGGCTGGGGGCGGGGCCGCGGCGCTGGCGCACATCGACGACACCGACCCGGAGGAGCCCGACCAGCCGCACCACTGTCAGTATACCACACACCTGCATCCGCTTCACACATCCACCCACATTTTATATTATATTTGAGAATCAGCTTCGTCTCTCTGTTACGATTTTACGCCTAAACTAAACCAATCTTAATCAGTTTTGAAACAGAAGTAGACAACCTTGGTGATCGACATGGATTAGGTACTTTTTATCGCGAAAATAGGTTTACACTTAAGATTTGATGAAAGTAATGATATCAACAAATAGGATAAATTGATTAAAATTGTAAACTTGTAATTGATTTACGGTCATTCTTGACGACGTACTCATGTTTAGCTTGCTAATTATATAATAGGCTATAGCCATGTAGTTATACCAAGCCAAGTACTTCCTGCACTATGAGAACCACACTCATTTTACTCTCTTTACTTCTTATGACGATTTTTTTTTAATTTCAAACAAATTTTTGGTATATATTTGACAACTTTATTAAATTATTAAACCACCGTTTCATATTATTAAAACAACTTTAAAGCGATTAAAATTAGTGTTATTTATCTAAAAAAGTGTATAGAGGTGGTCGGTATCTATATCAATAATAAATATGATGTGCAGTAATTGTTGTGATGTTGAAATATTAAAATCAAATAGTTGAAATATGACAAATCAATTCAAATTATTTATTTTTGCTTTGATTTGATTGACTACCTACAAATATTATGCGTATCAGCTTAAATTGGTCTAAATGTTCGTGTATGTGTTGGTTGGTTATGTTGAGCGACCGAATTACATGACTCTACGATTTGGTCGAAATGTTCGCTTATACACTTAGTTCTATTATGTAAATGTGACTACGAAATATTAATTTGTTTTTAAAATAAGTGGTCATACATACATTATAGAACCAATGAAAGAAATTCAACCAAGTCAAATAAAATCAGAAAATAAGTTCTGATACAATTTGAAAGCAGCTTTTAACAGTAACTAATCATGCATGCTTGTTAGCGATAGAATTTTATTGATTTTTTTCTTAAATAAAAATCGAATGTATATGTACTGCGCAATACATACGCACCGAAGATTGTAGTAGCATCATGACCGTGAGGATCATTCTCTATGATGACGTCAAGCAACATGGTATCAACAAAGCTTTTTAAATTGCGAATACGTCAAATCGATATTAAAGTTCTGCATTTTGGACTTTTAGTTCTACTATATTAATGTTGCCAGATTAAAAAAAAACAGTTCCTTTTTTAAATCAAACGAAGAAAAGTATTAAAGTTTATAGTAATGGAACAGTTTAATGTTAAGTTTAGTCACTCGAGCAATTAGCATTAGCTTATTAACATTTGCAATACTGGTATTTCGTGTAGAAGTTTATCCCTCTATCATAAAGTTGATGACTTAACTAACTTTATTGCAATAGTAGTGGAGTCAATTATATCGCGATCTTTTATGGGGTAGGTGTGGTGGACATTTTACGATAGTCAGGAGCTTCTATTTTGAAAACAGTTACTTTACACTAAAGTATAGTTTAGCTAATATTGAAATGTACGAGAATATTTATAAAACAAAATGCAGTAGATTACACTTGACATTGTCATAGAGAATCAGGGCTCAGTTCATAATACGTTATACAATCGCACGCAGCGAGCGGAAGTCAGTCTCGTAACGATGTGGAGTCGCCGGCTGTCGCCGAGGACTCTGATTATTTCACGCCCGAAGACACCAACACTACAATTCTGACCGTACCTAAGACGAACAAACTCTCAGTAAGTGACGCCATCTTGCCATCAGTTGTCATCGTAGTAGTGTGACGTCATCATGCTTTGTTTGTGTGCGTGTTTCATTCGGTTTTGGTTTCGCAGTATTTTTTTTATTTCGCGTCGTGTCTTAATTTGCACTTTCATTTATCATCTGGCATTTATAGAAATAAATGTTGTCTGTGGGGAGGGGGCGAGCACGTTGCAGAATCGCGGCGATGCACTTCTGTAGCCTAACGAAGCTTCTGGTCCACCATGACGAAGGTCTAACAGGGATTGTACAATGTAACATTATGCCCATATGATTGCATGGAACGGACGTGTAAGCACCATACTCGTAATTTTAAATTAATGGTTTTGACCATAATTCTATTTCGATGATATGATCATGCAAATATATGAGCACAACTTAATACCTGATATATGTAAACGTGTTGTTCTAAAATTGTTATCTTTTCCAGGAGCCGACTAATAATGGAGACTGTACCCCACAACGCTGGGCCCTTCCACATCACGTCACTTCTTTACCTGGTAACCTAATATTTAAAATATTTTTTCTAAAGTTTTCTACAAGTAAAATTGCCACAACTATTTGATGAGTCGAAACAAAATAGCGCTCCCATTTCCGCTGTACTTATTACCTTTTTTTTTATTATTTATTGTTACGTTTGTGGCGACTCCCACATACAAAAGAAACAGAAACATACTACAGCGCCATCTAATGAAGACACACCGAACTACGGAGTAAATACTAAATAAGAATTGCTAATCCTGTATCGCCATATGAAGAATTCCCTCGCCGATTAGCATATATACAACTTACCAACATCAACCGTTGGGCCGCGGCCCGCCAGGCATGATCACCTCGCCTGGTCGGAGGATCCTCCCTTTGTGTTGGAGGGACATGACACCCGTTCCTCCACACGTTAATGAATCAATATAAAGAGTTAGGCACTAACACCGCTGAACGCACGACGGAGCATGAGGCTTTTCGTACTTGTCAAATTTTACGTGCTGTATCACACAACGGTGACACATTAACGTGGGTCTGCACATGCAATATCTAAATCCTATTCTAAAACAATCTTCATTAACTCTTTCCTTTGTATAAGTTTAATGTACTAGTATAAGTTTGTCCAGGAACTCCTCTCAGCCAGTCCAGCGTGCGCTCGTCCGGCGACTCGTACAGTTCCACTTCTTCGACCCGCCAACTGCTGGCCCCGGTGGTGACCTCCCCGCTCACCACCGACACGGCGTGCTAGCGCCCGGCCGCGGGGCTGCTCCCCCCCACGCCCCACCACCCGCGCCGCCACCCGCTGCAGCTGTGCAACGACGTCGCGTACGTCCTACCACCCTATTAACTGTCCAATCACCGACAAACGATTCATTGCTATATTATTAATAAATACAGTATAATTTAGTTCATATACATAGATAACAGCTTTCATCTTTATTCGATCATATGCGAGAACGTAAAATTAAGGGATAAGCCACGTTTAGGCTCATTTCGACGCGTGAAAGAGAAAAGAGATGTAAGTTTGAAAGAATTTGAAAGAGAGGCATATTATTTGTATCATATCTTTCTTCTCGCTTTCCTGCAATCTGAAGGAGTCATATCGTAAAAGGGACGGAAGTGTGTAACACGCACTCCTGCTTTCCCCGCATATCATACTACTTTAAGGCTCGCTTGTTTTTTTTTTTTGTAGTTGCCGTTATTTACTTACATACCGTAACTAACATATAAAGTATTTTTTTGCGAATTCGTAGTCGAGGTGAAGATACTTAGCTATGTTTATGACGTCATCACCATCTTAAACTTTAAACATTTATCGCAGAACATAAATTAATGTTATTTATAACTAAGTGGGAGGGAGCCGTTGGTTGGTATCAGGAACAGTTTCTCTCAATCAATAAAATGGAAGTTAGAACTTTGACAGGTCTTTTTATCTAGTGGATAGTGACTACCAAGCCTACAGAGATCGTAGTTTCGCTTCCCGTTTTATCTTCACACCGGCTTACTGCCACTAATAAATAATAGTTTCTATTAGAAATTGTCGTTTATTGGTGACAGGAAGCCGTTGAGTATTTGGAACGGTTTCTCTCAAATATTAATAGCGAAGGTAAAACTTCGTCTAGCGGCTTGTGATAGTTGTGATGCTGACTAGTGAGATTTAAGTCGTGTATTCGATTCCCGTTCCAGCCGACCGATGGCTTCCGTTCCCTATCTCGCTATTATTTTGAAATCATTACATCATAATTTATAACATTTCAAATGCGATAGTCGTAGAAAGTATAGATATTTTTACACGACTACTCAACAAAAAGGAGTATCCTCTTCGATCAACTCTACCATAGACACAGATTCGCTAGCAAAAATTAAAATTACTACATTCTCATTTTAATGACATTTATTTGACAATTCAAGTTAATTTCGATCATTTATATCTACTTATTAGAGAATTAAGTGTCTATGGTTGCACTATATGTAACATGATAACGGCAAATACGGACATACTCTTTGGGTTCTTGATTTTTTTTTATTTAAGGCCTAATTTTTAAATGGAGCAAATGGTATATATAAAAGGGTGTATATGAAACTTTTTTGGCTCTTAACGTGACACCTTGCGTAGCTAGCTACAGAAAGCCGTTCAGTACTATCGGCAGTTAAATACACCAGGTTTTAAAATACAGATATTCGCAGGTATAATTACGGTAATGGCAGCATAGATTTTTATGAAAAATCTTTTTGCTTAAGTTTATATTGTAATATTTTTAATAATCTAAATGTTCGTCTCTTTGTGGTATAGTCAAAGCCTGACTCTGTAATTTAAGTTTGTAAGTAATGTATGTATATATATATCTACTACTATATGTATAGCTGAATGTAGTAGGTGTGTATTTCAAATATGTATTTTAAAGGTGGTCACTGACTAAGAGCATTCGCAAGCTTTCCCGACCCGAGCTAAGTTTTAATAGTCGAAATGATTTTGTTAACGTACAATAAAAAGGACACATCTTATTTTTTTTTAAATTATATATTATGTTGACGATGTTTTTTTGGTAAGTTACTGATCACGTCGCTAGGCGGATATAATGTATCCGAACAGTTACAAATAATACGCAAATGCTCTTAGTAATTGACGGCCCGTAAGAATTGTATTTATATTAAGTTACCTTTTAGTTTTAGTTCAAAGTGACAGTATTTCTAATATTTATAATTGGGTTGTCCTAAATTATCTAAACTATAATCGAACGCCGAATATCTTACATACATCGGATGTATTCTACACATTCATATTAAAATGTAACAATTGTGTAGAATGTGGGCTTTACTCAACCTATAATTTAAATGAAGAAACCTAACATAGTGAGAATGGAAATATATATATAGATAGTTTAAATATAAAACGAGTTACATATAGTATAGTTGAGTATAGTAACATAGCTGCTAAATAGGCATACAGTTCTATTATGAAAAGCCTTTACACAAGTTCAATTTAGTCCACCATACACATATAAGATGTATCTAAAATTTACAGAATAAAAAAAATAAAGTAAGGTTGCACCCAAGTATGTAGTTTGAATAATTTTTAGAACGCAACCTATAACTATAATAAATTTGACCACTGTGATGGCAAATTTTGACATCTTTGACTAATAAGCTTGGCAATCGTTACGGGTAGCCCTAGAAAGTCCGACAACAGTCTTCTACAGGTCTTCGATATCGCTTACTTGAGTTGTGGAGGTCTGATGCAGTCCCTCCGTGTTAAAAAACGAAGTTCAGCCGTATCGTAGAAGACTTAAAGCCAACCCCAACATAGTTTGGAAAAAAGGCTCAGAGGAAGAAGTCTAAAACATGATCAAATTTAAGATAGTAAGTGCCAAAAGTGACAGTCTCCGCCATATCCTGCTTAGTCCTTAAAAACTGCACAATAAATAAATCATTGTTTATTTATAACTTCAGATGACAATTGATATATTAGTTATTTTGTATGTTCTATTTCTTTAATAAGCAATGATACAAATGTAAAATAAGTGACATGGACATAGAATTATATTATTGTAAACTTAATAATGGGTTTGGTGTATAATAATGTATGAATTGCGTCATATACATTATTTTTAATTATTCATTTTGTTTTATTGTAAATAGTATCTTGTAATATGTAACAGAAAAAACTATGTTTGTATTATCATGTCATCTTGGATTATTAGACTGAATTAAGAACATTCCTGATTTAATCTGTGGAATCTCAAGTTGTAAATCTTTATATTTTTACTTTGTGTAAATAGACCTTTTTGTTTTATCTGTATAAGATGTATTGTTTGAATTAAATAATCTTCATAAATATCACTGCAACTATTATTATAACTATACCATCTTATTGGGTGTTAAAAAATAAAAAGCAATTTCAAGCTTATATAAAATAATTTACTATAATTCTCAATATTTTATACTACAATATTTAATATCTAAAGCAGATAAAACAAGTTATGATATAAATATTATTTTTTTAACTTTACCCTCCTTTTACATAAATGAAAAACAGTTGTGTCAACCAGATCTAACAAATGATAGGTTAAGTAAATCCTAAGTGTAACTAGTATCTATTTATTTACACATATATTTATATTGAATTGCTGTTTGTTAGTCTCGCTAAGATTCCAGAAAAGCTGCACTATATTAGCTAAGTTTTGAAATAGTTTAAAATGTTAACAGTGCAGGTATAAATCTAAAAATGACGCCTCACGTGCAAACATGTTTTGTGGCAATTTGTTAAGATATACATATTTAATTATGTATAAAATACAAAAAAAAAAGCAGACCCTCTTCATTTTTTTTAGGATTTGTTACATGGACCACATGTAGTACACTTACATGCACATTATATATTTTAACATCTTTATTACAAAACACGATGAAGTTGTGATAAAATTTTAACAAAACAAAACTTAAACTAAGAAATGAGAAAAAAAAACAAACCTGTGGGTAAAATTACATTAAGTTACGTTGGCCGATTAGCACATGCAAACGGTACTTTTTTTTTCAAAACTGTAACAAGTCTATGTTTTTGTGATATACTCCACTGATAGCAAGTGCTGTTGATTAATTATTTTTGGTTTTTATCTTTCTCTTCTATAATTTATTTAAACTATTTCCTATTAATATTTGGTTTTCAACCTCGATTGCCTAGCAAGTTTTTTGGACATTTTACTATATGGTTCATTGATCATATGTGTATGTCAAAAAAATTGGTGCAGTGGACATATGCATACTTAAAAAAAAAACATTTAATTTAGATAGCCTTGTGTCCCATTTGTGTGATGATGTCTTCATAGTGGCCCACATGTGGTACATGCACTGTGAACGTTTTAAATAATAATAGTAATAATATTAATATAATAGTCAAAATAAGCCTATGCCCAGCAGTGGACTATTAAAGGCTGTTGATGTGATGAGTGTAAATCAGTTTATAGTCTAATCCAGGGAAAGTTTAAACAATATCAAAATATGGAAAAAATGTGCTTTTTTTTTAAATTTTCCTATACAAATTTTTCTTACCTGTCAAACATTTGATGTTCGTTCAGTTGGTACTTATACACTTAGATCAACTCAAAATTAAAAATGTTACATAAAGGTACAAAATGTACAGTTGACAAGATAAATCTATTATATTCAGATTTAAAAAATGCAAAATATTGTCACTATAACAAAAAATCAACATATTTGTTGGTTGTGAAATATTTATATTATTACAGATAAATAAATGTTGGTGATACAAAGTTCGCTCACCCGCTCATCTAGTTGCTTAATATAAAATTATATTGATATCTTATTCAATTTAATATTGCTCTGTATACAAAATTCTAAACAATATAGATGTGTATATAAGAATTATCAGCTTTGGCTTGGCATATGTTTATTATACACTTGCAAATTTTCTGGTGACCCTATAGAGCTAGCATCTACAATTTTTTTCATAGCCTGACGCCTGGCTGCATATGCTGACATTCTTGTCAATCTGGCTTGTCTTTGTTCTGGAGTTTCATTAGCTAGTCGCTTGGCAGCATATGCAGACATTCGAGATAGACGCTTGGCTCTTTGATCACTTGTCTCATCAGCTAGTCGTTTGGCCGCATAGTCTGACATGCGTTTAAGTCTATTAGCGCGCTGTTCTGGAGTTTCATTTGCTAGACGATGCGCAGCGTAAGCTGACATCTTAGCTAGCCGCGACGCTTTACCTGCCGGAGATTCACACTTAGGTGTTCCCGATGACTTTCGACGTCTTCGCTTAGCTGGCTGTAACAGCACGAGCGGATCCACTTCTTGTGTCATAGATATCGGCATTTCTGTTTCACAACTTTCGTCTGTACAACTGTCTTCTTGCTCTTGTTTGACATCTACAAGAGTCATTTCTTGATGCTTTGAATTCACGTCTATGCCGCTTACCGGGTCGTTCATTTTGCTGTGATCTAATTTTATGGTAGAGCTCCATTTGTTGTTTGCTTTCGCTATCACCATTTTCTTCCAGGAACAATCGGATGAACTGAAATCACCCATATTGATTGTTCAAGGATAGAGGTATCCACAGAACCATATTACTGCGAATTTAAACGATATATGTATTTACAGAGCATTTAATTACGGATTCACTGAAGAAAACATTTAAAATCATTATAATACCGATATTTTATAACAAAACACGGAACTTAAACAAATAAGACTATAATATGTTTTCTACTAAACTCTACCAGTGTTGTCATCTCGTAATCGTAATATAAGTATTTGGTAGAAAAGCCATCTAGCTTTGTATTTAATTCGTAAAACGGGAGCGACTGACTGAATACTGATGATAATTTATTATGGTTCACATTTTCAAACTTTAGGTAAAAATCATGTAATTGCTAATTTTGTAAAGAATTAGAAGAAAACTGTCGTAATAGCTATAAGTAGCTACGTTGAATTCAAATCGTAACACTTAAAAAGACCCTCTAATACTCAAAGATTAGTCTTAATCTAATTGGACTTATTCATAATCTCTTTATATTTAAGTAATGCGGTCTAGAGTAACCAACATTTGTTAGAGCGGAGACCGCGATTAGGTAAACGTACACTACGTACCATGCGGCACGATAGACCGGTGACTTGAGGAAAGTGGCTTGCACTGAATGGATGCGGACTTGTCTAACTTGACGGTCGGCGCTGTGCTGCGCCGGAGGGCCGTGACCGAAGAGGCGGTGAGCATTGGTGGCGTGCTGTTGGCGGTGTCATTGGACATCGCCAACGCATTCAATAGTCTGCCATTCGGCTGCATCAGGGAAGCACTTCACTATAATGGGGTGCCAGAGTACCTAAGGTGGCTAGTGGCAGACTATTTAGAGGAGCGTACCGTCGTGTACGAGTACCGAGATGGTTATTTGAAGTGTCGACCCATGTCGTGCGGTGTTCCACAGGGGTCTGTTATTGGACCCCTCTTGTGGAACATATCGTACGACTGGGCCCTTCGAGCAGATTTTCTCCCTGGGCTGGGTGTTTTTGTTACGCCGATGATACATTAGTTGAATTAGACGAACTTTCAAGAGGTGGTGCGCCTGGCCACCAGATAAACTGATGATAAATGCGTCCTCAAATCAATACGTGAAATGAAATGAAATGATGAAATGATATTTATTTCTGTAAGTAAATCTTTTCAGATATTTTTAAAAGTCGGACTTTACAGCTAGATGGAGCCGGCATTTCCTAAGACTCACTCTGGGAAGAAAGTCCGACACAAACCATAGAGGTGTCTTTTTTTTTAGTTCGTAAACAAAGTTAAAGAAAACTATGCGAGTACAATGTAGGGTCTGGGTAGGCCTTTTGAAGAAAGGGCCATAGTTTTAGTTTTGAGTCGGCCTATCCATACAGACGGCAAACGAGCCCCAGCCATCGTGTAGCCTAACCGATATTATTCAAGATCAACGACACGAAGCGCGACACTACCGTACAGTAGGACATTTGAGTGGGCCGACAAACCACTAAAAAGTTTCTAAATATGAACTATCATTACTACACTATACTAACATTTACATATAACATACAAAATAAAATAAAAAAATATACCATCCAAGTTCAATGAAAGCTATGCGGCTGGGCATATGAAATACTGTTCTCATCTCTATGCAAGGGCACCCCAGTACCTTTTGCCTCTGGACTGCACACAACGGAAAGCAACTCCAATCATTGATAGTCAGAAGATCTCCCCTTGGCATGACCCCTTTGGCTTGTAATTAAAATTTTAAATTAGCATAACGCTTGTAACTAAATGAAATCGGAAAGTTGGAGATGAAACGTTTCGTAAAAACCATGCATTTCTGCAGCCCACTGTACTATATCTAATGATATATATGCAAAGAGAATTTCATGAAACGAATGGAGTCGACGAATCTGAAATTTCTACCTAAAGTTTTTAAAACCAAAAGACCAAGTTTGAAAAACAAAAGTTTGTGAAACAGCAATACTATGAGTGTGAGTTGTCAAAAAGTTGGCATATAATCCATCTGTTTTATTTAGCAATTCTATTTTCATAACTTTAACTGGATCTATAAATTAGGTATCTCTATTTTACTGTAAGGAATCCATGTATTTCTTATTTAGTAATGTAACAAATTTATTCATTTGTTTCATAACTTAATAAAACTAAAGATAACAAAGCGCATCTGTAAACTGATTTTGCAGAAATTCAATGTTTATTTTTAAATTGAATAGTCTTTATTTTAATGAGCTTTATTGTAAATTTTAGGAATCTGTGACCTGAAGATAGTGATTGTGCTATAGAAACGTTATGACATAATGGTGTAGTACTCAAATTATTCTCATATCAAATTTGTCAATAAAAATGGATAGCATTCCCGAGTCACCGGTGAAGTCGAGCCCCCTCATGGAGCCCGAGGATTTCCTTCCTGAGAATGAGACCGATTACTCTAGTATTAGAGGAAAGGTGAGTGTCAATATTATCATTGTTTACCAACATTAGGAGCCCGAGTTCCCGCGTAAATCACGCCCACTCGTAATGTCTCCTTAAAATTTTAAAGACGTATTATTTTATTTCGTGTCTAAATAACATTTATGCAATATTGCCCTAGTCTTTCACAGATGTCTAAGTCAGATTTCTTTTAGGAGTCTGTGATAACTTATGTTATGGATAAACATGCAGTGCAAATGTTGCCTAACATTTTGTTTACTGTTGTCACAATACAAACAAACAAATTAGGCTATTTAACTACAGTAGTCTTATTTTGTTAAAATATAAATATCTATATTAGGAGTTGTAATAAATACTTAATTATTTCATGTAACAAAATTTGCATCATGTATTGCATCATATTTAATCAATGTATATATATTTGCGGATGTTAGTATGTATATGTCCAGAACACAGTAATGTTATACAATTCATGTGTAATAGATGTGTAACTTTTGCCAACTCAATGTCATTCCCAAAGTCATATCAGTGACAGAAAAACAATGAACTCTTATTTTGTGGTTACAGATACAAAGTATGTTTCAAATAAATTATATACTCAATATTAGTAGTATATATTATTATATTTATATACACACACACCCACATGGGGGGTCTTATTAAGTTTTTGCGTGCCCACATGTTTATAAATAAACCTAGTTTAATTTTTTTGGTCTGTCTGTCTCTTTGTTTTGGGTAGTCTTCTAAATGGCTGTACCAATTTTGATAATATTCTACTACCAGGTAGCTGTCGATATAAGGAGTAACTTAGCACCAGCTAGTTAAATATATAGTTGTTTGTTAGGATTTTGACTAATGCCTGAGATTTTCAGAATATTAAAGTTTTTAGAAGAATATAATAAGTTAATACATATTATGTAAACAATCCAGAAAAAATATATAAATGTCATCGATTTCCTTATTGCTTTGATAATGCAATATCATTTAAATCTATACTAGTATTATAAATGCAAAAGTGTATCTATGTTTGTCACGCCGTCATGCTTAAACTGCTGTACTGATTTAGTTAAAATGTGGTATTCAGATAGTTTGAGTCCCGGGAAAGGATATACGATAGTGTTTATCCCAGGAATCACCCTTTAAGGGGGTGAAAAGGAAGACAAGTTTGTATGGGGAATCAATAACCGCTGAACCGATTTAGATTAACATTTGGTATGGAGATAGTTTGAGTTGGGGGAAGGACATAGGCTTTTACCCGTGATAACCAAAAGCTAGTTACCTATAAATTTATTCGTGTGTACATACTATTGAAGATGTTTTATGAAATAAGGTATTTTTAGATGGTACTAGTGAGTCCCACAGCTGATGAGTATGAGCTTCTCCGCAAGCAACTTCTCGAGAGGATGGAGACAGGCAATGGGGAGATAATATATGATATTGGACAAGGAGAAGGTAATTTACAATACACATAAGTTTCTTAATTTCATTATGTTTTAAGGATTCATAAATAAAAAAAGACGAATAGAAAATAATTTAATCTAGACTGACATTGCTATCTAGATAGCTTAGCTTATTATGCATCTAGACCTATTAGTCTAGATGCTGCTCAGTAAGCAAAGGCTGTACTATTTACACATCTTTTCTGGAAGCATGAAACGCCCCTAACGCGTGGCCCTTAGAACAAATCTGTAGAAAAAACAAAATATGTTGAGCCTCAAGTATGCAATTTGAAGTTGTCTGTTTGGAAATGTGTGCTTTATTATTATTATTTTATAACAGAATAGCGGCAGACGATTGTGATCACAAATGCCATTGTACAGTTTTTTATCAATGTAGTAAATAATAATATACACAAACACAAATGCCATTGTATGGTTTTTATCAATGTAGTAAATTATAATACCCACAACATCACCCATGGCCGTCTGATCCCATTCCTTTGTTTAAAAGGTTTACTAGCAACTGAAATTACTGGTTTTCCCGTTACCCGTTAGCCATATGTATTTACAAAAAAAAAGTATACATGTTTTTATATCAGTTGTCTAGTACCCATAGTACAAGCTCTGCTTAGTTTGGGACTAGATGGGGTTGTGTGAATGTGGTAAAAAAAATACCCCTCCCGCTAAGCTAAATTGCTTGTGTTAGGAGTGGGTTCACGTCGGTGGTGTACTGGTCAGGATTCGTACCCACGACCTCTTGATCGCAAGTTCAATGCCTTAACTTAATAGGCCACCGCCGCTTCTTAGACAGAAAATTTGAAATTAGACAGAACTTGTATTATGCAAACCAGACTGCTCATAAATATACTTATACATTTCTAAATATTATAGATAAATTACATCCAGACAGAACAAACGATTATACTCATCACACAATTATTTGTCCATTATGGGAATCGAACCCTCGACCTTTGTCTTTGCAGTCAGGATCACTAACGACTGATAAAAGATTCAAAGATAAAAACAATATTTTCTTACATTACGATGAAATATGAAAATATTGCATCAGTTTTGTTCATATGTGTGCGTTTTTATTCATGTGGGATTTTCTTATTTCATCATATTATTTAAATATGTGTGTGGTTGTGATCAGGAATCTCTATAATAGAAATTTCTGACCACAACCACGCACATTTCCTGTTGAGGTTAATGTATGTAATGACATACATTAACAGACTGAATTGAAACCGATATTACAAGAATTGGCCTTCTGATCAATTGATCAGAAGGCCAATTCTCGTAACATCGTTTTCAATTCAGTTCCGATCCCACAACTGTCATAAAAGGTATTTTCGTAGTAAAATAGTAAAGTATTACTAAGACTAGCAGATTACCGATTCAATTTTCGGTAACAATACGATATAATCACATTAACAGTCAACGTTGGAGGTTTAATACTTTACTACGAAAATACCTTTTATGACAGTTGTGAGATCAAAAGTTTGTCAGAACTGAATTGAGACCGAACTTTTATTATGAAGGTCTTCAGGTCAAAGCCGCTTCTTTTATTATTCAACAGTCTTTAACAAAGATGTCATTTTTGGTCGTCAAATGCAATAAAAATTCTAAGAAATGTGTAACCTAAGGAAAGTGTTCTTATCTAATAGTTGATAAAATAATTATGGTTTCGGCACATCCGAATTTATACTTCGTAATTACAACAAAAAAAAATTAAGTAAATATTAGTAATAATATATTACGTATATATAAATAGTCTAAGTATTAAAATAACGTCAATTTTTATCCGCTCTACGATTGTAATAATATTCTTCCCTATTATACTCTTCCTTTCCATCTGTGAAAAGTACATAAAAGTCTGTTTATTAATTTCCGAGATGTGCTTTAATTGACAAACACACATAGTGAAGAATTTAATTTTTTTTTTTTTTGCGTTTTGTTACTTTTTTTAGTCACCCCTTTCTTTTTGTGCTTCTTCTTCCTATGTACAGATAAGTAATTTAGTATCAATAATATAATTATAAACACAGATACAACTATACCAGATAGATGACTCACAAACTTGCTGCACTGTGCAATCGTTAACGATTAATTATTTCATAAAACGGTGCGTGAGTAGATAAAGGTGGAGCAACTGTGCAACAGTTCACAATCTTATCTGAGTTATCACGACCCACGGATATTATCTAATTCAATGTGAACTTCAACACCATACTTCTTTATGTACGTGCTGTGCGTACTTAAAATTTTCTATTGCAGTGCAGTAGATATATGTATGTGCTGCGTAAAGGCGTCTCTTGATATCTTTTGTTCACTGCGATCTTGGGATAAACCAGAAACTTAGAATAATAACTTTACACATCTCACACACGGCTACTCTTGTCCCAAACTAGACAGAGCCTGATGGTAACAAATCTGCTGATAAACATACATATTATAAGATACTCTACACCCAGACACAAAACAAATGATCGTACTCTTCACATAATATTTGTCCTAAGTGGGAATCGAACGGCTTAGCAGTTAGGGTCACTAATCACTAGACCAACAGGCCCGTCGAAAAATAAAAACCTTCATGCGTAATATTAAATTTTATTAAAGATTAGCCGACCGGCACAACTTCATCTGAGTCTTGTCTGCTTGTTACGGTTAAAACTGATCATTATCAGGGTTAGAAAAGAACATAAACTATATGTATGTATGAAAGTACCGTATTGCTAAACTTGCAGCTATACTTCCAAAACCATGGTATCATAATATAAGATTCCTACAGATGGTCGTGGCCTGACAGAGGACGAGTACAGTGCTTCTGTAGCGACGCTACAGTCGCTTGTGAGCGGCGAGCGCATATCCTGCGTCGAGCTCCGACGATGGGACTGCGGAACCGGTATTACTGGCCAGTATTTACTACGTACGCAGCTGGACCACACTGATTTCATGGAGATCAGGTATGGATAGTCAATGTTACGTGTTAAATCATTTTGCGTTAGATCTACTTTAGGATACATCGAAGTGGTTTATGACAAGATCGGTAAACTGAAATATTGCGGGTAAAATACCAATCCTTAAAAGTACCTTATAGTTAATTTATAAAAACAGTCAATTTGCCGCCTTATGCCTGTATACATGGTGTTGAATAAAAATCTCCCAAAAAAATCAATAAAAAGTTTAAAATTTAATTGACAGTTACACAACTTTCTCCCATGAAGCTTTATTATTTCGACTACATCTACCGCTACCCATTTTTGAGAGTACTCCTCATAAAGGTGTTGTGGTAGATGCTGTGGAAGTGAATGTTCGGGATACTATTGCCCCTAGTATACCTGTAGCAATAACAGCTGTATTGGTCAAATTTCCGTTGGCCGTATGTCGTCTTTTTTGGTAAGCTCTAAACCCCAAGAGTGTTTACAGGCCTCAGTTTTCTATGTAGTTCTTTTCCGTGCTGTTTTGTGAAAATATACTTCTATTAGTAATTTATGACGGAAATCTTTTCTAGCGCTAGAAGACGTCATAATATCTGCGTGTCTGGTTAAATCTGTTTATTGAATCCAGCACTAGTGAGAATAGTGACGATATCCAACCCATTTATTTAGCAAATCGAGTACATATTGTCTTTCACAAAACTGTTAACCTTTACAGTTATTATTAAGCATTCAGTTCTTTTTTTTAGAGTGGCAGTAGTGGGCAATGTAGACGCGGGTAAATCGACACTCCTGGGCGTGCTCACACACGGTGAGCTGGACAACGGGCGAGGGTACGCTCGACAGCGGCTGTTCAGGCACAAACACGAAATGGAAAGCGGACGCACCAGCTCCGTTGGCAATGATATCCTGGGCTTCGATAGTATGGGTGAGTTATGAGCTGTAAAATGCCTTTGTGTGTATTGATATAAAAGTTACGTTCAAATGAAAGCTTAGTCCTCGTTTCAGTTGTGTATACTGACTCAAGATTTGTTTTAGGCGTAGTGCTCTGGTTTATCACATATTTTAAGTAAAGATATGACAACGTTCTGTTTCTAAACCGACATTAAAAAACTAGGCGGTTCTCGATTCTATTGTTTTCTTTTAACTTATACTTGAGTAGCGTTTGTTAATTAAGCGTGGCAAGTATTTGTATTTGCCAGATGCCTTGTGTCTTACATTTTCATGTTCATCATCATCAACAGCCTTTAATAGTCCACTGCTGGATATGTCCAGCAGTGGACTATTAAAGGCTGTTGTGTATACTGAGAGGCTTATGAGCCTCTCCTTAGAAAGGAGGTTTTGGCCTACTATACCACGCTGGCCAGACGGGTTGGTATAGGGTTTGTGTCAAGTTTTCCTTCTCTCTGCAGTGCTGTTGTTCTTCGTAGTTTTCTCCCTTAGTCGTCTCTTACGACACCCACGGGATGAATAGGGGTGGTGACACTCTGTATTCTTAATCCGTCACCACACGGATTTCATGTTGTGTAGGCTAAATTTGGATCTTTGTCTAGACTTACATGTACCTATCTCCTAATGTTTCCAATAACATGTAATGTGAGTAATCTGATGCCCAAGTCCGAGTTCATTTTACATCGAATCGATCGTCACAATTGGCCTGCACTGAACTCTGCACCAATCGCTACACCGAACGCGCTTGCTGTCGAGAGCGAGTTGATGTAAAATAAACTACACTTGGGCCTCTGTAAGCGTACCTTTTAGATATAAATAAATATTTTTTACCTCAGGACTTCATCATTTGTAGACCGATTTGGTCGTAGCGTTTGATCGCTTTAAAATTTGAGGAAAAAAAAACTAATCCCAAGAGTGGAAAATTCCCTCAATTTGCCGCAGTAGAACAGAGTTTATTACAATTCATAACGGTTTACAGTAGTTTACTCATTGAAATCAGTAATTCTCTTTTAAAAGTTAAGTTATGTAAGTTAATAAAAATAATAATAATAAAAATAATTACATTTTTTTTATTTTTGACGATAAAAGCCTAAATGAGATCTAATGAAATATCACTAGCTTTTCATTTTTGAACTATTAATTTTTCTTATAATTTAAACCAAATAACCGGTAATCGATTAGCTTAGGTTATCTTAGCTCGTATCTACATTTAAGTGATATGTGAAACTGATTTCTGGGCGATAAAATCTAAACACTATTCACTTGTTATTAGTTTCCTCATTACTTTTAAAGTACAAAGAAGTGTAAATAATGTGTTGATAAAATAAAAATAATACAGTTTTGACTTTTCATAAAATAAGCCGGGGTAGCCTAAATATTGAAGCGATATTTTATCTCCGTGTGCCTGTATAAGGACACGTATATTATACCATTACCACCACAACCCAATACAATGCATAACCCTTTGCAATGGTTCGTGGTGTTTTTAGTTGTTTGTAATCCAACTCTCCTTGGGAATGTAATCGCTTTCAGACGGGACAAACGGACAAGGTAAATTGGAATAAAAAGAACGGAAGGAACTAGGGAGCTTTGGTTAGGGACACCGCAAATCTCGGAGGGGGCAACGGGTTGGGACTTCAGAAGCTCGAGGGACCCGAGGTTGCGTACCTGTGTCCAGTGATTAGAAACGCCACTTAGGGATATCAACTGGCTTTAGTGATTGTAAACGAATATGTATTAATATGATAAAGTTGAATAATATTAGGTATTTGCTTGATATTTATTTGTATAAACACGCTAATTACTAAATTTTAAACTTCCGCGTTCGCATCATATAATACTTTTTTATAGTTTTATGGCAAAACAAGTAGACGGGTAGTCTGATAGTAAGTGACTACCGCGGCCCATGCACATCTGCGACTGTCACGAGTCCGTTGCAGTCCTTAGGACGCCCTTTATCCTTTGAACCCCCCTCCCCTCACCCCTTCCAGAATGAGGGGGAGGTAGCGTTCATGCCCGCCGTTATTACAAGCCGTAGATGGCCCGGAGTCCGTCAGGGTACATTTCCTTTCTAGGGTACACCTGTACACAAGAGTCCGACACAACCACCGGCGGGTGGTGTCCGAAAGGATTTCCGCACAAAAAAGGGGGTAGCAAGGGTTTGAGCTCCAGTAATCCACTCGTTGGAAAGCAACGAAATAATTGCTCAACACTGGTTTGTGTTTCCTAGGAATCACTCCAAACTTCATGTATCCGGCACCATTTAAATAAGTATTTTTGTATTGGATACAGTATTTGTTGTAGAAGGCATTACAACATCACTCTACAACCCTAAGGAACACAGTAATGACCATAATCATTAGTTAATTTGCGAAGAAAGGCTGGTAGAAAAAGTAAGGGTAGGTATTCTGCGTTGAAAATGACGAAAAAATGTATTACTCGAAGAAATATTTGCAACGATATGCTCACACACTAGCACACTTTAAATACAGACGCTCGCAAGGTTTTTCTACTTTACTTGTTGTTTCATATTAATAAAAGTTTGTTTTTATGTCTAGTGCAGTGGAGCATGTAGTAAGCCAGACTCTTGATTACTTCACAGAGTAATAAAATCAACAAAGGAATAACAAGTCGCAATCGGGCATTGACTTTGGTATTTGAACATTGTTATGATTATGACATTGTTACGGTTATGAATACAGATTGTCACCACCCCTATTCATCCCGTGGGTGTCGTAAGAGCCGACTAAGGGAGTAAACTACGCAGTACAACAGCACTGTAAAGAGCAGGAAAACTTGACACAAACCCTGTATAAACCCATCTGGCTAGCTTGGTATAGTGGGCCAAAACCTCCTTTCTAAGGAGAGGCCTATGTCCAGCAGTGGTCGCTATCACACTCCTGCATAAACAATATTTCTACTTGCAAATTTGTCACTATCTGAGCAGAGAGAAATAGATCTAACGTTTAAAAGTGGACTTTTTTTTAAGACAACTCTCGCACTAGGAATAAATCCTGTGTCGCGGGGACTTTACAAACATACATGAAACGGATACAAAGAAAACCCAGACTCAGAACAACAATTTGTGAGTCACACAAATTGTCGTTCCATGTGGGGATCGGACCCACAGCTTAAACCCTACGCCATACGTGCAGTTTAAGGCTGTTGATGATGATTATTAAGTTATGTTGGTCAAGTCTTTTCATATACAATGTTATCTAACATGGACAAAATAAATAAATAAAAACAAAATACTGTTACAAGAATGTTGGATAGTTTTTTTCTATAATGGCCTTCCACAATCTAAAGAAAGAAATCGTACCTATCGTATCGTACAGCAAACTCAATCCATGTTTGACATATTTTGATATTATTTGATTTAGGCAACGTAGTAAACAAACCTGACCATGGTACCCTCGACTGGGTCAAGATATGCGAGAAGTCGTCCAAAGTGATCACATTCATCGACCTGGCTGGCCATGAGCGGTACCTGAAGACCACTGTGTTCGGTATGACGGGACACGCACCTGACTTCGGCATGTTAATGGTACGATTTTTTAATTATTACTATAGATAGTTCAACTCAGTTGTGCGCGCGGCCCTATGTGTGCGTGTAAGTATGTTTATCAGCAGTCTGGTTACCATAGCACAGGCTCTGCCTAGTTTGGGATCAGACGGCCGTGTGTGAGATGTGTGAAGTTATTATTATTATTACATATAATGTAGATTTTTTCTTCACCTTCTACATAGTTTTTCCAATCATAAACAGATCGGCGCTAATGCTGGTATAGTTGGCATGACAAAAGAGCATCTTGGACTAGCGCTAGCACTCTCCGTCCCCGTATTCGTAGTTGTGACCAAGATCGACATGTGTCCACCCAACGTACTGCAAGATAATCTGAAGCTGCTCATCAGAATCCTCAAGTCCTCAGGCTGCAGGAAAGTGCCGGTCATGGTGAAGACGAAAGATGATGTGATCGTGAGCGCCACCAATTTTGTCTCACAGAGGTAAGTGTTTATTTAACCACTATACGGAACTCTTATTGATAAACATGTGACGTTACATCTGTTTCTGTCTGCTCAGCAGTGCTCTTCTCTAAGGAAACAGCTAAACTAAGTTCGTTTGAAATCCGACGCTATAGCGCTTTCACAGCGTCGAATTTCAAACAAATTTAGTTTGAAGTTCTACGCCGTGGCATTACTTCACTTCATCAATCCCCATCAACATCCTTTATTAGTCCACTGCTGGACTTTATTAATTTACTGAAATTAAGCTAGAAAAGCTAAATCTAGAGTACTTCTTGTACGAGGGCTGCTTTTTATGTATCCGTAATAACAAAGTGAAACAAACATATAGCATTTATTAGTTTCGATGCACTTTTGCTTACGTTGGCACCAATTTTCGTAGCACTTTTTCCATTCTGATTGTGGTATCTCTAAAACGTTTTGAACGCATCAACAGTCTCTTCACGGCTCGAAAAACGTTGACCACGTAATTTATTCTTCACGGTTGGGAATAAATAGAAGTCGTTGGGGCCAAGTCAGGGCGGATGACCCGGTAATTCGATCTTTTGATCTTCCAAATACTGAGTTGTTTCGGCCCATGTGTGGCAGCTAGCATTGTCATGATGAAGAAGGATTCTGCGTTGTCAGTTATTCTTTCTTATTTCTTCAAAGACTTCTGGCAAACAAATGGTGGTGTACCATTCAGAATTAACCGTTTTACGATCCTCTAGTGGCACTGCAGCCACATGTCCATTTATACCAAAAGACAAGCGACCATTTACTTTTGGTTGTTTTTGATGGTGCTTCGTCCCCAAAAGTCGAAGTGCCTTCGCCGAAAATCGCAATAAATCATAGCACGAAAATTTTCACGAGTTAAATTCAAAGTGTTAAAGACACGCAATTTTTAAAATGACGCCACCAAGGAGAAACAAATACTACATGAAACAAATTGTATTCTTCAGACAAAGCGTTCATTTTAAATGTTATAATTACTTTTTAATATTGTTCTGTAACTGGCCAGTTCCGGATACATAAATAGCACCCCTGTATTACGCGATATACTTGTAACATGTTCGCAGGCTATGTCCAATATTCCAAGTATCAAACGTAAGTGGCGAGAACCTTGAACTACTGACCATGTTCCTGAACCTGCTGAAGACCAGGATGCCCTCGCACGACGACAAGCCCGCGGAGTTCCAGATAGACGACACGTACTCAGTGCCCGTATGTTGTAAATATCATCTATATTGACATTAACTATCCTACTTCTCATACATACTTGATTATAACTGAACTCCGGTCTACAAACAATAATAAGGGCCCGTCTGCATAGCGATATTTCACCGCGCGTTTTTTTGCGCAAAATTCTGTGGAAATAAATCGCCACCGTATTTGCATCAAATGCGATTTTTTTTTTCCGCCAGTGCTGATACTCTATATAGATTCCATATGTCACAGAATATTGCGAAAAAGCGCGCGGTAAAATATCGCTGTGCAGACTGGGCCTAATGATCTCACATACTGCCGTCTGATCTCAAACTACTGTGCTGTACTATGGTAACCAGACTGCTGATAACCATACTTAGGTATATATATTTCTAAATACATAAATATTATAGATAAATTACGCCCAGATACAAACCAAATAATCCTGCTATTCACACAATTATATGTCCTGGGTTTGAATTGAATCCACGGCCTCTGGCTCAGCAGTCAGGACCACTTATCACTAGATCAACAAGCCCATCAGCTGTTATGCCACTCCCACTCTACGTGTGGAAGTCAGCCACCTATGGCACCTTTTTCTTCAAGGCAAAAGTACGAGCTCACATTTCACAAAACTTATCAGAATCATCTCAGGTCTAATATTTTATACACTACTTTCATAATATGTAAGTTTGTTTGTAATAGTAGACAACTTTTTAGTGGGTAAAAAATTCAATTCCCGAGAGGCAGTACAAAATGCCTTTGAAGAGTTTGTTGCCCTCCGTCCAGCTGATTTTTACAAGAAGGGCATCGATAAATTGCCAATGCGCTGGCAAAGATGCGTCGATTGCATGGGTGATTACTTCGAATAACAGAAATAAAAAAGTTTGAAAAAATAAGTACTTTCACTTATTGCATACAAAACGGCAATTTCATAGGTAAAGACCTATTATGTAGGTATAAATATTAAAAATGTTATTTTTTCTTGTTTTCTACTTAAATTTAGCCTTTTTCAAGGTCGATTGGTAGAAAATGCCTACGGCATTAAGTCCGCATTTGTCACGTTCATATGTGCATAAAGTATAAATAAATTCTTAAACAGTTGTGCAACTTTTTTGTGCAGAAAATGCTAGTTAAAATAAAATCACAATAATATACAGTACTGAAAATTAGTTAAAAAAAACATGCATGGCGAACAGCGTTTCGTATGAAAAAATAATAAGAATAATTAATAATGTTAGGGTGTGGGCACGGTGGTGTCTGGCACGACCCTGGCGGGCACCATCCGCCTCAACGACACGCTGCTGCTGGGCCCCGACCCGCTGGGCCGCTTCACGCCCATCACCGTCAAGAGCATCCACCGCAAGCGCATGCCCGTGCCCGAGGTGAGGGGGGGACAGACCGCTAGCTTTGCACTCAAGAAGGTTCGTTTGTATTTTTACTCAAAGGTATTATACAAGTCTAAGAATATTCATTAATTACCATAATACTCTTTAGAGAAGACTTTCATTTTATGTTTAAACATTAAAAAGAACTGTTTTAAATTCTAGAAATTATTCACTAGCTCTAGCAGTAGTTAGTAGTTTAATATTTGATCTCAATAAATAAAACAAAGACGGTTTGGTTTATTGTATACTTAATTTAAGAACGGCAGGACCGACTTTTATTTTGCTTTTTTTTATTTGTCTGCGCACCGAATAGCAAAATAAACATATTTTTAAATTTCATGATAGAAATATGAAGAAATTTCTTTTTTTTTGTCATACATTGCTGTGACTAAAAACTCAAGTGAAACTGCGGGGAACTGCTAGAAGTTATAAATAAATATTATAGTTTAGTATAACTAAAATTCGATATAATAACTCGAGATTGTTCGCTCGGCCCGGGCGCACACATTAACATACTGTATTGTGTCATCGTAACATAACAAGGATTCAGGCGCGCTCGTTAATTGTAAAGATTTAAATAAATAATAGTAGTAGTACTACTCCTGTAGTACATGTTTCACTTACAAGATGTATTTGTTATGTTTAGATAAAACGGTCTCAGATACGAAAAGGTATGGTGATGGTATCACCGGCGTTAAACCCCCAGGCGTGCTGGCAGTTCGAAGGGGAGATACTGGTGCTGCACCATCCCACCACTATATCGTCAAGGTACCAGGCTATGGGTACGTATCGATAAAGTACAAAGAAGTTATTAAAACATTTATGCTGATGTATGAGATTTTTAAAATTTTGGAGATTTAGAGATCAGTTTGAGATTCTAATTCTTAAAGTCTAAAGTTACGTATAACTGTCATAACGTTTTGAAATATCATATCGCTTCCTGTTACCCGTTTCCGTCTCTTTTCTACAGATGGCATTAAATCTAGATGTTATGTATAACTGCCATAACGTTTTGAAATATCATATCCCTGCCTGATACCCGTTTCCGTCCCTTTTCTACAGATGGCAGGAAATCTAAATTCACAAAATATACTACAATTTTTTTAAAACGGCATTACCAGAATAATTTTTAGTTGAAGGAATATATTTGTTTGCAAATTGCGTTATATGTGGTGTCGTGTGCCAGTGCACTGCGGCAGTATCCGCCAGACGGCGTCGATCCTGTCGATGTCGCGCGACTGCCTGCGCACGGGCGACAAGGCGCTCGTGCGCTTCCGCTTCATCAAGCACCCCGAGTACCTCAAGCGCGGGCAGAGGATGGTGAGCCATACACGTTATGATCATTATTTTTAATTTTGAACATTTATTTTATTTAAAAAACTGGTAATTTTCTTAACTTTTAGGTTACTTAAAATTAATGTAGACATATAAACGATGCTAAATTAAAAAAAACTATTTAGATATTTATGTAGGGTCAATTTAATTTACTTTGGTATCAGAGTAGATTAACAAAGTAGATTGTAAAGTTAAGCAATCCTAGTCTAGTCAGTCTATGGATGGGTGACTGTGTTTATTAACATAATATAACGTGGTTATTATTCGGAATATTCGGCAAGCACGTTAAGCCGCCCTTAATTCGATAACTTTATACAGAACTTCGATATCGCCTAGTACTTGGGTTGTGGAGGTTTGATGACAGTCGCTACGCGTAAATAATCGAAGTTCAGTCGTATCGTAGCAGACTCAAAAACTAAGACCAACCTGTAAAATGACATGTATTGTATAATATAAAATTTCCTTGATTCTTATTGTAACTTAAATCTGTATACAAATATCGAAACCATTTCTATATACTAAAGATCTAACTAAGAATTTTATTGTATACATAGGTATTCCGCGAGGGTCGTACGAAAGCAGTGGGCAACGTGCTTCGGCCAGAGCCGGCGGCGCTGAAGCCGCTGCAGCGCAACACCAACAACACGCGCCACGACCGGCGCAACAACTCGCAACAACAGCCCGGACAGGCCACCGACGTGCAGCATGCGCACCTCGTACGTTCGTCACACTCTGTAGTATAAAGAACCTTGGGTATTACCATGTGGTGACGGATTAAGAATACAATGTGTCCCCACCCTTATTCGTCCTGTGGGTGTCGCGGGTCAACAGCACTGCAGAGAGGAGGAAAACTTGAAACAAACCCTATACCAACCCGTGTGGCTAGCGTCGTATAGTAGGCCAAAAACTCCTTTCTAAGGAGAAGTCTATGTCCAGCAGAGGACTATTAAAGGCTGTTGATGGGCATTACTTTTGTGATGAGAGGGCTATGTTGGTGTAATAATTACTTTTCATTAAGAAGTAAAAGGCTAAATTACTTACTATAAAGTCCTAAACATAATATATTAGGTTTAAGCCATAATCCTACCCTTATTATTAGTTTACATTTTCGAATAAGGCTGATGAAGTTTTAGAGTGTGCAGATGACACTGGACCTTTTCTAGAAGGTAGTTACATACATTTTGAAAAAAAAAGATATTGATTGTTTGTAAAGTAATCAAAAGTAATTAGTATATCTCAAGTTCGAAAAAAAATTCCAATATATTTTTGTATTACAGCAAGAAAGTGACGTAACCGCAGTAGACTCCCCATTCGAGGTGCAGTCAGACAAACGCGGGGCAGCTGCGGGGGGCGGAGGTGGCCCCGCGGGCGGCGGGGGAGGAGGGGGGCGCCGCCCTCGCAAGCGGCACGACAAGCCGCCCGACCAGGCGCCACTCACCGCAGCCAACTAAACTCCACAACCCTACACGAATATCACATGCTTCTGACGTTAGTCGTCAACATTACAGAACAACACAGAGGATAACACTCGCGTGAAACTCTCAGAGTACAATCGTTTAATGACAGGGAAAAATCTAAATATCGCAGCACGAAAGCTCACTGATACCCCTAATCATATCCCCTATAAAAGAAATACAGTCAAATACTTCTTGTTCAATCATTTAAACGTACACGAACACTAGTTTTGCTACTTGCCATTTAATTTGTGACAATATCAGCTTTGATTACAATTGTTTATTTGATTTCTTTTTATTTAATTTGACTCCTCTCATAGAGTTATTATCCCTCTAGTGGGAATAGCCATGTTTGTGATGTTAACCTTATGTGGTGATACACAATAGAGAAAAAACTAGACGGTAGAAACTTACAGTTAGCCAGCTAGACGGTAAAAGCTGTTTTACTCGAGGTGATAACCACATGCAAAGGAACCGTGGCCTTGACATAAACAATCAACAAAATATTGTTGAATGTTTTACTATATTATGTTATAAGCACAGAAAGAAAAACCTAGCACTAGGGACTGACAAAATCTATACTCATCTACATATTTCGCACCTTTATTCATAAACTGAATTAACTTAGAATTTCAATATTGTGGGAAATCGCATTTAAAGTTTGACATTCATGTACGTGCGAGTTCGTCAAAAAGAGAACGACGATCTCTTATCTCTGCCATTTTCATGGTATCGAGTCGGCTGTTGGATTGTTCGTGTTCTACTGATGAAGTTGATTTGGTATTTATTGAAAACTCGAAAAACGTAAATTTTGAATTAATTCAGTTTATTATTAAAGGTGCGATTTAGCTATATTATCTCGCATGATAGCCGACAAATTTAGATTTTATACAAAAACTCCTGTAAATATTTTGTTTTATAGGTGTAAGAATTTATTTTTATATCAATAGATTCCCTAGTGCAACTATAAACGCTATTTATACAAGCACGAAGTAAAAGTAACAGATATTTAGATAAATGTTATATATTTCTTATTAGCGTAAAGTCCTTAGTGTTTTCTCTTCAATACAAATTTTGAAAGTTAGATATTTTTATAAACAGAAGTTGTTATTTATAGCTACATAATTAAATAGTTAATTCTATTGTACTGTTTTCTCTACACTAAATGCTTCACACTATTTTTAATATCAATAAATAACATTTATTACGTAACTCCACATTCTAGATTATAAAATTAATTAGATAGCCCTTTGAAAGACTTATGGGGCTGTATGTATGGAAATCGTAACAATTGCTACTGATAAATATTTTATTTTTTGTTTAAAATTCTATTGTTTTATTGCGAATTCGTTTATTGGAAATTAATAATATATATTATTTATATTGTCATTGAACAGTTGTATTAATAAATGTTCATTATAGATCACATATGTGAAGTGAAAAGAGGCATGAATCTATTCAGACGTTACGGTTGGCACAATGACATGTTACATAAGCAATAATATAATTAGTGTTAGTGAAGCTAGCTGGCTCTTCTCCATATCATAAGGCAGTATTTTATTACTTCACAGTACCATTATTATGTGATTTTTGTAGTTTAAGCAAATGAATATTTTTACGGTTTGTTCAGAGTGATTGAAAATAAAACTAGCTGATATAAAATTATGTAGTATTATTTAAAATGATCATTAGCTAACAATAATTATCACTAGTTATTTACACAAATCACTTCTTGATTTGTTTCTTTGCATCTTGGATACCTTCTTTTATATTTTCACTAAACTTTCTCAAAAAGGACATCAGACTACTCAGTTCCTGTGGATCCATTTTTTCTACTTTTGCTTTTCCCCTGTAAAATATTGACACAGCTAGCTGAGCCGCGCGCCTTACAGGATATGAATCTGCAAGTTTCTGCACCAGGTGTTCATTGTTAGCTAAGTATCTGAGTAAAGTCCGCAGAGGCATTGTACTTATTACACTTCACTTGAATGAAGTTTCAAAAGAGCACATATTCCGATACTTCTGCAAGAGTTCTCTCTTCAACCTCAACTGTGTTCTCAGTATTTCAAACTGCTTCAATTGGTCCTGCTTATTGTAATCAATACCAGGGAGTCTTTTGATCTGAAAAGAACAAATACTTTAGTCCTAGGGAATGAAATCTCGTCGACGACAAAAAGGGTGTGATCTCGCGAGTTTAACGAGATTGCACTCGAGCATAAAAACGTCTTGTTCGAAGCGCGGACTAACACGGACGGAGTTGCGATCTGTCTGTTTCGTTCGTTGCGCGGGAGGCGGCGGCCTGAGTTAGCGGTCGCGGGACGAGGTGTCTCTCAGTAAAATGTTACACAAGATAAATTTTTTTTACTAAAAGATAGACTTGTTTGATATTAAAAGAGAAGACTGGTTGTTTCTTTTTGCAAGAAAAAAAACATAAAACTCGCTTGAGCCCCAATCTCGCGACCTTTGCATTCCCTACTTAGTCCCTAATTGTATTAATCTCTTGATAAGCTTTCTTTCATTATACTTGTTTATATGGCTCTAACAACAACACTGACAACTCTATAAAAGCATTCCAAGTCCCGTTTTCAGTCTAAATATAAAATTAAGTATATTATTTAATAAACTATTAGATACAATTTAAAGTTAATTGCAACATGTGTTTTTTTGTGTAGGTACAGGCAGATAACTCATAATACAATGATTTAATTAATAACTGCCCCATATTTTTGAATCCACTTATAAATATTGGCATTTGCATCTTGTATAATGCTTAATGTAACAGATCCTAAGGCAGTCTAAATCGCTAGGAGTGACTGAGTATCCTGGTCTGCAGGAGTCACAATAATGGAATAATTGAAGGGATTTGATAAATAAATAGATACTCTTTATTGCATACCATGAATAGAAAACATAGTATAGAATAGAAAACAGTAGTAGTTCACTATGCCTCAGGATGATCAGTCTTTGATCGTGACAGGCAAAATTATTTTTTAGAAACATGGCTTAGTCATATTTTGTAAGTAATCCCTCCTCCTCTCCTTGCTTGACTAGAAGTTCATTTCACAGTTCTGTGCCAATATGTTTAGATAATTATTTAAAAGTACCTACATAATGATGAATGTATTTTGTACTAATGTTCACTGCATAGTTTTGGTTTTATCAATGTTACTTGATGTAGCATTTGTTGCATTTTTACAAACATCAGTTGTTTGCAAATGCATTTTAATTAATAATTGTAGATGGTTTTGCAAAATGGTGAATAAGAAAAACCCTTAGACTAAACTGTATTGGAATTCAATAGTGGAGAGGTCAATGCCAAAAGTCCATTGTACAAGGTAATTTTATTGTAGCACTTGTCAGTGTGCTCTTACTCGTAATGTTTCATCAAAAGTATATATATAAATAAACAATATTTAAAATATGTAACGGATGATTTGAGTTATTATAATATTAGCTGTACCCTGCCATGCTTCGCTGTGGCACATTATGGTTGCATTTATGAGAAATTAAAAACAAAATTCATGCAAAAAAATAGATAAGAACCATCTTTGAAGCCGGCTATATATATCATGTCAAGATATCATGACCTCAATTGGTGCATTGAGCTCAATTGCTACAGAACTTTTTGAGTTTTTGCACATTACTATATATATATGGTATATTTCTTCATTTGTGAAATTACCTAATATAAGAATTATATACCTTGTGAACCTTGATGAAATGAATAAAGGTTAATTTAATTTCATTTGTCAAAATAATCTTACCTAACAGTAGATAATGACATTGTATGTTACGTATAAAATAATATGTTAAAATAGTGTTTACCTGTGTTCGTGCGACTTCAAATTTCTTCTGTAATTCGAGGACTCTTTGACTGCAGTCTTGAGATTCCCTCGCCTTAGCAGAGTTATCATGAAAGTCTCTCTCGACACTAAATAACAACAAAGATAAAATTAATATACGACACAAACAACAGTGAACACAAATCTAAAAATAAAAGCACTACATGTGATACCTTCGTATTATTTCGTAAACGATTGGTAAAAAGTCTACATCTACGTCTTGCACGGTTATGGGACTAAAATTGTTTTGTTCGGAATGATCTGTATTATTTTCCATCATATGAGCAACATGAACGGGACGTATATAAAAACTTAACTTGCCTAATTTAAAATTATACAGATTATTTAATTTGGTTATGATAAAAAGTTTGGGTGCTAGCTGCAATCCTTTCAATTTTTGAGCACTGCTCCGGTGTTGCAATATTTAACAGTTATAAAATGCCCCTTTTACTACCATGTATTACGTAGTTTTTATTCATATTTCTAATACTGCTCAAAATTTTGATTCCATATCATCAGAATCAGAATACATAGATATACATTATCTGCATTTTCATGTGAATTAGGTTACTAATCTACTATTAAAAGGCCTTACTTGATGTAATATGGCCCATAACCATATTCGATGAATCCAACTGAGTTATAGTTCATTATTACACTCTAAGATTAGTTGATACGTTTAAACATTATTGTTACAACAACAACTTGTGCAGCACAAGTGCGGCTTTGTGACATATCGAAAAGGTAGAAATGTACAATACCATACCCATATGCTAGTTTGCCTCTTCTTCCATCAGTAATCGGCGCTAGGTCCACTACTGAATCTTGTCATGAATATCATGGACCCCATGGGTGTATTTTGTGGGCTTCGATGGCTTTTTAAATAACACTTAGAAAGACCAGAACTGAAGATCAGAAGAGACAAAGAAAAGTATCATCATCATCATCATCAGCCTATCGCAGTCCACTGCTGGACATAGGCCTCTCCCATTGCACGCCACAAGAAAAGTATAAACATTTTAAAATTGGCTAATAGTAATTACCAACATTTTACGTTCCCTGTAAATTTTGAAAAAAACAAAGAATTGTTGTTAAATACAGAAGTAAATTTTAAGAATTTATAGTATAATGCACCGGTACTATAAGTGCTCAAAATTTACTTTTGTATTTAACAATATTTCTTTGTTTTTTGTTGTGACAGGCTTTAACTTAATTCAAAAAAATAATTAAATAAAAATTACTTGAAAAGTTGGCAGCACTTACTTTGACATATGTCACTTTGACTTTGTCGTTGTTTAATCTATCTTTCTCTTTGATTACTTGTGAACTTACGCTATGTTGTGAATTTATTGATTGTAATTTGCTTATATATTTAATAAAATGGATGAAGTTGCTAAATTAGAACATCTTTCCCTGGTGTCTAAAGTGTGCACTGAATTGGACAACCATTTGGGACTAAATGACAAAGATTTAGGTAAGACGATTGCTGATGGGATGTATTCCTTTCTTGTAATATTTTGCAATAGGTACACGTTTTATTCTAACAACCTACGCACTTAGTTAAATTAGCGTGATTATAACCATCTCTTATTTATATTTGCATTTTTTTGGTAATATGAAGAATAGTATAAGTTAAGAAGCTGTTAAATCTGTCTCTAACCAAATCTTATTTCTTGTTTTAGCTGAATTCATCATCGATATAGCAGACAAGAATCCAAATTTTGATAGTTTTAAGAAGGCCCTAGTTGAAAATGGCGCAGAGTTTTCGGATTCTTTTATGACCAACTTGTTACGTATCATACAACATATGAAACCTGTTAGCAGTGCTGAACAAACAAATGATCCAAAAAATGAAGCTCAGAATCCATTGGCAAATAAGTTCCCAGGGCTGGCTATACCTAACAAGAAACCTCCCGTGTTCTCCTCTGATGAGGAAAGTGAAAGTGAAGATAAAACTAAGAAAAATGTGAGACTGACATCAAAGGAAATCTTTAAAAATGAATCTAAAAGTAAGTCTAATGATGAAGTAGTTGACCAGGCTATGGCTGAATTGGAAGCTCTGGCACCTAGCTCTGGTACTAATATCAAAAATGAACAACTAAAAAAAGGAAGTGAACATAATGAAACAGTTAAAAAACGGGAAAGAAGTCACAGCAGAGATGCAAAAGATAACATTAGAAAGAGGGAACACTCAAGGGACAGAAAGAGACGTAGCAAAAGTAAGGACAATAAAAGTCGGACCAGAGATCGCAGGAGTAGAAGTAGGGACAGGAGGAGTCGGAGCCGAGATCACAGGAGTAGAAGTCGTGATCGTAAGAGTAGAAGTAGAGACAGAGGTGACTATGATAGATTGAAAAATGATAAGGATAAAAAAAGAGGTGAGAAGTATAGAGAAAGGGGGGATAAAGGAGGTAGAGACAGGGGTGATAGAGAAAGGGATAGGGAGAGAAAACAAAGATCAAGGAGTCGTCACAGGTCATGGGATAGAGACAGGCATAGAAGGTCTAGGTCTAGAGACAAAAGATCTCCGTCTAGAGAAAAGGAAAGAGAAAGTAAATCTGGAAATTATGGCAAGAAGTCTAGAAAGAAGAGTCCAGAGGTTGACATGAGTGATGATCCAGATCCTGGTAAGGTAAGTAAAAACAAGTTTTGAATTTAATAATATTATGAAACAGTGATTATAAATTATTAGAATTTTGATAGCAAACATGTTTACTTAGTTTTATCATTTCTAACATTGAATATTTTATACTATCAGTGTTGACTAAACAGTCATTGACTGCTTACCATTAATATTATAACTATCTACTACTATTACAATAACTAAGTTATAATAACTATTTTGAATAGATAAAAACTGAATTAATATGTAAAAAGAGTTCAACTCTTAACTTAATAACCCAACCATTGTTGGTTTAATCTGTTGGTTTGTACTGCTTGTGTATGTTTGGTAGTGTTTGTGTATGTTTGGTAGTGTTTGTGTGTTGGTTTGGTGAGTGTTAACTAGTGGAGTTAATAATTAATACTAAAGAATTTTACCCATCACAAAATTGTACGATGAGCATGATGGGTGTTGATTCACTATCAGCTAGACCAACAGGCCTGTCTAAGTTATCATAGTTACAAGTGAGTCTAATAAGAGCATGTTAAATAACAGTAGCATAGATCCATACCAAACAATGGGGTGTGAGAAATTAAACTGATGTATACATTGTTTCAGATCTACAATGGAAGAGTTGCAAATATAGTGCCATTCGGATGTTTTGTGCAAATCGAGGGAGTGCGGAAGAGATGGGAGGGCTTAGTACACATCTCACAGTTGAGGTCTGAGGGCAGAGTGACTAATGTGTCTGATGTAGTCAATAGAGGTGATAAAGTCAAGGTAAGAAGTCTGTTAATTAATCAACCAATTGTAGTGCGGACATGCCTCTCACAAACCTTTCATTTTTGGTGTTTTTCTTTTTCTAATCTGTATGCTCTTCATTGAACAATCACGGTGCAGCTTGTTGTTTTTTGTCATACTTTTATTCACTTAAAATCAGCTTACATAGGTAACAAAAGACCAACAGAAAATATCACTAACTCTTGTACTTGTATATGTACAGGAATTTTTTTTTTTTTTTTTTACCACATTCACACAACGCCATCTAGTCCCAAACTAAGCAGAGCTTGTACTATGGGTACTAGACAACTGATATAAATACATATATACTTTGTTTTTTGTAAATACATACTTATTCATTTTTTTTCATTTTTAAAAGACAACTCCCGCACTAGGAATAAAGCCTGTGTCGCATGGGAATTTACAAACATACATGAAACGGACACAAAGTACACCCAGACTCAGAACAACAATTTGTGGATCACACAAAGCGTTATCCCATGTGGGGTTTGAACCCACAACACTCGGCGCAATAGAAAGCGGCGTGGCGACCTCTTAAACCACTACGCCATCCGTGTATAAACACCCGCCGTATATAAACCCCGCCAACATATAAACACCCAGACCAAACATTAAATGTTCACGCACACAAATATTTGACTTGAGCGGGCATCGAACCCGCGACCTTTGGAATAGCAGTCCGTTACACAAACCACTACGCCATTCGATTGTTAAAGGTCAAAATTGAGTTTTATCCCTCCCATACAAAAGGAGGTAGCTCTAACCAGGCAATGTGATCATACCTGGCAGACTAACGGATAATATTGCGAAGTTGTATACATACTAATAGTAACGAGAACTTTTATTGCATGATGCAAGTTTAGAAGTTACTACATAATTCCACATTAGATGGTATTGTATTATATTTTTCGTTATATTTTGAAGTCACCATGTCCGCAATATTTAACACATTAATGTACTGGTTAGTTATGACCAATATGTGTTAAAGAAAATTGTTGATACAGTTGTTCAAGACAAGTTACTAAAATATTATTGTGTATTTACATTTATTTTAATTTACTTTACAGGTAAAAGTCCTATCAGTTACTGGTCAGAAAGTATCTCTCACAATGAAGGATGTATGTCAGGAGACTGGTAAAGATCTGAATCCAACATCACATGCACATTTGGAGGTAAGACTCATAAAACAGACCATAATCTAAGAATAAAGTATTATATAGACCATCTTGATAACTAGGTTCAAGAAATTTGGTTACGAAAATGTTATATAATATTAATTGATATACCTTCAGGCAGGAGAATTCTGACTAATAGTAGAGCATGCCTACATTATTATTTTTATGTATAAGGGGGCAAACGAGCAGACGGGTCACCTGATGGTAAGCAACTATCACCGCACATGGACCCCTGCAACTTAAAAGTCACAGGTGCGTTGCTGCCCTTGGAGTCAATGGATTTGGGCTCTGGTAACCTCACTCACTCAGTGAAATTTTGTTTCCCTCAAATCTTTTTAAGAACGATAAAATAATAGTATATTGTTTTATATAATTCTATTGGTTTACGCATGCAAAATCCAAGTCAGCATGATCTTTTTTCAATACCTTAAAAAATAGTCATAGTTTAGCAAATTTATTTACGATTATAATGATGGTGATGATGGGGGGTGATGGTGAGGGGTCCGAGTAGTTATTGTTATGGGTCCTGTCTGTTTTGTGTGTATATTATTACGATCTGTGTAATTTGTAAGTGATCTGTGCCTGTAACTTATATAATACCTCTTGATCATATTCTGTATTGTCTTATGCACTGTAACTTATCTCTGATTTATATAAGTGAGGATTTGATCATCATAGCTATAAATCCTCCATAGTTTGTAATAAATAAATAAATAATTTAAACACAAACCTTCCTGACGAATCGCTATGTATGTGTAAACACCATACGAAAACCGTTCGGAAAACGTAACGTAACCAGATCAAAATATGCTACCACTTGCTTTCCCGTAAACCGTAACGTGGTAATAATAATAATAGTTGTGGTTCATCATCAACAGCTCTACTAGTCCACTGTTGGACATAGGCCTCTCCTTAGAAAGGAGGTTTTGGCCTACTACACCACGCTGGTCAAACGGATTGGTATAGGGTTTGTGTCAAGTTTTCCTTCTCTCTGCAGTGCTGTTGTCCTCCCTGTTTGCTCCCTTAGTCGCCTCTTACGACACCCACGGGATGAATAGGGGTGGCGACACTCTGTATTCTTAATCCGTCACCACACGGACGGACAGTTGTGGTTATATGTATTCTTTTCAAGTACAGTTAATAAATTTTCATTATTTCAGGCTGAACGCGAAGGTCGTAATCCAGATCGTCCACCACCGAATGCAACCGTCCTCGCTGGACTACAGGGTGGACTGGATCCTGACGAGGACTCCAGCCGTAAGAGGGTTACCAGGATATCGAGCCCTGAAAGATGGGAAATCAAGCAGGTATGAAATGCAACAGTTGTTTATTTATTGAAACTCGTGTCATTTATGTAGAATGTAAGTCTCAATTTTAGTGTCCAAATATCTTTAAAAGAAATATGAAGAAATGCCTTCTTAAATAATAGCATTTTCTCTTTTCTGTGAATCCACCGGTCAGACCTTAATCATCAAAGCAAAGTGCTTCCGGTAGAAATTTTTTGATATAGCACTTGATTACATAATTCCATTCACTCCATAGCTACTGTTATATCGTATTCTCAAATCATAATTCCATCAAAGCTATTGAACAAACTTTCAACCATCCTGATACCTATTTAATAATTTCGATGATTATGACGACTGGATGGCGTAGTGGTTTGTGTAACGGACTGCTATTCCAAAGGTCGCGGGTTCGATTCCCGCTCAAGTCAAACATTTGTGTGCATGAACATTTGATGTTTGATTTGGTGTGGGTGTTTCTATGTATAATATGTATGTATTTACAAAAAAAAAAGTATATATGTATTTATATCAGTTGTCTAGTACCCATAGTACAAGCTCTGCTTAGTTTGGGACTAGATGGCGTTGTGTGTAAAAAAAAAAAAAAAATTTGCTTACTTTGCTCCTCAATTTCATTTGTATTTCAATGGGATAGTTATAACTCAGCTGTTTAAATCCTAATAATATCGCCATGAACAAAATTTTAAAAACTATAATTATTTCACAGATGATATCCTCTGGCGTAATAGACAAGAGTGAACTACCAGACTTCGACGATGAGACAGGACTGCTGCCAAAGGACGAAGATGGCGAGGCTGATATTGAAATAGAGTTAGTGGAAGATGAACCACCATTCCTCCAAGGCCATGGACGCGCTTTACACGATCTATCGCCTGTCAGAATAGTTAAGAATCCTGATGGTTCGCTTGCACAAGCTGCCATGATGCAGTCGGCGTTGGCAAAAGAAAGAAGAGAACAAAAAATGATTCAAAGGGAACAGGAAATCGAAAGTTTACCAATGGGTCTGAACAAAAACTGGATAGATCCTCTCCCAGAGAGTGATGGGAGAGCCTTAGCTGCCAATATGAGAGGGACAGGGATTACTCCTCAAGACCTCCCCGAGTGGAAGAAACATGTGATTGGTGGAAAGAAGTCTTCATTTGGCAAAAAGACAAACTTGTCACTTTTGGAGCAGAGACAATCATTACCTATTTATAAATTGAGGGATGAACTGACTAAGGTATGGCTATTTATTATTTATTGATTTACTTTTTCATTTCTTGCACTTGACAGTACTTACTGCATATTCCTCTTAACTTTGGCTGTATTTATTTAGAACTGCAATCATGAGGATATTGATAAACTTGAAATCACCCAGCAACGCCCTCAATAATTTTAACTTCTCTGATAGAAGACATAGGACAGTCGTAAAATGATGTTGATTTTTCACTTATTTCGCAATGATTTTACTCATTTGATTGTTCATCATCACAAACCTTTCATTGTCCAAGTGAACACCACTGAGCTCTATCGCCAGCCAGTTCTTCAGCGTCCTTTTCGTACATCGTCCTTCTTATAATAATATGCAGGGCTTAAGAGTAAAATTAATTTGCAGATTTTTTGCAAATTGACATAGAAAGTTTTTACTTGTCTCTTTTAGAATTTTACCTCGGATTTTGTGAATAAGGTCATTTTATTAACCATTTATAAATGATGTGTACAGGCTGTGGCCGATAACCAAATCCTAATCGTCATCGGGGAGACAGGGTCGGGTAAAACCACCCAGATCACGCAGTACCTGGCGGAGTGCGGGCTGACGGCGCGCGGCAAGATCGCGTGCACGCAGCCGCGCCGAGTCGCCGCCATGTCCGTGGCCAAGCGCGTGGCCGAGGAGTTCGGCTGCAGGCTGGGCCAAGAAGTCGGCTACACCATTCGGTTCGAGGATTGTACCAGCCCTGAGACTGTCATCAAGTAAGTCTTAGGCGTATTTTAAATATTAGCTATTCAATATACTTGTCCACGCCTAAATGTAATATAAACATCACGTGTTTGTGGTCGCACTCCTCCAAAACGGCTCGACCGATTTTATTGTTATTTTTTTGTAAATTTGGTAGGCATAGGTCATAAAGTATTTTTCTCCTTTAAAAACGTTGCTGTTAGCTACAAATAAAATTATTACAAATTTAATTCGAAATTTGATTTAACATAAGAATCAAATTCAGCATAAAAATTAAGTCGAAGTAATTCACAATTTTTAAAACGATCTAGACAGAAAACATATCATAGAATGAATAAATGTTAGGACATTAACATTACTTTTGTTTGTTCAGGTACATGACAGACGGTATGTTACTCCGCGAGTGTCTCATGGACCTCGATCTCAAAACGTACTCCGTCATCATGTTGGACGAGGCCCACGAGCGCACCATTCACACCGACGTTCTGTTCGGCCTTCTGAAGCAAGCTGTTCAAAAACGTCCCGAGCTCAAACTGATAGTGACATCAGCTACACTGGATGCTGTCAAATTTTCTCAATACTTCTTCGAAGCTCCCATCTTCACTATACCAGGCAGAACCTTCCCCGTAGAAGTATTGTACACGAAAGAACCTGAAACGGATTATCTGGATGCATCTTTAATAACAGTCATGCAGATTCACTTGAGGGAGCCTCCTGGAGATATCCTGTTATTCTTGACCGGTCAGGAGGAAATCGACACGGCTTGTGAGATTTTGTATGAAAGGATGAAGTCCTTGGGGCCTGATGTTCCGGAACTGATCATTCTGCCCGTATACTCCGCCTTGCCGTCTGAAATGCAGACGCGTATATTCGAGCCAGCTCCACCTGGCTCCAGGAAAGTGGTTATCGCCACGAACATTGCTGAAACTTCCCTGACTATAGATGGTATATATTACGTTGTGGATCCTGGATTTGTGAAACAGAAAGTATATAATTCGAAAACTGGTATGGACTCCCTGGTCGTTACGCCCATTTCACAGGTCAGTAATTATTTTACTATGTAGTCATATGTTTAAGATTGCTTAAAGTAATTAAAATGTTTAAAATGTATTTTTGTCATGGTAAAGTACTGATTTGCTTGAAAGTACTCACTATCTATATTTATTTTACGTGTAGTATCTGTCTCCCGGTTTTTCTTGCAATCTGTATGAGTGTTTTTGTGTAAAGGGACGGAAGTATGTAACAGGAAGCCGTGCAAGCGCGGGCTATTCGATTTAACCAATGAGCATGTTGTACTAAATTTCAGACGTCACATGTCATATACGATTATTGTATTTTTTTTAATATGTTCTGCAAGCTGAATTAATTATAGTATATTTTTGAGTGTTATTTAAAAGTGAGTTGTGTGTTGTCCAGGCGGCGGCGAAGCAGCGCGCGGGGCGGGCGGGGCGCACGGGCCCGGGCAAGTGCTACCGGCTCTACACCGAGCGCGCCTACCGCGACGAGATGCTGCCCACGCCCGTGCCGGAGATACAGCGCACCAACCTCGCCACCACCGTACGTACCCCACTGCTTATCTCCTCCTACAACTAACCGCCACGATCACTTCTCAAAATTCACTGTAGCTTTAGCGGACCCTTAAATAAACTGATATAAGTCTGCCGTCGCGATACCAGGTCCTTTCTAGGTTACACCTGGTTCACCGGCTACTGGTACCCGACGGCGTGAGATTTTAGTCGGTTCGAGTCCGACATGACCACCGAAGTATCCAAGGTGATTTCCGCACCAAAAATAAGGTTGGGATCCTGTCATTATGATCATTTCAGCGATAGGACGTACCCGATTGGACATGGGCTCCCTGAATGTTGTAAAGTATTTTCATCCTCCTAACCATTTTTTATAGCGTATTTGATTTATTTGATAATTTATATGTCAGAACATAGAAATAGACATTCATGGACCCAACTATAAAACAAGACTCCAGAAGCACCTGTACCAGTTATTAAACAATATTCAGAAATGTATTGTATGTTCCAGGTGTTACAACTGAAGACGATGGGGATCAACGACTTACTTCACTTTGATTTCATGGACGCTCCACCTGTTGAGTCCCTGATCATGGCCCTAGAACAGCTGCACTCGCTCTCTGCACTGGATTCAGAAGGATTGCTCACCAGACTTGGAAGAAGGGTGTGTACTATTCTTTACTGTACTTCATTTAGTTAATTATTATCTTTAACAAAACTTACAAATGACCCATGACATAAGACTGTGTTTGTGATTAAGACTCATATTGCCACACACAAATTAAATGTCTATCATTTTTTCACGAAATCATTTTAGTAACCTACCCATACTACGTGACCTTTTTTTTAGAATTTTTATCCCTCCTCCCCTCCATGACCTCCCGTAGTATATGCCAAGAATCGAAGGGAAAAATGTATTCCTTTGAAGAGACGCAGGTGAAGTTGCGCGGGTAAGCTAATTATTAATAAATATGAATACCAAAAACTAAAACTTTTATTCTTGTTTCAGATGGCGGAGTTTCCTCTAGAGCCGAACTTATCAAAAATACTCATTATGTCTGTAGCACTGCAGTGCTCCGACGAAATCCTCACCATTGTCTCAATGTTGAGTGTCCAGAATGTGTTCTACAGACCCAAGGACAAGCAGGCGCTCGCCGATCAGAAGAAAGCCAAGTTCAACCAGCCTGAAGGAGACCATCTCACTCTGTTAGCTGTGTATAACAGCTGGAGGAACAATAAGTTCTCAAACGCTTGGTGCTATGAGAACTTCGTACAGATTAGGACGTTGAAACGGGCTCAGGATGTCAGGAAACAATTGCTGGGAATTATGGATAGGTTAGTTATCTATACATATAAATTTTAATAAATTAATTATTATCAATATTTAATTAATATAGTTATTAATTTTAACGGGGAATTCATTGGCAGATAGCAGGCATAAGGAATTATTTAAAATACTCACATTTGGTTTCGGAATGCCAAACGCAAGCAATGCGTTTACATCTTTTGAATCCATCTACCTTCTTCCGATAGAGTAGTGACTCCTCCACGCAACAGAAAATAGAAAATTACCTAAATTTTATGAAGAGAACGCATCTCATAACCATCTCTTTCTATAGTTTCATTTTTTGTTTGTGGGGACCCCCGATTGCAGACATATTGCTGAAGGACGAGTGTATATGCACTAGGGCTCTGTCCGAATACCTAGTTATTTTCCTGGATACTTGTGTACGTTTCCTTTAAAGCGGACAAACTTACCGACAATTAGCTGAGCGAGGCAAGCACTAACAATCGTTGCTCAGCGAATGTTTCGGCTTTACATAATATCTTTGCAATTTGTACTGATTTTAAGTAAACCTCTTTACAGTCACGGCATTATACCATAAAGTTTAATTAGTGTGTTTTGTTAACCTTAAATAAAAACCACGAAGGTTGAGAAATAACTATTTGAACTTTTTACGAATGCAGTGTGTTATTTATTTGTATTATTGTCTGTATTATTATAACACAATATACAGGTGTGTTTATTTCTTTAAGTAGTGTTGCTAATTGTTTATTTATTTTCAACAGACACAAACTAGACGTAGTATCGGCAGGCAAGAACACTGTGCGGATACAGAAGACAATATGTTCAGGGTTCTTTAGGAACGCCGCTAAGAAGGATCCTCAAGAAGGGTACCGGACATTGGTCGACAGCCAGGTGGTCTACATACATCCATCTAGTGCTCTCTTCAACAGACAACCAGAGTGGTGAGTGACAAAAATCTTTTTCTTTTTGGTTAAGTTCACTGAGATACATGTAAAGTGACGTTATTATTATTATATAATAATATATCTCACACACGGCCATCTGATCCTAAACTAGGCAGTGCCTGAGCTATGGTAACCAAATTTCTGATAAAAATACTTATATATTTTTAAATACATACATATTATAGATAAATTACCCCCAAATAACCGTGCTCATCACACAATATTTGTCCTGTGTGGGAATCGAACCCACAACCTCCGGCTTAGCAGTCAGGGTCTTTTAACACTAGACCAACTCTTTAATAGACGTTTTTTTTTGTTACCAGGGTGATTTACCACGAGTTGGTGCAGACGACAAAGGAGTATATGCGAGAAGTAACAACTATCGATCCAAAGTGGCTGGTGGAGTTCGCCCCAGCATTCTTTAAGTTCTCAGACCCAACCAAACTGTCCAAGTTCAAGAAGAACCAGCGACTGGAACCTCTGTACAACAAATACGAGGAACCGAATGCGTGGAGAATATCCAGGGTTCGCAGAAGGAGAAATTAAGCTGTCTATTATACTTAATGTACTGCGACTTCCTGTTAAAAAAACAAAAAAAAAAATATTCATAAGGACTGTTTGAGTTTTATTTTAGCTTTTGTAGATCATCACAATTAATAGTCTATAATAGTCTTCTGATGGACATAGGCCTCTCCTTAGTAATGCGGTTTATAGTGTTATTATTTATACTACCGTCCGCGGCTTTGTTATTATTTCTTATTCAGTACTTTGGAAATGGCGAACTTTCATACAACCGTTTAATAACCGTCCCTTATTTTACCCCCTTAGGGGTGAAATTCCCAAAAATCCTTTCTTAGTGAGTACTTATAACATAAAAAGCATTCCATCATTTTATCACCATAAGTGCACCTACCTCATTCTTTCTCAGCATCGCCCAATCGGTCGACTGACAGAGAATGCCTTAGGCATTAAGCCCGCCGTTGTACATATTGGTGCATGAAGTCATAAATAAATAAAAACCATCAGCAGCCAAATTTCAAGTTTGTGGCCTCAACAGTTTAGGCGCTGCGTTGATGAAGCAGTCAGTGAGAGGGCTGGCGATTTTATTTGTGTATATTGTTTTATCAGCTTTTTTATCACGTCAGTGAAAAAGAAGCACACAGCCAGTCATATGGTTACAGTCTGGTTATTGGCTACAGTCTTTTTTAAACTGTGTATGTATGTAGAGTTTGGATGACAATACTGTAATTTGACATCTTGAAGCTGATCTGATGGTGACACTTCAGTGGCTGGTAGTAAACCACTCGAGTTTGGGTTAGTAGTATTCCTTGTGATGAGTCCAAACAGATTGGGCTTAGTAACGGAAGCTTGATATATAAGACAGGATCATTTCTAGGAGAGTTATGCATCTCTTTTCAACTTACCTATTCTAGCTAACTTCCTATCAAAATTTGGTTATAATTCCTTTACATTGCTGCAGATATCATTTTAGATATCTATAGAAGCCGACTGGCGACAGTGTCTATATATAATAATAATATTGTACCACATTCACACAACGCCATCTAGTCCCAAACTAAGCAGAGCTTGTACTATGGGTACTAGATAACTGATATAAATACATATATACTTTTTTTTTTTTTTTTGTAAATACATACTTATTATACATTGAAAACAACCCAAACTCCGAATCGATCGATCGAGTCGATCATACAAATATGTATATGCATACGCTACCTTCTGCACCAACGAGGCAGTCAAAGTACATCATAAGAACAACTTACTTACGTTTAAACAAAAATATATAAACTGTGATTTATGCCCCATGAAATCCTTCCAAGAGAATGGCTTACTTTACTTTAAACGGCTTTCGATCAAGGCACTTTAAAATGTTATTATTTCTTATTCCATACTTTGGAAATGGCGAACTTTCATACAACCGTTTAATAACCGTCCCTTATTGTACCCCCTTAGGGGTGAAATTCCCAAAAATCCTTTCTTAGTGAGTACTTATAACATAAAAAGCATTCCATCATTTTATCACCATAAGTGCACCTGCCTCATTTTTTCACAGCATCACCCGATCGGTCGACTTGCAGAGAATGCGTTAGGCATTAAGCCCGCCGCACCGTTGTACATATTTGTGCATGAAGTCATAAATAAATAAAAAGCATAAGCAGCCAAAATTCAAGTTTGTGGCTTCAACAGTTTAGGCTCTGCGTTGATGAAGCAGTCAGTGAGATGGCTGGCAATTTTATTTGTGTATATTGTTTTGTCAGCTTTTTTATCACGTCTGAAACAGAAGCACACGGCCAGTCAGATGGTACCTGGTTACAGTCTTTTTTTAAACTGTGTATGTATGTATGTAGAGTATTTATTAATATTCGATAAATATATAATCGATATATTCGATAATCGATCGATCGAGTCGATCATACAAATATGTATATGCATACGCTACCTTCTGCACCAACGAGGCAGTCAAAGTACATCATAAGAACAACTTACTTACGTTTAAACAAAAATATATAAACTGTGATCATAATGTGTCTATCTGTGGCATCATAGCTCCAAAACCGATCGCCCGACTTCGATTTAGTATTTTTAGTTTAAATTTTAAAGTGCCTTGATCGAAAGCCGTTTAAAGTAAAGTAAGCCATTCTCTTGGAAGGATTTCATGGGGCATAAATCACAGTTTATATATTTTTGTTTAAACGTAAGTAAGTTGTTCTTATGATGTACTTTGACTGCCTCGTTGGTGCAGAAGGTAGCGTATGCATATACATATTTGTATGATCGACTCGATCGATCGATTCGGAGTTTGGGTTGTTTTCAATGTATAATATGTATGTATTTACAAAAAAAAGGGTATAGGTATTATACCAGTTTCATAGTACAAGCTCTGCTTAGTTTGAAATTAGATGTCGATGTATGTCGGATGTCCGAAATATTTATGATATTTTGTGCCGTTGTATTTTATATCTATAAGATTTGTCAACAGTGTAAAAAGATAAGGAAGAAGAAAAATGGCGTTAGTGTTGGTTGGTTCAGCAAAGATTTTACAAAATTTCTTTCATTTTTTGGAGAAAAAGAATTCTTTACTAGTTTTAAATCTTGTACACATATACGACGTTTTACCACAATTCCTAAGTAGATATTCTAATTCGTTTTCAATCACTACCGATTTGTAGTAAGTAGGTAATACGATGTAAAACAACCATATACATAAGTCCTAATGTCAGCTAACCCGTTTAGTAAAAGATCCATCTAGCTACTTTTTAAAATGTACTTATAGATTTTAGAAACTTCTTAGAAACCTTATTGTGTGAAAAAAATATTTTCAGTTTTATGTCCGCCAAATACTTACAAAGGATTGCGAAACGACGCGTTTATCTTGTACCTATGAGTGCACGTTTAAGTTTATAAATATATACAGCAATAAAGGAATCGAAACGTAAACGTCAACTCACAGCTCACTGTAATCTTAATCTTAACGTCACTGTAAAATTTTACTGAATATTACTGAATAACTCAAATATATTGGTACAATGAGTTGAGGAGTTGTGTTTCGTTGATTAATTTAAAATTATCATATACTGTAAAAATTATAGGAGCTATGGATTTCTTTTCCGAAATTATCGGCGAGACTGTGATCCTTGGAATCGATTCACTAATTCTAGGTTTCTGTGTAAAACAGCTGAGTAAATGTAAACATATCTTAAATGCCCTACAAGTAAGAATATAATAACTGAATATAATAACAGTCTTTTACATAATGATCTCTCGGTAGTTTCCAGTGTTTCTGTTTATTGTATTTGTCACTGAAGTGATCATATCTAACCTAATTTATTTATGTTTAAGAATGGTTTCACAAGCAACTTTTTTGTGTGTTGTAGACAGCACCAGTATTGGATATAGACTCTACTTTGAACAAGGAACTTAATAAGTATCCTAACAACATTATCCCCTATGTTGTTATCCGGGGACTGGTGAAACCGCTTGGGAACCCCATCACTAGTAATTATAACAATTCTGTTACTGGGGTCGTACAGAGGTAATTATATCATCCTTCATTTTTAATTTATAGACCAAATTTTAAAATAAAAATATTAAATTATTATTACATAATCACAAGTAATTAATTAGGTACTAAAAATGATTATCATGCCGTGGAGAGCATGTAAAGCCGTCGCTTTCGGTTGCCATACGAACATCAATGGCAAATAAGTAGTTGAAGCCCTAAAAATTGTGAAAACAGTTTTTCTACAGAACTTCTATATCGCCTAGTACTTGTGTTGTGGAGGTGTGATAAAAAATCAGCCATATCGTACTAGACCTAAAAGCCGATCCCAACCTAGTTCGAGAAAAAGGCTCAGCGGAAAAAGGTATATACAAAGACTTTATTTTTATATAGTCTGCAAAATTTAAATACAAAACATTTCTATCTACCAGAGAACTGTTTAGGAACTTAGTGAGGTATAGACTTTTAACAAATCTGAACTCAAAATAATAATAATAATAATTAACTAAGATGATTACTTGTTCTCACACTAAACCCTTCAAAGATCTAGTATATACATATATTATGTAAATGTGACCGTAATGATGATTCAAATCTGAAGTACAAGAACAACTTGATATTGAAGTATTTTGGGTTGGGTAGGCAAAACATATGGCTGCAACAGCGTCTGGGACTTACGAGCCAGAAGTAGGCTTAGGTGGTACCTACTAGTTAGATTGGAAAACTAGGCATATAACAAGGGAAGAAGGGAAAGAAAATATTTTGGATTGCAAGCACCAGCTGTAGTAGGTCAAGGTCATACCTCTAACTCCAATTGGCTGTTGCGGGAATGTCCAAGCCCTCTAACCTATGTTTTAAGTAATGCTCTGAATTTAATATTTTACAGGCTAACAATAAAAGAGCATGTGATAGCCAGAACATCTGCAGGGTTTTGGTCAGACCAGACTCGCACAATACATGAGGTTTGTAACTCCACACCATTTGTGCTGAACAATGGCAAGTACAGCATTGAGGTGGTGGATGCACTTGCAGCTGAGTTACTGGGTGAGTTATAGAAGATATACATTTTCGTTGTCTGTATTATTACAATATACAGGTGTTCATTATAAGACAGGAAATTAGTCTTGGGTAGTACACGTACGATGTACTGATAGGTACTAGTACTGGGTATTGTACTAAAAGTAATGTTTCAGAAAGGCAGCTGTTAATCAGACATTTTGCACTATTAGTACAAAGTTTCAACTTCAAGCCAGTACTAAAACTATCTATTGTTCGTTCGTTTGTTGTGCAACGTACTATTAATGCTCCACTTTATTGTTCCGTATTGGTAAACAGTGTGAGAGTAAAAGGGACAGCGATACAGGATGTACTACAATACGTTGGGTTGTAAAGTATGAAGGAAAATCAAATAGTATGCTTGAAAATTTTGTGTAAAGTAATCTAAAAAATCGTATTTAAAAGTCAAACTGTTAGGGTTTATGGGATTCAGAAAGGGATAACACATGAAAAATAATCAAGAACTGTGCAATTATTTCTATACTGAAGAAAAGTAACTGCCTATTACAAAGCCATGTATATTAAAAAATAAAAAGGTAAAGCGCGGTCTGCCAAAACTCTATAACACTTTTTTTTAAATTACGTATTTTAATTTATTTAATTAATAGTATTCCGTTTCATTAATGTAAGTAATATCAATACAAACGCTTAAGTTTTCTACTTCTACTAAAACTGTACTAATAGTACTATTACGGTGTGCTAGTACGTTGTACGAATTGTACTAGTACGGTGCGAACCTGCAGATGTCCGATTAAGCACAAGACTACAGGAAATCTACATTCCTCCATTCCAACCAACCATTGATATTGGTTAGTAAAAGGATGTCAATTTCAGATATGGACGTAATATCTGACAAGTTTGAGCCTATGTCCCCGGGGGTCATCGACCATGTGTGGGGCTTCTTCTCTGGAGTGCGACAGCGCGGTCTCCAGACTATGGAGGAAATGTTGCGAGATGGATCTTACATCACTGCTATAGGCGAGCTTAGCAAGGACCACAGCGGGACACTCAAAATACAACCACCCAAGGATGGGTTACCTTTATATTTGACAACTGCTACTAAGTCCAGCTTGTTGAAGAGGTTGGCAAGCTCAAGGGACTTTTTAAGGTAAATTTGACTATAAAATTTAATATTTATGCTAGAAACTGGATAGCAATTTATTGTTCTTACAATCCAGTGTCTTATACTGCCTCTGTACTATTTACATCAATATTAAAATAATAGATATGTATATAGCAAACGAAAACCTATGTAGTAGTATCTGTTTAATAAATTATTACTAAAGACATTGAAACTGTATGCAAACGTGTAAAGGCACACTAACATACTTACCGGAATAACACATACATGTGAACTTGTCCATATATTTCGTTTGCCGTGTGTACTTCATATTCTCGTAAATTCGGTTATTCGAATTGACCACTATTAATTCCCAAAATAGGAATCCTTCAGAAAATGTTACTCAACCCAAGGGATCAATAAAAGAAGTGGCTGTCAATGATTCCATCCTATGCGCGCCAACGCCTTAAAACTGTCCTATTTTTCCTGGAACGTATCTATGAATAGTGAAAATAGAAAATTTCAGTGCGTCTTTCATTTAGAGTTTAAGGAGTTCATCAACGTTATTTAGTATAATTTCAGGGTATTACTAGTGATATTCGGTACCGTGGCAATGGCGGCCTCGTGTCGCATAGCGTACAAGTACATAAAGCGACGCAAGCGCCGCGCGCTGGAGGACAACATGAAGCGCCAGCTGGCGGCCGGCCGGAGGGAGCGGAGGGCTCACGCCAGGGAGAAGAACCTCACTGAGGTGCAGCTTTGCGTTGTGTGCACGGAGAATCCTAAAGAGGTAAAACTTTGAATGTGCGTTTAATATAGTTTATAATTGCCGGTTAGACGCTTGGAAACTTAGTACAACATTTCAATTCCATTATATGAAGAGTTTATTCTAGTCTTTTTAAAGATTAAAATTTTCTTGCATATTCGAATAGTAATTTTATTACAAAAAACATATAAACGGAAAATAATTAGTTATTTAATTAATGTTTTTTTTTCTGAAATCATTATTTCTCATCTTTACTTTAATCAATGGTCCTTTACATTGAAAAGGTGGCAATGTACTTGACTCTTAAGTTCCATGTGTCAATGGGCGACGGTAGTCACTTACCATCAACTCAAGTGACCTGCCATTCGCCCCCTAGTCCATAAAAAATACTTCCATCTAATATGTAATTTGTTTCAGATTATTTTACTCCCCTGTGGTCACGTATGTTTATGTGAGGACTGCTCAGACAACATAACAGACAACTGCCCCATTTGCCGCGAGAGGATAGAGTCCAGAGCTCCCGCCTTCATTACGTAGATCAACACAAGAATAGTACAAAGTCGTTTAATTTAATCTCCATGTTTTAACTTGTTTGTCACATTACTGGTTGATATAACGTTACTGATGATAGTGTTCGAATAATTTACGTCTACCCACATCATTGATAAATCAGTGAGTAGAATAAAACCCGTTTAAGAACGATTTCAAATGGTAAAAAACGCGTTTTAAAGCTGACAGCGAATTGTAATGTATGTGTGTAATGATAATTTGTAAGCATTCGTATTTATGAAGATGTCAGAAACTTATGTTATATCAGTAATGTGTTATTCTATTCGTAATTATTTAATGTCATCACTTATTTTGGTTTGACGAAAAGATTTATTTATAATATATATTATATATACATACTTCTTTTGTATAGCGCTTTTAAATCTTTATTTGCATCACCATTATTTAAGATCTCTTTACATCTTCCATAAGATCTTAGATGGAACCGTCATCAATTGAATATTTCTTGGGGTGAGATAAATTGCGTGTACTGATGACGTATTAAATGGGATGACGAATAGTATTAAGCGTGCAAACATGGCTCAAATAACAAGCGTATGACGCAGGAGATGTAGTAAGCTGGTTTAACCGTATAAGTATATATCGACAAAAGTTCGTCTCCTGTGTGTAGAAAAAATATTTTTGATGTTTCATAGAGTATTTTTGTATGTAGTGATTAAAGACATGCGCGACTTCCTATTAAAAAACTACTTTTATAAAAGTATATTTAGGTGTGTGTGAAATTTAACGCGTTTACTTTATAGCATCTTTTCACGCCTTGTATGAACCGTGTACCTACAGTTATCAAGAGATACAGAGATCAAGTTAATCCAAGAGCTTGTGGTCCACCATTTAAATATCACTGCATTTTCATTGATTTTTACAAGTTTCTATTTTTATGTTGTTAAGGTTCAATTAAGCGTTTTAAATTTAATTTAATCCACCATATTCAATAATAAACACAAGCATAAGTACAACCGGTGCGTTACGTAGGACTTAGAAATACGTGTCAGTATTATGTTTAATATTGTTAACATGTCTGTGATTTAAATGAATGTGCCTGTCCTTGGCAATTGACAACTTTGTAAACTATACATATATGTATATGATAGGTACCTACAACCATTAGGTAATGTATGGATTCGTAAAGAAAATAAATTGGTTTATCCGATGATCACGTCACGTTTTGATTCATTGTCCCTTAGGCGGTTTTCGCACTGCACCGCGCTCCGTAGCGGAGTGCGGGAAAGCTAATTTTAACATTGTAAGCATTTCAATTTGTATAGAAAACACACGCCTAGGACACTACACGCATCGCCGTACGAACGTAAAAATCTGCTGCCCCTTGCTACGCAATGAAACGCGCTGCAGTGTGATAATCGCCCAAATTTCCTTTAATAACTTTAACCTATTTTTTTTTTAATATTTGGGGGACGATTAAGTTGCAACACAGTGGTGAAATTATGACAATTTGATGACTATCCGCCTTGTGTACATTGATATTGTTAATACTAACACAATAAGGAATTGTTTACACTAACATAAAGCCATGTCACAGTAACGAATTTGATAAAACAAAGTGTCCAAGTGATCCAGACATCTGTGTTCACGTCGTATTGGTATAGATACAAATTGTAGCACATTTTTTTTTTTAATTTTATGCAATTAGTAACACTGATAAGCGGTGATAATACTATGAAATAATGTCGTACATGCAGTCCGTGGAAAATAATGTGTACTCGCACTGCAAATGACTATAGGTAGCATTTCCTGCATACAAAGAATTTGCTGTGAATTTCTACCCTACCAAACCAAAAGAGATTGATTATTCCAAAGTAAAGTCAACCGAACCACGATGTTTTCAGGGCGGAGGTTCTTTCCTAGTCAGAGATTTGATGAAAAGGCAGAACCTAACACCTATTTACTACCCTCAATTAGATACTTGGTAAAATTGCTAATGTATTGAGTATTATGCTACAAAATCCGGTTGGATAATGTAATGGTGCATTGGTGTTGTGTTTTTAAATTGTAGAACCTCTATGAAATATATAGATATATATTAGTAAGTCTAGTGATGTAATAAATGGAATAATAAAAAACGTTTTTTAAAGGACATTTCATTTTATTTCTATCAGAAACCAATTTGTAATGACCCCATTTTGCCACAAGAGCTTGAACATGTGTCATCTTCCTCTTCCTTGGAAGATTCACCATCAGAATTGTCAGAGGCATTAGCTCCATTACTTTCTGGATGCAATGTATCCTGTATATTTGATGATTCATCTAATTCATACTGTTCAAGTAGTGAATTAAGTTTTTGATTACCCCCATTTTCGTGGACAGCACTACTATGTTGGGTGTTACACTTACCAGTACCTCCACAGCAATTGCTTTTATTCTTATTACATGTAGTATCAATATTACCACAACATTCTTTTTTCTTACTATCAATTTTATTACTCTTATCTAAATTAACATCATTCAAATCATTGACAGCATCTGCTAATAGGTCTGTACCATTCACCTGCGTCGAATTATATTCCTCTAACATTCTCTTTGCTTTAGAACTTTTGCCAATACCAAGTCTGGGCAGTCCTTTGTTCAAACCTTCAAGTAGAACGCACGCTTTACACACTTCCTGAGACGAGACAAATTTACATCTGGTGCATATGCCTTGTGTTGGTAATGTGACTTGTTCCTTTACAGACATTGTTTCACCTGTAAATATATATATACAATTTAATGCTTCTTTCGAGAAATAAATTATTTTATAAAATAATTGCCTAACACTGCTAACGAAATACCTAGTCAGTAGTAGGAAGTACCTGCGAATTTAATGAACTTTTACTAGAGACATTGAAACTAGTAACACACAATGGTTTTGAAACAATTATAATTTTCAAACATATGAGTGAAGAAATTGTTTATTTACAATTCACGGAAATGTAGACATATAATAATATACTTGCTGGCATAACATTACACACGCATGAAAACCTTTTGTACAATATGGTGGAATCTCTAATAACCAGTAACCTTCTGCAATAGTAACAAGAGGTGTATTGCAAAAGCCTGTTTATTTAGGAAAAATAATAGTGCAGGCGAAATAATTAATAAGCATGTCATGAGCTGATTCCATTTTATTAAATAATTATATTTTATAAAACAGGACAGCTGGTTTATGTATTACAATGTTTGTGTAAAAATAAAGTGAGCCCAGTGTTACCAACCACTACTCAGACTTGGAAGAAATGAATCAAATAAAAATAAATTATTTTACAAAAAAGGTTGAACCAACTTCACAACAACAATACTATCAAAGAGCACTAAAAACCTAGCAGCAATTGCGGTTGATTTGTAGTTATTTTTTTGAAGAGTTCCGTTTTCTGTGTCGAAACTCATCATCAGATCTTTACATGGGACCATTTCATTGAAATGGGACCAATTCCAAATAAACCCCTTTCAGACAAAAATAATTTTGGAAATGAGTCTATATATGACCTAGCTACCCCCAAATATACATAAAAAAAAAATACAAATATCAATTGATAACCTTCTCTTTTTTGAAGTCGGTTAAAAACCTAATTACCTGAATATATAATATCCATGATACATGAAGGCCTAACTTTTTCCATATCTTTGAGGAGAGCTCTAGCGTGACCCCTGTATGCATTCGGTGCAAATACACATTCGGTGGAGAAATAGACCAATTTCTTGTAATGTGCATACATCACTATCTCCTTCTCATATGTGTACTTAAGCGGTTTCACCCTGGGTATTGTGCCTTCGCTACCCTGAAAATGGAAGGTCATTTATAATAACACATCAGATTTTTTTTGTATATGGACAGCTTGAGACATAGTTATACTATACTTATAAGCTAGTTTTTCTATGAAAGTCAACTAGTTGGATGATAATATGTCAATCGGAATTTGTGGATGTATACTTGTTGTACGTTTTATATTTGATCTGATTTTCAATAGATGGTGCCTTTCTCACACAACAGCTGTAAGTACCAGAACAAATATTACCTGTGGTGCTCTGGTTTCTATGTTATTGACACAGCCTGAGAGTCAAGGACAAGATCTGTCGAATAGTATTGTAACATCAGTATATTTTGATGATTTTACTATTTGTATTGTATGATAAGAACATTTAAATTGAACATAAAAAACTGTATACAGGTAGTTTTATTACCTACTTCTTTGATAAACTATTTTTACATACGCCACAATACTAATATTTATATAACCATTTTTCTATATAGGGGTTTTTTTGTATTATTTCTAGTACTCACGCAGTATATCATATTATATCATTTAAATCTACTATCAACAATTTAATTTAGATTCCTAAATTCTTACTACTTACAGTTGTAATAGCAGTACATCTTTTCAACCGTGCAATATCACCCCTTAGCACGTTCATGAGAACAGTTTCTGCAATATCATCAGCATTATGTCCTGTTGCTATGCACTTTACACCCAACAGGGCTGCACCTCTGTCCAATGCCTGCCGCCGAAACACTCCACAAAACGTACAATTGTTCTTCCGGCCGATTTGGGCAACAATCTCATCCATGGTCCATCCATAGAGATCCTTGTAGGAAAGAATTTTTAGTGGCATTTCATAGTCATCACGATTCTGCTTGACAGTCTCTAAACTGTCATCCCTGTACCCTGTTATACCTTCATCTATAGATAGTAACATAAGGTTTAGTCCATAATTATATTGCTGATTTAATGTTTTCATCACATGCGCCAGGACTGTAGAGTCTTTCCCGCCAGAGGCGGCAATTGCAACCGCATCGCCTTTGTTAAATAGTTCTGCTTTTGTGATGGTGTAGTGAATTTCTGTTTCAAATGCCCAGAAGAAGCATTCTTTACAAAGTGCGTCACCTGTTTTGGGGCGCTAAAAATAATACAGATTTTTATATTAGTCATATGATAACAATACTTACTGAGTTATTAAATTAAGATTTTTGTACATTGTAATATACAAACCTTCAGCACAGCGTTTTTTACACAACATCTTCTACAAGGTATGGGCATTGCTGTGACTACTGTTATAAACCAGTGGTTGAAATAAAGGAATTGTAAAGTATCCTAAAACAAACGCTCCTCTCTTCTACAGTACAATATTTTGATTTTATAAATTTTATAATTTAAACGTGTGTACATAATTTAAACAACTAATACACAATACTTCACAATAGTACGTAAATAAATAACCTAAAATCCACTTGCATCATAGATCTAAACTGTCAATGTCAGCTGTCATATTTGATTACGATACGCAGGTCGCAGAGTTGTCTGCCACTGACATGGACCCAAAGCCGGTTTTGGTTTGTCAATTATCAACCTCAGCTTGTACATCTGAATCTGACGAGGTTTTGGTACGGGCCACGGCACATACCAATGTGATAGACGATGGTAGATAGATATTTGGTCATTTGTTTTACATAGTAAAACCTATCCGTAGCTTAGAGTTTATGATGGTACAAATTCGTATATGCCACATTATCTATTTGGTATCGTCAGCTGCGTTTATATCCTACTAACTAAATCAGGACATAACGATGAATAATCTTATCATTAGTTATTTAATTAATACCTTGAGTCTCGGCATGCATCTCTCACACGATATTTAGATTTCTTGGTCTCATTGGTTTTATATTTGGAATGACAATATTTTACATTCGCAACATTCCAAACAAATATAACCTCAGGCAAGTTCATTGACTGAATGACAAGTGCATTTCTGAACGAAATGAAACGTATAACACCTGCATTGCATCAAAAGTATACTTATTTACGGTGTTTTGCTAAAATTATTTAACTACAATAAAATGGTATTGTACTCTAGTTAAGTATGTGAGAGTAGCAATTAGTTATGGATGTAATGTGTGTTGTATAATCGTGTAATGGACTGTGTACCGGTGAGTGTTGATGTGTCCATTAATGGACCGTTTCAGGTGAATGTTGTTTACGGTGTAGTGAAGGAGTAAGGTAGGCGGCGGCGGCGATATGCACGAGCTACTGAAGCATGTGCTCATGGAGCGGGACCTCACCCGCGCCGGGGACATCTTCGCCATTCCAGATGCTGACATTGTTGACGATTTAAACGAAGTGGTAAGATAACATCGTTCATCGACAGTAAAATTAGCACAAATTACGTTTGCTTATAAATTGACCTGTAGAAAATATGTAAATTAAGAGTTATGTCAGAGTTAAACCAGTTCTGTAATCTAGTGGGAGGAACTTTGGTCGATTTTGAGTACTAGCCTCAGGTATCATCACTTCACTGGCAATGAGTATGTGTTTAGCTTCTATGTTTGGACAAAAAATATATTTATACACTAACTCTCTTGCCTATAAATAATAAAATTTACAAACTCTTTGAATAGCTAAATATATAAAAAGATTTGTATGTAGACACTGTCGGTAAAAACAAATTTAAGTCAATTCCTAAAGCAGACTAATCAATCAAACCCCATTCTGGTTACTCATATGTATATATATATATATAGTGTCATTTTCGGGTTAAATCAAAAATTTACGTCACTATTGATAAGATAAAAGTATGATAGTATGTATTGTCAGTACCACATATATTATATACACAGGAATCTCTAAGATTTTGTATCTTGAAGAAATTAGTTAACAAAATTGTATGCCATGCAAAATTTAGGCTTAGTTAAATATGAAATAATTAAAAACAAAGTCCCTAGTTGTTAGTAAATAGATTTACGTAATACTAGCTGACCCGGAAAACGTTGTTTTGCCATATTATATACATTATTTCTAGGAAATATTGAAATAAAAAATAGGGGTGGGTCACCCTTGTCATTTAGGGGTATGAAAAATAGATGTTTTCCAATTGTCAGCCCTACCCGATGTGCACACAAAATTTCATAAAAATCGGTCCAGCCGTTTCGGAGGAGTATGGTAACTAACATTGTGACACGAGAATTTTATATATAAGATTTAAGAAATATTAGGTGGAAAGCTAATTTAGTTAATAGCTGGCCAGTGAAAATAAATTGGTTTCATACCTTTTTTCATTTTCAACAAGAATAAATATTAAACTTGTCCATAGACATTTTGTTACCTAAGTGTATGACCCTTATTGGAACCTTATAATGACTTATTACCATTTAAATTTCATACATTCACCATAAGTAAATATAGTTTTTGTCTGTAGGTTTGCTATCTGTTACTATTATGTAAAATCATAGTTTTATTTAACTCAACCATAATGTTTTTAGTTCTACTTATTACAGTAAAATGTTATTATTAATACTTTAACATAAATTCACTGTAGCATAAATAATGTTCCAAAATTTATTTTAATGTTACAATTAAAATAGTAATTAAGTGTATATGTTACAGTCAGAACTCTTAATCAGTTAAAAGTATTTTTAACTGGCAAAATCAATCAAAAGTGCTATTGACTATAAGATTAAACTGATAACCCCATTTAACCCAAATTATTACCTAACAATAAAGGGGATCTGACACAGTCAAAAGTACTATTGACTATATCATTAAACTCTGATAACCCCATTTAACCCAAATTGTTAACTAACAATAAAGGAGATCTGACACAGTCAAAAATACTATTGACTACAGGATTAAACTCTGATAACCCCATTTAACCCAAATTATTAACTAACAATAAAGGAGATCTGACACAGTCAAAAGTACTATTGACTATATGATTAAACTCTGAAAACCCCATTTAACCCAAATTATTAACTAACAATAATGCGGATCTGTCACAATCAAAAGTACTATTGACCATTGTCAGTTAAAAATACTTTTTACTGGTTAAGTTCTGACTGTAACATACATATAAGAGTCACAATAGTTACATTAAAATACATAAACAATAAAAAAAAACTCCTTGATAATGTGAAATAGACATTTCATACTTTTTCCAGCTGAAACAAATAACAGAGATTTCATCCAGACCAGATTACTGTCGAAATGATAGAGATCAAGCTCTTATAGAGATATGTGTTGCAAGAGTCACATCATGTGTGAAGGAGACGGGGACTCTGGATAAGTACTGCCGATCTTTAGTGGAGCTGCTAGAGTCCTGCCTACACCATAATCTTATGCCAATTGGCCATCTACGGGATGATGATCCACCTCATGCTAAGATTGCCTCTGATATAATAGCATGCATTGTTTTGGTAAGAATATTTTGATAATAATAGTTACAAACAAAAAAGTATTGTTATTAAAACTATTGAAATTTAATTGAATAAGTAAATAAAGACGATCTCATTTTGATGATTTATTCTGTTAATACAAAATTACACATTATCATGTTGAAACACCTTTATTGAGAACCATACTACTATATTATGGCCCTAGCCATAGGTAAGGGAATCTCTTTAATATGGTCAAGAGAACAATACAAAAATTAATACTGTTTTTTTAATATTGTTATGTGGCAACCCTAGGACTAAATTTAAAATGTAAATCAACAGTAATAATTAGCATTTTCGTAGTGTTCTGAACTTCATTATGAAGAGTGATGTAATTTAATAAAATTTAAAAGTATAATTTAGTCTATTTTTAAAAACAATGCAACTGATGAGCTATATTATATCCTGACTTTAATATTATAAATGGGAATGTAAGTTTTTATTGCTCCACCAATCATCCTCAAATTTTATAAACCTTAATCTTATACAGAAAAAAGTCTTCCTCCAAGCTTATTTGCCAAACTAGGTTGGGGTCGGCTTTAAGTCTACTACAGTACGACTTCTGTACTTTGACTTTTTACGCGGCAGACCTCCACAACCCAAGCACTAAGCGATATCCAAGTTCTGTAGAAAGACTATCGTTGGACTTTTTAGGGCTCCAACTACTCGTAACGATGGCTAATGTGCTCTCTGAGGCACGGTGACGTCTCAATGTCTTAAGAATGGTCACCCATCCATAGAATAACCTGGCAAGGATTGCTTAACTTTGCAACGTGTTAACCTACTCAAAAAAGCACTGTAATAAAAATAAATAATAATAATAAAATGATTAAAGCCACAGCGAACAGCATCTTTAAGCTACTTAAGCTAAAAACAAATAAGGGAGTAGGTACTGAAAATTACAAAATTGCTAACTATGTATTTTAATCTGTTTGGATAAATGTTTTAAGATAATTATTATACATAACAATATTTTGTAGGACTAATGACTGTCCAATTAAAGATTAAATTATCTCAGTACTTTTGTTTATAAATCTGAACTGAAATCCTATGTTATTTTTTTTATGAAATACTAATGTTTAAATTTCAATGTTGCAAGTTCTTTGCTTTTGCAAAATACAGTTTTGACTGTTTGTAATATTTATATGTCGTAAAATAATAATTCGTCATGCTCCATGCAATAGAAGAATCGTTTTTATTCTACCTTATTCATATTTACAGGTATCTTTCCCAGTGCAGTCTGACAAAGAACACTATAGCAACAAGAGTGTGATGGAACTGTTTCTACCGGTTGCCGTCCAGTTCTTACATAAAGGCAATCGAGAGATTTCGAGACACATGGCGCGGTATCTATCCCTCGCCGCCGTACATCACGCCGTGTTGTTGAAACCTCATGTACAAACTATTATGGACTCTATCATGTCTGGTAAAGAGCTGTTTCTCTTTATTACTAATTGATAAGTCGATGATATCATATTGTATTAAGTCACTTATAATGTTCCATCGATACGATGATATCATACAAACATAGAATCACGACTTTATCTGTAAAGGGGTAGGCAGAGGCGTAAAAACATTCACGTTTTTATAACTATGTTTATCCTATTCACATAATGAAAGAAAAAGTTGGTGAGAGAGTAGGATATTGCTTATAAAAATGGATTTGGGGTATAAAAAATCGCTCGACTAGATCAGGGTCGCGTGCGTCTTTGGAGCGTCGTCGTTTTTCCAGCGGCCGCGCACCGTCAACGCGGCGCTGGCGAAGCGGTGCCGCGACGTCAACGCTCAACAGCTATCGAACGCTGGATTACACAGCGCTGGCGTCCGGTTGACGGCAATAGGCTCGACGAAAATGATAGTTAGCAAAATGTGTGTTAAATGTCTGCTAGTTAGATGTAGTGAGACCGTTGTTCATTTTTCAGAAGTTCAATTGATGCTTTATATTATTTCTGCTTTTGATACTGAGCTATAGGTACATATAAAGTTACCCGCCCTCACTGATCGACTGATTGATCAATAAAGAGCCAAAAACCGCTTGGGCTACAAACTTGAAAATTTTCCAGCTAAAGCTTTTTATCGTATGATAGAGATTCGTCATTTACAAAATTAAAAACACGAAATAAGAAATAATTATGAAAGCAAACCCGCGGGCAATACCTAGTCTCTAATATAATCCCTATTACACTAATAAATATGTACTAAAGAAAATATGATATTTATTGTAAACAGATGTAACATTTGTAAACATTATACATAACTAATAATCTTTGATCTTTTTCTATGTTCCGATATCACTGTTAAAATTTTTAAAAATTTTAACTGCTTTCTAACAGGTAACTACCCTCTCTGTCGCATCCTAACGAACCTGTATGAAGTATCGCCAGACCCTCTCGAAGGTCACGCCTCAGCACTGGTATCACTCCTGCCACACGCTGAGCCCGTAGAGAAGAATTCTCTGTTCACTTTGTTCGAACATATCGCCGTGCGCAAGCCAGACGCTTTAAAGAACTGTGTGCCGCAACTTCTGTCATACCTCTGTCCGAACACCGCCAGTACTAATGATCCTGGATGTATGTGCGTCGACATATTACAGGTTTGTTTGTTTTGTAGGTTTTTAAGCTTCATTTTTTGTTAATGATATTTATCAATATAGAAAAATACATATACTTCCTTCCTTAGAATTAATAAATTAGGTGACATACCGAGAGCAGCGCACTCACCTGGTCCTCGTTTTGTAAATACACACATATAGATAAATTACATCCAGACACAGAACAAATGATCATGCTTTTCACACAATACTACATCTGTTAAAAGAAAAGTACCTTTATTTTAAAAACAGTCAAAAAAAACTAATTTACGTTTTTACGAGACAAGTGTTGTAGTGTATTAAGTTTACACGTGTAGCCACTTGCGCACGTAGTTAAGCGGATAGGGGTATTATTTGGTTTGTTGCGTTAATACGTATTTAAACAGTATGTATAAGCCGGCGGTCCGCAGGTGATCAGCTGCGTGTCGCGCAGCCGCGTGTCGCTGGTGGTGGAGCACGCGGCGGCCGTGCGGCGCGGCGCGCGCGCCCCGCACGCGCACCCGCACGCCGTCACGCTCGTCGCCAACATACTCACGCAGCTCGGATACACCGCCAGGGTAAGGGCTTTCGCACTGCTTTGCCACGCTATACACTATCTCGCTCGTTTGTGTTGGGCTGTTTTGCTATTTTTTCGTAGCATCATTCAACACACATTCGAAATCGATACAATTTTTACAACTACCCTCCATCAACTGTTACTAAAAATATGATAAATTATGCTGCATGTTTTGAACTGTCAGATTTTAGGTTACAAAATATTGTCCTGCTATATATTAGTTAAAATTTGTATACCTAAAAAGCAACTGTATTACTTTTCAGTGTATCTTCACAACATTAAATATACAATAATTTGATTCTATAGTTCGGTTTGAAGAAAACGAGCGATGCAGTTTGTCCTCCAAGGCGTTGTAAACTAAGGTTTAACACTGTACTATTTAGGAGCGTGCCCAAGAAGCGCTGAACTTCGTGGTGGAACGCTTGAGTAATGGTGGCGGGGAGCGTGCACAGCAGGCTGCACTACTGCGGGACGCCACCTCTCTCTGCAGCGCCTACCCCGCGCTCTTCACCGACAAACTGCTCACCGCCGTCAGGGCCAACCAGAGGTGAGTGCGTTAGTATTCATAGTTAGTAATTATATTTTAAAGAACACCCTCTTTAATACAACACTCAAATAAAAAGCGACTCTCGTTGCTATGCTATAAAGTTCAATTTAGCTCATCCCAGATTTGATAGCTTTGTATTATAAAATAAGTCACGAAAAAATATTTTTCTTTGGCTATTGATTTCGCTCCCTACCTTAATTGAGGTTGATAAGCAACGCATCTTATAGCAATACTAATAGGAAACCTTTCAGTCATTTACAGTAACAATCGTCGTTTTTATGAATACTTTTATTTTAATCATGTACATGCTGATATTAGCTGACACGAATCGTCTTCTAATAAAAGTTTATGCACCCATCTCGGCACTATTTACAAGGTATATTTCATGTAGCTTTGAATCAGCTGATGTTTGAAGATATCTTACGTATAATATATGTGTAATAAATTTTTAATTTTACTTACAAATTTCTATATCAGCAGTCGACCTAAATCCGGGTCGAGTCAGGGCGAAGTAAATCGCACATCGACCGGGGTCACCATCGTGAGACTGGGAGGAACACAAGGGACGAACAATCCAGTCAGTGGACACACACCGGCTGTCAATATGACATCGACGTCAGGGAGTACAGCGGGTACAACGGCCGCCCATACAGGTCCCACGGGTGGGACTACGGGAGGGAGTGGGACTACGGGTGCGGTAAGCGGTGGATACGCTCGACGAGCGAAGTTAGGGGACTCGAGAAGTACTGGGAGACTGCATCCAGGACCAGCACCACATCGAAGCATGACGAGGCTTAATGTTGCAGGTAACGCTTGTTCTTTTCTTGATTAATAAAATAATTTCTTTGTAAGTGTAGAAAAACTAGAATGTATAAAATTTAAAAAAAAAATACTTTAGTCGAAATTTCCAAAAGGTTTGGCCGAGTACAGATACACCATGCGTCGTGGTTTGTGTTATGTGACCTGCAGAAAAAGTTTTACATTCATTATAAAAAATAACTTTAGACAATACCTTTTAAAAACCTAAAATAATACACTAAACAAAAGCAATTCTCTATTTTAAATAAATAGTAATTGTAATTTCTATTAATCGAGTTATTTGTACCGCCAGGTGGGTCAGTGGGTGGTTTACATAAAAGTATGACACGCCTTTCGTCGTCGCAGCAAATCAACACGCCTCCTAATGGCACCACTAATACAGGTAGGCTATAATCATACTTACGACTCAAGTTTTAAAGTTCCATATTGTTTTAGTTTAGAAGTAGATATCGATTATATTAATATGAAAGATACAAGCAGATTTAAGTTTTAAAGAAGTTAATTTGGTAAGATTGCTATTGGAATTTCTAAACTATTCGTATATTAATGGCAGTTTTCAATGACAGCATCGAGTAGCAAACCGTCATTAGCGTCGAGTGGTGCAGTTGGCAGTGGCAAGTCGAGTGGCGCCATCACCGTCACTACCATCTCCCCACCACGAGTGTTAAGACCCACCAGCAGGTCTCACCACCACCATAACATCATCATTGGACCTTCAACTTCCACTGTAAGTCTACACTTTTTTATCTATGAAAATAGTTACTATGTGTTTTCCAAAAGTGGTGCATCCTAAGTCAATGCACAATTTATTATGATTCTTAATAAGGGAGGTCCTAAAATAGAACCCTGTGGAACTCTCATATTGAATTGAATTCTTTTAATGGTATCCTCTAGTGTTCATTTGCTTTGAAATATTTTTCAAATAATATGTAAGTTAATTGCTCGTTCTATTTGAATAATAATGGTTTTTGGGTAGTTAAAATATATTTTGGTCCATAATTTTGAACACAATGACAATCAAAAGCCTTGAACAAATTATAACAACTTTGATATATTTCGTGAAATAACGTCATCAGGTATTGAAAGTAGCGAATATGGAAAAAGCATATTTATATCCGTGCACAAGTATACATGTATTCAAATGGACATCGAAAGTCAAATAATCTTCTAATAATATTTTATTTCAGAACACTGGTCAAACAATTTTATCCGGACCATCAACACTACATCCGCAAGCAATATCCGTAAATCCACTCACATCAGGCAAATCTTCAGATGCTTTAACACCGATCACTTCATCTGTATCCATCCAACACTCAAGCACAGCACTAGGCAACGTATCCGTAATTACATCAGGAGCTAATACAAATACTTCCTCCGGACCTATAAATACTCCAAATTCTAATCCGATATCTATATCGGGGCCAGTGACAGTAACTTCTCGGCGCGCCAATAATACGAGTGTTACAATGATCAATACAAATTCAAATAATAATTCGAACTCGAATCACAGGATCAGTGTGTTCGAGCCTTACCCCATGCGGGATACAGTACAACATTTCTGTGAGAAACATTTGGATAAGATCAAGGCGTATATGGACAATGTGTCGCTAAGATTGCCACCCCCAGCCAAGTGCACTATTGAAGGTGAGTTTCTTTTATTTATTATTTATCATGAAATATTATTATTCTTTCATTTTATAAATGTGTCAAAGACCGACAACCTGTTCTAACAATGGGTACTATGGATCTTGTATTATCTGAATCAAAATTAAAGCTACAGAAGAAATCCAAAAAAGGAACTTACTGATCATAAAATAATAGTTATATATATTTGGCAAGAAAAGGCAGGCTAGGTGTTAAGAAAATGATAATTGATCTAACACTTCCAGACCTCACACCATATCTAATAACCTGTCCCATTAAATATTTTTTTTGGGTAAAAAAGTGAAGTATATTTGACAGTTAGTAGTAAAAAACTTAATATTTATGATGGCATAGGTTAGAAATTAGTAGGCGGGACTCCCGATATTTCCCCTCTTTACATTTTAATGAGATATACAATAACTCTAAATACCATTTATTTTTTTATTATGTTTTTTATTAGTAAAACTGAAAATACCGATCAGAAAAGCAACTCAGGAAATTAAGGGGCAAAGGAAACGTCTTATAAGCCCAACATCTCGCAATTTAATTAAAGCCTAAAAGCGACATCTATCACTAAAGAGCCACACGATGAGAAAGGATTTTTTCTGAATTATATTATACATTTTCAACACGGCGTACCCCAGGGCTGCGTTTTGAGCCCTTTCTACTTCTGATATTCCTTAAGCCCTTAGGCTGGCTTAGAGATAATTAATTTTTTGAAATCAAAATCAACAATTATTAAAGACTGGCTAAAGAGAAAATAGGTTTATTTAAGCAAAGAACATTCACTCAGAATTAAAATATTTTAATATAATATAATATTTAAATTTCAACACAATGTGTACTTATATGAAATGTAGTGACATAAAAATTTACATAATTTAATCAAGAAATTACATTAATTTATGGTTGTGTGTTGTGTGTTTTAATTATGATAACGTAATCATTTCAATATTTTTTTAATTTGATATTGTATTAAAAAAATGTTCTCATTGAATTTGGGCTTGTGACTAAGTGCTAACCGAGTAGGTTTACACATTGCAAAGTTAAGCAATCCTAGCCAAGTTAGTATACGGATGGGTGACCATTCTTAACATGTAGTAGTTGGATCCCTAAAAAGTTTTACAACAGTATTTCTAAAGAACTTTGATATTGCTTAGTACTTGGGTTTTGAAGGCAAATGGCAGTCGCTCCGTGATTCAGCCATATCGTAGTAGATTTAAAGCGGACCCTAACTTATCCTGGGAAAACCTCTCGGAGGAAGATCTCATTGAATTTAGGAAAAAAAATTGTTGACCGCATGACAACTGACATACACTATAGTTAATATGTGCATACCATAAGAGGAAGATGAGAAAACTGCATAATTGCAACACTATTGCATACCGTAAAAAAACCGCTAAAAATAAGCAAAGTTCCGCTACTGTATCACTTTTACTGCTCGTTTATCTGAGTGCGAAGGACATTAGAAAATCCCGCTTTATTGTATCAGAGCGTCGCAGCAAGAAGCAGGCGCGGCTGCAGTTCGCGTGCGGCCGGCGCGGGCCGCACTGCCTGTACGCGCGCGCGCTGTTCTCCATGCGCACGCGCGCGCCCCGCGTGTGGATCCACCTCATGTTCCTGGCGCTGCAGGCGCGCCACGACGCCGCGCTGTCCAGCCGCGACCCCACCGTCGCCTCGCTCAAGCACTGCTGGGACATACTCAAGTGCGAGAACAAGACCTTTCTCACGCTCGTCACCGGCGCCTTTCCTGGCATCAAGGTACTTCCACTTTAACACATATACTTAGGCCTTAGGCCGTATTTAACTGTAATTCGGTCCCACTAATGTAATAACAGACGAGCCACCCAGGGCTTCCACTTTGGAAATTAAAGAAGAGGGAAAATTTGAAGAATATGGAAAGAATCTACATCTATGAATGGAATTAGGAATGTAAGCAATAAATCGACCCCGTAAACCTACACAACACTATATTAGAGTAACATTTCGCAGGAACAAGAGATGTTGCTGAATGAATTACGCGCGGCAGGGTTCTTCGACGTGTTCGAGGTGGTGGCGCGACGCAATGACGGAGCTGCCTTGCCTCCCACACAGGTAATATATATTTTAAAACGGACCTGTTACATGTTATGGTTCGCTGTTTTGAATAAAATACTTCAATTAATAAATTCTACTACTCATTTTTTCCGTGTGGTGACGGATTTAGAATACAAAGTGTCACCATCCCTATTCATCCCGTGGGTGTCGTAAGAGCCATCTTAGGGAGCAAACTACGCAGGACAATAGCACTGCATAGAGAACGAAAACTACAAACCCTATACCAACCCGTCTGGCCAGCGTTTTATAGTTGGCCAAAACTTCCTTTCTAAGGAGAGGCCTATGTTCAGCAGTGGACTATTAAAGACCGCTGATGATGATGACGACTCATTTTGTACTTTTGTTACAAAATTATCGTTACGGTCGCTGAGTTACTCTTGTGTTCGGTTCGGTCACTTCGATGTTTATCGCATTGTACCTCAAACTGAACTGTCCCACCGGCAAAAACGTGCCCGTATTTATACAACTCAGTAAGCTAGAAATTTTTCTCAAGTGTTCTCAAAAAGTAGTTCTACAAAACGTTAGGGCGTTTTTAATGTAAAAAAAACCGTCAACAATCTATTTCCGATCTAATATATATAGTAATAAAGTTCATAGTCCCGTGCCATACTGTGTAATTATTACAATTTTCGCGGTATTGCGTGGGTAATGAACTTTCCTTCTTTGGAAGTTTTGTGATATTATAAGCACAGATATCTGTTGCAACCTGCATATTGTAAATTAGTTTAAAATATATACAAGGTTTAAGGGACATCTGTATTCGGTATTGTATTATATCTGTATTTTTTTCATGTGTACAGGCAACCTGGGGCTGCTTCTTATGCACGCACCCTGAGCGTGCGGTGGGTTTCTTGGCAGCTGATGGTGCACCCGTTATAGAGGGACAACTCAAAGAGAAGAAGGGTCGGTGGAGACTCTTTAGGAGATGGCGGACGAGGTACTTCACGTTATCTGGGGCACACTTGTCCTGTAAGGGTTCCGTAAGTATTCTCACACAATACCTGCTAAGTATTTATTATAGTATAGTTATTATACATTTTTAATGGTGAAAATATAAAGCAAAATTTAAACCTATTTAGGTAATGACTGGCCTTATTACATCAACGACCAATCATAGTATCAGTTTTGAGTTACACTGCAGTTCTTAATTATTATATGCTATCATCTTAATTTTATGCCAATAAGGATGAAAACCGGCAGAACGCACATGTTGTAGCCTCTGAGAAAAAACTTAATTATGTGATTTGCGCACAATTTGAGAGTTTAATTTTTACATATGTTTGTAGAGTGGCGGCGAGAGTATTGACATCAATCAAATCCGCTCGGTCAAAGTGTCAAGAGGCGCACGCAATATTCCCAAAGCCTTCGAGATCTTCACGGGTGACCAGACGCTCATCCTCAAGCCGAAGGATGGTAAGAACGCCGAAGAATGGGTTCAGTGCCTCAGTATAGCAGTAGCTCACTCACAAGCAAGAGATACACCAGCTAAGGCCAACAGTCTCCCGGCAAGAGGACTAACTCTCAAGAGCTTCTAGAGGTAACCAACATTGGACCAACGTTGGAGATTCACTAAAGCGACCCATTCACGGGCGCACTTGTTAAACAACCGACATCATGACGTGTTCAAAGATATCATACACTTAATTAGTTATATGTATTTTTATTTCGTGTGTTTCATGAATGTAAACAACAATTATACGGCCATAAATTGAAATTATTGACTGATAAGAAGACTTGTTCGAAATCTAAATGCATTTCGTATACACATACAAATATTAATTTGATATTGTTATATAGCTGCCAAAATGGTATATAAATGCATAATGCTTATTTATAAATGTATTTTGTGTAATTACACATTCAATTATACACTATAGGGATATGACATTGAGGTTGATTTTATAATGGACAGGCCATTCAGGTCAGGTACAGTCGTGTGGTATTTGAAAATGCTCATACAAATAATATAAGCTATAGATATGTAATCACATTCCTTTCCTAATATAGTGGGAAATGGCAAAAATGGTTGTTTTAAGATTTCATTCGTCCATATTTATTTATATATATATTTATAAAGTGTAGGTACAGTTAGCTACAAAATGCTTTTGCTATGTTTGACAGTCAAATGTGTTTGCAAGTGTAAATGACTGTACATATTATGTAGTTATTTTGTAAGATGTTTTTTGTATATTTTTAAAATAAATGTAAATGGCTTATTATTACAAGACAAATAGAAATAATGAATCAAATTGTTATTCCTCTAAAAACAAACTATTTTACCTGAAATTATTTGATATAATTATTTGTATTACGTATGTAATTTGAACGCTATCTGTACATAGCATTTGAAAGAATACATCTATATAGATATACTAGCCTGATATTCTAACCAGGTTTCCCCAGTCCGCCTGCGACCAGGTCAGCGAAACCTGGACGAAAGGCCAGTCAGTATGGTATGTAATACCTATTAATTGAATTAATTTCCGTTCCTTAGTAATAATTATAAATAATGGAACGCGAAAGATTAAAGCTAGCATATTCTATGTTAAAATGATCCTATATTATAAAACTTTAAACGTCAATTACATCGCTTTTTGACAATTGCTTTTATGGATAAACACATAAGGTACATATTTGCTTGAAGATTCGCTTCTTTATTTGAATTTCTTTTTCTTCGTTTTGGTATGTTCCAAATTCCATGCTATGAGTGATTCTTCTTTTGAATGTGTAGTTTATCTATGCGTTCTATTTTTAAACATTTATTTAATTCTTTTTACAAATAATAAACAAAGAGTTTACGGTTTATGAAACTGTAAAATCATTTTCGTCATTTCTAAATTATAGTAAAAAGGCTGAGTCATACACCAAGCGGGTCGGGACAGTTTAACGGACGGACGTGAGCAGGTTTTTCGAGCGTCCTCGATATTTTGAAGATATAAGGCTGTTAAAAAGGCCCAATCTTACATAGAACCGGGTACGTCTTTTACAATTATACGGGGCCTTCGGCCTTTAGGTTTTTCTAATGGTAACCATACTGATTAAATAGTATCTAAAAATTCTAGATTTTTAAGCTGCCTTTTGGTAACCCTCATTGCTAGGTTTAATAGCCTTCATGAGAGCTTGTTTCGTTGCTGACGAGGTCGCATAATCCGCTGAGCATTCCGTAGTGGGATGTGCAATAACACAAGGTCTAGGAACGCACTTTTAAGTTGATATGGGCACGGCGCAGATTTATCTGGTTTTCTGCACTCGTTTGTTATGTTGCGATGACCTCTATTTGACGCTCGAAATTCGCTAGTTTCGTTGCTAGAAGATTTTATTTCTTACAAGGATACGATTCCTGTAATCGGTCGAGTAACGTCCATAATCGCTGTTTTATTACCTTCATTCATTCACCAATTCGTAATTTTTTTCTAAATATTCGGTTGCCTGTGACACTAACTCGCAGTAATTATTCTCGACAGCCTGAGCAGGTTGTAATTTACTAATTACTGAGATGATGTCACTACGAGTATTACATTTCCACCGTTCACGTTACGTCGCCGTCTCGCCCCGCTTGCTGTCTGTACCAAGCTTAACGGACTGAATTTTTATTTCATGTACATATGGGTTCATACTTGACGTGTTAGCTATTCAATAAAATGAAAATAAATAAAGTCGGATCACGCAATATATAGACACATACAATATAAAAGACAAGATCAGATTAATAAAATAACATTTATTTTTCTTGATGTCGACGTCTTTTATACCTTCCTTACATTTTTGTTTACATTTATTTGTAAATACGTCCCTTGTTATATATTTTTGTTTGGCCTACCCACTATCAATAGTTTAAGAGGAATACGATTAGGTAATTCAAAGTAAATTGTTTATGAATAAGTCGGTTACAGTGTACAGTCAACATAATATGATATATATCTATATAAAACGTATTTCAGTGTAATATAATATTGTTAGTGCCTTATACACGATAGTTGTTTGTTCAAACGCGCTATAAGTACAATCGTCATATAATATAATTTATTAAGGGAACGCATTAAAGTGATCAGGTTGTAAACAATGTTATTTAGTCATATACAATTTGATTATATTTCTATTAGTTTACTAAATGGTAAACAGAATCCGTCCCTGTTTCAAAGTTTGTAAGACGATTGGGAAACATTTTATCAAGTTATTGAATGTTTTTAGATAATTTTTCGATTGTATTTTTAGTTTGAAGAGTACCCATGTACCCTTCTGGGTTCTGGTTTAGTTGCAGCTGTCCATGGGCGGCGGTGGTCATTTGCTATAGGGTGACCAGTCTGTTCGATTGCTCCCTGCATCATAAAAAACACTAGCTTAAAAAAAATTAAAATCGACTTTGTAATGCCTCTGAAATGTGGTACATTTAAATTAGCCGAAAGTTTTCTAACGAACTATATCGTATGGCGTATACAACCTCTGTACGCCAATTATGAGTTTTTTTTTCCACCGAAATGGAATGACACAGTTGTCAATTGACTTACTTATTATTTGCTATAGAAATGTGAACTAAACAAATGTTTGCGATTGATTAATTTTAAGCTTTGACAAATTTGAGATTTTAAAGACGAAGCTAGAAGACTGAGAGCTGGTCAATGAAAGAAGCTACTTATTTACATTATCGTTGCACGTTTACGAGACAATTACAAAAGACATTCTGGACACTTATATTGTCTTTATTCACTCGTTTTAGGTGCAAAGTTGCTTACAGCATAATGGGCTTTACTGTAAGAAACTGAAGGTTGTATTATGCATACACGATAACAGAGTGAACGAAATATGAAATTGAACGAAAAATTGTATGAGTATTTATGTATAAGTGGGTGGATTGACACATGATTTGGACACCAGTTCTTTTTTGATAAATTTGTAGCAAACAAGTGTTCTCACTTATACCCTTATCGATCCAACGAAACTGAGACTTAACTGAGTTCTACATTAACATTAAAACATATATCTCATTGCTTTTACTGAGTCAGTGAAGTTATCGGCGAGACCCCTTTAAGACCCCTTTGCTTGTTTGCACCTTAATCTATAAAATTCTATTCCATATTTCAATTGGACATAAATCTTTCACAGTTTTTATTTTTAGTTTATTTTACATACCTTTTTTCTTTACGAAATGATGCACTGTTTAATCTATGTTGATAAATCGTGGTATGATTCAGTCCAGGTAACTCTTTTAACATGTTTATGGCTAATTACAGCTTAATAGGGCCCGTCCGCGTAGCGATATTGCATCGCGCTTTTTTTTTTATTTTGATTCGCGCGATTTTATTTCTGCCAGTACGGATAGTCCTATATATATCCCATATGTCAGAGAATTTTGCGAAAAAAAATATCGCTGTGCGGACGGGGCCTTACTGTCATAACATGTTCAATCTTTTTCCCATAGATACATTTTTTATAATCACCATAGACAAACTGTAGGTGTTCAGAATGTGCGTATAATGTTGTTTGATTTAAAGAAAATGTTACTCAAAATTAACATTCCCGTTCAGTCGTTTGGAATAATAATAAAATTATTATGTAATTGTTGGTCTCAAAAATCATTATAAATGGTTGTAACGCGAATGACATTAGTGTTAAGTAGATATAAGAGGAGTAATTACAATTGGGACAGACAATGTAGATGGATGCAGATAGTTGTCAGATTCAGAAATCTTCGTTTCTCTTCGTTATACAAAAAAAAAACTGTTCAAAATAAAAAGCAACTAGTGAATTTAAATCCTATGTACCTTGGAAGAAGGTTTAAATTATTTCAGCCGAAGTGTTATATGCTCCATACCAAGTGCACATAAATTTAATATTTACAACTTGGATAGAAGGTTCATTTTGCAAGCTTCTGTATATGTACTTAATTTATTCACATAAGTTGGTCCGACTAAGTTATTAACTTAACGCAAGACTCATGCATTAGCAGTGCAAGTACGTGATCTGGGGGATGTGCAACTCCAAAACTTGCACTTGCTTGATCGCACGGATGTCGTAGTGGTTTAAGCGGTCACCTCGCCTTCTAGTGCGCTGAGTGTTGTGGGTAACCGAACCCCACATGGGACAACACTTTCTGTGATCCACAAATTTTTGTTCAGAGTCGGTGTCTTCTTTGTATCCCTTTTATATATGTTTATAAAACCTCCGGGACACAAGCACATATACCCAGTGCGGGAGTTGTCTTAAAAAAAAAACGAATGACGGCCATCAATGCTAGTAGTAGACCAGAAATAATAAAATAAATCCAACGAAGGTTGCCGAATCAGACAACTATGTCACACTACGATATGTGTTATTTACGTTCAAAAAGCTGTCTTCCCCGTTTAATTTCTAGTTTCTAATCTAATGTACTTAACTTGCCATTTCGCATTTCTTATGAGAGCACAATTTTTATAATATCTAGTAGTTAAGTCTGCTTTTATTATCTGTAGTCAGCTGCCGGTTTCCAAAACTGATGTTGCCAAATATAAGTGTTCATTGGTAAACCAAATTATTTCTTTGTTAAGTTCTCTATAAGCTTACTAAAAGCCTTGGTCCAATACTGATAAATATCCAATATTAAGATTTAAAAAAAAATACAGGCGTTTAACACGCGCCATTAGAATACGATATTTTTTTCTGAAACGTTTTATTATGATATTTGTAACATTGGAATAGTTTTTCATAAAAACATGTTTACTTTTAGTCGTCCTTATTTGACCCATGTTAGACTACGCATAAAATATTTTTGTGTTAGTGCATGTTTTAAACAATCAGTATTGGACTTAATCAAGACCTCGGGCGCCTTAAGGACCTAAGGTCCCGAACACTTGCTAACCATAAATATGTTTTATTGTTATCTACTTAAAACAGATTTTATGAATTAAAATCAAACTGTTGCACCACCGAATTTTTAACTGAAAAAATAACACGTAGTTAAATATGTAACAAATGTTTATTAAAATAGTTGTATAAAAATCTAAAAAATATAAAAAATGTTATGTATAGTGTTCGAATAAAGTTATACTATATTATGATTCGTGTCTTTAGTGACAGAAAAGTTTCGTATAAAATGTTATGGGGTCAGCTATACGACCTTAGTCTGTACTTTAGGGTTGAATAGCTGACCCCATCACAAAGTTGTCTTTTTATAACACGTATAAATATAAATATATTTTTTAGACTTGCACTATAAATACACGACATTTTTTTGTGAAACATCACGTCCTATTTTATTCGAACACTTTACATCTTAGCTAGGGTTTATTACTATTGTATGTCGAACATTTGATTTTAAATTGGCGAAAGTCTTAATTCTGTATTGTTAAATAATATAGTTAGATCTATGCCAATGAAACTGTTTAAAAATACCTGCTTGGACTTTTATACATAATGAAAAGTATAGTAAATATTAAAAATATTCTGTACGACACACAAGTGTCACTAAACGAGTTAAGATTTTTAACTTTCTATTACTCAAATGTAAAAAAAAATGTTTGTTGCCAAAAGATAGTAGTCCGCTGCTATTGTCATTTATTAAATCCTTGGTAAATGTAAACAATCATAAGTTTGAGCGGGTATTTCGTGAAAAATTACACACAAAATTTTTGTCTGTCAATAATGATATTGTTTGACAGACCATGTCAACTAACGTTTTGTTTGATTCACGTAAGGTTTGTTTGACAAAGTCTGTTAGCATTAGAACACACTAGATATATCATAGATAACGCCACAATAGACAAGTTTTTTTTTAACTCTGAAAGGACTGAAAATGTGATTTGTTTTGCTGATGTGCTAGATAGATTGATCTTGTATAAAAGAAATGGGGAGGCTTCAAATAATCACATATATCATATATCGGTACACTTGAGCACAGCGCGCGCCTATTGGTTAAATCATATAGCGCGCGTTTCCCCTAGGAAATGTGTAACAGAAAGCCTGCTTCCATTTACATATTTCCGTCCCTTTTCACAAAATTACCGCTACAGATTTACCTATGACCATCATCATCAAAAGCCTTTTATAGTCCACTGCTGGACATAGGCGTCTCCTTAGAAAGGAGGTTTTGGCCTACTATACCACGCTGGTCAGACGGGTTGGTATGCAGTGCTGTTGTCCTGCGTAGTTTGCTCCCTCAGTCGACTCTTACGACACCCATGGGATGATCAGTGTATTACAACTCGGTTTTCTGTGTTCTAATCAATTAAAAAACGCATGCACAGTCTATTGTTTTGTTTTATTGGTTGTATATTTATTTATGATATATCTACGGCTAACAAACGGTTGCCAAAATGAACGATAATAAACCTATAGCCAATATAATATACAAACAAATATTTTATAAATCATGTTGATTAAGTTTAAGATAGTTTCGGAGAACTTATGAACTTGGTGCTACTTTTATTAACTTTTGTATATTAGTCTAATGTGCTTCCGGTCTGATCCAAACTTTATGTTATACACACGTTTCGGCTCTCGTACTTAAAACTGCCCTATTTATTAGTTATTACAATAGTTGTTTATATAACTTGTGTTTTATTTCAATAAACTAATAACCCTTAATTCTGTAATAATAATATTCTACCACAAACACACAACGCCATCTAGTCTCGAACTAAGCTGAGCTTGTACTATGGGTACTAGACAACTGACATAAATTGATATAAACTTTAAATGTTCATGCACACAGATGTTTGATTGAAAAGTTCCTAAGAATAGAAAAAAAAACAAAATATCTATTATAATTAGATACTAAGCAAGTAGGTACTGTAAGTAAAAATTTTTACTTAGTCTTATAAAAGAAATGTTTTATCATCTATACAAATAAATAAAATTGAAGTGTATGTTTGTAATGTCAAAATAATAGTTTTTTTCATGCTCACACGGTTGTTTGCACGATACCTATGCCTAAAAACCAGTTATTTTTTTTGTCAGTCTGTCTGCTTGTTAAACTAAAAAACTTATCAAAATCGGTCCAGCCGTTCAGAAGATTACAAGAATCTTCTGAACGGCTGGACCGATTTTGATAAGTTTTTACTACTGGTAGCTGTCCATATAAGGAGTAACTTGGGCTATAATTTTGCCAGGTCCGGGAATCGAACCCGCTAAGGCAGTGCATTTCAAATGCCACGCGAACGAAGTCGCCCGTACCAGCTAGTTAAAAATAATAATAATATTTTCGGAGATTGACACACAACGGCATGTAGTTTTAAACTAAGCAGAGCTTGTACTATAAAAACTAGATTGACGATAGCATACTTATATACTTTTTTGTATATACATACATATTATACATAGAAAGCACCTAAACTCCGAAACAAATATTTTCGGATATTAAACAAACATTTGGTCCGACCCGGGCATCGAACCAGAGACCCTAGCACAACAGTCGCATACGCTACCACTGCACCACTCGGTTCTCGTGCCCTAACAAGGCCAACTGTAGATTTTTTGATCAAGGCCGATGAATCATTAAACCGATGAAACACTATCGATATTTTAATTGAAATAGAAATAAAGCCAATAATAACACTTTTTTATTACCATATTAAATCTTAATAATATATATTCAATGTAAAAAATAAGAAAAAATGTATGTACTTACTTTTTGTGTTTGCTACGACTCTTTATTTTTTAATAATCAGCATTACAAAAACACGGCTCTCATGTAGGACCTCTGGAAAACGGGGACGTCCCTGTCAAGTTTTTGCGTGGTTCGAAAAAATAGTAGATCCGAGGCTAATTTTTTAATATTAATTGTAGTTTAGATGTCTTCATAAACTGGTTTTCGTGATGTCATTATGACTTATGAAGCCAGTTATTATATTTTACGTCGCGGGACTTACCAATCGGCGAGGTTAAAGGCCAATAGCTCAAAGAATACCATGGACATATTTCGCAAAATCCAATAAAAATAACCGATTAGATTGATTACAGATTCTATGAGGTTGCGGTTTGACTGCACGGATGGCGTAGTGGTTTAAGCGGTCGCCACGCCGTTTCCTACTACGCCGAGTGTTGTGGGTTCAAACCCCACATGGGACGACACTTTGTGTAATCCACAAATTGTTGTTCTGAGTCTGGGTGTTCTTTGTGTCCGTTTCATGTACGTTTGTAAAGTCCCCCGCGACACAGGATATATTCCTAATGCGGGAGGGGAGTAGTCTTTAAAAAAAAAAAAGTTTGCGGTTTTAGGTATTCTTTAAAGCAAAGGAGAATGACACTTATAGTTATTCTCCCATTATATTACTGTCCATTTTGTGACTACATTTCTTGTCCTCTAGCGATCTCTCTGACTAGTTCTACGGATCTCCATGTATTCACAGATACTTGCTAAGTATCCCATAACGTATCCTACACATGAGAAGTAAAAATCGAAAGACAATAATATGATACTTTCAAGATCCGTGATGCCGACTCTGCAAATTATGTGATGATTACTTTTTAATATTTTCCTGTTAAACAAGATGGTAATTCACACATTTATAAGTATATATGTGTGTAGCTGCAATATATATAATCTGAGCTTGTCAATTCTTCTTCAGTTGGCTGTTTCACGGTCACACGTCGATGAACCGTGTTGTTAAATACAAGTGTTAACTTTCATCTAAAAAATGTGTTCGAAAATTTTGTTTATGGTACTAAGTCTATACTTTATTGCAAACTTTTCAAGTAAGTTCACTTCAATAAATATTTTTGATATAAATAGTTTTGAAATTTGTAGACACTGACCTCTATTGAAAATAAGTTGTGAGAGTGAAAAAAGTTACAAAGCAACATTAATGGTCATCAAAGGCTAAACATTAAGGTTGTGTACTGAGTACCTAACTACCGGTTGTGACTAAAGTTTCTGTCCAATAAAAAATATTATGCTCCGATAAGACTGACAGTTTTATACTTTTAATGAATAGTATAAGTAAATATAGTAAAAAAATAGTCAGAAAGGCCTTATAAATCAATAAACCTTTCAACTGAAGAATGAAGTTAAATACCCGACGGGTTAAATCCTTTTAATTATTTTAGTCCGACGACATAGATGAAGACGCTTAATTAGGGGTTGTTAAGTCCGTACATGTAATATGAATGGTTGGTATAGGGTTTGTGTCAAGTTTTCCTTATTAACTGGCTGGTATTAACAGTTAGAGCGAGTGGAGCAGTCGCTCAAGGCGCGGAGCGACTTTTCCTGCTTCTATGCCGCTAATATTCGCTAATATTCTGCCGGATAAGTCTTAATAAAAAGTTGATGATGGTCGAGATATAGTTGCCTCATAAAAAATGCGTATTTTATCGGATACCGATAATAGTTGTATAGTTTTGCAAAAAAACTTCAGATAGGTACGTCTTTTTTCTTATGATATCAGTATGGTAAACAATGTTTTTTATTCTTTTGATTGCGGATTTACCGATATTAAGATTCTCAGGACTAAATTAATATCTAGTAAGTTAAATGCATATCCTCTTTCATCAGTCATCAGAAAAATAAAGTTTCAAATAGGTAAATCATCATCATCAGCCTATCGCAGTCCACTGCTGGACCTATATGGCGTGCAATAGGAGAACCCTATGGCTCTCTCATTGCACGCCACTTAGATCGATTTTCGGCTTCTCGCATCCAGCTCTAGGTAACTTATATGAAGAAGTATTATCAAGGAAGATACAAACACTTATTTTTCATGGTATGGGGGCAAACGAGCAAACGGTTCACCAGATAGTAATTGACTACCACTCATTGCTCAATGCCGATTTTCTGTCAGGCCATGTTTTCATTCCGATTTCCGATCCGATGGCTATTCAACGGTTACAAATAAAAAGGGTTTAATTATAGATTGGTTCTTTTATAAAAGTTAACCTAACTTAATCTATAGCATTATCTGAAACAATGTGGGAAATTTGGGATTTCCGATCTACCAATGTTCCACTTTTGCCTTGCAGTTTTTTTAATAAGTATTTTTCTTTCGTAGATGGTCAAAGGGATAAAAAGTTCTTCCGAACAGACTACCACTATATAGAATCGACACAAAGTTTCTATAAGTTCCACACATTGCATAGGCCATGGAGGAGTGCAAAAAGGACGTGTGCGCTGGAAAGCGCAGAACTTTTTTACCCCGTCGACAATAAAGAAGCTCAAGTACTCTTGACATTGTGGACGATAATACAGCCCTTCGATGATGCGTACGTCGGGATCTCAGATTTGCTCGCCAAGGGAACTTTCCAAACTATTCATGGTAAGATTTGCATGCATTCATGTGTTCTTTAGATAGGAAGTTAGGGGTAGCGGCTTCGGAAGTACTTCTATACTGATAATAAGTTCAATACTATGCCGTAATTATTTATCTGGGCATTGGTTTGTCTATACCTACATACTTGGAGTAGTTTAAGAAATGATATTTTAAGGAAAATTAGTTATATTAATACTGCACGCACAAAATGTTTGTACCGAACTGTACACTGTACATTAGGGTGTCCCGTCAATGTATGGGATTTTTTTTTAAAGCGACGGCTACGCAAGAGGTATCAAAAGTTGCGTTTTTGTGAATAGATAACAAATATAACAAAATTTAATTAAATATTTGTCATCTTTAGGCCTCTACCGATCCTAGAAGTTTTTCAAATTTGCCATTTTTAGAGGTTTCGAACATAAACTATAAATGATACAAAAATAATGTTTTAAAGGTTTTAATCAAATTTATAGGTACTACAAAGACATAAGGTAATGTTCAGTAAAGTTTAAATACTTATAATTAGTGCTTATTTCAAATACGAAATTGGTTCTTGTGGCCAAAATTAGGCATTTCCGCGCGAGATTTTAATCTGTTTCTGATTAAACCATCCCGAGCTGTAGCGTCCGTGACACTTAGAGAAGCCTCCGTCACTAGCTTTACACATCTTTCCACTGATTGTGTATGACAGGGGAAATCAATAACATCGAAGCTTGTTCTTTAGCCTTAATTCTCAGTTCGTCGTCGGACATCTGTCGCAAAATCGGTGGAGCGGATATCTCACACTCTTGCCAAAATATCAAATCGATGTAATATCGCGCATCGAAGTTAAGTTTTGGTACTTTAAATACCCTGCGAGTATTGCTTATTTCTGCTTCTCTTGCCTTTAATATTTTGCGAGCTGCAAGCTCTCGAATATGCTCTCTGTCGTCGAATAGCATGGTAACAAGTAAGTTTTCAGGGTGAGCAAAAAAAGCGTTTCTCTCGATCACTGAATTCACAATAGATCTTTGCTTATCAGGCAAAAATCGGGAGTATGTAACCATTTGAAAAATATGATTGGCTCCATCTTTGAATGATGAGTTTTTCTTAATGAGGAACCAAACTGGAGCATAAACTTTGACCACATAATTGACAAGCAGCTTTAAATTATTTGAGGGCGAAACAGTACTTACTTAAAGTCTGAGTATGCGATTGGCAGTAGTTAGCCATCTTGAATGCGCCATTTTTCCAGGTTGGCGGCTCGCTAACTCAGGGGAACAAGAACCAGTCGTCACAGCATGACACATTTCATACAGATACTTTTGATCCGTACTTAGTTCCTTCACAATGTCATCAGGTAATTCGAGCAAATTGCCAGCCACTGCACAAAAAGACACTAATGGTTTACTTTCACAAACAATTAGCTGTTTTCCAATAGGTCCTGAGTATTCTTTCGGCCCAGATGTGCTACCATCTAGAGACATAAACAAATGGCGAAGCGGTAATTCATTTGTGTGAAGCATACAAACATACCATTGTAACGGTCTCTTCAAATAGTCTTCCAGGTATTTAATGACACCTCCTTTCCAACCTGTATTTGTAGGAGTGCCATCGCAACCCACACAATTTATTTCTTCTAAGTTCCATCCTTGATTTTCTAACAATTCTATAATAGAAGTGACAATCCCTTTCGCAGTACCTCGACTCGGCGTCGTATGTCCCAAGTAAATAGATCCCGGCTCTGTAAGAACTGAAATGTGTTCTTCTAAGACTTCTTTTCGGTGGTACCGGCTGTCTATTTTATTGATCTTGAGAGTTTTATCTTTTCGCCCATCGAAGTAGATACTCTTTATAATAATTTTATCGATGTCTTTGCTGGCTTGGGTACGTGACTTTGAAACAGCTCTGTGAATCTTATTTTTATCAATCAAAAGGTTTAGATCTTCGGAAGATACCATTCCTACGTCAACTAAGACTGCTGAAGCGACTGCAGCTGCTGAATTTTGTAGGAATTTTGCAAGTCTGACCAAACCGATTGATCGCTAAAACAACCTGTCGATACTTGCAAATCATAGCCGAGGCTTTTCTTATTGATAAAATTACAAGACAAAACAGGATTGATTCATAAAACATAGAATATACGACATTGACTACAAGGTTGTTTTTGCAGTAAATAAAAATGCTGGTAGAGCCCTAAGGATATTTTTAAATATTTTTTGAATTATTTTTACGCTAATCTACGTCTAACAGCGCAACTTTTGAGAGGTCTTAAGTAGCTAAAATAAGAATAAAAAAATTTCGGGACACCCTACTGTACATACATCTATTAATGTATTTTAGAACAAAACATACACTTAAGTACCGGTGGTATGATACTCCTTTATCTTTTTTACCTACATCTTAGTTGTATATACTTAATATCATTGAGTTTAGGTATCAAGCAGACAACCAATATGACCACAAAGGGAAGAGTTGTAAGGTTTAATTGTAAGAAATGTGAAGTTGGAGTCACAAATCCGTGTCCGCAAAACCATGGTTTTTTGTTAAAGTTTGATGATACAGTTGAAAAGTATTAAATTATTATTGTTCGAAAGAATCTAAAACATTATACCTACGACTTCTCTGTTTATATAACGAAAGTTAGTGAATCTAAAAAAATCGTTAGAAGTAATACAGAAAATATCTGCTGTGTTTTTCTCAAGTGATTGTGATTACGCGCCGAAAATACACAAACATGATCTGTGTGAAGGATCATCAGTTGAAGGAGTATTCTAAGAATAACACAACAAAAAAGTTTGCTAAAACTTTTGACTGTAGTTTATTATTGTATAAAATTAATTTCGCTGTGTGTGTTAGTTTTTTAAGCTATTAAATATACAATGTAATTTTAAAATGTTATATAATACGAATTCATCTCGTTGACTTTTGCATGCCACAATGTGAAGTATAAAGGAATGAAATTGATCTTTGTAACAACTTTACTATTGTACTTATACTTATTCGTAAATAAAGGTTTATTATTATTATTATGACTGCCTAAGTGGCATGGTATGGTACGGTGAATTAGCTTTTTTTTATGAATAGGTCATCATCATCATCATCATCAACAGCCTTTAATAGTCCACTGCAGGACATAGGCCTCTCCTTGGAAAGGAGGTTTATGAATAGGTAGTTATAGGTTATTCTGCTATAAAAACCCAATTCATAACATGGGTCTAAACATAGATAGGTACGAGTTATGTATAATGATCCGTTTTAATGTTTCTTACTTTTTGATTATATGTTCCTATTATACCTTAATATGTATTACCTTAATATGTTCATTTATCAATACTGTTTTATTCTTGTCTGTATTTAGTCTAAACTATTTTGAAATCATATAAGCAGGGTTATGGTTAGCGTACTGTAATTAGTGGGTATTAAATAAAACTACGTGAAGGTGAAGTCATCAGTGATTAATTTTGTTTTTTGTTTACTTTTTAGTTACCTAACGTATTAAGGATAACGCTATCTAACGAAATATTTAAAATTATTTAGACTTTATATGAACCTCTAATCGTTTATGAAATAATAATAATAATAACTTCACACATAACAATTAACTTGAATAAAAGTATTACCTACTTCAATGAGCCCACATCATGACGGATGTAATAAACTTAATTTTCCACCCTAAGGGACGGTATTTTCTAGGCTCGTGGCTAAGTGGTAACCGAGTATCTCAACACATTGCAAAGTTAAGCAATCCTAGCCAGGTCAGTCTATGGATGGGTGACTATTCTTAACATATTGAGACCCCTCGGACCTCGGAGAGCACGATAAGCGCGAATATCAGAATCTGTGGCAATCGTTACGGGAAGTTGGAGCCCTAAAAATTCCGACAAGTCTTTATACAGAACTACGATATCGCCTAGTACTTAGGTTGTGGAGGTCTGATGGCAAATCGAAGTTCACCCGTATCATAGTAGACTTAAAGCCAACCCCGAGCTATCTTGGGAAAAAGGCTTAAATAAAAAAGGAATGGTATTTTCTCCTCAAAATATGGGCCGAACGGGAAGTATCTCAAATAAAAAATACATAAATCGGTTCATAGATGACGGCGTTCTCAGATAACAGAGATACAAGTATAATACTCATGTAAATGGTCCACTTCCAGGTAATCTAATAGACGATGTATACCACAATTGGAGTCCTGGTGAGCCGAACGATGCTGATGGCAACGAAGACTGTGTGATCATGAGACAAGACGGCACTTACAATGACATTCCTTGCTTCATATCGAAACCCTTCATTTGTAAGAAGAGCCTCGTGTCGCTGGAGTGGAACAAGGAATGTAATATGCCTAACTTAGGTAAAGAAAAAATAACATTATTACGAAGCGTATAGGTCTTTATTATGATATGTGCTACAAACGAGCACACGATTCATCACCTGCAGCTCAAGAGACAGGTGACAGGTGACAGGTGAAACAGTGCTATGACACGAGCGAGTCGTTTTTGATTGAAAATATTTCATCAACTGCCTTTAACAGTCCACTGCTATACATATGTCTTTCCTTAGGAAGGAGGTTCTGGCCTACTATACCACGCTGGTCAGGAGGGTTGGTATAGGGTTTGTTTTAAGTTTCCTTCTCTTGGCAGTGCTGTTGTCCTGCGTAGTTTGCTCCCTTAGTCGGCTCTTATGACAACCACGGAATGATTAGGGGTGGTGACACTTCGTATTACAAGTTTTAATCCGCCTCCACGAGGAAAAAAAAAAACATTTAGTGGATGTATTTAGCAAGTTAAACAGCTCTACAACACATTAATTTTTTTTTTTAGATTACAAATTAAACAAAAAACTAGGTCGATGTTATAAGTTCCACATGAAACCTCAGGACTGGAGCGGTGCGAACGGTGTGTGCAGCTATGAGAAATCCTACCTGGCAGTTATCAATTCAAAGCAGGAAGCTGATTTCCTAGCCATATTAACAGAAAGCATGCCCAAGAAAAAATTCAATGAAGATTTTATGCCTGGAGTTGTACTTTTAGGATTTCATGACAGATACGAGGAGGGCTGGGAAACTGTTAAAGGTAAATCTTCTGTCTACGATTATTTTCTTCGAAGACAGGTTTTATTCAATAGATAGATATGCCATAGACAAAAAACTTTATAAACTTTTAATTGGCTATGATTTACAGTTACAATATGTAACCTTTTTATTCCTCTAAATTGGAAAATAAGCAGAAACCCTTTACAGAGAGATGTCACATGCGCGTTAGAAATCCGATTAATTTCTCTACGAAGACTACCGTGTTATGGACATGTAACATGTCAAATAAGAAAAATACATCGCTTAAGAATCCTTATAATTAAACTATCGTCGGCAACTTCTATCAAAACTTAATTTAAAGCGATTACGTAACTATTGTTACACACCTTCGAATTGCCCGACGTTGGTAACAGGCGGACAGTGACAACGGGGGTCACCTAAGGGCTGAGTGCAAGTTTATTTCACTCGAGGGCGAGTGCGTTTAGAGTTGTGATTGGTGGAGATTTCAGCGCGGGCCAATCGTAGCGCCGACGGTCACCGTGACGATCGAGTAGAAGTGAAATAACTTCGCGTTTAGCCCTCTGTTCGAATATGCCACTTATATACATAATCACGTTAATAATGGTAAAGTTCATACACGGTCACGTATAGTTTAAGCGGTCACATTCCGCTTCCTACTGCGCTAAATGTTGTGGGTTCGATCCCCACATAGGACAACACTTTGTGTGATCAACAAATTGTTGTTCTGAGTCTAAATGTTATTTTTGTCTGTTTCATGATGTTTGTAAAGTCCCCCGCGACAGAATAGTATAATATATATAGAATGTAGGTATATGTCCTAGTGCGAGAGTTGTATTTTTAAAAGAAAATAATAATATAGGTACGATCGAAGTAAGTCAACTATCATTAATCATGTTACAGGTACATCGTTAGAAGACAGCGGCTACATGAACTGGGCCAAGGGTCAGCCGGACGACCCACCACGAGGGGCGGAAGACCGATGCGGTTCTATGTTATATAACGGACAGTTGAGTGACATTCCATGCGATAAGAGAGGCTTCTTTATCTGCGAACACGAGGTAGCTCAGCCCGCTTCTGATTTTGATCATCGTTCTGGTGACAGGAAACGTTAACATATATAACTACATTTAATCGCAAAAAACTGCAAAAGCTTGGCAATTTGTATTTATATAAATTAAAAAAAAATACTATTCTAGCCTATGTTCACTGTACCGTTATTATAAGCGTTCTTTATTTAAATTTTTTTTTTCTTGACAACTACCACAAATAGCCTGTGTGCCTGCTTAGACTTTATGAGCAGTGATGCGCAGAAAGCGATGTTATAGAGTTCTGCCTTGCCCTTTCAGGAAGAAAAGCACGATGATCTGTGTATCACGACGGTCACAAATACGTGGAGTAGTAACAATTACTCAGTCAAAGTTTATTGTAGAGTTTACAAATAAAACAACAAATTTTTATTTCTTGACACCCTACAATTTATTAAGTAAAATTAATTTTAAAATGTTCGATAATACAGTTGTTAAATACATCATTTGTTTAGTGAAGTTTAATGCGTAAAGTCATCTAATTAAATTAAGGTGTTATACGACATGAAATATTTGATTTTACAAATTCTCAGTTTTTGCACAATACGAAAAGACTTAAAAAGCCCTAGATCGCGGGTAAAACCGTACATTTTGCGTGACCTCGCTACAACTACATTGTTTGTAGGACTTTAAAGCTAACTGAATGTTGGTTAACATGTCTAATTGTATAGTGTTTGTTAGTGAAAACACCCGTCTCTACACTTTTGGTAGGTCGAAGGCTAAACTACCACACTGTTTGTAGTAGCACAAATACTATAGACGGTATATCTGAATTAAGGGCAAAAGGAAAGTCTCTTGGCCAGAGCTAGTTCGGTGACGAATTCTCGAACTACCCCCACTTCAATCACAGACACAAATAAAATTCCATTCATATCAATTGTCCTGGAGTCATAACCTTCAATTGTTTTTTAAACCCATCATTTGGTTGTATAGCAGGTCTTTTGCTCTTAACCAACGCATAAGCATCTTGAAACTCCATTCTTTCATAATGCATTAAGTATGCTATGGTGACCATCGAGGTACGGGACACACCCGCGTTGCAATGTACTAGAATATTCTCTTTAGATTCCACCGCTTTACGAATGTAAGTCAAACAATCATGTAACGTATCTTTGATATTAGTTTCTGGTAAATCTAAGCAGGTTATATGCTTATTATCTACTGTAACGTCAACATGTATTCCTAAGCTAAGCACATGCTTTATATTGTTCGTGTCTATGACGTTGGCTGCTGCGCAGTCTTGAGAGCCTATGTACAAATAGTCTGTAATTAATGCCGGTGTACTGTCAGGTTTTGTGTCCACTACAAAACCGAAAGTATTGGGGTAAACAGCGGTTATATTACAATTTTTCTCTGAATATCTTTGGCCGTCGACTTTGGTCACTACTGTTTCAGTTTCTTTTAACTTTGATTTTTGTTTCTTTAGCTCACTGAGGAAACTCATTTCGGCAGGGAAAATTATAGGGACTTTATTTTAGTTGTCACGTATTTAGAATGAGAATTTCAATATATTCTGTTTACTAAACTTATTATTGGGTTAAAATATTAAATTATTTGATCTTAATCAAAATTACACACATTTTAACAGAAAACTGATATTTTTATATTGTTAGATGTACTATTTAAACTGAAAACTATAGACAAAATAAATTAAATGAAACTGTACTATTTATTAAGCTACTGTATTTAGGAACAATTTAATTGCACTGATTTAGATTCTTAGAATTAGTACTTCAAACTTCAACACAAACTAAATCACTAATTTTTCTATCCAATTTCACATTCCACATCACTATCACTTTCTTTTCTTATCTTCTTGTCCTCGTTCTTCTCAGCACTATAGACAAGATCCTGTGGGTTATACTCCACGTTGCACAGGTAGAGACCGTCAGGTGGTCCAGTATGTATGAAACTGTACCAGGAGTGCTTCGAAGGTACTTGTAACATTACTTTTATCTCTTCGGGTGGGAGCTTGCCTATGGCGACGCTATTGAGGGCGCCGACCATGCGCCGTATCTGAAATTTTATTTTACATTTCACACATTTTATTACATATTGGAAAAATCAACAATTAACATTAAATATGTTAAAGTCAACTTCAATACGCAGGGCCAACATTGTGTTAAATTGTATTTTTTTACATTTTTATTACTTAATTTTCACCCTTAGGGGTGGAAATTTATTTTGAAATTTGAATGCAACCAAATGTGAATATTAAAAAATCGGTCCATGAATGAAGTACAGACATGAGATTAAGAACCTCATCCTTTTTTGAAGTTGGTTAAAATAACACCAGCTATCCTTTCTTATTCAAAAGGATATAATTTCCGTTTGGTGCCATTTGAAGAAAAATATCTACCCCTAAGGGTGAAAATTAAAGAATGCCAACTATAGTTTATTACAATTCATCATAACGTGGGTGCATCAATCTATGATACTTCTTTACTTATTATTTTTTTATTAATATATATTATGTATATAATATATCTAAGTACTTTATTGATATTTTCTTATCAAATAATTTTGAATCTAATTTCTTTAGTTTTATTGATATTGTAACGGTGCATTTCGCACCCTTACAGAAAATTTATTTATCGACGCGTTTTTGGTTTGACGGTCGAATTTTATGACGTTTCAGCGAGTGCCGATTGTCGATGAGGTGGACGAGAATAATAGTCGGTGCTGATCGTCTATGGTAATTATTGATTTGGTTTTTCTTGTCCTGGCAACATTTTTTGTCGCATTCCAGGTAGTAACGGAGCTTTTGCTCTGGCAACATGAGAGCGTCACTTTTGGATTTCGGCCCGGGTGAGATGAGTCAGGTCGAAGTAGGTTTAGTTTTTGAAAATGTAGTCTTTTTGTTGTAACGAGGGCTATTTCATCTTTTAATGTTTGGCCAATCTCGTTAAAGACTTAAGTTATTTGTTCGAATTGATATTTTCATTGTAAAGTTTTGTTAGGCCGCGTGCTTCATACTTGGCTTATGGAGAATAGTTGTTCTAAATCTTTGTTTATTTGGTTACAGGAATTAATTATAATGCCGCTGCTTTGTTTGTGAGACGTTTTGGGACCCTGGTGAGTAAACTATTGTATCTTGCCAGATTTAGGATTCATCTTTTGAGATAGGCAAATAACCTATAATTCTCATTTGTTTCAGATTGAAACAGGGTCTTTAATTTATATCTAAATTTTTAGTTTATACCTAAATTTCTTTTACACCTTAATTTTTATTTAAACCTTAATTTCTTGTTATACCTTATTTTCATAACCTCTAGTTCGGTTCTCTTATTGGATTGTGATGTCATTGCGTTACATTTGGATTTTGCCTCACTGCCGGCCCGACCCAAGGATTTAGTATGCTGCGGAGAGCACCTATAATGGTAGAAAAAGCTGTTTAGCTGCAGTCCATTATCAGGAACCTGGGAATACTAACCCGCCACTTTCACCACGTGGGAACCGGAGTGAGATTTATTAGCCTTAGTTTGCCTTCATTTCATTTGGACTGAGCGAAGGTCATTAGGTATGTTTTTTTTTATTAATTTGTTTGGCGTCGTGGCATCGGATACTGCAGGTCCCCAAGGGGTGTTATTTTTATTAAGGGAGTAGGTCGATGCTACAACTACCCTTAGATTCATTTCTTATTAAGTCTTTATGTGACTCTTAAAACATATTTGATTTTAGTTTGTTTTATTCGTTATTTGAAACAGATTGCATTAACGACAGTACTAATTTGAGTATAAGAATTACATATTGTAATTAGAACCTTAAGATACCATGTACTCTACAGACACTACGGGATAATAAACTGCCACTTGAACTTAACATCTTTGTATCTAATAGCTGCCCCCCATCCTAGATTAAAAGTCTAGCGCTGACCGAGTTGTCCGAGGCATTTGTTGTATTTGTTGTTGGTTGTCTGTGTTCATTTAGGTTGGGGCATCTGGCGTCCGAGTTTAATTGTTTGTTAGTATTTGTGGTGCCCCCAGTTGGTTTGTTTGTTTGTTTAGAACACAGATAGCATTAACATTACACAAGTACAGCACTTACAACAAATACATTTTTTTTTAAATTTTTTTATATTACAATATTTTACATTAAATTTTTTACCACAAACCTGATTATGTACAAATGCTCTGCCTTTGATTTCGATATCCCAATAATCAAAGATGTTTTCCTGCGCAGTGGTGTAACTAGTGACTAAAGGCCTGCCTGGCCGCACCTCTAAGGACTTTATCTCTCTTCGATTCTGTTTATGTTGCTTCAATTTATCGAATTTTTTGAATGTCGTGAAATCGTGGTAACCAACAAAATACTTCGCGCCTACCTTGAACTTTTCTATGTCGAAATCTTGATGTCTGCAATAGAGTATTTAAATTTACCATACCGTGAGAGAGCCATGTTTCTGGACAAATGGGTCGGCTTTCCGGAGTGATAACACAGCCTCACAGAAAACGGATTATTTTCGTTGCTTTTCACGGAATGAGTGAGGGTAACAGAACCCAAATTAAATCCTATACTGCCCCTTGAATCCCCTCCCCCGTTTCTGGTGGAGGGGATTCAAGGGGCAGCAACTGCATAACTAACAACACTAACAACTAACGAGAATTACAGGTGTCCATGGGTGTTGGTAGTAACTTACCATCAGGTGACCCATCTCTGGGCCGGATTATCCATTAGGCAGAGTAGGTAACTGCCTAGGGGCCCCGCATGGGTTAGGAACTCCGCTTTTGCTGTTAGTTCCTGAGGAGTTATGCATCAGTCTGGTGATGCGGTTGGTGCTTTGATAATTACTCACAACCCTTAATCGATTTATAAAGAGCGGAAAGCGGAAAAAAGGGGCCCCGAGGATTGCATTGCCTAAAGGCCTCAACTAATCCGGTAATGACTTGTCTGCTTGTTTTACCTCCCTATACCGTGAACAATTTTTGCTATAAGATTAGATAGAGATGAGAGGCTAGATGTAAAGAGAAGATTACAATAAAAAAGTGCAACATTAAGTGCTTTATCCAACTACCTTCCTATCCTGGATTAAAATCAGTATCAGTAATGTGATACCATGCCATGTGAGTGCCATGACACTATACAATTATAACATAAGTAAATATTCCAAACATGAACATGTACCTCAGAAAGTGGCACTTTCTCCACTCTTCTATGGGTATGTACGATGCCAATGAAGTGTCTTCTGGCAAAACTATACCTTTCTTCAGAACGGCCAGTCTAAAATATTAAAAATAAATTTTTATTTAAGTGGGTTTGACAGCCAAATTGATTTGGTGTTGCAAGTAGATATCAAGCATAGAAATAGCTAACAAGGAAGTCATATGCTCACCATACTCATACTCATTTGCAAGGTAAAAAAAAATTGTAGAACTCATTTAAAAAGGTTAGAGGGTTGTCAGTGGCAACCTTAGCCATTGCGAGGCCCTGGGCAGGTGGTTGATAGGGAAGCTCTTGTCTTTGTGGAGTTAGTTTTAATAGTGATGGTGACTTGGAAAATTTTTTACATAGAGGCCCTGCTTGAGCAGAGCCCTGGGTGGTTGCCCAGCTCGCCACCCCCAAAGGCCAACCCTGAGAGTTGTGATATTAAGCCATCTTTGCAAACCCCACAATATCTGGCACAGCGTAGTGCCATTCCAGTGCCAGTGGCATTTATCATAGATGCAGTCCAGTTGATTGTATTTCATATTTACATTAAGTAAACTTACCTATACAAATATGTTCTACTAATAGCATTATATCTAGCACTGAAGTCATCTCGCACCCTGATACACTTCCTCACATATATTCCAGTGTTGTTTTTATAGAAAAACTTGTTGAGATTGTATGTGACACCCTCAGTGTTGTAAGGTAAGGACCCGTTCCGTTCCAAGTCAACATGAGCACTTGCATTCAATGCATGGACTCCACCATCTGTACTGTAAGAAAAATGTTGAAAAAGAATAACTGCCGTTGTGGTTAACGGACGTAAAAAACAATAGTTAAGATTGAAGGAGAAAGTAATAACCCATGCACCTGAATTTTCAAGAATCAGATGTCTACTAGGATAATTCAAGATTTTATAAAACATGTAAATTGTATGTAATGTTACGACATTATACGAATATATGTCTTACCGGCTGGACAGGGTGAGATTTGGATAATTTAGTGACTTCAGTCTTAACAACCCCAATTCCAACAGCCCTTGTATGCTCTCTGTATCTGTATAGTTCCGTGCTTCTTTAAGCCATATTTTCTCCGAAGACCTGTTTAACGACTTGTTATTGTTATGTTCTAAGTAAAGGTTAACATCATGATTTAAAACAAACTAATAGTACCTGAATGAAGTCCCTATATAAGAAAAGAACAGTAAATATCTGGCTTTCATTCTAACCTATTCTTAAAAATATCTAATGCATTTACATTTATCACTTTTAGTTAAAAGTCTTTAACTTCAACTTTTGGTTAATGACTTTGTGGTAGAGTGTAATCACAATTTCGCCAATGTCATGTAAAAAAGTCTTTAATTAACCGCAAATTCGGCAATAGATTTTTGTAGGTTATACGTCATGTGTCATTAACTCACTCAATACTGTCAACTGTCAAGTTAATGTTATTCATTTAATGCATATACGGGACACGGTGAGGCTTCCCTTGCGTGCTCTATTTCCTTTATTATCTCTATGAAATCATACCTCAATTTCTTCATGAAGTCATGAAGAAATTGAGGTATCGTTTTTAAATGAAAGGACATACATGACATTTGACTTGCAGAACTACTCGTTGATTCAACTCAAGGAATTAAGTTTACAAAAATATTTGTATATAAAACTAGAGGATTAGGATAAAAGATATAAAATGTTGTCTCATTCAATGGATGGAATCTCTACCAAAGCTTTGGATCGAATTTGGTTCCTGGACGGGTGGTCTAGTTGTTCTTGACGTCAGACGTGACAACCGATGACGTTCATGACGTTTGTTCTAAACATGTCATTATTTTCAATAAACCAGTCAAAAATGGCACAACGGACGTGGCATATGTTTACGTTGATAACGCTTATATTTACGATTTTATCACTTGTTGGCGATGTTTTTACATCAACGGCAGCACCATGGTACGAAAATATGCCGGCGGTGACGATGGACTATAAAGTTCATATAGATGCCGGCAAAGAAGATTGTTACTTTCAACATGTTCCGCAAGGTGCAACATTTTATGCCAGCTATCAGGTAATTTACGACTAACTACAGTGAAATAAGTCACTAATAATCATGCGTTTACTTATTGTTATTGACTTCTTAATATACCAATATAGTGAAGTACTTTTTACGCAAGTAAATAAGAAGTTTCTTGAACCAACAGGTATTGAAAGGCGGTGACGGTATGTGTGGTTTCGCCGTCCGGCACCCTAACGGGAACATAGTTCACCCTTATGAATGGAGACAGAGTGCCGAGTACGCGGACCAGACATCTACAGGAGGTTACTATTCAGTCTGTATTGACAATCAGTTCTCCAGATTCGCGGGAAAATTAGTCAATTTATACTTGTCGGTAATAAGGTATGACATGTGGGAGAAATATGCTAAGGAAGTGGAGGAGCTGGATATGAATATAAAGAATTTTACAGTAAGTTGACATTCATTTACTAAATAAATATTCTACGTAAGTCATATATCTGGGCATCATATTGAATAGGGTTTGTAGTCACTTAAATATTACCTTTCTCTTAACTTGCAATAATAATTGTAGAGGGACTAGTGTTGTGTTTTGTGCACCTAACTTTCACTAAAATAATTATGTTACTGTTTTTGCACTTTTACAATAATTGATTACAACATTAAATTCAAATTCAGAAAGGGTTATTTTTAATTCATTAAGAAGTAAATAATATGAAATATTTTAAACAAAACTTACAAATACAGCATTTTTTAATTAACCAATCTGCATTTGCCATTTTGAATGTTTGTTACAAAAATCTACATACTTTTTAAAAATTTTAATTATACTATACAACAAAACTTAATCCCAAATGTTGTGTTATTAAACTTCTGATTTGCTTTTTTTATAGAATTCCATCCAATTTGTGGAGAGAAATATCAATGATATCCTACAATACCAGTATCACTCTCGGGCGAGGGAGTCAAGGGACTATAACTTATTGCAGGACAATAATGCCTATGTACTTAGGTGAGTCACTACTTATTCCATATTACACTATCATAGATACTTATTAATATTTATAAGATGGTGACGGATTAAGAATACAGAGTATCACCACCCCCATTCATCCGTCAAACCAGCCCATTTGTGCCGAAGCATAGCTCTTCCACAGATAGGTTTAATGCAAAAGACATTATATTTTCAGATGGTCAATGGTACAGATCCTGGCAATTGCAGCAACTGCAACACTACAAGTGTACTTTGTGAGAAAACTATTTGAAGTCAAGGACAATTCATCAAAGACCAGAATCTGATCACATCACATGAATATAACTAAAAACTAAAGGAGCTCGGGAGGTTTGGCACTCGTACTAAAATGACATGTAATATGCAAACTGATAACTTGTCGTGGCGAATAATAATAACAGTGAATGTATCAAGTCAGCAAAAAGGTCTACTGTTTCACACTCAAGAGACTTCTACAAGATTTAGACAGACGTAAGAACCTGTATACCGCTATGTGCAATCTTGTAAAGTACCTAATTTAGTCAGATCACAGTGTTGCCAACTTCATGGACTTCTCTTGGAGTAAAAAATCTTCTGCAAGGGCCGTTTACACTGCAATACATGGGACAACATTAATAAATTAAAAAAAAACATTTTATATATATATAACAGTTGATATATCCCAAAGGGAAGAGTGGAAGTAATTTGAAATTAGTTTAAGGAAATATTAAGTTCATAAAGTTGACATAACTGTGCATTTCACCAAGTCCTTGTATTTTTTAGTTAAAAGTACCAACAAAATAATATAATGGCGCCAATTCTGTTGTTTCAAATCTATCAACTAGATTAAGTTTAACTGTTCTGAAAATGTAGGACTAATTTTTTTTTAGTCTGACAGAACTAAGTTAAAATATTTTTACTCTTTATCATTAAGTATGAATGATAAAAAGTAAATAAATTTTAACTTGTGGCAACACTGTTACTGAATTTTTGGTAGTGCCAGACAAAATAATTTAGTCTCATGCATAATGAAACTAAATTTAGTCTGAGGATTATTTTGTGTAGTGATGGGAACAATGGCATAGGCACCAGTGTATACAATTCATAATTATTGACTGATCTTTCATTCCATTCTTAATTTAATGTTGATCTCTTTCCGATTCAACTGTTGTTGTAAAACTAAAATCTTTAATATGTCGAGAACGACTGTCAACGCTGTAAAAGCATTGAAAAAATTAGTGTCCAACTGTTGGCCACATTGTTGCTGTGTGTGTGTCAGTTGTGTTGTCGTCATGACGTTTAGCGATTGTAAAACATAGTTGTCACACACATATTTGTTTTAGTTAGTTTGATCTGAGTTTTATACATAATTTTAAATTTCAGAGATATTTTTCTACACTAGTTCAGTTTTATGATTCCTATTGAAGCATTTGTCACATTAATTTTAATCAATTCTTGAGATTACATATAGGTGTATTTTTTAGAGCTTTTTTACAGTAAATTTTGTAGGTAAGTACATATAATATTCTTTTGATACTACGCATAAAAAGGCGCACATTGTTATTTCTAGTTAAGTACAATCACAAATGGACTTTATGAAATGTGTTCGATGATTGAGATTTTATTCTTTTTATATTTAAATAATTAAAAAGACATTCGTATATATATATATATATTTTATTTGCACTTGTTTTTACGATTTATTTTCTATATTTTTTTACGATTTTGCATGATGACTATTGTATTTTTATTTAAAGAATTAAAGTTGATGTAAGTATAGAAATATATTTTAAGCAGTTTATCAAAGTTTAATTACTGACTAAGATATAATAAAACAGAAATATGAAGTACTTAATATTTGTCTTTCTTATTTACATCAAGACAACTTGACTTGACTCTTGCCTAAATATTATTGTAATTGTTGTTGTTTACATTTAGCCACTCTATTGGCTTCTGTACGTGGGAGGGCACATAATATGGGCCGGTTTGACCGAACTAGTGCCCGGCCTCACTAAAAACCTACTGTTAGGTCAGGAGCCATCCTTAAATTACGATACACCAATTTCATTGTTTTTTGACCCCTTCCCCTTTCCAGAGCTGGTCACATTTGTGAGTCTTACCCCTTAGTGTGACATCACATGTTTGCAATTTTATATCTAGAAATTATTTAATTAAAAATAGCAGTCCCAAAATTAATTTTATTTAAATTTTAAATATAAAATTAGCGTCAAATGAAATATTTGAATAAAATAAGAAACTTAGATATATTTTGAAACCTGACGTCACAAATCTTAGGCCCTCCCACCTCTTGTCACACTTCGCTGATCCCCCCCCCCCCCCCCCCCCCTTTAACGTGAGACGTAATTTATGGATGGTCCCAAACCGGAAGGCGCTCCTCTCTGGGAGGAGGAGGGGGCAATCAAAGGTAAACGCACATGAATGTGGCGCTAGAATAGCAGGTGTCCCTGAGCGACGGTGGTCAATTACTATCAGGTGATCCGACCGTTCGTCCCACACAATTAAAAATTGTAGGCATAGTATTAAGTTTATCAAGAAATTATTGATGTACTCCCTCACATTGCCGCCGAAACACAATTCCCTACGCCTAAAGTTGATAACAGCTATCAGGTAATTTACGACTAACTACAGTGAAATAAGTCACTAATGATCATGCGTTTGCTTATTGTTATTGACTTCTTAATATACCAATATAGTGAAGTACTTTTTACGCAAGTAAATAAGAAGTTTCTTGAACCAACAGGTATTGAAAGGCGGTGATGGTATGTGTGGTTTCGCCGTCCGGCACCCTAACGGGAACATAGTACATCCTTATGAATGGAGACAGAGCGCCGAGTACGCTGACCAGACATCCACAGGAGGTTACTATTCAGTCTCTATTGACAATCAGTTCTCCAGATTCGCGGGAAAATTAGTCAATTTATACTTGTCGGTAATAAGGTATGACATGTGGGAGAAATACGCTAAGGAAGTGGAGGAGCTGGATATGAATATAAAGAATTTTACAGTAAGTTGACATTCATTTACTAAATAAATATTCTATGTAAGTCATATATCTGGGCATCATATTGAATAGGTTTTGTAGTCACTTAAACATTACCTTTCTCTTAACTTGCAATAATAATTGTAGAGGGACTAGTGTTGTGTTTTGTGCACCTAACTTTCACTAAGATAATTATGATTAGATATATTTTGAAACGTGACGTCACAAATCTTAGGCCCTCCCACCTCTTGTCACACTTCGCGGTTCCCCCCCCCCGCCTTTAACGTGAGACGTAATTTATGGATGGTCCCAAACCGGAAGGCGCTCCTCTCTGGGAGGAGGAGGGGGCAATCAAAGGTAAACGCACATGAATGTGGCGCTAGAATAGCAGGTGTCCCTGAGCGACGGTGGTCAATTACTATCAGGTGATCCGACCGTTCGTCCCACACAATTAAAAATTGTAGGCATAGTATTAAGTTTATCAAGAAATTATTGATGTACTCCCTCACATTTCCGCCGAAACACAATTCCCTACGCCTAAAGTTGATAACTAAAAAAATTAACTCATTACTTCTAACTACCGTGATACAAAAAAAGAAGTAAATAAGTATTCCATTAGTCAATCTAGTTTTCGAAGTACAAGCTCTGGTTAGTTTGAAACTAGATGGCGTTGTGTGTCAGATGTCCGAAATAAAATATTATCATTATAAGTAGCTGAATATGATGCCATATGCTTTTTCGTTTTTCATAGTTAAATAATATTTACCAGACGACGGGTGCGGTAAGTGAGTGTGTAGGTTATTAAGGTGGATATAGACATTTTGAGCAAGGATGCCTCAAGTAAAAATAAAACCAGTGCATGCTCAGGTCGATCCAACCGCGTCCGAAGCACTTGCCTCGGAAAGTGCATACCTTCAATTGTAGCGAGGCGAGCCAGCCAGCAAATCAAATCGCCTTTTGCTGTTTTTTATCATTATTACATGAGTTATTATAGAAACAACAGCGGCTACGTGTACGCTATGCGGTGGTGTGTTTGCTGGATCTATTCGGCATGTGCCGAATGACTCGAATAGCCTCATTTTCTTAACCGAGGCACGTCGAGCGTCGTGCGAAGCACATTTCTTGCTATAGTAAGTGTCTAGCTCCGTCCACACGTATGCTTTGATCGTGGCGCGTTTGCCGACATACGCTGGCTCGCCGTTATACTGCGTAGCACATGCCTCGCCACGACTATGAACATCTACACTGAAGAGAAACCGTTCACCGCACATGCCTCGTAATGTCTGTATCCGCCTTTAGATGTATAGAGGCCAAGATCATGGTCATATATTTAGTTCACATAAACCTGAACTGAATTACTGAATGTGGAACGTGACTCAAACCAACTGAGATGTCCATTATATTGACGTAGATTCAGTTTGTTAGTATAATGAAATAAACAAACAGCTTTGAAAGTAAATTATTAGTGCTCAGATAAATTTCATTAAAAAGTTGATTTAATGGGTTAAGACTATGAAGTGTCACCACCCCTACTCATCCAGGGGTATCGTAAGAGCCGACTAAGGGAGCAAACTACGCAGGACAACAGCACTGCAATGAGAAGGAAAACTACGAAACGATAATTTCTGGGTTCCAAGAAACAAGATTGGTCAGGGGGCGAAGCTTGATCGATGCGTCACTATTTATTTAACGCGAATGGACTATCCACTATATGGACTATATGGTGATGGATTAGGAACACGGCGTGTCACCATCCCTATTCATCCCGAGGGTATCGTAAGAGCCGACGTAGGGAGCAAACTACGAAGGACAACAGCACTGCAAAGAGAAGGAAAACTTGAAACAAACCCTATACCAACCTTCCTGGCCAGCGTGGTATAGTAGGACAAAACCTCCTTTCTAAGGAGAGGCCTATGTCCAACAGTGGACTATTAAAGGCTGTTGATGATGATGAATGGTCAGTTTAATTTATATCGGACAGTTCTCTTCTTTAATACAAGAAATATTATATGTAGATATACCTCAATAATAATAATTAAATTACGATATCCAATGAAAGAAAATAAAACATGTACATAATATTCATACATTTTATTATCATACCATAAATATATAACATCCATGATTTGTTATATTCGTTTTCTAATTCTATATACACAATAATTTACTTAAGTACATTAAAATTGTAATTTCATTTAATTGTTAACGATATGGTGTAATGTTAAAGCCGAATCACGCTGCGACAAATCGACTTATATTTTGACGAAATCAATTACTAAATATATCTTATTATACATATTTCTTATTTTAAACTAAAGTAACGGTGATATTTACTATGAATGTTTGAATCCAGGTAGAAAAATATATACATTACAATGACATAAATTTGAAACATTAATCATGAAAATAATCAAACTAAATAGACTCTTCTGTGTATATTTTACGACACATTATGTTGTAAAACAGATGTTGAATTTATTATGCAAGCGTTCACTTCGTAAATATGATTGTCTATGCTCTGATCTCAGTGGAGTTTCACTAGATTACATTTTTTTTATATCATTGCAATAAATATATTATCGTTTCTTGTGTTACTGTGGTTTGTCAAAGTGTAGGAATGTAAGTATGACACTTGGACCTAGATTTGTGATGAAAATATTTATTTATTAAAAAAAAACAGAGACAAAAGACACTTTATATAATAATCGTCAAAAATATAAAGACTTGTTACTTTTGTGATGTATTATAGGCTTAAGTGCTAGCCAAGGAATGTCGACTAATATAAAACAATTTCACGACCAACTCAACTGCTCACTATGACTAGGCAATTTACGAACAGCGGGCAAGTGAAGCGCTACATGTGGTATATAATTCTAACACTAAATATTAAATGTTCTTACAAAGTTATACTGTACACAATGTGCTGTGAATCTCATACGTAACTGTACATTTCACAACTAATCTACACATTACACTAAAGTAAACAAAATGGGTTTATGGGCGCAACTTTTTTTTAATTAATCTTCGCCAATGTCAATCCTTATGATTACTGTCATGGAATGTCTATTCCATTGTAATTATTCTAAAATCAAATAAAAAAAATAGAACCACAGATTACTTCGAGACTGCCGCTTGTTTTTGAGTTTCGAATTCGAATTTTAAATTGACATACTTATATGAATTAAAAAGGTGCTACGCCATTATTTTGACGTCATGGCTTTTTTACCAATTTTAATTAATTTTAGATGTAACTACTCTATTATTGGTTTCAATCCTACTGTGTAATACTAAAACGGCACTAAGCTTGCTAAGACTCGCACTAATACAGCTAAATAGCCATTACAGTACGAGACTTAACGGCTTCTCACTTGTGTTTATCTACAAACTTTATTTTTGCGTCAATGAAATCTTGAAAAATTATAATTTACATTTAATCTCTTTTTAAGAGTTCTGTGTAAATGTGCTTTAGGCAAAATCGAATAAAAATAATTTTCTAATCTAAAGAGCCGATAAATAATTTCATTTTTAAAATACTTTGTTCAACATACAGCAGAACTATCACAAGTAAGCACCTTTACATCGAACGTGTATTCACACACTCCATTTATCTACACTTAGTTCACTACATTATAAAGGCAGTGACTGGACGGACAACGTCTTTAGACAATACGTACTTTAATGAATAACAAACATATTTTGTGTTAAATTCTTAATACAGTCAGCGCAATTCACGAATGCGGTCAATTCCGCATAGATAAAAATATGCATATGTGCGTTCTATAAACACCGAGTTCGAATTATAAATTTTTACTTTTTTTCTATTTTTAAAATTCGAACATAGTTCTTTGTTAGTTAATCTTAAATAATATTGCCATATTCATGAATTGCAAGTTACAACTGCAAATATTACTTATACATAATTTTTACACTTTAATATGATATCAGTGAAGAAAAGTTGAGACAATAACTATCTTATATTCAATGTGAGATTCCGTGATGAAAAACTCTTATTATTTTCTGCGCGAAACATACCACTATGTTACATTATTGTAGCTGTACAAGGCATACTATAATAATTAATAAAGGACAGAACACTGCGCACTTCACGCGCAATAAAAGGCGCTTTAGTGGAGTACTTCTCTACCAAATGTGATGTCTAACTCAAGCTAAATGCAGCTTAGCAGGAAGCCTAGAATTCTTGATAACACGATGTCTTTGTCCTCCGTTGGTAATTTACAACACAAGGCATTTTTTCTGGTTTCAAATGTCTAGGTAAATATCGACACTTATGTGACTCACTCTACTGCTGAAGGATAAGTTTAAGTTTTGTCGACAACCGCAAATCACGGGCGGGCGCGTGTCAGATGTTCCGTTTCTTCTGGCCGAGGTAGGTCCCGGAGAGAGCGAGCAGGCGATATCGCTGTCGCAGGTTGCGCGCGCGCACATGCGGTGAGGCGATCTCGGCTGTGTAGGCGCCGGGGAACCAGCCCGCCTCGCCGTCGCGGGTCCGCTCGCCGTAGTACCACCCTATAAGTTGATATAGTCTTTGCGTGATGCTATCCTTTTATATTACATGATCCTATACTGTTAAATGAATCTACATGTTGGCAGTCAATGTGATGGCCGGGCAAAAGGTGCGGTAATTAACCCGTAAATGCATTATATAACATGTACACTTAGGCTTGAAAGCAGTGACTCATTTGACGGGCCTGTTGGTCTAGTGGTGTGACCCTGACTGTTAAGTCGGAGGTCGTGGGTTCGATTATATATACATAGATTGCGGTAAGTAAGGTAATTGAGCGTCCTTACTATTTAAGCATGGGTCGAAATGTAGTAGGCGGTTAAGCTTACCCTCGCTGGTCTTCCTGGTGACGTTGACGACGTCCCCCTCGGCGAGCGTGAGCTCGTCGGGCTGCGCGGGCGCGTAGGCGTAGAGCGCGCAGACCTGGGGGCAGTCCCAGCCGGCGTACACCGCCTCGCCCTCCGCGCTCGCCGCCGGGGGCAGCAGCGCCTCCGCCCAGCGCGACCACGCCGTCTCCGACGGACACGACATCAGCTAAGGAGTGCGTATGATTTAGGATATAGTCTTTAACATTTATAACTCTCCTAAAACGTTACAACACCTCGTGTTAGAATATGTATGTTTACATCTCCTAATTTCGGTTCCTTTATATAAAGTCTGTCTGCAAGTCTGTCGCCGTCAACCATGCACTTTAAGAATTACACGAGAAAATCGGTAGTATATGGGATGAAAGGGAAAATAAAAAAGGACGGTAGGAAAAGAAAAAGGAATGGATTGACGAATGCAAACAAATACTCGAGTAGGTCAAGGTCGTACACTTGTAACTCGAACTGCTGTTGCCAGCACAGAGCACTCTAACAAAGTACTAATCATAAACACAAGAGTGATAAACAGTAATATTCAAATTTGTAGTCACCATCTCGACAGTTCTCCCCTCGTGGTTCTCGAGGAGCGTGATGAGCAGCGCGTGCTTGGCGCTGGCGGCGCCCGCGTCGCTGGCGCACACCTCCAGCAGCGAGCGCGCGCAGTGGTCCACGCACACGTACTGCTCCTCGCTGGGGACACACACCACACTTATTAAACTAACGACATTACATAAAATATGTTAGTACAATATTTTGTTACATAAACAAGGCAAAAATTATGGAACTGGCAAGTTTGATTGAATTTTGATTTGATGAAAAAAAATATTTTTAAAAATAGAAGGTTTTCACCGTATCTAAAATTTAAATACAGAAACATGTGCAATATTTTTTTTATATGTATCAGTTTGAAAATAGAACATTTTTGCTAAGATTTTAAATATCGAACCAGCAATACCAACCAGCGTTTCATGCCATGGATTCATAAGAAAATGTATGTTACTGTTATTTTTTTTCATGTGAAAGCCGTTCATAGACATAATAAAAAAGAACAGTTTTTTTTAACTCAATCCTAAAGGAGATTTTATTTATTTAATTTGTATATGTGTCTGTCTATGATTCATCGTGATATTTAGATTATTTGATTCAATGATTTTTCGTTTGAAATGTGCTTTTATGAATAGTGTTATTAGCTCACAATTAAAGATTTTCCACAGTACGTATTATAAATTTGGAATTCATAATTTTTATTATTGATTGCACAAATTAATTTTATAACGTAACAACAAATACTATTATTTTTTACATTATTTTTACTCACCTCTTCTTTTTGGTAATTACGAGTAAATCGTTGAAGAGAAACAAATGTAGAGGTATCTTGGAGAACTTTTTGCCGAATGTCAATTTTAGCTCATCAGATTTCCAGATCAGCTGCGTCATCTCACCCGAACGGACTAACCAACGAACAGGTCTATAAACGAATACATTATTATTACAAACTTGTTAAATTAATTATTGATTAAATTTCAAGCACGTTTTTTTTGGTTCTAATAGAATCTTTGCGGCCCGTGTTGCAGTGGTCATTAAAGCGGCGGTCTTTCTTTTTTTAAAAGAACTGCCGCATTAGTGACATATATGCTGTGTCGCGGGGGACTTTTTAAAAGCAGATTTGGTCCCATGTGGGGATCGAACCCACAGCACTCAGCGTAGTAAGAAGTGACCTAGCGATCACCTAAACCACTACGCCATCCGTGCAGTAGGGAAGGGATACAATTATAATCACATGTTATAAATCATATCATCATATCTGTGACTGAATTACAAAACTACTGCTACTTAAGTATTATTATTACGCTAACGCAAGACTCGCGAAAGGTCTAAATCCAAAAAGAAAGTTTGAACTTCTTTGATAAAATGAATTTTCATTGTTTTTAATGCCATTTATCTTTGTCTATATCGAAATCACAGTCACATGTGAAATCACTGTTCCTAAAACCAATCATTTTATGAAATGAATATGATGTAAAAGTAGCAATAATTTCCATGTGTAGAGTGCGGTTTACCTGCGGTCGGCGGCGCAGGCGGGCCCGAGCGCGGGCGCGGCGCGCACGTGCGGCGGGAACTCGATGATGCGCGCGAGGCGGTACATCTCCTCGATACGCTCCGTGTTGCGGGCGCCCTCGTTGCACTCCGACACGTACTGCACACAACAATTTAAAAAAAATCAATATATGAGAGGCCTAGTGGACTGCGATAGGCTAATGATCACGCAGCAATGTTCATAGCAATGAACAAATTCCTATTGAAATGTTTGGATAACATATTCTCAAGTTTTGATTATCTGTGCGCTGCTCGATAACTATTAAGTTATTCTTTTTATTTTTTTAATTCCTGAAATGGAATATGTGATATCATATTTTACGAGCTTATATATGTCGTAAATTTATATACTTTTGTAATAAAATTGCCTTAGAACGATGTAAATGAGAAGACAAATTTTCGGTCACTTTTATTAAAATAAAATTTGCTGTCTAAGTGGGCACTTTATTGTTGACGAAGTGGAAAATCCTCATGGATATCCTTTGTCCTTTGTGACGAAAGGATCCGTCGGATACTTCCCTACTTTGAACCATCCACCATATGATAAAGGATGCGAGAATCGAGAATTCTATTTATAAAACTGAATTATAAAATTGACTTGGCACTAACATTATTAAGTGTGACAAGTGCGCGGGCGCAAGCGTGGTACTCGTCATCCTCAGAAGCCAGGTTCTTGAGCACCGCGTCCAGCAACAGCGGGAGCCGCGTCACGCGCTGCATCGGGAGCATCAGGAACGAGTGGAGGGATAGCGACTGACATGACGGGTGGCTTTCCAATCTGTCGGAAAACAATATCAATAATGAATGTTATTTTCATATATATTCGAAAGTTATTTTTATGAAGTGTTTTATATTTTGTAAAAATAAAAAAAATAAAAATTGTACTGTTACAAGTGACGGCCAAAGTAACCTAACTAACCAATAAAATATTTTTTTTTTCATTCCGCGATCTGTAAATGTCAAATTCAAATTATGACACTTGTGTGACGTAATTCCCATACCTTTTTTTATTAAAAATATTTTTTATTCCTTTCTTTAATAAACGCTCTTTTTGGTGTGAGGAAAACATTGATAAGACATGTATATATTGATAACTAGGAAGGTGAATTTATTTACTAGAGTTTTACTCGCTTTCAATTTATATGATTCCTATTTGTGATTACATTCTTAGTATTAGTGCCTATAGATAAAGATTTTTGCTGTTTTTTTTTAATTAGTACGTACTTTTTCAAGGCGTTGGCAAAAGCAGTTTTCAACTGTAACCGCTGCAACGCTTTGACCATGAGTGTTTGGTTCTCGCAGTACTTGACGTAGACACCGAAGTGCTTCTCGGCGTGCTCCCGCACGATGTCGCAGATGCCCTGCAGCAGGATGTTCTCCTGCCAGCACTTCTCCAACTCGTTCATTAACAATTGCGAACATTTGCGAACTGTGAATAAAAACGAGTATTTATTTAATAATACTTTTTAATTAATAGATATATTTATGTTTTAACCTAAACAATGTCCTTCTTTTTATTAAACCTTAGTGTTCTTATTTCTTCTTTCTTCTTCAAAAAGGAAGTGAAATGTTCCTTTACAGAACAGAAACCAGCTGTACCTAAACTAGGCCAAAATTTAGACCTACCTGGTAAAATAGTAGAGAAGATGGTCTCCCAGTCATCGCGAGGTAGAATATGGGGGTCTCTGAAGGCAGGATGTGCTATGAAGTTGGCTTCTAACACATTGAGACTGTTTAGGTATGAAGCTTCCGATGTCAGCAGCTCGAACTTGGCTTCTTGAAGACGTTTCTGAGCTGGTGCTAGCGAACCTGCAAAGAAATTTGCGTATTATATTAAGTATTAGCTGGTACTTGCGACTTCGTTTGCGTGGAATTTGAAAAGCGCTGCCTTAGTGGATTCGATTCCCGGACCGGGCAAAATTTTAAAGGGTTATTCTGACAGGAAAAATAGCCAAATTACTCCTTATATAGACAGCTACCTGGTAGTAAAATATTATCAAAATCGGCCCAACCGTTTAGAAGATTACCCGGAACAAACAGACAGACAGTCAATAATATGTGAGCTTGAAAAAAACCTATTGTTTTGACATTATAATACATTATAATACTTCAATTTAGTAATTTCACACATTTCACACACGGCCGTCTGAAATCTAACTAACTTTGCCTGTTTCCATAATAAGAGATATTACAATGAATCAATCAGCATTTTTATACAATTACACAATTGATTACAGCTCGCATCTTTAAATAGTACAAACGATCGTGCGCGTCATACAAGTCCTGGGTGGAAATCGAACCCATGACCCCGGCTTGCCAGTGAGGATCTGCTGTTGGCAGATAGTTTGGCATCAGACAGCCGTGTGTGAGATATCTAAGGTTAGTTTTATTATATTATACAATACTAGCTGTACGCTACCACGCACGTGTGGCACAATGAAATTGTATTGATAAGAGATGAGGAACTAAATTGACGCGAAAATTACATACAAATCATTCTTAAAGCGGTACGCATATCGTGTCAGAATTTGACCTCAGTCTGTGCAGAACTTTTTGAGATTTTAAAGCGTACACAAACCGACTTAACATTTTTATATACATAGATAAAATATAAGGCGTTTAGCTGAATAAGATAGGGATTTCAAGTCGATTAGATCATCGCGTGTTTTATTTAATGTTTTAATCTGATTGTGATAAATATTTAATGCCATTTAATAGTCATAAGGAGTGTTTATCTACGAATGTACATGTTTTTTCAATGAATCATGACATTTACCAGAAATTAAAGCTGAATTAGTCTAGTCTAATTAATGATATGGATATAACATTAATGTATATAATAAATATATAACATTAATAATTCTTCTTGTAATCAACTTTCATATAAACACAGTGTTGTTATTACAATCTTGACGGTTGTTGAAGCTCATGACATAATATAATCATAATAATAGAATTAAATTTTCCGTAACCGCCGCGCCTGATAGATAAAGGTCCCCCCTAACCTATAGATGGAAACTATACACTGTATTTTTCTATGGTCATAGAAATAACGCAGATCGTAGGTACCTATAATAAACTACTGTTTCTAGCTTATATATGCTCCGCATCCGTTCATGTAGATTTTGTTAATCACTTTGTATATACGTCAGAAACAGTATTCAGAATTTAACAACGGTTTTGTTATGTGTGCTCGCACCTCTCTATCTTGCCCCTACAGTAATATACGAAACGTAACTCTTTCTCTTTCTATCTTCACTATCTTATATCTCCCTCTCAACTACCGTTCGCCTCGCCCGATCACACGTTTCGTAACGCTCTCGTCACGCATACCGGCTTGCTCCCCAAATCGAGCGTGCGTAAAGAAGTTTTACTTCAATAATAAATTCTATACGCAATTACAATATCAGTTAATATTGGTTGCTCTATTTAGAGGGATCAGTATAGTTCATTAGCACTAGTCATTTGCGTGGTGCGCAAACATACTGATGAAATCATCACTACAAATTTATAACTGATAATAAAACCAATACGATGAGAGGGATTTTCCATTTAGAATCTTTAACCTTAAATCAGAGCGGTTGAACCGACATTAAACTTTTTTTTATGACATAGGGGGCAACGAGCATACGGGTCACCTGCTGGAAAGTGACTACCGCCGCCTATGAACGCCTGCAACTCAGGAGTTAGATGAAAGTTTTCTTTAGACACTATGAAGAATAGTTAGAATACTGTTAAGTTGGAATATTTCAATTTCCTTTATTCCACGTTTGTTAATATTGAGATCCTGAAATAAAGGCAGATTTAAGACTCACATAAGAGATCTTCATGTTTTCCAATTTTATTTGGAGCCGGGCAATTTGTTATTATAGCTAATAAATTTTATGTCTCCTGAATGTCGGATTTTCAATCAACCAAAGCAAGAAGTTAAGTTGATTCAGGGAAAATGGATTGGGCGACAAAACTACGGCAAGAGATACACATGTGTAATGTCTCGTATGGAGGGCACTGAGATTGCAGGGCCTTGACACCGCAGTGGCTGAAATAAAACCATTTACAAAAAATGCTGGTAAAAAATATGTGGACTTACTGAGCACAGCAGAATTGACGACCTCTGGCACTTCGCACCACAGCGTGCGTGAAGGCCCTCTGGGCGCCACAAGCGCCATGGCAGACGGCCTGGAGGGGTTCGAGCTGGTTGTACTTTGAGTGCTGGTTGTACTGCGCTGGGAGCCTGGATCGTATGCGTCTGAGTCAGAGTCCCCGTTCTCGCGGCACACGGACTGAAAACAGATAAAAGTTCTGAATCTGTTGTCAAATCTAATGACAAATTGTACAATATGATGACAATAGCTGCATTTATATTTTACGGTTGCTTTTTTGTGTAAAATTTTGGGTAAAATTGTAAGTACGTCTAATCATTTAATGTAATTTAAAATAAAGAAAGTTTAGACCGTGCACCTTTCTCTTTTTAGTTAGGTTTTAAATATTCTTGAGGTTTTCTAAGTGAGTAGACGTAGGATTCCATCATTGCGCTTGATAGTATTAAATTCAGATACAATGCTTGCTCTTAGGTAATCATCTTTCACAATTGCACAGTATTCGACCTTCGACCGATGGAGTTGTAAATCAATCAGGCAAAATCTGTACCTAGATTTAGAGTCTTATCACCAGTTGAATAATTCTCGTTCATAATTCTCATAATCATGATAAAACTTAACACATCAATCACATCAACACCCTATAGTAAACTGTTGGACATAGGCCTCTCCTTAGAAAGGAGGTTTTGGCGTCGCTGGCCAGACGGGTTGGTATAGGGTTTGTGACAGGATTTTCCTTCTCTCTGCAGTGCTGTTGTTCTGCGTAGTTTTTTTCCTTAGTCGGCTCTTACGACACCTACGGCATTAATGGTTATACTCTGTATTCTTAATCCGTCACCACACGGATACTAACCTACCACATTTTTTTCAAATTACGGCCATACTAGAGTTCAAAAGAGATTATGATTATAATGTAATTTCTTATCATATTTATTTCACTGTTTATGTACATCCAAATATGATTATTTTTATAAATAGCAAAAGAGATATCGTATATCAATGTAAATAGACGTCCAAACAACATTCTGAGTCATCCCACGCGAATGTCAAGGTTCCATATATTTGATGAGATACAAAATGGTTATTTATGAAACTATTTGTGATAAAAGCAGTTATTTGTTCTTCTTTCTTGTATTAATTTATATAGTTGAGTAAATGAGCATGAAGATTCAAAGTTCCTGAACACTAGGAATACAACCTAACACACAAACTATCCTCTGAGTGACTTTCATTGAAAGGATTACCTACATTATTCTAAAGGCGATTTTTTGTTACTTTATAATATCCAATACATATATATATCCTGCTTATTAGTGATTTATTTGAAGACTATCCGTCTGGTGAAGGATTAAGAATACGGAGAGTCGCCACCCCTATTTCATCTTGTGGGTGTCGTAAGAGCCGACTAAGAGAAAGAAACTACAAGTACAAGTACAAAGAGAAGGAAAACTGGACACAAACCCTATGCCAACCCGTCTGGCCAGCATTGTATGGTAGGCCAAAACCTCATTTCTAAGGAGCAGCCTTTAATAGTCCAACAGTGGATAGGCTGTTGATGTGATGTGATGTGATCTGATAAAGATAAGTCAAAGTAAAAAAATTGGTTGCCTGTAAAGTCGGTATACGGGCGAAAGTTTTACGTGACAACGACTATGTCTGTCTCTCTCGCTCTTAGGCGGGCTTGGAATTGCCCGATTGGAAGGGACGCGTGCCTCTCACTCGCTCTCATTGTGAGCGCATAACGTGAGCGGAGCGTAACGCAGTTTCTTGAAGTGTCACCCGGCAAACCAATTTATAAGACGTTGTCACGTCAAAAGAAAGTGCATTCTACTTTGAAGGATATTGTGCTTCATGGATTGACAGTTAAATAACACTACTCTCTATGGCCGATGATATTTATAGTATTTGTATAAAATATTTAATTTATTATCTCGACCCCATTTTTGAGATCGTCGGCTTGTGGCAAAACTATTTGTGGCTAACGGTAATAGCCGTCTAACCTAATATCATAAGAGCAAATAATGTTTTAAAATATTCTAAGCCACGTCAGTATTTGCATAGGTCATTTGGACAAATACACTATTTCAGCGATATTCAACATTAAAATGTGATTTTAAAGTGCATTTTTATTTCTCAACACTTTTAGGAATTGACCGTTATTTAAATGGCTAATTCTGACTAGAGGATATCATTATTATAAAAAATGGTATATGAGGGAAAACGCTCAAACTGAGCAACGCAATTAGCAATTGAAATAATAGCACTGCTGATGGTAAATAACTACAGCCGTTCATGGACATCTGCAACCCATCAGTCACAAGAGCGTTGTTACCCTTTGAGTTCCCCTCCCCAGAAAATCAGAAGTAGGGGTTTGAGGCTCCGATAACCTCACTCGATGAGAAGCAGCGATGTACTTTTGATTTTACTAGCTTTTGCCCGCAACTTCGGTCGCGTGTATGCTGGTTATCGCGGTAAAAGCCTATGTTCTTCTCCAAAACTCAAACTATCTCCATACCAAATTTCATCTAAATCGGTTCAGCGGTTATTGATTCCTCATACAAACACCCCCCTTATCATCCCTCTAAAGGATGATTTCTGGGATAAAAACTAGCTTATGTCCTTTCCCGGGACTCAACAGTAACAGACAAACAGACACTTTTGCATTTTTAATATTAGTACGGAGAACGTATCAAGTCGAAAGGGTCACAAGAGTTACAGACAAGTCACATTTCGTGCAGGTCGGCGCAATTACATGCAATTAACGTGGCTAATTCGTTACGTACACACACCGGAACGTTTCATAACGTTTGACCACAACACCGACACTAAAATTGGACACATTTGGACTATCTGTGTGTACGTAATTATATTGTTTACTTCCTTATATTCTACGGTATAAACATGATTAAAATAGTGGTCATGCTGTGCCTCACAATTGTTTTTATTACCTACAATTCAGTCAGTCCTTCTTCAGCCATTAGCCAATAATTTTAGATTTATTTGCTTGTAGAAATGCAGTAAAACGTCTATTGCGAATAACAACGAATAAATCAGTAACAGAACACGGGTACCTTACCATATTCCAGTAACAATTGACTCTTCCAAGTATGATAATGTTGAATGTTTTGTTGTTTGTTGTTAAAATAAAATACCATAACACAACCAGTGTTATGGTATTTTATTTTATAAATTCAGAGATTATAAAAATATTTTGTTTATGTACATGATTATAATTCTATTATTTATTATAATAATTTTTACACATGATTGACATATTGACATTTTATTTCTGTATTGACATGCCCTGATAAAATGAATTTAATTATTGTACTTACATCCTGAAATACTTGATTGTCTCATTGTTTTGTTTGTATTATAAAATGGTACTGTTACATTTAATTATTAAAATGCATTGGAGACATCTCTTTTAATTTGACCTAAAATATTTTTGAAATGAATGTATACCAATTTTACGTTGATGTATGTATCTATTTAAAAACTCATTATTATACAATTTGACTGTCAGTAAAGGTAGATTAATGAGAATGATATCAAATGTAATGTTAACACCACTGTATACCCTTGATCAGCAAATAAATATTATTATTATTCTCTTTATAAAATTATATATACATATTAATTACATTTTCAAATATATTACAAAAGAAATAAAAATACATTTAAAAATATAAAAAATAGTAGACCACCGACATCGGTTACAGGGACCAGGACAACGGTGGTTAGGACTCCAAAGATAGGAACCTCCTCACTATACGAGTTGTGTCATGGAGGACTGCCTACTGCATCAGACCCTTGATCCAGCCGTCCAACGTGAGCCTCTTAAGGTGTTGGTCGAGGCTCTTGACTATCAATCCGTGAGCAGATACGACTATCGGAACAATGATCACTGAATCGACAATCTCGTGATATAAATCCAAATATTTTATTGTTATTATTATTAAAAAATAATTAATAATCACCATTACTTTGTATATCTTAATGATACAATTACGAGAGTAATAAAGCTACGTAAGTCACCACAAGTAATTGTTTATCTATTAACACATTAATGTACAATGTTAATGTATAAAAAAGTAAATGAAATTAACTTTACTATAGTTGACATTTAGTTTTGGACATTTCTTTCGGCGCGTTGGGCATTTTTGTACAACAAACAATAGAATGTATTTTTGAGATGGGAAAAAACCATTGAATTCGCGACACTGTTACCGTTATCGACACCTCTGTATATAAGTACCTACATATATTGGCCCCGTTGACACGACAGTTGAGTTTGGGTTAAAATACATTGATAATAGAACTATATGTAATATAAACATATATTGTGTACATACGTTCATCATGCCGGAACTTTTCAAATAAAAAAAACATTTAAAAAAATAAAAAGTTTTTAAAAAAAGACTCTTTTTTTTTCTCATAACATTAGTAAGCCTTAAAATGATGTAAAATAATTAATAATAAATTAATCGTATAGTAGTATAGTAGGCCAAAACCTCCTTTCTAAGCAGAGGCATATGTCCAGCAGTGGACTATTAAAGGATGATGATGATGAATGATATGGTAAAATTAACTGACTGGTGAAATAGACATTTATGAGAATGAAAACATGATAAATACTATGATTTATGAAACTAAACCTATATCCCTTGTTTAAATTATTTGTGACAATGCGTTTAAAATGAGTGTAGATTAGTATTCAAACAAAGATGGGACTTCAAACTAGCAGGATACTCGAACAAATGGACCATGGACGTAAAAACTACTGCATCCATAAGCAAAGCAGTTCCGACTCCGACATAAGTTGTAAAATTATAAAGTACTGAGAAGATAACAGACGAAATCCGTATACTCGTAAATCAGTCGTCTTTGATGTCATGGCGCCGCCGTCATGCGAATAACCTTCTCCTTATCATACCAGACCTCAGAACTAGATTCTAGTCTCTTAGTTTACATTGTGTCCTTACCTCGACTTTCGCCGCGTTGTAAAACTGGTAGAGAGGTTCGTGTGTAAACAAGGAGTGCGGTAGCGGTGAGGCCGGATGGGAACCCGATGACGCTCCTGAAGACGAAGATATGTTGCCAGCTTGGTACAGCCCGGCTTCTGCGTACCTGCAGACAAGGGATACAATTTGTAGCATAAACATTTTGAACAGTTTTATATCGACTATCTATCGGTTAACAAGAATACAAATTGAGGTGTCATTTCATTTTTTTGGAGTCCATTAAAGAAATAAGGTGTTTTCTTATGTGTACGAAGAGTTTCTATAGGTTTTTAATTGCCGTAGATTGAAAAGAATTAACTTATACCTACTCTATTTTGAAACGTACACAATTATTACAAAATGTAAACTTTATATAAAAACCTGATTTAGCAATACTGCTGAAACCACGCGCAGCAATATGAGCATTTGCTGAACTTTGGGATGAATATATGAACTTACCTTCCACAACAAAATACTCCTAGAAACATCTTTAAAAACTGAGAACATCTATTTTTACACATCAAGATCACAATACATTTTAAGAGCACTAACGTAGAAAACAAACACACTGTATTAGAGTACCTAAGTATTCATTATAAAATATTTGAACATTTGAGATGCTAAACATTTGTGCGTTGCGTCCTTCCACATTGCAAAAACCGTTTTAATCCTGTGTTGCAAACTACACAGACAAACTTTAAAGCGGTCAGACCATAGTTGTTGTAATAAATTTATCAACCGTTTGTGTAACGTGGGATACATAAATTAGGTGTTTTAATTATGTTCAATATTATGCGAAGTAACATTTTTACAGACCTTTGTCATTGGAAAGTAAATTTTCGCTATGTAGGGCGCGTATATGCTGTCAAGCAGGTATTGGTTTACCTTCGAATGTGTGTACGTAAATATCGCAACACCTCAGTAAGGTCGTACGCCTATAGAATACGATGTTCAGACTTCTTTTTAAATAATTGTTGAATTACATAACGAAACGCATAAACCTACTGTGATAAAAAGGTTTTTAAGTGATAGTTCAATAAAAATAAATATTGAATCACAACACATCATCATATCAACAGCCCATAACAGTCCACTGCTGGACATAGGCCTCTCCTTAGAAAGGAGGTTTTGGCCTACTATACCACTCTGGGCAGACGAATTGGTATAGGGTTTGTTTCAAGTTGTCCTTCTTATTGCAGTGCTGTTGTCCTGTGCAGTTCCCTTAGTCGGCTCTTAGGACACCGTATGGTATATATGATACGGTGACATTCCTAATCCGTCGATTATTCTTAATCGGTGGAGGTGACGACCTCACGGATGGTAGTATTTAATAGTAGTATTTAATTTACGGAAGAGCCAGTTCAAGGTACAGATGTGCGACCCTGGCCTACTGTTGTTTACACTCCCATATGTATTAGCAATATCGCTATCCCACCATTATTTTGCTTTTTATCTAACTTTACTTTTAAAATACTCTGAATTTGCCAATATCCATACTACTAATATTTTAAATGCGAAAGTGTGTCTGTCTTCTGTCTGTCTGTTACCTGTTCACGGTTAAACCGCTGAACCGATTTAGATGACATTTGGTACAGATATAGTTTGAGTCACGTAAAATCACATAGCATAAATTTTATCCCACAAATCATCCTTTAAGGGGGTGAAAAAGGAGGTGAAAATTTATATGAAATTTGGTATGGAGATAGCAAACTATCTCCATACCAAATTTCATTCAAAGTATTCTTGAGGAAGGACATTTGACTTTTTACCGCGACAACCGACATACACGCGGGCGGAGCCGCGGGCAACAGCTAGTCTATACAAATAAATAAAAATTGGAGTGTCTGTTTGTAATATTAAAATAACCGCTTTTTACTAAATGCATATGTATGTTTACACGGTACATATGCCTAAATAACATTTTTTACTTTTGTTTGTCTGTCTGTTTGTTCCGGGTAATCTCTGGAACGGCTGGACCGATTTCGACGGGACTTTCACTGGCAGATAGCTGATGACATAAGGAGTAACTTAGGCTACTTTTTTAGACTAGCTTCGCCCCGCGGCGTTGCCCGCGGTTATAACAACAAACGCGGGTAACACCGCGGGTCTCAGCTAGTAATTAATAAAGCGCCTGCTTGACGATAACAGGCGCAAAACAAGGTAAAAAACAAAATTAAAATTATAAAGATACAGATTATAATTTCGGCAAACCTAGTTTAGTTTTGTGAAAAAGTAAAAAGTACTCGTATATGCCGTGAAACAAACTTTTTAAGGATGGGTACGAGTATGTGATATAAAATTTAAAAGAAGAAATCAAGTCACTCAATTATTAAAACAAAGATTTTATCAATCAGTTTTAATATTAACATCAAACCGCGGTTGTTTATGAATAAGTTAGGTACATAGGAAAACATGAAGATTCATATTAGGTAGGTAGGCGAGGTGTCGCTCAAGAAACTTCTCGTAATGACTAAGTATTTAGTATAACAGACGTTTATGTCGTCAACAATAGATAAATAAGAAGAGGAATTGCTTTATGTTAATCCCAATTGTGACGTCAAAGTATTGAGGGGAATAGTCATTTTCCTATAATTCACGTTCGTCATTTCAATATTAAAGAAACACTAGAGTTTTCACCGGATTTTAACAATATAAAAAGCAACAAAAATATTTAAAACTAGCTAATATCCGCGAGTTCGTCCTGATGGAATTTGATGTAATGTAAAAATGTTTACCTATAGTATGCATTTAGAACTATATAAAAATCGGATATTGTCCCTAAGTTAAGAAAACTAAGTTACTCCTTATATAGTCAGATACCTACCAGTAAAATCTAATCAGAATCGGTTAAGCTGTTTCGAAGATTAGCCGGAATAAACAGACAAACATAAAAAAACTATTTTTAGGCTTGGGTATCGTGCAAATAGCTGTATCAACTAAAAAAAAAACTATTATTTTGACATAACAAACAGATACTTCAATTTGTATTTATTTGATTATACATTTTAAGGACGCTACACCTAAATTTAAAAACAAAGCCTACAATTGGAAACCAAGCATTAACTAACCACTAATCTCCAGTTAGGGGTTAGGGGTGGAAATGGTGTGTTAACTCCCTGGAATTTTGGAAAAAAATACGGACGCGACCAATTTCTGACTTTTATTAAAAGGAAAAATATCTTAGGACGGCAGTCATTTCGGATGGAAGAAGAATTCTAGTAGAATTCAATAGATTTCGAGGAGTACTGCTCCTCTGACAAGGGATTAAAGTAGACAGCCGTCTAATTTTAAAAGAGTATAAAAAAATATTGTAAAAAAGCATTGTTTTGTTACCTTTAAGTATTTAACACTAGTGTATTCACGTAAACTTCCTGAATCACTGATAATTTCGATATCTATTAACACCAATTCACACTCGCACACGTGTTCCGTACTGTGATATAATCATCCAATAATAACACAAACATCATGTATCTTTATTAGTTCACTTTTATTGAATTCAACTGTAAATATTTACACCGCAATTAAATATAAATAAAATATGTTTTGTTAAACTTGCACACCCGCGAACCAACGGATTTGTTTCAAATCCCACCGAAGTTCTTGTGATCGTGCGCATACAGCAGACTTTAAGTTATCAGTTGACTTAAGTAATAAGAGATTAGCGATTTTGTAAGGTCACGTTCCTTCAGTACAATCATGTGGGAGAGCCATGCTTCGGCACGAATGGACCGGCTCGACCGGAGTGATACCACGGCCTCACAGAAAACCGGTGTTAAGCAATTCTTTCGTTGCCTTTCAGGAGTGATTTTATGATTTCAGGAGAGGTTACCGGAGCCCAAATCCCCGCTCCCGCTGACTCGAGCGGGAGGGACTGCAAGGGCGGCAACGCACTTGTGACTTTTGAGTTGCAGGTGTCCATGGGCGGCGGTAGTTGCTTACCATCAGGTGACCCGTCTTCTCGTTTGCCCCCCTTATACCAGAAAAAAATGATGTGTACTTTGTAAACTTTTCAAAATGTGTGTGAAAGTGAAAAGCTACAATTTACTTTATTTGATGATTTTATCTCCGTTAAGAGTCGACAGCCTTCTTTGTCTAGAAAATTAAGGCCTCAATACTTTGAGTGGTAGGCAGAGATGAAGTATTTTACTTTTACAGCATTAAGCTCTACTCTTTTCATTGGCCCAATGAAAAGAGTAGAGCTTAATGCCGTCCGAGGATTACTAAACAGAAAAATTCAATAACATTTGACCATCGTACGTGATCAATTCCTTTTTTTCCAATTGTTTCAGAAGAAATCAGATGTCCCATCTCAAAGGGTACGCTTACAGATGCCGATGAACAAAGCAGTCTGTTTAGCAGTGATTTTCACAAATCGCTAAACGCTTAAACTCTGTATTCGCTCATGCTTTTGCGCCACAGGTAACGGTGGTACTGCAAACAGGCTTGTGAGTCATCGTTTTCGTGGGTAACGGCCGACGTCATGCGCGCGCGCCACTATTTGAAACAGTCGCAGCTGACTAACGTACGACACGGCGACGACGGCTAAAGGTCTCAGGACTTCTCTATTCGATTTCTATAATCTAAAATAATGTACATTCAAACTCCTTACTGTTTTATACGAGCAGATAGATCACCTGATGGTAAGTGACTACCGCCGCCTATGGACACTTGCTACTAAGAGTCATAAGTGCATTGTCGTCCTTTGAGTCCTACAGAATTAGTGGTAAGGGGGTCTGGGACTTGGTAACCTACTTTTATCTATCAAAAGCATCACGGGAATAGCTTCACAACGGCTGAACATCATTATGGAAGTTAGGATAAGGTGATACTTAATATGTTATTACGTGTCTCAGTAGTAGCCTAGTAGGTAGACTACCCACGCGATGTTTTAAGTTAATAAATATTGGTCGTCATTTACGTGATTTAAATGTACGGTGCATCTAAGTGATGATGAGTTTTATGTGCGTGGCGTCTGGTTTGTGGTATTTCAGTTGAATTCCTTTGTCTTGCAGCCTATTTACGTACGCAGTTAACAGAATAAAAGTTATAGAATATTGCCATAGAGTATGCCTAGGTAAAGTGTGGCTTCATTTTAAATTTTCTTAGTTTTTTATTTAACGTAAAACGTTCTGGGTTTTTTTAAATTATTAAACGGCACGATTTAAAGAGCCTTTTAAGATGTAAAGTTTTTTTAACCGGGCTTATTATACACTTAAAGCTTTTACTTTTAAGATAGGGAAAAAGATGAAAAGGCCGGCAACGCGCTTGTGAATCCTGAGTTGCAGGCGTTCATGCGGTGGTCGCTTTCCATCAAGTGACCCGTCTACTAGTTTGCCCCCTCTTTCATAAAAAATATAAGTGTCGGAATTTTAATGTATTTTTGGTGTTTCTGTATATTTAAGAAATCACTCAAATGTGAAAATTATCACTTAAGTTCTTAAAATTATATCGCAGATACCTCCGTCACGCGTACATACCTAGTAATATTATCAACCTCAGTATGCAACCTAGACTTGATCTAGCTTTTGCTTGCATTTCTTAACATATCCTTATAAGTAATCCGTGTGGTGACGGATTAAGAATACAGAGTGTCACCACCCCTATTCATCGCGTGGGTAAGGGTGAAACCGACCGACTAAGGGAGAAAACTATACAGAACAACAGCACTGCAGAGAGAAGGCAAACTTGAAACAAACCCTTTTTTTTTTTTTTCTTTTTTAACGTGTGGAAATCCCCTCGGACCGTCACCCCTCCGGGGTTTGCGGCGGGGTGGTGTGTCGGATTTGGACCGACTAAAACCACACGGTGTGCCACTCTGCGCCTGTAACAGGAGGGATCCGGGAACAGCTGTTGTTAAGACATCCGGACCCCTCCTAGCGTCAGCCCGCTCCTGGTGCGGGCTCCGTCTCAATATTTTTTTCCTCTCTTTAGGCGACGTCCGGCACACGCGGACGCCGCCCCCTCGCGGCTGGCCAAACTAATGCGGGTGGAGGGGAAACAAAGCCCGTCCACCCGCGGCCACACTCAGGGCGGCATGAGGCTGTGATAGGCGGGCCTCCGCCGCCCGGTTCGCCGGCGGCGGATCGGGTCCGAGTGGAGGTCGTCCTCCCGGGCCCTCTCCGCCGCCTCCTTCCGCGAGATTACTACCTCGCAGAAGGTTGCGACCGCGGTAAAACAACTGTCGCTACCGGCCATGGAGCGTGAAACTTGAAACAAACCCTATACCAACCCGTCTGGCCAGCGTGGTATAGCGTGGTAGGCCAAAACCTCCTTTCTAAGGAGAGGCTTATGTCCAGCAGAGGACTATTAAAGGCTGTTGATGTGAATATCCATTTCCTACCATTACCTTTTCTATTCGCCCATATTTATTAAGTGGCGCTAAAATTATTTTAGACTAAATGTGGGTTTTAAAACCCGTTTGTTGCTTTCCACAATGTTTGCTTAGGTGGTAACTTTTAAATGTGAGATCAGATCATCATGGACCCTGTCGGGCACAGCAATAGATGAGGGAGGAAGACATACTTCAAATTATTAATGTACCTAATTTATTGGTTGCGATTTCGTTCAACTAGAGTCGCTTATGTCATTTATTCGCTGGTATTCCATGCTGATGCAGTCATAACATTTGTACAGAAATCTTTTTTTTTAAATGAAAACATTGAATTTTGTTTCCCTCCTTGAGGATACTGGCGTGTGTATGTATAGTTAGACGGGTTGATATTTCAATAACATTTTTTTTCTGTGCGGAAATCCCCTCGGATACCACCCACCGGTCGGATCGTTATGTCGGACTCAAACCGACCAAAGACCGCACGCCGTCTCGGGTATCAGTTGCTGGGGAAAGGAAATCCCTGGTACTTCAACGTATTCATAGACTACCTGGGAACTATATCTTATTTATTTCATAATATGTAAGATTTCTCAAAAGATAAACAAATTTAAATGCTATGCTTGAGGTTTGTGGTCGTACAATGAGGGTTTATAGTTTAAAATTGAGGGCAAATTTCTCTAGAGCTGTGTCCATATCGCAGTTGTTGACCTTTGTGAACTGAAACCGGAGTTGAAGCGAAACGGACCGTAATCTTAACTGTAACGTAAACAAACAAATGTCACCGCGCATTACCGATGTTATTTCTAATGTCGACACGCATTTATAGAATACTAGCTGGTACCCGCGACTTCGTTCGCGTGGCATTTGAAAAACGCTGCTTTAGTGGGTTCGAATCCCGGACCGGGCAAATGTTTTTCTGAGCGGAAAAATAGCCTAAGTTACTCCTTATATAGACAAATACCTGGTAGTAAAATATTATCAAAATCGGTCCAGCCGTTTAGAAGATTACCCGGAACAAACAGAAGGACAGTCAATTTTTTATTTATTGGTTTTTAGGCATAGGTATCGTGCAAATAACCGTGTGAGCACGGCAAACACCTATTATTTTGACATTAGAAACAGACACTTCGTTTTAATTTATTTGTATAGAGTATAGATAAGGCCGCATCCGTAAACCCCATTAAACGACACAAACAATCGAAATCGTTTTTTGAAATTGGAACATGCATGAAGTAAAATGTTATTTTAGGTTAAAAAAGGTTTTAATGTAATACACAGACTATTGAATTCTTTGAAATGTTTTAATTAATATATTAAGTACTAATCAAATTAGAGTAAAACAAAACAATTGAAATAAAGACATGTAGCTGATATCACTAACTTTAAAATAAAGAATGAACACAAAAAAATGAACGTTTGTAATCATTAGAGGCACTGTAGGTAGGTTAGGTTAGATCATGCGACCTTATTGTGTTTTATAATATCTAAAAAACCGGTCAGGTACGAGTCGAACTCGTGCGCCGAGGGTTCCGTAACTACCCAGATTTCATGTAGATTTTCGCGAAAATTGGAAGTACCAAAACTTATCTTAATTTTCAACTTTTTTTATTTTTTGGAATTACAAGTTTTCGTGGAAACAACAAAATAGACCTATGTATCTGGTATCAAATTTCAAACTTGCTAGGTCTACCCGTTCCTGAGAAAATCGGTGGTGACACACGGACAGACGGACAGACGGGCAAGAAAGTGATCTTATAAGGGTGCCTTTTTACCTTTTGAGGTACGAAACCCTAAAAATACATCAACCAACAATAACGATGATATAATGGAGAACTTGAACTAAATCCTTGCTTCTTGTTATCTTAGGAGTTAACTTTTTTAACTTTAGATAACTTTATACTTTTTAAATAATACATGCCTTGACCATGGAACAGTAAACTTTAAATTTAATAGTGAAAAATTTTTGAAGATTTTAGTTCTAACTAGGGCCAAATTCGGATTCAATATTTCGGACATACACCAAGTGTTTTGGATATAACATAAGTGGGTAGACATACCTAGTACGGAGAGTACTAGAGACAGGTGCATCCAAACGAAAAAACGTCAATGAAAGTATAGAAAAGATATCCAGATAAAAGAATTAGGAACTTTAGTTTGTTTTAACTTGTTTAGTTTTTAATTCACTCGGCACGGACACGACACATTGCTAAGTTAAGTAATCCTGGCTAGGTCAGTCTATGGATGGGTAACCTTAATTAACACATTGAAACCCCTACGTGCTTCGGAGAGCACTTCAAGCCGTCGATCCCGGTTGCCATACGAACATTACGAGCCCTAAAAAGTCCAACAACATTATTTCTACAGAACTTCGATTTCACCTAGTACTTGGGTTGTGGAGGTCTGATGGGAGTAGCTCCTTGTAAAAAGCGAAGTAGTAAACTTAAAGCCGACCCTACCTAGTTTGGGAAAAAGACTCGAAGGAAGGAAAAGAGAGAGATGGCGTTGTTCGTTTATGTACATCGTGTAATAGTTTGCTTACGTGAAAATGTTTCACTATTCGAAGATATTGTATGTGAGTTACACAAAGAAAATATCCGCTTACGCCGTAATTGCGTAATATTATTTCCCGTGTGACCTCGGTTTTGTTCATGGTCCTTCGAGCCATACTACGATGCCGCTACAGCAAGCATTTAGCGTGCTTAGAAAATGTCATCGTGGGTAACGACGGGTAACCAATACGTTTGCTGTTACGCCTACTCGGCTTTGGAAAGTTCTTAAAGCTGTCACATTTGTGACGGTCGTCACTTGAATTAACAGTCTATATATGCAGTATAAGTACAACAAGTAAAACCTATAGTAACGAAGATATACTTTATATCGGAAGTATATAATTGTACCGATGAGAATGAGAACGATCACCTTTGCTAGCCACTTGCTTTCCGCACACTTCCAACAACTAAACCTAACCTATGAATAATTCTGAGAAGAAACTGCAGATGCTAAATTTATTATCTGTATGCTTAAATGTTGCTTGCTCAATTTTAATTATTTAGTGTTAATAGACTCAAACAGTATCATATAATCGTATTTAGTAGAACATCATGTTTGCATGGATCAAAATCCACTCTCAGCTTCTCAATTTTAATCGTTTAGTGTTCAAGTAGTAAGTTTAGTGTAAGATTCAAACGGTATGATATATTTAAAATAATCGATTTTAAAACTTCGTAGAGAATCATGTCGTTAGTAATAATAATAATATTGTACCACATTCACACAACGCCATCTAGTCCCAAACTAAGCAGAGCTTGTACTATGGGTACTAGACAACTGATATAATTTTTTTTTTTTTTGTAAATACATACATATTATACATAGAAACACCCAGACCAAATCAAACATTAAATGTTCATGCACACAAATGTTTGACTTGAGCGGGAATCGAACCCGCGACCTTTGGAATAGCTGTCCGTTACACAAACCACTACGCCATCCGCTCGTTAAAAGTCATAAATCATACCATAATGGTTATAATAAGAGATGTTATAAGACAATGTCAAAGTATTCGGCCTTGAGGAACACAGTGAAACTTACCATGAAGCGTTAGAAGCGTTGGCGGGTGCGTCGGCGCCGCACTCGGCGTACCAGGAGGTGCGCGCGCGCGGGCTTTTGTCCTTGCGCGACAATGTCGGCAGTAGACGCTTCAGTTCTGCATAATACACATTATATTAATATTATTTTCTAGTGATGCTTTGTACTATAGCCTAAAAATACTTTTTAAAAAGGTGAATAAATATAGTCAAGAGAACGAAGCCGTAGGTATTGCTTTAAAAATGCTTGATGATTGTGCTGAACAAACGCAATTGTTCTGTTCTTATTGTCCCCAACTGACAATTAAAACAATTAATGCCAATTTTATCACAGAGACGTAACATAAACAAGAGATTGTAATATTTTTTTGTTTACTTATTGTTACGGCACCAACAGTTAATAAATCGTATGATTCAATTGTTTATAGTAGTCTCTATTGATTTACTAAACAAAAAGTATTACAAAACGCTGGACGTTTTACACGTAAGTCACCTCTTACGCAATGGCAGAAATCTGTGAAATGTGCTCAAATGTTGCTTTCTGAATTTTAATCTTTAAGTGTTAAAAGACTGAAACGGTATAATAATATATATTTAAATATCAATCTAGTAGACTATCATGTTGTACGAAGTTTTAAAATCGATTTTCGTCGTTAGTGTTACTAAGTCATACCTATTGTAATGAAAGCAACTTCTCAATTTTCATCGTTTAGTGTTAAAAGACTCAAACGGGATGATATATTTAAGATAACTGATTTTAAAACTAAACCAATAAAAATAAAAAACGGAGTAACCAACCCCCGTGTGCACCCTATTCTGACACTCCAGAAACCTCCGGTTACTTAACTAGGCCGTGTTTTTACTCCGGTCGAGACGACCTATGTACCGAAGTACCTAATAGGCTTTGTAATATTTTCAGGTTATATAAATAATATTCTTGTTAACCCCCAGTTAAACAAACTAAACTGTCAAAGGTTTTTTTTTTAGTTTATTATAGGCTATGACTGACCTTTAACTCAGATTTCTGCCATTTCTTGTTTTAAGACCTCTTATAAATCGCGACGATAAGAACAGTACATAAGCGTTCGTGTAAATATTTTATATGAACAAGGTCGTAAAACAGTGAAACAAAAACATTAAAACAAAACATTAAAACAAATTGTTATGGTTATGACTCACAATGTGTAGGTAGATATTGAGATTGAGTTAAAAGCAACATAAACATCCCTATAAGTATCATTATATTTTAAAGGTTGTTCGAATATGCATTGCCTATAAGTCTTTGCTGTCTATCAGATGGGAATAATTAATTGTAAGAACAAAATAAAGCCCTAATATCACTGTCGTAACTGTTTTTGTATAAAATAAAATACAAACTTACTATTTCTGCTCTAATTTTAAGACGTAAGGAATTCCTTCAGCTGTCTCGGAAAACGAAAATGCTATTTGATTCAATGGTTTGAGAAATATAAATAAATTATATCATTCTTATTGATATATTTTGATTTTAATTAGATTAGATTTGATTTTGAATTTAATTAGAAATATTTTGTGTTGCCAATAAAATGAAAGAACTGCGTAAAAGCTGTTCATCGAGTGACTTGCAATGCAACAAAGGTGGCTCCAACCACCAAGCATTAGTAGATATCGTATTTTTTGCAAATCCTTTGCTAATTGGTTGTATCTTGTGTCATAATTTCATTTATTTAGATTTTAAAAAGTCATTGATGGTTTTACTTAACTAACACACAAATATTTTTTTGGAAAAATATGCTCTTGCTCTATGGAATAAAAAAATATAAGAATGAAAAAATATTGTGTTATTATGTGTGCTGCTAACCGCCTCGGTAAACAAGCATTTATTTTTTAAGAATTTGCACATAGAAACATTCTTTATTTATATTACTGCAAAATAAAAAAAAACAACTTAAAACAATACAATAAATACAAAACAGGTACCAAACAAAGTTTAAAAAGGCATACATCGTCAGGAACAACCTTTAACATTAAAGGAGGTGTTTAATGTAAGTGAAGAAGTGCATGCTTAGTCATTAAAAACACGTCATCATGCATTACATAGAGGTAGATAGACAAGAGAACTCACGACCCATCACACAGTGCTACACAAACATACGTACACACGTACACAACAATTATATGTTTGACAACGAGACGCGCATCTCGCTCCGACACTCGCAAATGACTAAATGTTCAAAGCTAGAATGCTAATACTATGTGAGTAAGGCCGAATGTACAGGTACTTCGGTGACTTATACCAAGAACATTGCTATAAAATGAAGTATAAAAAATCATGGTTCTATGATTTCTATAGTCTATCCTTTAATATTGATATTGATTTGAATTTTGACGATTGAATTGGATTGTGGCTTGTGTTTGACTATATCGTTCTAAATTTAAAAAAACAATGTTTTGTAAATACAGATTTAATAACTTATACTGTATAATATATTGTTAGCGTAATTTAAAAAAAAAGATAATCGTTAACTACTATTCTAACCTATGGGCAGAGGATACTATTTTACAAACAGATAAGTAAAAAGTTTGGAATATACCCGACTCAAAAATCCATGTAATCCTATAAAAGATATTAAAACCTTATTCTTAAAACACATAACTCACAATACTCACGATCAAGTTACTTTAAAAAAAAGATAATCAAAATCGGTGGACTTAGAAGTCATCATCATTGATCTAAAACTAGACTTAACCATAAACGAGTGCAAGCAGACTGAGCCATTCGTTAAAGTTATAACTCGCCTCTTTTTGCGCTGGTAGTTAAAACTCTTAAGCAAATTTAAATTTATTACATTTAAATCATCTAGCAAATATTTATGTATTCAAATCAGAAATTTAAAGTGAATTATGAATATTTATGTAACAAAAACATAAAATATTTCGAGCAAATTTGTTTTGTTTTTAACTAGAGATTTTTATATTAGATTTTAATTTAAAAAAGTGTTAATTGATGCACACTCAAGTCGTATGTAATCTAAGTACAGCGAATTAATTGATATTTTACCTTGGTGAACAATACGTATTTATACCTATTATAAAGTTGTTGTGTGTCGTGTAAGCTCGCCCTAACCTACAGTTCGCTTACGTAATCAGTACAGACATAAAACTTCTTTGTAATATACAACAAAGTACAGAATAGTAGAGATAATAAGGCCCACCCATTAGCATTATGTGCTTTGTCCATGAAATTAGAGCTTGGCTGTTGTGGCTACTGGATTAAGCCAGCAGGCACAAAATAATATTGCTGATTGACTTCTAGCTTCTGTTTGTTACGAAATTCAATATCTTTTTATTTTATTTTTCTCTGAAATCTGTCCTAGGAGTAATACTGTATGCGCTTCACATTATTAGAACAAGCATGTATATGAAGGGATGACTGAATAAAAAATAGTAGAACGCCATTATTCACGAAATCTGTGTGCAGACAAATATGGAAATATATATTCACACTGTCTCAGACATCCAAAAAATATTATCTAAATAAATAAAATATACGTAGTTTGTTGTTCTTATAATAATTTCCAGTTAGAGTTTATATTCTCAGTGAGGCCATTGGCAAAACTGGTTTCTTTAACGATTGTCTGTGGTACCGTATGATATGATGTAGGTACCTAAGTCTTGGGTATCATTAGTTTATAATATTAAATTGTGGTTCTCAGATACAAATTCAAGGAAATTTAATAGTTTTCCCCCCTTAAATCATACCTATAATAAATAGAAGATAATATAATGTAAAAAAAGCCAATTCATTTGACAAAAAATAAGAGGTAGCCGTCACACAGGCTTTGGAAAGTGTGATATCTGTGCTAAGAAAAAAAATGTATACCGTAGTCAATGTGTTAACAGATACAAAATATATAATGTCAGTGCAGACTATCACTTGTGAACATGCTATTAAATCGTAAGGAATAAAAAACGAAAGACAGTACAAACATATAAACGTGTACAGTGCAGTAGAACCAACCACCTCGTTTTTAGGAATAACTATTTTTTACTATACATAGTATATAGCATATTAATTCATTCTGAATATTTTTTGGAACGGTACCGCAACTGACTGATAAAGACGATAGAGACTAACCCAGGGAATGGAAAGATAAAAAGTTTGGGTACAATTTTCTTAAAATAGATATCCTAAATATGCACTAATAGAAAAGTAAAGGTTTTAATGTGAATAGAGAGAGATCAATAAGGTGCTTATTTTAAGTATTAGATATTATTTAATTTATAATTTTTAAAAAGACAAAAGACAGGAATTATTTGATTTTTACTTGACAATCACATTTTTGTACGTAATTAATTATATGTATACTTATTAACGCCACTAATAAGGTTTAAGTACGTACCTTTGAATAGGGTAGATTCCTAGGTTTAAAATAACTTAATGTTAACGTTATGTTAAAATTTAATGTTTTTATATATAGTGATCAACATTAAATATAATTTGACAATAACTAGGTATGACGACACGCTATAGTATTTCATACAAAAAAAATAGTCGAATTGAGAACCTCCTCCTTTTTTTGAAGTCAGTTAAAAAGAGGACAGAGTCTATCGTTGTGATGTTTAATAAAAAACCGACTTAAGGCAATAGGTTGACTTGACAGTCGACCTATTGCCTTAATTCAAAGGTTTATGACCACTTATTGATTGTGTTCATTATTTGTAGGTATTAATATTAAAATATATTTACTTAGACCGCTTTAAAGGTAACGTCATTTTTAGTTATTGATTTGATCTATTGATAAGTTTAAATGATTTTTTAAACATTTATCTTATTACGATTTTATGACGCTTCTAAATCAAGTTTATTTTATTACTACATATGGTTACATTAAAATCTGTTTATATAATCAAATCATTATCATAAACAATTTTTATGATTACAGTTTATTTCTAATTTAAATGCTATTCACGTAGTTAAAGTAGAGAATACAAAATGAATTTTGCTATTCCATTATACGAAGAATGACTAAGATGTAGCAACATGGGGAAAGAGGGGGGAGGCGTTAGAAGGAGGAGGAAAACCTTTATGATAATTGTAGTAAATCGTCTTGAGAGTCGCCTCGTATCTTGCAACTAAGATAATTTCAGTTTTTATGAAGCATACTACCACGATTGTGACATAGTATTTCGAAATGAACGTGGTTATTACATATGTGTAGGTTTATAGGTTTTTTATGTGAGTCAAGTCACATGACAAGGATAATATATGACAATAAACGAGCGCAGTTGTATTTAATGATAAAGTTAAGTTTTATATTAACATAATGTTGCCAATAAACAAAAAAAAAACCGAATCAGTATGGTTTTAAATTAATTTTCAATGTATTTTTATGGTATAGACGGTAAATCAGTAGATGGGTTACTTGATGGTAAGTCCACCACTGTCTATGGTCTATGTCAAGAGACACATATGCGTTGTCGCTTTTTGGGCAGGGGCGACTTTAGAGGGTGGCGAGCAGGCAACCGCCCGGGCCGCGCATAAAGGGGCCTCGCTCATACAGGGGCCTCGCGCATTAGCGAAACAACCCAAGTAGAAAAATATGTTTACATATTCGAATTTCGTGCCTCGCACACATCGCATTATGAAACTTACGTCACGTTAGTTGCGCTAGATTATTTGATTCAGTCACTCGCCGAAAAGTAACGAAACGAGACAAATGGAAATTATTGCTACATTTAAATCATATACATTTGATGAAATGATTGGTTTTAGTCACAGCGATTTCACATGTGACTGTGATTTCGTCATAGACAAAGATAAATGGCATTAAAATCAATCAAAATTCTTTTTATCAAAGATTACGTTAGTCTTGCGCTAGCGTAATAATAATAATTAAGTAGCAGTGGTATGTAAATCAGTCACAGGTGTGATGATATGCTTTATAAAATATATGATTTATCACATGTGATTGTGATTTTATTAAATCCCTAGACGAAAGAATTTGTTTGGTTTTCAGTGAGACTGTGGAATTACTTCGGTCGAGCCGCCCAGTTTAAGCCGAAGCATGGTTCTCCTACGATATAAATAATAATAATATTTCGAACATCTGACACACAACGCCATCTAGTTTCAAACTAAGCAGAGCTTGTACTATGAAAACTAGATTGACTGATTTAATAATTATTCACTATTACGAAATAGGAATAGAATTAGAAATATTTTCGAGTAGTTACATCTGGTTATGATAAATTAGTAACCCGCCGTATTTTATTTTTGGTATATTGTTTTTATTTTATAGTTTCTATGTCATATTTCTATCCTAAAATATAACAATCTAATTTTAATATTTTTATACATATGTCTCTATTTATCAGTCAGTGTATTTGGTTGTTTCGTTATATTAAATAGTTATTCCCAATATCGGCAGGCACTGACCTTAGTTTAGCGCTGTCTCCGTTCCATCACAAAATGAAGACTTTAAAACTATATTAGAAAGTTTAATATTGTCTATGGTTAACTTATGTAACGCGACACGGACAGGCGTCAACTGAAAACACTATTTACAAAAGTAATTATTTCTATATCTGATAGTTATTTTGTAATAGAATTTACAAATTGTTTCGAATTTACAAATTTTAAAGAAATATTCTTATGACATTTTTAATTTTGTACTACATTGTAGACAAGTTAACATTAATTGTAATATTTTGTAAAGATTCATTTAAAAATAATAATTTAAAGGGTTTTAACAAGTATAAAATATGCAGTCCTAGAAAGTATTGTTGCTAAGAAAACCCTGGCAATATTAGTAAAGCAAACTATCACAGCATTTAGTGAGCTATCAGCCCACACGATACAGTCCCCTCTTTCGTAATAAATGATGTATGAATTTAATGAAATCAACCGATTTTCAGTAATTATAAATAAAAAGCAAATTTACATATACAGGGTTACTGGGTAAGTCGACCTAAATATTTTAAGGGGTTGTAGTTGCCATGATTTCTGATAGATATCACAATGAAATACTATATCCCCAAACCAACAATTTTCAAGATATTACAAATTAAAAATCGAAATTTTGCCATTTTTTTAATTACGATATTAAAAATCGAAATTTTACCATTTTTTGACTTATCCTTTATTTTATGTGTTATTTCTGTTTTTGTTAGTTGATACATTGTTTTATAGTTACTATTACTCCATTACTACAATTGTAGTTTATTTAACAGCTGGTTAATAATAGCAAAAAGAAAAAAAAGACGTGTGGCACTCGGGGACTGCCGCGGTAAAGCTGTTGCATAGTATTTTTTATCAACTTATGCAATTATAATTATTTATTTATTTTATTTATTCAGTATTTTTTTTTCCTGTTTTTTTTTTCTTTGATATTAATTAGATTGCGGGGCGAAGAGGGGGATTACGCATGCGCAGTAACGCCGATACAACCAATGCCACCTAGAGGCGAGTTGCTGAACTAAAGAGACAAGCGTGATATTTCAAAAAAGTCATTAAAAGTTCTGCTATTCATCGATAGATGGCATAACTAAAAAGTAAAACGTGGGGTGTGTTAGGTTATTTTTAGACTTGCAACGAATATTCGGTTACTATTCGGTATTCGGCCTATTCGGCTGCTTTTATTATGTTCGGCCGAATACCGAATATCTACATATTATTCGGCCGAATACCGAATACTTATTTTGTCATTGAGAAATAATTGGTAAAATGAAAAATTAAAATCGATTGATTACGTATATATTCATATTTTGCATTTCTGTTATAATCATGTAAGTAGTCATTGGTGCATAACACAGGTACATAATCATCTTCTGAATAGGAAAAATGGAGGATTCTATGTATTTGAATTATTGTGGTAATCAAAATTTAGAAGGGTAAGTAAGGTTCTCATTTCTTTTATAATCATTTATTAAGTAGTCATTGGTACATAAAACAGGTACGTAATTTAATTCACGTCTGTACAAGTTTTTGGCGCTAAAATCCAGCCGAATACTTTTGCCTAATATTCGGCTATTCGGTCAGGGGCCTCGCCGAATATTCGGTATTCGGTATACTGCCGAATATACTATTCGTTGCAAGTCTAGTTATTTTCGTTACGGAATTTCTGGATTCGGTCTCCACGCTCAAGGCCCGCGATAGAAGCTATGCAATAGCTTAAAAAAAATCTTTTCTTTTACAAAATTTAACGAAACAGTCCCGAAATACAAGCCAAGTTTTCAACTAGGTATTACCGGGTTGTACGCTAATTCTTAATACTTCCGGTCTTCCATCTAAGTTTTTTTTCTATGAATTCTGATACTATGCTTTTGAGATAGCTTACCTTAGCTTACCTTTTGAGATAGCTGACAATACGTACATGTTTTTAATATATCTACAGTTTAACTTTCATAGTTTTCTTTTAAATATTCGTCCATTTTTTTCTTTTTGCTATTATTAACCATCTACTTTGGCCCAGTCAGTTTAGATAACTACAATTATAGTAATGTAAATTATAAAACAATGTATCAACTACATAAAAACAGTAAAAAAAAAACATAAAATAAAGGATATATATAAGTCCTCTCCTTATAAAAATTGGGCAAAATTTATTAACTTGAAAATGATTAGTTTTGGGATATGGTATTTCATGGTGAAATCTATCAGAAATGATGGCAACTACAACCTTTTAAAGTATTTAGGTCGACTTACCCAGTAGCCCTGTATACATATTATATATTAATACCTAACTCTTCTACCTCTTCTACCCAACTCGAGTAGTCGAACAAGAACTAAAGAAAGCCTGATAATAACTAAACTACTGATAAGATATAATAATAAATAATTACACACTTTATTTGTTTAAATATTTTTTTAGGACAACTTCCGCTCTAGGAATTTACCTGTGTCACGGGGCACTTGCCAAACATTAATGAAACGAACACAAGGATCGCCTAGACTTTGAATAACAATTTGTGGATCACACAAAGTGTTGTCACCTGTAGGGAACAAATCCACAACCACTACGCCATTCGTGCAGTCATATTTACATGACATGTCACCACCAGAGTTTTAACTGATTTTTGGTTGTACTTTCAGTTAAGATAACCAATAAGACAACGAAGTCTATGCCTTATTTTAGCATAGATTCGATTAGAATACCTCAGGAAAGCAATTTTTTTTCAGGTTTGGTAGGGTCATTTAATCGTTTTCGAATTAAATATATTATATTGCCGACCGGCTTTTCCCAAGAACATTTTTCGTGGCATTGTTCTATTTGATGTCAATGGATGGTCAGAATGCTCCATTTTAAATATACAGTTAACAGAAGCTTATACACTGAAAGAAAAAACAGTCGAAAGTCGAAACGCGTTTTGTTAAGCTAGCTGGGATTCATTTTAAAACTAATATTCATGAGCAGAGGGCCTAGTGTATGTTTATTTCACTTCTACTCGATCGTCACGGTGACCACGTACTTAATATTTACTGCGTAAATAAACTTACACGAGGCCCTCTGTGACAGACGCAAGTGACGTCACAAGAACTGCTAGCCAGGTTTCGCGCGCAAATTTAAACTGTCAGTCTATATTTGCGCGGGGCGCAGTTTTTGTTCACTTAGTTGCAAAAACAAGAATTCAAAATCGTTAAGTCTGAGTAGTAGCTTTTTGACATCAACTAGATAGAGATCGGGCCACAGGCTAAATTAGTTGGTGAAGCCACATGAACAGCGCCGTAGTAGTACATTACAACTTTGAGTACAGTCACTTTTTGAGGACAAAGTTAAAAAAACTGATTTGAAGGCAATTTTATTACGTTTTCATAACCTTTGCAATTTATATGCGGCGGGCATTAAGGTTCGTTTTTCTCTAAGATCAGTCGCTGGAATGAGTTCTTTCGTATGAAGGAAGTTAGGTGTGAACATTCAATTCAAACTTACTTAATGCTGAGGAGCTGCAAGAATTCCCCCCCTTATTTAACTAAAATAGTTTCTTATGACTATTTTAGATTGAGACTGTATCGTGTGGACGGAAATTAGCTATTGATCTCTAATCGAGCATATACAACACAAAGATCATATCCAGTTGACGGCTGTACGTTACCTTCGTTGACAGCGCTAAAGTCGGTGGGAGGCTGCGGTGCGGGCGGAGGCGAGGGCAGTGCGACAGGACCTGGTGGAGGGGGAGGTGGCGGGAGAGCGGGGCGAGCGGGACATAGGCAAGGGGAGGACTCAGCGAGGCGCCGCCTACCATCGCGCCGCCGTGCGCCGCTGCTCGGCGACAGGGTCTCTGTGCTGCCTGGCTGCCCGTTGTCGCTGCTGTGTACCAAAAGGTTTATATTTTAGGTTCGAGGCCTAAGTTTATATTTAAAATAGGAATTTTCAGAACGCTTAATGTAGAAAACAGTTGGCCCAATATCAGTGATTAATATGTCAATTTTTTTTAAAGGACAACTTCTAAGGAGTGTATCCTGTGTTGCAGACTTTACAAACATACATTGTGGATCACATAAAATGTTGTCCCCCCTGTAGGGATCGAATCCACAACACTCAGCGGCGTAGCGGCCGCTTAAACCACTACGGCATTCGTGCAGTCAACAAAATCAACATTCTCTTCGTGTAGTCACGCAGATATTATTTCTCTGTGGTTAGACATTTGGTAAACAAATAAAGTCAAAAGGTTAGTCAGCCTATAAATAATTCATTATGAAGTGGCTTCAGTCTGACTAACAGAAAATGTATTAAATACCTACGCCTTCAATAAGTCCTATTTTAAGAAGCAACCTATTTGATTTTCGACTACAACAACCCCTGTCATCCATTACGCTGTCATAGAGCTTAATGTATTAATTAAATCACATAAATGTGTGTACTACACCCCATTTATATCTATGTTCAATATCTCATAGGCATATATTAAAAATAAAATAAAAACATTTAATGCACAGATGCGTAGTGGTTTAAGCGGTCGCCACGCCGCTTCCTACTACGCCCAGTGTTGTGGGTCCGATCCCCACATGGGACGACGCGACTGCACGGATGGCGTAGTGGTTTAAGCGGTCGCTACGCCGCTTTCTACTACGCCCAGTGTTGTGGGTCCGATCCCCACATGGGACGACACTTTGTGTGATCCACAAATTGTTGTTCTGAGTCTGGGTGTTCTTTGTGGCCGTTTCATGTATGTTTGTAAAGTCCCTCGCGACACAGGATTTATTCCTAATGCGGGAGTTGTCTTATTTAAAAAAAAAAAAATGCTAGGGAAGGTAGCGCCAAATCATGAAATTTGACATTAACTATGACTCTTAAGAAAGAAGTACTGTTGTCATTCGTATAATGAAATATAATATACACTGTGTCGCCGATGCGTTCCTGGATCTCCTTGACAGCGCTAAAGTCGGCTGCGGCCTCCTGACTGCCGAGGTAGGCCGCCGCAGGTTTTAGTGGGTAAATCGGTTCTCTGGGAGTCCCACACACGCCATGCGTTTCCCCAATGGAGGGTATGGTACGAAAAGCCTTCCCCGCGTTAAAAAAAAGAAGTATATGCACAGGTCAATACACTGCTTGTAAGGATTTATTCACAGTGAAATTAACAAGACAATTTTAGTCTAAGATCAGAAAGATCTATTTCTGTAGTAGGGCAAAGTACACCATTACTTGAGGTTGTCCTTGTGGTGACGGATTAAGAATACAGAGTGTCACCACCCCTATTCATCCCAAAGGTGTCGTAAGGGCCGACTAAGGGAGCAATTACGCAGAACAACAGCAGTGCAAAGAGAAGAAAAACTTGAAACAAACCCTATACCAACCCGTCTGTCCAGCGTGGTATAGTAGGTCAAAACCACCTTTCTAAGGGAGGCCTGTGTTCAGCAGTGGACTATTAAAGCTGTTGATGTGATTGATGATGTGATGAGGTCTCTTTGTAAAATTAACTTATCTTTCTGATTCATCATCACCTCAGCCTATGCTTGTCCACTGCTGGACATAGGCCTCTCCCAATAATTTCCAGCGGTGAGGGTTGATTGCGGCCTACATCCAAGGGTTTCCGGCAACCTTTACCAGGTCGTCCGTCCATCGGGTAAGCGGTCGTCCCACACTGCGCTTTCCAGTACGTGGTCTCCATTGGAGAACCTTGCTGCCCCATCGGCCGTCAGTTCTCCTTGCTATGTGCCCTGCCCATTGCCACTTCAGCGCGCTAATCTGTTGGGCTATGTCGACCACCTTTGTTCTCCTGCGGATCTCCTCGTTGCGGATTCGATCACGCAGGGAAACGCCAAGCATAGCCCAGCCGAGTCGGATTCGACGATTTACCTCTTTCTTGAAGTTGGACTTACCTAATTGGACCGTTTGTCCTAGGTAGACATATTGGACTCTCGTTGATATATTAGACTCTCTGATTATTACCAGGCTACGTTATATCACATAATCTGGTCAAAAGTAGATGAACCTTTGGCATTATGTTAGACAAAGATCCAACTGCAACTGAGTCTTTAGGTCTATAAACCTCATCTAAAGCGAACCGATGTGAATTAAGTGTTCACTTACCAATTACTGAATCCAGAATCTCCATCCATAGAATCAGTCAAATAAAACGTGGAATTGGTGATCTTTAAAGCACTAGGTATATCTGAGTTTATATCCACTGCCAAAGACGTCGCTCTTCTAAAACGCGACTTAAATGAGAAGTAAGCTTTCCTAGACAAAGTTCCACTATCTTTTTTAGCATTTTCAATGGTTGGGGTAACCGGATTTTCGGGCGGGGGTTTGTCCGGCCTCTCCGGCGGTGGTTTATCAGGTAAAGGAGGCGGTATATCTCCGTTACTAGCTCTTTTATCCATAATAACAGTCTTTAATTCCTCTTTCAGAGATCCGTACACTTTTGCTAAAGGAGTTTCAGTCTTATTGAGTGCTGGCCGAGAGTCGTTGAGGTTCATATTGGTGTAAAGTAGATCTTGTTTCTCGCAGTTAGCGTATATAGGTGATTTTTTAGGCTTGTTTGTTCCGTAGATGTTGTTGGATTGTGTGTTACTTGATTTCGTGAAAGGTTTGCCGTCCATTGCCACTGTAAACAAAAAAAAAATAGTTTAGTTATGTACTTGTAGAGGTAGGAAGCGTACTAGTTAGATATATTTTAGATTCTAGATTCTTCAATATGAGTTGTATTTTGTGAGAGATAACTAGTCACTAAACTAAGAATAAATAATATTAAAAGTTAAAAAAAATCTTTGTAAACATAGAGAGCGGGACAGCAGATACCTACTTAATTCGGTTACATATATTTATATTCATAAAGTTTATGATGCAAGTGTAAAGTAAATACTACATAATGTAATATTTCTTTCTTTGCGATTCTTCACCGAGTTTCACTCTTTTTAACTGGGTTCTCCATTTTTTTTTACTTTTTTTTAATTTGATACCTCAAAACTCCGGCATTTATAAACCGATTTGGCAATTCCTTTGTCTATATATACTCGTATATATATATATATATATACAAAGGATGATTTATAGATATATTTATATATAGTATCTGTATTAGAGAGAGTATAATTCCCGTTTGGTCCTATTCAAATTAAATAATGCATACTACTACTTTGGCACTTTTGGATATACAAAATAACCTAAAAAATACTTCCCTACTTTTCACTTAGGTAATAGTTTCTTACAATTCATTATAACGCAGGCTCATTGATTAGTAGTTTAATTTTTTAGTAAGTTATTTATATTATGTATATAACAAGGCTAATTTTTCGTTACGAACACTTTCAAAATAGGAATACGATTTCATATACCTATGAAGCAACGATAATATAAACACAATTTAAAAAGTATACAAATTGCCTAATGATAAATTTGTTTTGTTAAATTAAAAGCAAAAATGTAAACGACAATTGTTTGTTAAAATTATGAAACAGAATATTTCTACTTTAGAAAATACTTAGCATTTATGCAACACCTAGTTGTAATATATTTTGAATCTATATAAACATGTTGAGTTGTTTTGTGTAAGCTTCTAAAACTCAAAAAGTTCTGCACCGATTGAGCTAAAATTTTAACACTATATACAACTCGTTACAAAGATCATCATCAACAGCCTTTAATAGTCCACTACTGGACATAGGCCTCTCTTTAAAAATAAGGTTTTGACCTACTATACCACGTTAACCAGACGGGTTGGTACGAGTATAGGATGTGTTTCAAGTTTTCTTTCTCTTTGCAGTGCTGTTGTCCTGCTTAGTTTGCTCCCTTAGTCGGCTCTTACGACACCCACGGGATGAATTGGGGTGGTGACAATTTGTGTTCTTAATCCGTCACCACACGGATCGTATGTATATTTCAATAGTAATAAAACAATTTCGCAAAAAAGAGGTAATATTTATCATTATGCATTTTTATATTGTAATGTTTACTCAAACGTATTTAAATCGTCACAGTTTTGTTAAGTAATGTTTTTCTTGTAATATAATTGAAGTTACATACTCTCGTACAATTAAAATCAAATTTTTGTTTCTTTATTCATTATTTTCCACGAGATCCGACTATATGACAGGTATATAATTAATACAAATATTTTAAGATATATTACTGAATAATACACAAAACATACAAGTGTAATGTTGATATTTTTCTTTTAGTGATAAAATTGTAATAAGTTTGTGTTACAAATACGCGGCTAAGTTTTTGAAAAGAACATTAAACAAAATATATATAAATTATGTATATGAAAACAAATCTGCAGATAGTTATCGAAAATTTCGTTACATATAACTATATCCGATATGGTCTAGTGGCTAGGATACCTGGCTCTCACCCAGGAGGCTCGGGTTCGATTCCCGGTATCGGAAACCACTTTTTGCATTCTTAATTTTTTATTAAACTCACCAGATATGGTCTAGTGGCTAGGATACCTGGCTCTCGCCCAGAAGGCTCGGGTTCGATTCCCGGTATCGGAAATCACTTTTTGCATTCTTAATTTTTTTTTAAACTCACCAGAATATCTCTTTGTAAGATTTCGTTTGATTTGCCTCATTTTCTGCTGGGCTGCGCTGGCAATTTTCGTGAGCGTATATTGCCCAGAGGTGGGCGGTGATGGTAGCCTAGAAGCCGGTAATACTGGTGCAGAAGGCGCGTACGTAGACTGGAACACATAAAACAATAATTTTAATAAAAATCAAAACGACATGTTTCGTTGAAAGTATGACACTGAATGAGACATGGTAAATCATACAATTTTGAATGGCAAGGAATACCTTTAAGTTTATTATTTCCTTAAGGAAATCCCACACAGAGATTTAAATGCCGAGTTATTTCAAAATAATCCTCATTCATATGAATCATGATGATATATTAAATAACTCTTATTTAAGAAGTTCAATTTAAATATAATTAAAGCCATACGTTTACGTAAAGTTTGCATTTTACGTTCCAGTGTTCACAAATTTTTACACAGAAAAAGTTCAAAAGCTAAAATTTTCAAACAGCGTGTTAATGGCAAAATGGCTACATCAAGCTACTTGCATTCAGGTTACATAATATATGTTGATTTATGATGGTGTGTAAGTCTATACAATGACAGTAAAGTTATACTTGACACTGTGATACCAAGAATGAATTATGGATTTCGTCCACTATGGGATCTCTAAACCAATAAAACCTTTTAGCATTATCTCATTTTACATCGAAATAATATTTTTCTATACACCTATCTATGACCGCGGCTCCGCCGCTTTTATTTACAACACTAGCTGGTGCCCGCGACTTCGTTTGCGTGGAATTTAAAAAGCGCTGCCTTAGTAGGTTCGATTCCCGGACCAGGCAAAAGTTAATAGGGGTTTTCTAAGAGGAAAAATAGCCTAAGTTACTCCTGATATAGACCTGGTACCATGGCATGGTACTTTTACCTGGTAGTTAAATATTATCGAAATTGGTAAAGGTGTTTAGAAGATTAACCCGAACAAAAAGACAGACAGAAAAAAAACTGTTTTAGGCATAGGTATCGTGCAAATAACCGTGTGAGCATGAAAAAACCTTTTATTTTGACATTAGAAACAGACAATTCAATTTTATTTATTTGTATAGATAATTTTAGTAACGAGTGCCAGTATTGTGTACCTATATTTTTCGTTGGTCCCAAAGCACGAAAACAGTACACTAGTTAAAATTACACTGAATAGTTCTATAAGCCCTGTCAAGCTGAGCCAGATCTTATAAAGTGCCAGTGCAATTAATATGGAATTCATGTAACACTTGTAAGATATTAATTGTTTTTGCTTTCATTATTAATTCTGATGTCATCAAGCTTCAGGGCGGTGAACGTTATAGCGAGACCTATAGTTCCTTAATACGTCAATCGTATGTATGACGTAATCATTTACGTCATCTGGCCCAATTGTTTTTGTCTTCTACTTCTGTCATTGATCTATTTTATGTCAATATTTAGTAATGGCGGCGGACTATTGTGACGTAACGGTACGTACGGTAGGTATGTTTGCTTTAACTGTTTGCTTTTTTTATAATTTTATTCACGTTTTTAGAATCAGTTCTCATTTGATGGCTTTTGCCATATTTAAATTTATATTTTATAAAGTTATTAAAAATGTTTATTAATTTATACTGTTTAGAATTTTTATTACAAAGATTTTTCTGATGATCAATCTGTGTTTGAAATATAGTGCTTTAATTTTACCCGAAATTAGCATGTGACAATGTGTATATACATATTTAGTACATTTATTAATTATATATTATACTATACTATATATTTATTAAACATGTATAGTACTTTTAAATTTTAGCTATGAGGCTAAGCGGACCTCTTTTAAAAATGCTTTTTATTAACTATTAAAATAATTGCAATAAATTGAGCGTGTATAAAAAATGTAATGTAATATTCTTTCTCATTATTATTTCGTTCTTTCATAATAATTATCTTTTACGACTTTAGATTTAATAAGTAGGCAAGTGTGTAAATATTTTATCATATGTACTATATTTTTTATTCACAATTTAAAAAATATATAATTTATAAATATATAATTATAAAATTGTATAATATTACAAAACATGTTAACTAACAAGTCCGTTTTATAATTACTAAACAGACTAGAAATATTTATTTTTACAATTTTGATCTTCGTACCACGGAGAGTCGGTCAGTACAGTCACAATGCTACAGACTTGTTTTAATAACACAACACAACTAGTGTTCCACGCGGCTTCGCTCACATATACATTTATATGTTGTCAATAGTGTAGAACTTAATTATTTTTCCAAAACAAAAGTAACCTTAATTACTCCTTATAAAATCGACTATCTGAGGCCCAAGTGTGACTTTATTTCACATTGATTCGCTCTCGCGTTGCGATTGGTGGAGATTTCAGTGTGGACCAATCACATCGCCGAACGCGGTCACCGTGACGATCGAGTAGAAGTGAAATAAACTCACACTTGGGAAAAATAATTAGGTTCTACACAATATACTCGTACAACATATAAATATATATTCTTTTTTTTTGACAACTCCCGCATTAGGAATAAGTATATCCTGTATCGCGGGGGACTTTACAAACATACATGAATCGGACACACAGAACACCCAGACTCAGAACAACAATTTGTGGATCGCACAAAGTGTAGTCCCATGTGGGAATCGGACCCACAACACTTAGCGTAGTAGTAAGAGGTATATATGAGCGAAGCCGCGTGGAACACTAGTTGTGTTGTGTTATTAAAAAAGTTTTAAAACAAGTCTGTAGCATTATAACCTAAAAATAATAAGCATAAGCATATGTTAGTATTTGCGTACTGTGTTACCTTATCGGTTTCTTCATCGTCGGTGTCGCTGTCGAACGAGTCGAAGTCATCTTCAAGCGGTAGAGGGGGAGGGTGCGGCTGGGCCGGCGCGTGGGCAGGGTTAGCCGTGTGCCCCGGCGGCGGCTCCAGCGACTCATATACGTGGCCAGAGTCACTACTGTCACATTCTGTCGACAATATTATAGAAATATTATAGATCTTGAATCAGTCATAAGTCCTATTTATTTGACTCAATAAAATGTACAATGGCGGACTTAATGTTATATGCTTTTTGTAACAATATACCTTGGAATGATGCAGAAATTATTGATAAGGTAAACTAAATTCAAATAGAATTATAAAGACAACATATTTATATATAATAATTTATTATATAGGTACAGTACCGGTTAAAAGATTATATATATATATAAGAGTATCTTTGTATATGTATAAAAAATTCAAATTACGCCTTGAATATTTTTCTTTCCATTATAGTTAATAAATAGTCACATGCACATTTAAATGTGAATAAAAATAATCGTTGTGTTGTTAAAACGATTGTGATAGTCTTAAGTAGAGCATTCCAGAGGCGGACAGTTTGAATAAGAAATAATATGATAGTAACATTGATAGACACGCAATGTATGACACACACACACACACATACACATCAACAGCCTATAATAGTCCACTGCTGGACATAGGCCTCTCCTTACAAGAAGGTTTTGGCCTACTATAACACGTTGGCCAGACGGGTTGGTATAGGATTTGTGTATGACGTTAATTAACAAAACAAATACAGACAATCAAGTTGACCCCGCTCAGTTACACGGTGGTGGCTCTAATATAAATCCAAGTGGTTTAATAAATAGAAATAAAGCTTCTGTTACATTGTGTTGTTAATGAAATAACTATCATTATCAGCACCAGTCGCAGTCCACTGCTGGACATAGGCCTATCCAATTGCACGCGACTTATATCGAACCTCGGCTTCTCGAAGTAACCATATCCAAGTATGGGTACTTAAGTGGTTCTGCGTCTGAATATAAATTTATTATGCTCGTTGATATCACTCACGTGCCTTTACAACACCAAGGAATTTAATTTGATATCTATAATATTTTTAAGTAATACAAAGGAATTAGAACAATTAGACAGAAAGTCACCAATTAGCGTAAGACAAAATATACTTTTTTTTTCTAATTAAAGAAATTCATAAAATTTATTATATATGTACAAGAAAAAATAATATAAAATAAAATATAGGGACAATGCAATGCGAAAGAAAAATACGGATTTTTCTTGTACAGTGTTTATAACAAACAGTGTTTTTTATTTATCAAGAGATTTGAGTGTACCACACGTTCAATAATTATAAAGAGTCATAAAGACAGTAGCAAGGTGTGTTCAAGGAGTGCCTCGTAACAGGAGCTACGTTTCACTAAACAAGCACCAGGGCGAAACAAAAGATCAACGTTAAATAAAAGGATCATTTATGTGAACAAAGTTAGTAGATCCGTGTGGTGATTGATTGAGAATACGAAGTGTCACCACCCCTATTCCCCTATTAGGTATCGTAAAAGCAAACTCTGAAGGACAACAGCATTGCAGAGAGATCGAAACTTGAACTAGAAATCCTATTCCAACCCGTCTGGCCAGCGTGGTATAGTAGGCCAAAACCTCCTTTCTAAGGAGAGGCCTATGTCCAGCAGTCCACTACTACTAAAGGCTGTTCATGATGATGATGAACAGAGTTTATGGTTGTCCAAAAATCAACTGAAGCTTTGCTTAATACCTTTTTCAGTCTCTTTCAAAAACGGGGTGTGCTGTTTTAAAAGTGTGAGATGTGTATACTTATGTATTATACGAATATAGGCATGATTAATTTGAGTTACAACGTCACGTGAGCATTTTTTACAATTTTAAAGCGACGTTGAAGACAGTTTCAATTTGTTGTCAGACAATGATAGTTGTATTAGGCTTTTAAATAAACAACCTATTGTTATTATAATTTGTAAAACAAACAAAAATGTACACAAGAACTTCAACTTTCTTTAAAAGTTACATATACATATATATATACGTATACTCACGCCTCGTTCCCGTCAGGGGTAGGCAGAGACTATAGAACTCTATTTACCATGATCCTGAAATACAGTTCATCTTTCACATTCATTAGGCCTATTATACACGTTTGCCAGTCACGGGTGCTTTTAACAAGACCCTCCTTAAAATTTACTGTGATCCTAGTCAGTAGATATAATCAAATATCTTTCGGGGTCTGTCCGCACCAGTTCGCCAACACACAGAGGCCTTATAAACATTCTTAGTCATTCGCTCTTCGCTCATCCTTTCTACATGCCCAAACCATCGCAGTATATCTTTTTCAATTCTTGTCTTCGTATTCTTGTAGTTTTCTTACCTTCTCATTCTTAAGTTTTAAAGTTAATGATTTAACAATCATTAACTTTAAAACTCAAACATCAGTTTATTAACGATTAAGTCACTGTTAGCTAAATGTGTAAGTATGTGTCATTGTAATTATTATAAGTTTTTAAATGTAACAATGTGTTGCACGTAGGTACGTCGATGAATTCATAGATTTTTGCGGTTATGTTTTAGGCACATAGTCTTTTACTTTTGTTTTCTTGTTGTTGCTGTTGACGCAGGGGATGTATATGCGATGCTGTTACTAATTTATACTTTTAAAAATTCATCAACGATTATAAGAACTGCTATACGAGGAAACAGATTTTCATACTCAATGAAAGCTTTAAAAAAATTAAAAAAGATCCAAATATATCCATCTCTTTAGGAGCTCAGTCACCACAGACACGTTAAACTTATAACACCCCTACTTTTTCATTTCGGCAAAAGTAAGGTTAGGAAAAAAATATACAGATTTTTTATTTTTTTACGTCTAATAACGAGAGCAAAATGATATTAGTATTCTTTTTAAGAGTCTTTTAGGCTTGCCAAAGGCTTGCTATTTACATTTTTGATGTCAAACATATCTAAGTAAAAGTTAGCTTTCAAAAATTCAATAAATTAATAATAATGTATGTGTGTGTTAAATTATCTTAGTGTCTATATTTTCAGTAATACTTCACAGTAAATTTAAACACCGAGCAAAAAACAATTCACCAATCACTGATTATAAACTTCGATTCGTCAGTTAACACACCGACGCGCAGTATGCCGCGTAGAACATGCTAGGTGGACAAAATTATTTTATGTTATATAAAGATGCTTTTACATAGAGGTAGTCATATTTAGATATTATTTACAGTTTTTTCTTTTATTTTTTAAAAAAAACTATTTTTTTTAAATCAGAAAAATATATTTAAAATACTCAAATATTTATTGATAAAGAAAAATTTACAAGTCAAGGTTTACATGCTTAGTACAAGCACGAGTACATACTACAATTAGCGTCCAATAATCATATTAAATTAATATATAAACTATACTAATAAAAATAATATACAAACAAACAAATTTTTTTAACAACATAACAACTAAAGTAGCTTAACCTAATAATCATCATCAGAGTCTTCTGATGAGTCGTTTACTATACAGTAATTAGTTATAATAATAATAATAATAATAATATTTTTATTGAATAAAAGTTAACCATACAATAAGCAGAAAATTACACAATGACTACATTTAACAATAATAAGTAGTATGGCATTCAATTATATAAGCCCCCTGATCCTCAAACTAGGATTTCCTGTTTTTTGAGAATCAGTGGTTCCGCCCTGCGCAATGCATTACAGGTAAACTTAAAATATTCTACATGAAAATGTAACATGGTTAGGTTGGGCAATAACATAGGTCATATATGCGTATGTATATGTGTGTGTGTGTGTGTGTGTGTGTGTGTGTGTGTGTGTGTGTGTGTGTGTGTGTGTGTGTGTATGTGGAAGTGTGAGTATGTGTGGGCGTGTGCGTGCGTTCGTGTGCTTGTTGTGAGTGTGCGTTGTGTGTGTGTGTTCGTGTGCTTGTTGTGAGTTGTACTATCACTTGATTATACAATCATCATCATTTTGTGGCATTGTGCGACAATATGATGACGATTCCAGTCTGGACTTTTCTATGCTAGGGCTTACAATTATCTTTATACGAAAAAATATGTACAGATCTGTACATATTTTTTCCAGCTTTTTTTTGTGAATCTCTCGAAGACTATTAATCAAAGGATCAGATGTTATAATTAACATAGACAGTAAGTCTCTATTCGTGGCACGCGAGCACATGCGGGTGTTGTACTCCCTAAATCTGCGGCAATCTTTATTCCGTGCTTCCTGAGCTTCTTCGGAAAGCTGCCCAATTGGAAGCATATATTTTATGCACAGTAGCAGGCATACAGTACCACGAATAGAGACTAAGATAATGTTTTCTGGTTTCAAGACAAAATTTATTGAATTCAACTAAGTTTATCTCGAATCCAGAAGACAATGTCCTCAAAATAACATCAAATTTTTTTATAATTGTAACATCCAACCGTGTGATCTGAGCACTCATCTCAGTATTCTTAAAAAAGCGACGGGCTGTATTTCCATCATTTGAAGAACCAAATCCTGGCTTTGGCTTATCTACAATAAGTCCCATCTCGTTCTTAAATTTCAATGGTATTTTTAGACTTAATAGTATTATCTGGGCTCTCACTAATGTCGCTATTCACATTGGCAATTTTCCTTTGCCCTGCTGCTGCACAGCAATTTCGGCAGCAGTCACCAATTCATTGAGATTCTACGAGATCCACGACGCGACGTTTCTTCGTCTTAAACGACGATTTCTCGAAATCTTTGAGAGGCCTACCTGCAGGAGTCACAGCCTCAATTGATGTCGAAGGTTGTGGCGCAAAAGAACTCACAGTAAACTGTATGTCTGCTTCATCCAACCAAGTCTTATTTTTAATTAAAAAACGCTCCTTCGACTTTCCTGAAGCCAACCATTTGGCACCAATCTTATTAGACAAGTTAGATATCTTCAACTTTATTTCTTTTTGGCTGCTTTCAGTAATGTCACCAAAGTGAAATTTTGAAGAAAGATAGTCATATACACGCGAGTTTTTTTCATTCTTCGTGTGTTTCAACCACTCCTCAAGAAAGGCTACCATTGAAATAGAGTAAACGTGTTCTGAAAAAAAAAGAAAAAAAACATGTTGTACTGAAGTGTG